GTTCGCACTTAACAATTGACGAACACTGAACAATTGCTTCAGTGTAGATCGAATCGTTCTGCAGATGACAGCATAGCTGTCGAAAATACCTATTTAAAGGTAAATTAAAGTAAAAAGTATAAAAGTGTTTCGTGTCTACACTCGTTTAATTAGTTAATTATAATACTTTTTACGTGCCGATAAAACTAGGTATATTTTAACATTAAAAAAATAATGATTATCAACAAATAAAATAAGAATTTCCATGAATAATATTTTATTAAGATTTCTATCGCATTTTAAGTTCACTTTCTATCAAATGTTTAATCTTGTCATCTACATAACATTTACATGTTATTAAACTCGATCACGTGGCTACTGAATGAAACATTGTTTCCTTCCATTAGAGAATCATAACACGTGACTCACTTCTAGAATTCCATTTAAGTTATTTCAATATTTTTGTGAAAAAATTATGATTCACAAGATGAAACACTTCTAAATTCCTAGATAAAAGATAAAACATGTCATAAAATTTATTCATCGATTTTAGATAGGTGGATAGGCAATATAATTTTGTAAACAATGAACTTAAATGTTATAGAATTCTTAATAAAATATAATTAATGGAAGACTTTATAAACCCATTTCGCAACTTTTCATTGATCAAAAATATTTTTGTTTAAATTTACGATGTAGCTAGCCGCCCTTTAGTATAATTGTTCTTCACTCTTTCACATACTCTCTTCTCAGAGAAAGTTCTTTCTCTTGCTTATCGAAGCTGAGCTGATTGTATCAAGCTGGAGAAGAAAAAAACTCTTTTCACTTTGTAACAATTTGTTTAAGTAAAAGGACTTATTTCTGTAAAGCTGTGCTTTGACATTCTGTGGAATTTTTAACCTTTAATTTAGACAAATAAAAAACTAAACGACTTTTAAAAAGTTCATTCATAACACAAGTTAATTAACTAATAACATCAAAATGAAAATTCCAACTACCAAAGCTCCAATCTTCAAGCCCGTCGAGTATGTGATTTTCGACATGGATGGCTTGCTTTTAGGTAAGTTAATTGTCATCATGGCGATTTTTCTTTTGTCCATTAAACACTTTCATAACTTTGATTCTTATTTTAATAAAAAAATAATTTCTTTTCTTTTCAACAGATACCGAAACGATTTACGAAGGATGCGTTGAAAAGATTTTAAAAACTTACAACGCTAAGATGTCATGGGATGTGAGAATGAAAATTCTTGGTGTGACTGAAGGGTACATGTCAAGAACTATTGTGGAAGATCTGAATCTTCCTTGCACTGTCGCAGAGTTTGGCGTTGAATTGCGAAAGTTGCTGGTTGAAAGCCTCGAGCATGTTCAATTGATGCCAGGTTAGTTTTTGTTCAACTTACTTGACCCTCAAATAACTAAGCTAAAAACATTTCTATGAAATAGGCGCTGAACGTTTAATTCGTCACTTCTATACCAACAACGTTCCTTTCTGCTTGGGCACTTCAAGTTCAAATGAGACTGTTAAAGTTAAGATAACTCATCACCAAGAATTGTTCAGCTTATTCCATCACAAGGTCATGGGTTCGAGTGATCCTGAAGTTAAGGAAGGCAAACCAGCACCAGATATTTTCCTTGTTGCTGCTAAGCGTTTTCCAGAGAATCCAGCTCCAGAAAAGGTAGAATTCAACACATTAGTTATGTTAAATAAAATTAATTTTCTTTTCTTTTAACAGTGCTTAGTTTTTGAAGATTCTCCGAACGGATGCAAAGCTGCAAGAGCTGCGGGAATGCAAGTTGTTATGGTTCCGGATTCTCACATTTCAGATAAGCAGAAGGAACATGCCACTCTTGTGTGTAAATCCTTGATGGACTTTGAACCTGAAAATTTTGGACTGCCATCATTCACAGAAGAATAAGTCTTCGTTTTTTTATGTTCATTGTCAACACCATTGCATTGCAATTCATTGGAAGGAATCTAACATTTTAAAGATAAATCGATTTTATTTGTCATCGCAAAATTATTTAAATTGTCTCATAAACATCACATTAAAGTACGAAATAATAAAATATATCTAAAGTTGTTAAATAAATTTAAAGCTTTTCTATGTTTCTGTTCGCTTCTCTTTTTGGTTTATTTTACCGACCTTACATTCGTTGTTCGTTTTCGATACCTATTAGGTAAATAATTTCATTTCATTATCAACCATTCGAATAACCAGACGTGTAACGTTCCTGCTGTAGGTATAATAAATTTGAACAAGTGTTTTGAGCAGAATTTTCAAACATATTAACAAGAAAAACATTTAAAAAATTATTCATTTTTGACCTACACAGCATGACGAGATTTGACGAGGAAAAGTCCGTAAATTTCAATAAAGTAAAATATGTCATATTCGACATGGATGGTTTATTGCTTGGTAAGAAAGCAATAAAAGTTAAAATTGTAATGAATAATTTTTGTTCGATTTTTAAACATAGACACAGAAACACTCACGATTATTCAGAAAGTTCTCGATAAATATAAGCCAGGTGCGGTGTTTACTTGGAATGTCAAAGAAACTATTCTAGGACTTCAGAATGATGATGTTGCAAAGAAAATTGTGTCCCATTACAATCTGCCAATCTCATGGCAAAAATTTACTGAAGTTAAGGAAATTTATACAAATGCTTTCATTGAAAAAGCACGTTTAATGCCTGGTGAATTTTTGTTTTCTTCCTTTGAAGAATTTCAATTAATTTTATTTCATCAATGTTTAGGTGCTGAACGTTTGATTCGTCATCTTCACAGCAAAAACGTCCCGTTCTGTTTGGCAACTTCTAGTTCAAAAGCTTCAGTAGAACTGAAAACGAGACAATATAAAGAGTTGTTCTCTCTTTTTCATCACAAGGTCATGGGCCCAAATGAACCAGAAGTTAAGAAAGGAAAGCCGGCCCCAGATATTTTTCTTGTTGCAGCTAAGAAATTTCAAGCAAAACCTGAGGAAGTGAGTGACTCGGCGAAATATTGTTAAAAATTTAATTCATTCATCGTTTCATTATTTCATTAGTGCTTGGTGTTTGAAGATTCTTCCAGTGGTTGTAGAGGAGCAAAAGAAGCTGGCATGCAAGTTGTCATGGTGCCAAATTCAAATTGCAAGAGGCCAATGATAAATGAAGCTACTCTCGTTATTAAATCACTAAAGAACTTTAAACCAGAACAATTCTGTTTACCACGGTTTGAAGATTAATAACGTGCAATATACCTATTTCAGTTTTTTTAATGCAAGCTAATTTTTTCAAGAAGAAAAAAGAAATTTTTAAATCACGAAAAGAGATAAGGGAACAAAATCTGTCACGAAACTTGATATAAAAAATATTAATTACATGTTAAAAATGGAATTATTATCAAGAAAATAGTTTGGAAAAGTGGAACAGTTAAAATTTAATCAAAAACTTTAATTATAAGTTATCTTATAGTATTATCATATTTCCAAGATAATTTCTGGTTCATTACAAATAAATATTTACTTAACAATATCTGTCCTTATTTTAAAAAAAAAATTATATTTTACATAGGTATTTGTTTCCACATAAGCTTTCAAAAACTTAAATTTATGCATACATCTTACAAATGGTTCTAATCTAAAAATTCCAAGAATAAAACTTAGATATCAACTCGCACGCAAGATTTGAAACGCCATCAACACGTGCGACAGATTTTAAAAGTCGTTGATCAAGCAATAATTTACGCATTTGTCAGTAGCCAAAAATAGATTTTGAATGGTCAATGGATGAGAAGAGTTGATTATGAATATCTTTCTTTGAATATGCTTTTAATATTAATAATAACTAAATTCTTTTTGCAAATTGTTGATATCTCTTTACATCGTTTTTCGTCTCGTATATCTGAGCATATCCCTTCTTATTCTTTACAGAAACTTTTTTGGATATATCTGTATACCTATATACCTAGTTAGCTTAAAAAAAAAGTTCAATTTAATGTCTTCTACAGAAATATTCTAATTATCCACCTCTATCGATCATCTCAAGGCATTTTTTTAATTAATTGAACCATTTATATTCATTGAAAACACCAGTCATGCATGCACCAGCAGTCATGCTGCATTGGTAGTTTGACACCCTCGGTAAAATAAAAAGCGCGTAGTTGGTCCCCTTTTTGTTTACAAAATTCGACTTCATTTGAAATTTTTAAAATTTTTATTAAAATATTAGAAAAGTGGAATAAAATTATTAATTTAAGGAAGTTCATTAAATAATAACAATGGCTCATTACAAGGGAGCTGCTAGTGAAGCTGGAAGAGCAATGCAGCTTCTTAAAAAGCGGGAGCTTCAGCAACAAGAAACTGAGCTGAGAAAAAAGAAAATCGAGGAAGATTTGAAAGTTCAGAATATTGACAGCAAATTTGCATCACATTTTGATGCCGTTGAAATGCAGCTGAAAGCTGACACGGTTGGTTTGGTGACCCTGGACCAAATGAAAGCCAAGCAAGAAATAATTGTCAAAGAACGAGAAAAGAAATTAGCTCAGAAAGAAAAGGAAAAGAATAAAGAACAGATGAAGGCACTTGAAGCTAAAGAAGCTGAGAAATCAAAGCAAAGACGACAGATTCAAACTCTTTCATTCAATATTGAAGAAGATGAACTAGATGACGATGAAGATGGTGACTCATCCTCAGACAAGAAGCAGCCTAAATGGAGTGAGCAAACTGAACCAGTCAAAAAGAAGATTAAAAAGAATCCAAATGTTGACACAACATTCCTACCAGATCGTGAAAGAGAAGAAGCAGAAAATAAGCTGCGGGAAGAATTAAGACAACAGTGGGTTGAGAAACAAGCGGCATTGAAGGATGAAGAAATTGAAATTACTTTCAGTTATTGGGACGGCAGTGGACACAGAAGATCAATCATCCAAAAGAAAGGAAATTCAATTTATCAGTTTCTTCAAAAAGCTCTTGAGGAAGTTCTTCGCAAAGAATTTCCTGAACTTAAAGCAGTGTCAGCCGATCAATTAATGTACGTCAAAGAGGATTTAATTTTACCTCAACACTACACATTCTATGATTTCATCATTACAAAAGCTCGTGGCAAGTCTGGTCCACTCTTCCAATTCGATGTTAAAGATGATATACGAATGATCTCTGATGCGACTGTTGAAAAAGAAGAATCTCATGCTGGAAAAGTTCTTCTTCGATCGTGGTATGAGAAAAGTAAACATATTTTCCCAGTAAGTAAATTTTTTCTTCTTAATTTTTAACTTTTCTAAATTATTTTACTTTTCTTTCATCAGGCATCAAGATGGGAGCCATTTGACCCAACAAAAAGCTATGACAAGTACACATATAAAGATAAGAAGAAGAACTAGATAATATCTTGAATTATTTTAAGGTTTTATTGACCATTTATTGAATGAATTACAAAATATTTTTAAGAAAGAAAATTTTGTTTTTAAATATTGATAACGCGACTCAATTTTTGAATTCGATTTAATAGCAAATCTCCTTGTTTAATCGTTGCTTGATATTGATAATTTTTACTGTCGGGACGATTAGTTTCAACAATTTGTCCAACGCGATCAATCTTGCAATGTAAACGACCAGCAGCAATAAAGCGAGAAAGTTCGGCATCAATGTAATCAACACTCACTCCGAATGCATCTGCCATATATGGTAGAGTGAGTGAACGGTAAGATTCCAACAATTGAGTGTAAGCAAGAATTCTCATTTCACGAACAAAGAAGCGATAGTGAGGATTCGCCATATAATCAGCACGTAAATAAGCTTCAACCTTAGTGAGATTTTTAAAGAAGTCAGCGTAATGACAATTGTAGAAGGAGAAGAGATATTCCTTGACGTCAGGGAGTTGATGTAAAACTTCTTGAATCTCAGCTCCTTTGATAACTTTGTCACGTAATTCATTTCGTGGTAAGCTGATCATAGCCACATAAACAGTGTAACGAACAAATGTTGTGTAATCCATAAGTTCATAGCTGGTGAATGTGCTCACAGTGTCTAAAAAGAATTGAGCGGCGGCTTTGAAGTCACGAATTGCGATTGAGTAAACTCCTTGATAGACTTTTAAGCGATTACGACGATCCCAATCTCCTCCTTCTTCAATTAATGTCTTTGCTTTCTCGATATTTCTTGTGATCAGATCATGATCCAAGAAGAAGAGACCAATGCGAATATTGTGGAAAATTATGTCGAGACGATGACCAAGCGAAACTGTCTTTTCATATGTTTTTCTGAAGGCGCTAACTGCTGCATTTTTATCTCCAATGCGACATAAATACTCTGATTTCTTCAAGTTTGCTTCACGTACTTCCATCTCACCCAAGTTTTTCTCCGCGTCCTCAATGACTGCATCCAACTCCTCAATCTTCTTGGTGTTTTCAGCTTTCATTCTATCAAGAAGTTTTTGATCTACTGGCCATCCTAACTCTTCACAAACGACCTTATACCATGGAGCCATTTTATCTGCTTCGATTTCATCGATAACTTTTTTCTTTAATTCTTGGTTGGTTTTGTTTTCTGGTAAAGTTAGCAGAAATTTATACTGAGCAAGTTCTAATTTTGGATTTTTTTCTAATCCTTGTTCTTCCAAGTTTTCGACAGGCATCTTTTTTAGGGTTTTGCAAAGCTAAAATAACTTAAGAATTCAAGAAGTAAACTTTTCAATTTGTTTTTCGGTGATTCTGCAAAAATTTAATAGATTGTATCCTCTCAGACTTTAGTTATGAAAAAAAGTTACAAGCCCCTGGTTGTAATTCAATCTCCTCAGTTTGTTATTGTTCAGAAAAATATATTTTGAAATTTTTATTTATTTATTAAATCACCTTTTATCTTTTATCACGCGATAAGTTTATGTCTTAAACTTAAAAATGTCAACTTGCAATACTTGTGCCAGATCATTCGGATTTTTTAATAGGGAACAGGGATGTCCTCGATGTAAAAAAATCTTTTGTAAAAAATGTTTGAATCATAAAATCCCTGAAAGTGCAGAAAATCTTAGGAAAATGATTTATGTATGTTTGCGTTGTTCGAGAATTCCACTTAACGACAATTCAAAACCTAAGAAGGGAAAACAGGAAGAAATTGAAGACATATTAAAGTAAATTTTAATTTTTTTCCTATATGACTCATAAATAAAATTTTGTTTTGCTCTCCAGACTCAGTCCAAAAGAAAAAGCTTTTGAACCTGTTTTGGAGCCTACTTTACCATCGACAAGTGAAACTGATGATATTCGCAGTCGATTAGATGCATTGAAAAAAAGTGACATTCCTGAAGATGAAATTAAAAATCAAAATGACGATGATATTCAAAAGCGTTTAGCTAATCTGAAGGGTGTGGAATATAAAGATTATTCAGCTTCGAACAAAGTTCTCTTCTCGCCAGATACGAGATCAGAACAGGAAAAAATTGATGATTTATTGAAACAGTTTGTTGAGGAGAAAAATATTGATGAAATTGTCCAACCCGAGTCAAATAAATCAGAAGGTACAATAGATGACATTGAAAGAAGATTAGCTGCTTTGCGTGGTCAAGATTTGGAGAAAACCAAGCAGCAAATTGAAGGATTCGTTGAAACTGAAGAAGAGGAAACCGAAAAAACAATGAAACAATATATCGAAGAAGCGAAACTAGAAGATATCATTTTAGATCCAGACGAAGAAGAACTAATTTCAGGCATTCCACCTCCACCAGATGGAAGAAAGTTGGACGAATTGCCATTCTGTGAGATCTGTAATGAAGATGCATCATTAAGATGTCTTGAATGTGAAAATCTCTTCTGTGTAAGCTGTTTCAAAGAGTTTCATGATGAAGAAGATTATAAAACTCACAAAACAAAGCCTTATCAAGCACCAAAAAATAATGATATACTGTAAACAAGTTATGAAGTTAATATTATTTTATTTTAAATAAAACATTATATTTTACTGTTTATCACTTTTATCATCAAATCCACTTTCACAGGACAAATATGCGAGTCCCCATTTGAGATTTGTTAGAACAAATTTTAATGCTTTTGTCCATTGCTCCTCACTGTTAAATTGAATTCTAAAGGAAATATAAAATAAATCTTTTGTCATAAAAAAGTGTTTTCAAATTTCTTACTTGATTGAGTATGAATTTCCTGACGCTGAATCTTCGATTTTTCCTTTGTCCATTCGATATGGCAAACAAAATTGGGAATCTCCTTTCTCGACTTCTTCTTTAAATTGTTGCAGGCAGTCAAGAAACGCAACCATACCAGCATCGAATTTAGTGTCCCAGAAAAATCTGAAGCCACCACTTCCATAGAGTGGGAGTTCTTTTTTGACTTCACCTAACACTTCAATGTAAGAATGATTTCCATAGGGAACAAGATTGTATCGTTTAAACGTTAGGTTCATTTTACGAGCTAATGCTGAAAGCAACAAACACGTTTGACCCCAAGCAGCATTTATTTCTGACCAATCGACTGGTGCTGAAGGTAAACGACCAAGTCTAAATCCATTTATTGTTGCAAAATGTCCACTATGCCAGATAAAGAACGTTACATTAAATACGTTTGTTGCTTTGAGCTTTTCTAATTGTGATTTGGAATAATTGAGTTGACATTCAAGGCTTCGGTATTCGTCTTCAGCTGATATTAGTTCTCTGCGATGCTTTGTGTATTCACGCCAATATTTTTCGTCTTCATTCTTAAGTCGTCGTTTCTCTTCCTCTTGAAGTTTAATCGCATCTTTTATTGAATCCTCCTCTTTCTTTAATGACTCTAAATCTGACAGAAGCTTATTTTCTTCTGACACAAGATTCTCAAGTTCTTTTTCCAATCCATCAACATCTGGAAAATCTTCATTGAGCTCAATTTTCTTTAAATAATTGTTGTAATCATTCCATTCACTTTCTGCCATTTTCAATTGTTGATCCATCATGTCGAGAAGAAAATCACCACAATCAGAACATACTGGATGATTCACTTCAGAATTTGATGTGAGAGTATCGAAAAGTTCTGCCTTCATACGAAGATTCTGACTCAGCGATTCTGTTTCAACTTCAACTCCATTTTCGATTACCATAAATCCATTCTTGTCATTTTTCAATGAAAAAGGTTGAACAAAATGATCCAATGATGATGACGATAGCTCAAGTTCTGACACTTCACTATGTTGATTGATGGGAAGATTAAGTTCAGCTATTTGAAGATCAGTAAGACTCGAAAAACTCTTATCCAAATGAATTGGTTGTAAACATCTAGCACAACAGAAATAACAAGGTTCGGATGTTGTCGACATATTTCCTTATGTATTTAAAACTTTTTAAAATTCTCAGCTATTAATTTTTTGTACTTTATAAATTTTTTTCAGTATTTCAATGTTTGGCTTTAACTTCGTAAATAATACAGTGAAGCGTCGATATAACATAGTCTGAAGGGAAAAAATCTTTTTAAACTGACAGAAAACGTTAAAATTTTATACACATAACCTTGTACATATGACTCACACAAAAAATGAAAAATAAAAAAATTATATAGATAATTAACTTGAAATAAGCTATAGCCATGTTTCTGAAATTCATTCAACAAACAAATTGAGTTTTGAAACAAAAATATTTACTTAAAAGTTTTTATTTCTTCGATTTATTATCTTATTTAAAATTATTATGAAACTAGTTTCTGATAATCAATGGCAAATCTGTTTACTTAGAAATGGCATTTTAGGTAGAAAAAAACATTAAAAGTTACTTAGAGAGAGAAATATCTGTAATATTTAATTAAAAAAGATAGATCATGTAAATCAATGATAGACTTTCAACATTCATAAAAGTATCGTGCAATAAATTGAAATCTTTCTTATTGTTTACCTAAATGAAATTAAATACTTTTTTTTGTCTACTGAGGGAAAGAAAGTTTTCATTTATGTGCTCAATCCATATCATAAAATTTTTTTACGTATCAAACAGCCTTTGAAGAGCATCTGCTTTCTTCCTTTCCACTGTTTCTGGCACACTAAAAATTCTTGAAAGTGGTGGCGCTTGTTTGCTTTGATATGACGGGGATGGAAGTTGAAAGCTTGGTCTATCAATTCCAATTCTTACATCTGGCCGATCTCTTGAAGGTGGTGAATTTAAATATTGAAGATTATTTTCCAATCGTGCAAATGTTGCCCAATTATTGTTGGTGGCAGATTGAGATCTCTTTGGTGCTGCTGAAAATATTACTTTTGCTGTCATTCGTTTCCCAGTCCATCTTTTTGCGATGTACTTCATACGTTCAATTGCAATGACAACGAGAACAATTGATCTGGAAGAAAAGCATTTAAATTTATGATTGAAAGTTGTAAGTTTTTGTCTCACCTGAATGATTTCCGTTTCTTTGGATCAGTTTTAAACAAAGGAAGATTTAAGTTTCCGTATCCTATTGTTGAAGCGATTGTTATCAGTAGAAATTTCTTTTGATAAATCAAAGCTTTTCTGAAGCTTTCACATCTCATATATTTTGCAAACAAATGATTTGCTCTCTCTTCAAGATCGTGATGACTGTTTTGATAGTGAACCAAGTTATTTCCACTGCTTTCAAGTTCAGCAATCTTTTGCTGCAATGCTCGACGTTCTTCTGTTAGCACTTGAAGTGTTTCAGCCATTTGATGATTTTCACGAACATTATCAGCTAATGATTTGTTAATTTCTTTGAGTTTCTGCATAAACTGTTCGGGCACAGATTCGAAATTATCACTGTCCTTGTCTTTGAGTAAAGCAGCTGCTAATTTTGTTTCCCTTTTCGTTCCACGATCAACATCGTTACGTAATGCACGAATTGTCTCCATGAGCTTGTCTTTTTCACGTTCCAACTCGAAATATTTCATTTTCAGTTCGTGTAGTTGATCGAGCTCATTCTCAAGCATTTCTTTATCGTTAGCAAGTCGTTTCACTTCTTTCTTCATCTGTTCACTATATTCTTGTTGATCGGTCAAAGCTTTACTGAATCGATCACGTTCACGATCCAAAACTTTCTGAAGATCAATGACACGATCACGTTCACGTTCATTTTGTGATGTGAGTAATTTGATTTCACTCTCAAGACGTTGAACAACTTCAGATTCAAACTCATTTAATTTTGCGAGACGACGTGGTGACTCTTGAACTGGTGACTTGTTAAACAATAAATAATTATCAAAGGATTTTGTTCTTTGAATTCCAGTTAATTGCGATGAAAGAGTTTCAGTTTTATTTCTTTCCGCTTCGAGAAGTTTCTTCAAAACATTCTCGTTGTCTAAAGCAGCTTCCAATCGAATCTTTATCGCTTCAATCAAAGATGCATCTTGCATTTGAATGGAATCTGAATTCTTTTTCTCGTCTTCGAGTTCATTTGATACTTTTTGATATTGTTTTTTGAGATTTGCAATTTCATCTTCAAGTTTTTTCATTTTTTCTTCGTAACGATTTGGACGTTTACCACCAACTTCTTCAAGCTCTGAATTGACTTCACTTTCACTTTCAATGGCTTTCAAGATGTTATTGTCAAGTTCGGCAGCGTAATTTAATTCTTTATCAAGCTTCGCTGCAATTTCTTCGACAGAAATATTTCGATGACTGTCATAAGCAGCTGTCGCTTCATCATCTTTCTTTAGACTGTCAACTTTCTGTTCCATTTCTTGTAGATCAAATTTACATTTCTCTAAAGCAAATGATTTTAAAGAAAGTTCACGTTTTAAGTTGTCAACATCACTCTCCAGTTGTTGATTTGCTTCAAGAAGTTTATCGCAATGTTCAGCTTTTTCTAAAAGTTCGTTTTCACTCTTCACGTATCTCAGTAAATCTAGTTCAAGTTTCTTAAGTAAATTTTCTTTCTCGTTCATAACGTCATTGTAAGATGTCACTTGATGCTTTAATCGTTCGAGATCCATCAACATTCGTTCATTTTCCTTACATTTATTTTGATAAACCGACAAGTCTTCATTCAACTTCTCAATACTTTCATCCTTTTCTGCTATGACAATTCTGAGATTATCGAGATCTTGATTTTGTGATTTGAGTTCCATTTCAAGTTCCTTAATCTTAACGAAAGAATTGTTAAGCTCCTCAACCTTCTTCTTTAACGTCATTTCATAAGAACTAAATTTCATTATCGTCACTCGAGTTTCATCCAATTCACGTTCAACTTCCTTCTTCTCGCTCATCAAATCATCGAAAAGTTTTGTTTTCGCTGCCAAATCTAATTGAAGATTTGACATTTCTTCTGATTTTTCATTTAATTCATGCTTTAAATTTTCAATCGCTTCATTCTTTTCTTTGGTGATTTGTTCCAATTCGTCTCGCAACTTATTGACATCGGGCACAATTGATGATTCGTCGGATGATGTAAAAGTTATGTGACGTGGAACTAAATGAATATTTGAAGGCATTTTAGGAGTAGCATCAACAAGTGATGATCCCAACGTTGTTTTATCACTGTTTGCTGTACTGCAAAAGTTGAAACTCTCTTGTTGTAGTTGTGTATGTTGATCTCTTGAAACAGCCATTCTGCGAAGTGCATCAGGTTCATCATATTCCGATATCATGCTTAAAATTGTTCCACCTTGTGTGCTTGCTGGTGGTGTCGCATTGTCAGAAAACTTCAATGTTTTCTGCTGTGTCATTTCATGGTCTTTGTTCGTTGTCATCATCAGCTGTTCACGTAAACTATCAATCTCTTCGTTCTTTTCAGCGAGCATTGTTTCCATTAAATCGGGGAGAGCGACTCGGTTGATCATTTCAGATTTTATTTTCTCCTTTAATCGCTGAATCTCGTCCGATTTTCTTTTAACTTCATCCTCAAGCTTATCGACAAGTGATCTGTCATCATTGTCACCACTAAGCACAAGTTCTTGCTCTTGTCGATCGATTATCTTCTTACTATGCTCCAATAATTGATTTAGATTCGCAATCTGTTTATCACGAGCTGTCAAAATTTCTCTCAAACTCGACAATTCATTTTGTAAATCATGAACACGAATCGTCAAATCTGAGTTGCTTTGCTTGTTCAGTTCTTCAGCACGAATTCTTTGTTCATCTAAACGTGATTGAAGTGATGATATCTTCATCAACTGCTCCGACATTCGTTCTTGCAAAATGTCTTTCTCTTGTTGTATCTCCTGCAATGGAACCACAAAAAAATGTTCATCAATGTATTGCATTGTTCAATCAAAACTTCTTCTACTGATGATGTTCTCATTTAAACGATTCAATGTGAACTGAATTAAATTAAGAAGAGGAAAAAAAGCAGAACGAACTCTCATCGCGCGCAATTCATATTTGAAGCATTCACGAGCTAAAAATACTTTCTGATTTGCAAGTGAGAGAACGACAATCATTCAGTCGGATGAGCATCAACTTCTGTTCAAATTTTGTGGGTAATGGAGGAAGGTAATGTAAGCAATTACGGAAGTAGTGAAATCAAATGATCGCACATGACACGAAAACTTACATTGAAATTTTCCATTTTCTTCTCTTCTTCGACGGTCGCTTGTTGGCTTCCCGTCCAAAAAAATAATCTCTTCATGAATGTTAATTAATCTTAAATGTTTCAAGGCTTCCGACACACAAAAATTATATTTTATACTTTTGTATTTTCGCGAATATCACGAAAAAGTGAAAGATATCCGAACGATTGTCGCATAGAAAGCAAACTAATTCAAATGACTTGAGTTGAGTTGAAACCAATTTAAAAACGAAATAAATATCTCACATCTTTGAAGGCAAACGAGAGAAGAGAAGAAAATTTTCCTTTACCATCGAACATTTGTTTTTGTATTATCATAAAAATGAGAAAATTTCATTAGAAATGAAACAGAAAAATTATAAATAAAAATTCATCAGTTGCGGGTGATGACGACGTTATTTAGTAAGTTAAATGCAAGAAGGAGAGAAAGAGAATCTCAAAGCGTTGAATGCATGTGCTGTATGTTTGTCATCACAAAGCGATGATCAAAAAAAAAATAGAAAATTGGGGGAAGAATCTTTAACTTATTAATACACGATTCTTTTTATTAAGTGAGAGAATTTCATCAATACAGAAATGAGATTCCAAAAAGAAAAGTTTGTGAAGCACTGAAGTTTGAAATGATTTATATAAATTTAGACGATTTAGAATTTCTAATGTAGAAGCTAAGCATGCAATTTACAAGAAAATCTTTTAATCCAGAAGTTTTAAATTTTCACAGTTTGAAAAATTGTTAAAAGCGTTGGGAAAGTGTTAGTTCTATCTTAATAAACTTTCACTCCTAACTGAAAAATGATTCTCATTAGCATAAAACATTTCAAGTCTCAGTTTATGTTAGGAATTAATGTCTGAAAGGTTATTGCACAATCATTGAGCATCTGATTTTAAAAATTAAACGTGTTATTGTGAATAATTTTTAATGAATTAGAGAATGAAATTTCTTAAAGATTGGCGCTGAATAAAGCAGAAAGTTTTCTCTAGAATTGTTTCAAGATTTTCATAATTTCCATCAAAATAGAATTGAAGAAAAAGATAAAGAATGTACATCAAGAAAATGTTAGAGAATGATGCACAACGCCAGATGTTTAGTAAAAGATTTCGTTTTCAAACAAAAACATTTCTAGTCAAAAAAATGTTACTTACGATGTAGTTCGCTCTCATGCCATTGACCTGCATCTCGAGATCAGTCACCTTTTTCACAGTAGCTTCCTCGATTCGATTGTGCTTTGATAATTTCTCGAGAATTCTTTGAACTTCTTCGAAAGGAAGAAAACTTCCTTCCGTTGATATTTTAGAAATTCTCAGTGGACTTTGTTCTGATCCATCAAAGTCGACACCACGCGATACATCTTCAGAAGGGCTACTGCATGTTGTTGAACATGTTGAAGCAAGAGCGTGGAAAGCTTCGAGTGTTTTTGTCTTTCGATCTAAGAGCATTTCGATCGTCTTCAATTGTGATGTCATTTGATCAACGAGAAGTGTTTGTTCAGCTGATGGTCTTGTGAGTTTTACTTGATCTTCAAGGTAACGAATTCTTTCTGCATATCCCATTTCATCAACATCAGCTCTCACACTTTCTAATTCATCTTTCAATGTCTCATTCGTCTGATTCTGATGGTCAATGAAATCTTCCAACTCTTTACATTTTTCATTTAAAACCTTTTCATTTAAAGTCTTTGTTTGTACCTGCGTCTCAAGATCAGCAATAATTTCACGTAAATCAAATATTTTATCAATTGAAGCTCGAAGATCATTTTCATATTTGATTTTTTGGTCATTGAAACTTTCCACTTGCGTGTTTAAATCTTTAATCTGTTGTTCTAATCCAGCAATCTGTAAATGAGAACAAAGGAAAGAAATTTTTATTTTATAATCAGCCAAATTTGCTTCCAGAGTTTCTCTTAATTTACTTACATAATTAATCACAAGATCAATGTCCGTGATTTTATTCTAAACATGCAAACATATGCGTGCAAGGGTAAATAAAAGAATAAAAAGAAAAAGAAAATTGTGCCACATTAAGGATACAGAAATCGACTTTGATGGGAAGTCTTTTTACTAAGTGTAAATCTACATACATTAAGTGAATTAGAATTTGTCGTCACCTCTTTTTGAAAGCTTTCATTTGTTGTGATGCCTTTGTCTTTCTCTTTAACAAGAACACGAAGTTTTTCAATTTCCTTACTGAACTCATCTCTTTCCTGTTCACGTTCTGCAGCTTGATCTTCAAGAAATTGTCTTGTTGCTTTTAATTGTTTGTCAGCAACTTCAATCTGTCGACAAAAATACATAAACAACTAAAATTTTAATTTAATTTTGAAGTTGAATTACCTGTAACTGTAAATCATCGCGATCCTTCTTTTCAGTTTCCATATAACGATCAGTTTCACGACAAAAATCTTCAATAAGTTGATAAAGCAAATTTGCATTGTCAACCGTTGAATTATTCGGTGATGTCGGTGATGCGCTTAGAAATGTTTTAGCCTTTTCTTGTAATTCAGCTAATGAGAAACTTTTATTTGCAATATTTGTTGGTGTTTGTGTTCCAAAACTATAAAAGTTCAAGAGAAATGTTAAATTTAAAGTTTAAATATATAAATTGACCGCGGGTTTTTGTTTATGATGTCCCGAGATAATTGCCTCGTGCCCCGACGGTTCGCGCGGATTTAAGACCTTCCATACAAAATGCACATGAAAAATGTGTCCGTGCACGAGATTTTGTCCGTGCACGAGATTTCCGATGGCAGCGCCGCCACTGAAACTATTTGCCGGGACTTCGCTTGCTTAACCCCAATTATTAAAAAATGTGTCTTGACTAAACAGGGTCGTTATTTGACCCAACAACTCACCCTTCCGTCACGGTTTCCTTCTGAACATTGAAACCTTCCAGGTGACTCTTTGTTTCATGCAATTCCATCTCTAAACTAACCGATTTCTTTCTTGCTTTGGTTAGTTCCTCTTGCAAATCAGATTTTTCTTCTTCACTTTTTGTTAATTGATTTTTAAGCTCAGCTAATCTTCCTTTCAATTCAATTGCTTCTGTTTCCTCATTGAAAACAGGCAGACTTTGAACAGCATTCTCAGTTTTATCATCACTATGAATTCTTTCATAACTTTCTAATGATTTGCAATGACTTCGTTTCAACCCATCTTCCTCTTCACAACTGTCTGCCTTATCAGACAATTTATCAATACTAATGTCGAGTTTAGTTCGTTTACAGAGTGCCTCAGACAGACCCAGAATATTATTTGCTTCTGATTTCAAACGTTCCAGACAGTCAACAATGTTGATTTGCAGTAAACTATTACCATCATCAGATGTTTTTGAAATAAATTCGAGAAGTTGTGGATCTTCAACAATGGCGATAAGACTTGAAATATCCGGCTTAAAAGTCACTAATCTCTTAGTGGTATTTGAAATGACTGATATGTTTAATTCTCCTTCCATTCCACTTTCGTGTGTTTTCTGTAATTCTTCTTGTATTGTGTTATTGATGTCATCCTCACAATGTGTGAAATATTTAGCAAGTTCACAAAGAGTGAATCGAAGTGACGCTGAAAGTTCTCGTAGACTGTCACGTTCATTGATGATTTTATCCAAGTCACGGTGAGCATCAAATGCAGCGTGCCGCTTCAATCTTCGCTGTAATTGTAACTCATATTCTGTCTTTATACGAGCCATCTGAAATTGATATCATAAAATTAATTTCAGTTTAAATGTACGAGGGAATCAGCAAAACATAGAATTGTGAAGATGACTTAACAATTCTACATTCTCCTTTTCGATGTTTGTCAACTTTATTTTATATCACATAAATTTACACTGAAGGAATTTTATTCTTATCATTTTCTCATAAATTTATATTTCATATCACAATTTATTAAAATTATGAAACCCACAAAGTGTCTTGAAAAAATACATTTAGTTACACTTCATGATGTCTCATTTTTTTTTATTTTTGCGATAAGAACAGCAACACAAATAAAATCAATTCAAAGATTTAGGCTAAATAAATAAATAATAAAATTTCCGTTGACATTAAAAAAAGCTTTTTTTTCTCACCTCTTTCTCATGTTCTATCTTCAACTGAGCAATTTCTAACTGACTTTTTGCTGTTAGTTTTTCTCTTAGTAGGATAATTTCTGTTGGCCACTTGCTATCGTCTCTTGAATCTTCTGATAAAAGTGCCTGTGAGATTAAATAGGATTTTGAAATTTTAAGTTCACTCTTAATATTAAACAGAAGCGAACACTTAAAGCGCGTCCTACATCAAGTAAATTTTAAATTCAAAGAGATTCTGCTTGCTGATTATTAACATCGAGGAAAGTGAAACAACTGCGAGAGGAAAGTATCAACGGACGTTATGAATAATCGGGAGAGAGAATTTTGTAATCATTCTGGAGTTTCATCATCAAATGCTGCGAAGATTCACGNTTGAAAGCAGCTCGAAATTTGAGTCTAGCAGCGTTCGGATAGGATGCTCCTCCAAAAGCTTTATCCAAAATTTTAAACATTAGCTTCGTAGCATTTATATTTTTTTTCACTGTCAGAATCTGTTTGTACTTTTTCTTCTTTCAATCCTGATTGAAAATCCTTTCCAGTCTTCAGCATATTTTTCAGAACTTGTTGGACATGTATGCCTCCCAAGGACATTATTCGACCAACTTTCTTATCTTTAGTAATCTTTATTCCGCTTAGATACCATTCAATTTGTTCTTTCCAGTTGTGCCAACTTGCACAAACGTCTTTGTCTGCCTCATTTGGGTCAAATAGTTTAATACCATGATGCACAGTGTCTGTCATCTTCTCGGTTTAATCGTTTTTTAATAAAGTTATCGTTGGATTTCTTTTATCTCGAGTTAACTTATACTTCCTTCGAGTATTTTATCACCAGTTTACTTGATTTCTCCGATCTAACGTCTTTCTATAATAACCAACGTAATAGAAAAGTCTTTAGAAAACGACAAAGTATCACAAAAACATTCTGAATAATCTTTTACATTTTCTGAATGTACTTTTCTTTGCATTGACCATCTGCTGAATTATGGAAAATATTCAATTACATATTTCCAAACTCTCGTTTCTTGTTTTAAAAATTGCACATTGCCATACTGTGCTATAACTTTTTTCAGTTTTATCTTTTATTTTATCGCACGTTGCCATACCGTGCTTTTATTTCGTGCATTTACACAACTGCACTTTTCTAACGCACATTGTCATACTTGTGCTTTTATTCTGTACATTACCACATCTGTACTTATCAAACGCACATTGCCATACTGTGCTTTTACTATGTGCATTACCACAACTGCACCTTTCTTACGCACATTACCATACTGTGCTTTTATTTTGTACATTGCCGAAACTGTACTTTTATCGTGCTAATTTTTCTCAGCTGTACTTTTCTAGAATGCACATACCAATCTGTGCTTTTCTATATTCATCGGGTTAATTTTATCTAAAAACACCCGGAAATTCCATCTTTCAGGAATATATTAGCTAACTGAGGGATTTTCATCTCAAAATTGCAGATGAAAACGAATATTTCGGGGAAAATTTGTCATTTTCTTTTCCCCTCAAAAAAACTCCCTCAGTTGCCTATTTTCATCTTTCCTCCGAATAAAAACTACTTTATGCAGAAAGTAGCATTCAATCTCAATGAGATTGATCGAAAATACTTACAATTTCGTTGAAAAAGAGAATTAATCCTCGTCGCCAGATGTTCCGGTGCCAAACTGCACGTCTGCACGCCTCGAAGTCTCGGTCTAAACTGACTCAGAACTCGTGCCAGTACCCACGAATAATCTAGTGTCTGGCCCCTCTGAATCCCACCGGTACAGCCACTTGCTATCGTCTCTTGAATCTTCTGATAAAAGTGCCTGTGAGATTAAATAGGATTTTGAAATTTTAAGTTCACTCTTAATATTAAACAGAAGCGAACACTTAAAGCGCGTCCTACATCAAGTAAATTTTAAATTCAAAGAGATTCTGCTTGCTGATTATTAACATCGTGGAAAGTGAAACAACTGCGAGAGGAAAGTATCATATCAACGGACGTTATGAATCAAGGGGCAGATCATGGTAGTGCTTCTGCCCGCTGCCTCCAAGTGATGCTTCGAAAATCACTAGTGCTTTTCAAGAAAAATGGCCTTTTTCCAAGAATTTGTTTACTTTTTCTTGGAATTTGTCTAGTGCTTCAATGCAGCAATAGTGCTTTTGCCCTCCAATTTTTCCCGATGATCTGCCCCTTGTTATGAATAATCGGGAGAGAGAATTTTGTAATCATTCTGGAGTTTCATCATCAAATGCTGCGAAGATTTACGCTCTACATTCGATGATCATTCGGGTTTTATTTTGTCTTCCTTTGCTGACCACATGGGAATTGTTTTCACAATTTCGAAAGAGCTAATGCATGATTATGCGTAGATATTTATTTAGATCAACATGAAAAATTTCTAAGATCGCGTGAAAAACATAATTTGGAATTTTCTTTATCGAGTTTCACAACTTTTCTCGTTTAAATTTTCCCAAAAATTTTCTTCTTCACTTAATAATAGAATAATAAAATTCAATCCGGAAATATGATCACGCTTTTAAGCGGAAGGTCGTAAATTTTTCCCTCCATAATTCTGACATTTTAACAGAATGAAGTGAAAGAAAAATCTTCTATTTATAAAAACGATATTGCCCCAAAAAGAAAATCAACAAAAAACAAAATATTAAGTCTTGAGATTTGTTCCGTTCATTCGTTCTTTTGTCAGCATATATCTACACTAAATAAGAAGGAGAATTAATGTTGTGTGATATCATTTTTCATTGGACACACGCGTGAAATGATCTGCGGGAGATTTTCTTTTGGTTGTCGTTAAATGACAAAGTTAGTTTTACATTTGATGGTTCAAGTTCATTTAAAATTTCGGATTTTTTCAAGCTACTTGACTTTGATATTTATTGCTTTAACTTAGATTTCATTCGAGGACTCTTGAAGTGATTTTTTCAAGGCGGGTTTATATGATATAAAACAACTCTTTAAGTCAATATGAAATTAAATTATTACATGGCACTCAGCAATTTAAATCATTCAAGTTTTGTTCTCTAATTAAGTGACGGTAATGACCTTTTACAATTTGAAACTGAATCTACAATTGAAGTTTTTTTTTATGTTTTAATCTATGTAAATCCAAATTTTTATTTCTCCAGAAATAAATTTGCTTCACTACACGCGGTTGGTTTGTTTTCTGAGAATTTCTCAAAGATTCAAGAAGAAAACAAGATTTGTACACTCGCATCTGCATCAAAAATGAAAGAGGTCTTGGTATGATCTTTCGTTTCTATGAAAATCATTAAAATAACATTTGAAATTTTGTGAGTCCATGGAATTGAAAGATTTTCTTTGTATTTTAAAGAACTTTGTAAGTCACTGACTTACATTATTTCCTCGTAATTGTCTTCTAAAAACTAACAAAATGACATTGGATAACACTCACTTAGTAATAAATGATAATCTACCTTCAATAACTGACAATTAATCATTCAACACATTTTATTGTATCTTTTTTATTAATTTGATAGTTTAAAACTTTCCCTTTCTTAATATTTCTCAAAATAACTTTTCACCGTATAAAATAATTTTCCTTTTTCCTCGCACACTGAAAAATATTTTTTTCGTCAAATTAAATATCTTTACGTTGTTGTTTCGTGTACTTCCATTCAACGTCCGCGAATAAATAAAAGAAAGTGTAAGTAAGAGAAGCCGAAAAAGAAATAAAAAAAAGTTCTTTCGCTCTTCCCAATTGTCTTTAAAGAAATGTCTAAAAATATTCTACTCAGTTCAATTCTTGGCGCACGTTTTAATGTTATTCGAACACTCTCAAATGATGCTAAACAGAACTCTCACCAGAGAAACATGAACATGGATGAAGTTTATATAATGAATTATTCGAAAGAGAGCAGGAATTTTCTTTTCGAACTGTATTAGTCTCACAAAAGGTTTATTTAAAGTCAAGTGATGGGAGAATATGAATGTTTAGTTACAGAACCTACCTGAATAAGATTTTCCATCTCATGAAGAACATCTTCTCTCGCCAATGCCACTTGCTCTTCCAATCGTCGCTCATATTCATTAATAATATTATTCAATTCATTGTCAGCATTGTGATCAGATGGGATAACATTTTGTTGCGGTTCTGAATTTGCAGTGGATTTGATTTGGTGCTAATTAACAGTGAAAATGTTTTTAATTGAAAAGGTGACGAGAAAATTAGTTTATTAGCAGTATGAATTTGTTATTTAATGGAAACATGCAACAAAAAAAAGATCAGATGAGTTAGAGTTATTGGAAACTTACCTCATAGTCATCTCCTTGTTCAAATCGATGCTCTTCATGAACTGAAAGTCTCTGTTTTAGTTCTCTCACAACCAAATCATGCTGTCGTTTGATTTCATTAAGTTTCTCATCAAACGTTTCTTTGATTTCTTCGTTATTTCTTTCAATCGCTGAACCTTCAACAAGAACCGTTGGCAAGGCAGAATTTTCTTGTTGAGAAGAAATTTTCTTCGGACTTTCATGCGGCATTTGTTGATCGTCATCAGGTAGCGTCTCATTATCTGACTCATCAGTGTCAACGCCTTCCATTCGTTTACTATGTTGTGAGAAAACATCTTCTGAATATTGTTTCTCCATATCAACACAGCGCTTCTCAAAATATTCACGAAGTTCTTCCATTTCTTTTGTATGTTTCGTGACAAGTTCACGATGAGTTTCGAATGAGTTTTGAGAAAGTTTCATTTCTTCATTTTTCTCATAAATTTCTTTGAGTTGTTTCAACTCTTCATTATGTTCAGCTTTCAATTGTTCAATTTCACTCTTATGAAATGCTTCGAACTTTGACCAAACTTTACTGAAACATGCTAACTCTTCTTCTGGCAATGTTCGCTTGAAATCATTTATCCTTGAAATAGAAATAACTGTCTTGTCTTCATCAGAACTTTTCATTGACTCAACATTTGCAAATTTCGTTCGCAAATCATGAACTTCTTGAGCAAGTTTCTCACTTTCGATCTGAAATTGTTCGCGTTCTTGAATTGATTGATTGAGTCGATCTCTAAGTTGTTCAATGCAAGAAGCTCGTTCTTGAAGTTCATTTTCAATATCTAAAATTTTCAAATTAAAATCTTCATTGATTGTACGATATTCTGTTGAAGCAGAAGTTGCAATGCTATAAGGTGCTGATTCTTTCAAGGATTCTCTTCCTGTGCCTTCTTTAAGATTTTCACGACGTGCAAGCGCATTCAATTGAATATTTAAAGCATCAAGACATGAATCCTTCTCAATAATGATATCTTGAAGTTCTTTAACGCTTTTGTTTGATAAATCAAGACTATGGCTCTGATTATTTGCTGAAATATTTGATGTCGTATCTTCTCTATCTAAAGATTTTGTTGTTAAAAGATTTTTCTCAAGAATTGATCGAAATTGACTTCCTTTCTCTATTACATTTGTTTTTTCCACAACAACTGGTTCTGAATGTTCTTTTGACTCAGTTTCTGATTCTTCCTCAGTGATATCGTCGAGAGGCTCTTTAAGGTAGTCCGGAGTTACTTTCTCCATTTTCTTCACAACCAAAACTTCCTGTTTCTCTTCGACTTTAATTGGCAAGGTGGGATTAGAATCAATATTGTCGTCTATCTTTCTATCATCAGAATCTGAAGTTTCAGAATTTTCTGATCGATATTCATGAGATTCAATCATTTCATCGATTGAGTTTTCATGTTCTACACTGTTTAATGAGTCATCTGAATTATCTGGTGTTAAATCAAGATCCAAACTGTGACTTGTACGAAGTGATACAGCAGCTGGAACTTTTGGAAGGTTTAAACTTGAAAATTGATGAAAATCTTTGGACACTTCTTGAACTATCGGCGATGAAGTTGTCATTTGCTGAATTCTTTTTAATGAACTTAGGCTAACTTTTTTGTCATTTATTAAAATAACATCTTCTTTAAGCGGTGACAATTCCTTCGAGTTATTTTGAAATTTCTCGACCTGCACACGACTGTTATCACTGTTTGAAGGCACAATATTTTCTTTCACTTCTTCAGGATCATGTTCAGGCTCTTTGAAATGTTTCGCGATGTCAGGTGACAATAAATTATTTTCAACATCACCAAGAAAGAATTTATCATCGTCAATGTCAAAAAGTTGTCGTTTCTTTTCTCCAAAATTGGATTCTTCGTTAATAAAAATCGGAATATCGTCATCTGAGTCTGTAAACTCTTCGGCAATTGAAATGTCTTCAATGATTTCCTCCTCCGTACTCTCATCATTATTCTTCTGTGACGTTGTGGGATGGTCTTGATCCATTGTTTTTTGCTCAATTATTAATCATTTGCTGCTCCTAAAATGATTGAAAAAATATAAATTCTAATGAGATATCTAGCAATGCGTAACAAAACAAGTCTGCAGTTTAACTGACGAGAAACCGAAAACTATTAATACAAAGCAAAATTGAGAGTGAATTTAAATTTAGAACTTAAAGAGGTGCACAGAAGCAAAAAAAAGAAAGAAATTAAGAAAACTGATCATTAAACTCTGAAGATTGGTCAATTTAGTCGTTTAGTTTTCTACTTTACATGTTCTTCACTCTTAATTACTTTTCAACGGTTTAAAATTTCGATTCTTTCCTCAAAAAGATTTTAAACATAAAAACTTTACATCACATCTCTCATCAAATTGTTTTCTTAGTTTTCATTTTCATTAGTTTTGTAACTCCCGGTTTCTATGGAAATGCAACCGATTTTCTTTTTTTCATGACGTTTGTGCCTTAAAATAAGTTAACAAGGCGATTATCAATAATGTTTTACTATTCAAAATTACGAAAGTAAGGGGGGTTTTATTTAATTTCATTTTGAGTATTTAAATTTGTTAAATCGATTGTTTCCAAGCGATCACCAAACAAGTTTTACGCGCGATCTTAAATAAATTATTTATCACCTTATAACTTCAGTAAACCACACTTCATTAATTTTAAAAGTTAAAAAGAGCGCCTCTTGTAATTAGACTATTCATAAAAATTTCACTAATTGTACTTGTAATACAGTTTTAAATATTTTTGTTAGCTTTTGGAACGCTCTTGATCAATGTTTTCATAAAAATAATTTTTATTAACATTAGGTTACCTCAGAATAACGGCTGTTAATCTGAGGTGATAAAAAAATTCAATTCATACCTGAGGAGACCAAAAGATTTAATGTTTACAAACAAATCATATTTATTTACTGACCTTCTCACAATTTCTTTATTAACAATGGCCACAAATGAAATAGACCTGCAAATTTATTGTAGATTGTGTCTTAAAAGTTCCAATGAAGCAATGCACCATATATTTAATGAAGGGCTGAGTAATAAAATAATAATTATGAGCGGCCTAGATGTGAGTTCAAAATTTATTGGATAATAAATAAATAAAAATTATATTTTAATAACTATTCAGGTGCAGAATAATGATGCATTACCAAAACAGATTTGTAGGGATTGTAGATACCAACTTGAGAAATCGTATTACTTTCGCTCAAAAGCAAAACAAAGTGATTCGAGATTAAGAAAACATATACGACTAATTAATCAAAAAAAGCCATCAAATGTTTTGGACAATCATTACTCTGATGACGAATCAGAAGACTTTGAAGAAATATATATGGAGTCTTATGTGAGTATAGAAAGGTTGAATAGGATAATTTAAAAACTTATTTTGTTTTAAATTTAGAAATATTTTGAAGCTGCTAAAAACGAAATTGAGAATTTGAAACTTGAATTTGAAAAAATGAAAGATTCAATAATCAAAGAAGAAATTGCTAAATTAAATCCTCCGCCGACAACTTTAAAATCAGAAAGCAAATCGCCAAATAAGAAAATTCCTGACAAACCAGTTTTACTTAACAAGTGCACAAGATCACTGCCAAAGTTCATAAGCTCACCAATAGTCAGGAGGAAAAAGAAGATTGACTCCACAGGTGTCGAAGAAGTGGTTGTTTATAATGATTATGAAATAAAAGAGGTATTTGAAATTGAAGCAATATCGGAAAATACTCCAATTGATTTTATTGATGGTTCTGAAGACATTGAAAGAAAGGATCAACAAGAGTCACAAACTGGATATGAAATAATTGAAGTGGAAAATCCAATCGTAGAAGAAACGCCAGATAAAAAGAAAAGTTTAAAAAACAGACAGAATGTTGATAAAAATAATAAACAAGAAAATAATGAAAATATTATCGAGGAGATAATAAATTCAACTGGAATTGATGTGACTAACGAAGAGCAATATTTTAAACCAATAAAAAATGTTGAGGATCAAGACATAGATGAAAAAGGTGAGAAGAAGATCTTCCAATGTAATTTTGAAAATTGCACTGAGGCGTTTGCCAGAAGACAAGCATGTAAAGCACATTTCTTCAATCATATGAAGTCAAAAAGTTCCTCAATCAATCTTGAATGTCAGCATTGCAAAAAGAAGTTTAAAGTTCAATCATCTCTTGAACGTCATGAAAGAATTCACACAGGTGAAAAACCTTTTAAATGTGACTCTTGTGAGAAAACTTTCTCACAAAAGGAGCTACTAAAGCGTCATAAAATTACTCATCTTTCAATCGATGAAGCTCCTTTTGCATGTCATCTTTGTGATAAAAGATTTCGTCAAAAATATCCTCTTCGTTTCCATATTGAAAAAACTCATTCAGGAATGAATTCTCAACTCTTCACTTGCAACATCTGTAACAAATCTTTCGCACATTCATCAGGGCTTAGCCGTCATTTCTTAATTCATTCTGGAAAGAACTTCACTTGTGAATGTGGGAAAGTTTTTAATGATAAATCAGCGTTTCGTAGGCATAAACAACATCATTGTTCTTTACTGACCAAAGCGAATGAATAAACGATTTGTTAAAATTTTCTTTTAATGAATAAATTTTGAATTTTATTAATTTGAAGTATTTTTATTTTATAACAACTAAACATCTAGATAAGCTCTGATAATTCGTTGAACATTTCATTCAAATATATTGTCCAATTTTCTTTTTCCAGTTTAACTTGCTGACAATTTTGTCGCGACATCTTCGCAAAATTGCTTTATCACGATGACGGAATGTCTCTGGATATGTGCTGAAGATTTCTTGAAGCTAAGAAATAAAAGTTTATGACATGAAAATAATTCTTTGACACAAGGAAAAGAGTTATAAACTTACAACTTTGTATTCATTTTCATTGGAAATATTTTTGAAAATGACACTCAACTGTTTGATGTCCAAAATTTTGATGATAGTTTTCCAGTTAATAGATAAATAATCCATCACATATTTCATTCCAATTTTATTTTCGCTTAGAGATTGAAGAATGTCAGCTGAAAATCTAAAGAATTCCTTTTGGACTAGAAAATCGATGTATGAATTAATCAATGAAATCTCTCGTGAACATCCTAGAGATCTTAATAAAATCTTTTGATGATTTAAATCACTTGACAAATTGAAACTTTTATACACGATGTTCCACTCAAAGAATCCCGAATACTTGATTGTTGTACAAAGGAGACGGAAGAGTTCATCTTGTGATTGATTTTGATTTATTAAAAGTTGATTGTTAACTTCATCGTCAGTCAAAAGAAGCTTCTCAAACTTGTTTTTCATGTCATCTATACACTCAGGATATCCTAACATGCACGAATTATCGTCAATTAAAAATTCCAATCGCTTCTCTTCGTCGTCTTCCGTCAAATCTCTCGAGAACTTCAAGTCATTAATTTTATTATAAACTGCGTTTACGATGTCACGCATGAAATTTTCAACAACAGAAAAGTTTGGAAGTTCCTCCATAGTTTTGTATAAATAATTTAGGTTATTCAAGGCACTTAACCATGGGTGAAGTGTCACCTAAAATGAAAGATAAGTTTCCTTAATACTTTCAAATCAACTTTAATAAATCTTACTTCATCTTTGTCCATCAGATACGAAAGCAAATCAAACACAATATCATAATCGAGAAGATTCATACGTGCCAAGTTTAATGCATCATCAATAATAATTGCTCTGGTTTCATAAGGGAAAACGTGATGGTCAGTTTTCAGTTGCTTGATAATCGCCATCCAATTTTCTATGAAACAACCAAATTAATATTTAATTAACTTAAACCATAAAAGTGTTTTATCACCATAATCATAATTTGTTCTGTAATATCCCCGTCCCATAGAATTAACTAAAACCCAAGAGTCTGCATCGTCTGTTGCATAAGCATTATGTATGACTGTAAAGTTGTCATCCATGAGCCAATAATCAAATTCCGTTGTAAAATTCCTAGACGTGCTATTGGTGAATGAAATTGGAATGTTCCATGATAATTCTTGACCATTTTCATCATCTTCAATGTAACTTGTTTGCTGTAGAATTATACTTCCGTTGACTCTTTGTACCATGACAATTGGATATTTCTCAGATGACACCCACCGACTGATAAATTCTGACACATTTAAACCGCGAGGTACATGAGCGCAATCGATCTTTGTTGAGTTAAATGATTCGACAAAATCCGCATATTCCATTTCATGCCTGCAAATTATGACAATTAAAATATTATCATAATAATTAATTTAAGGCGAATCTTACATTTTCATGACATATTTTTGAATAGCATTACGTAGGACTGGTTCAGATATCGTACTGTTGAACATTCGCAAGATGCTCGCACCTTTTCTCTTGATAAAGTTATGATAATCATCATCATCAACATTGTATTGATTGAAGAACTGCAGTGATGTTGACTTATAATTAAGTTCATCTCTCATACCATTCAATCGATCTTCAAGAATCAAATGATCAGCTTGCGATGTCTTATTGAGACGATAGAGAACGACGGTTTGTAAATAAAGTTCCAAAGCATCGTGAAGCCAAAAGTGCTCTCGTGTCTTGTAGTTAACATAATTATGTATCCAAAGTTGTGATAATTGTAACGAGAGTTGCTCATGAACGTAGTTGTCACTAAATGTTGTGTAGTTTTTATCAATCAAAATGTGCATCTCTGAAGAAATTATCATTCCATTTTTAATCTCGGTTAGTTTTAAATCACTATTTGGAACAGTCACATATTTCAATTTCTTTAATGGAAACTTCATATCCACATAACTTTCAACGAATTCAATAATCTTTGGAATCTCGATCGATGCGAATTTTGTATTCTTGAAGTGAAGATTTCTCGTATAAAAAATTATCGAGAAATTCTCGTTTATGTTGTACATGTGGGGATTCATGTTCGTAATTGTGAAGCCAACTTCTGAAGCTTTCATTGATGATGTCGCATTGTATTCATCAACAAAAAGTTTTCCATCACTTAAAATATAAAATGTTTTGAATAAAAAATTAACTCAATTGAAGTTCAGAATATTCACATGATAACTTCTTTGTCTTCTAAGTCAGGCGATGATTCAGTTGTCATATCTTCACGCCTTGAAACGGTGACATCAAAAGGTGTTCTAAAAATATAATCTGTGAAAGGAAGAAATTCCATTAAAGTTTATTTAATTCTCGAAAATTGTCAAGAAGTGTCTTCAAACCATCAAAACATGGAAATAATTGTCTCGCACTCTTTGGCTCTAAAAATGTCGCTCCAAAATATTTAACTTCTGTAGTGTAATTTCCAGAATCTGCTTCTGATGGATCGTTGACATCATCATAATAAGTGAAATAAAATCCTTTTTCATGTGTCATGTTTCCATAGAACTTCGCTTTGACTACATAATAAACATCTTTCGCCATTTCTGTTGCAAGGTAAATAATAATTTTATCATTTGCTTCATCTTTCTCCACGTCAATGATCCTGATTGGAACAAAGTTTTCAGTATCCTATATTCATTCATTAAATGATTAGAACACTTCCACAATTATATTAAAAACGGAAAATATTCAACTTACAAATTTCGGATAAAAGTAAGTTTTGTTTCGAATTGTGTCATTATATAAAAACTCGTTAACTTCCGGTTGTTCGGCTGAATCCATTACCTCAGCACCATTGTTAGATTCATCTATTGTCTCATTTGAATTCGATTCTGTTTGAGATAAATCGCGTTTATTCCGCTGCACAACGATGTATTTTATTTCTCGTGAATTCCAATCTGGATCATCATCAAAATCGATTGAACTCCATGTAAGACTTCGATAAACGCTGACGTCTTCCGGCGTGACTTTAATGTTCTTCGCATTAAGTTCAATTCTCTTGTTGTTACTTTTCTTTGAAACGAGAGTCACATATATGAATCCACTGTAACTAAATGGTTCAAGATCCTTCGTGGTATTTGAAATCGCTTCATCGAACCGTGGATGCAACACCAAATGGAATTGCTTTGGGATGATATATTTTGGAATTTTAGCATACTTTTCAATAAGAAAATTCCTATGATTAAGAAACTCTATCAGTGTGAGATTAGGTTTTGTCTGTAGAGTAATAAAGAAATAATAAAATGAATAAATAAAGTATAAAATGTCATTCATTTCATCACCTCATAAGCGTATTTTGTGCTGAAGAAAATTGTAAAAGAAAGAAAGAACAAGAAGACAAGAAGAACCATGAAAATGCTGATCCCACGACATATCGACACAAAGCAGCCACCCGACCTTAACACCAGTTGCATTTTAGATGTTATCGACGACGACATGTGAGATGAAAAAAAAAGAAAATTAATTTTGACATTTAAGAATGTTTTTAAATTATTTTTTAATGTTGGGTGTTGAACAATCAAATTTAAAATCACTTTATAATTGCATTTGTTGCGTCATCATCAAAGTCATCTTCTGCTATCGGATTGAAATGACAACCATTTAACTCATGAAATTCTATATTATAACGCTTATTAATAGCTACTGCCGTTTGTGTCATAACTTAATAGAAACTGAAATTAAATTAAATTGGGTACTTTTTCTCGCACTTAATGAAATAAGAAAGAACTCAAGTTAAGAGAGTAGAACGTTATCTTTCCCCTTATCAACAACAATAGTTATATGTAAATAAAACAGATTAAGTAACGACATCTTTTCAAGTTTAATGATCTCATAAAAACTGCAACTAAAATCGATAAGAATATTATATCTCCACCCCCGCTTTACCTGTTGTACACGATATTCGTGTCTTCTTCTGGTGTGTCACTAGTGTAGATGAAATTTGTTCTCGTCGAATTAATTCGATAAATTTTCTGATTGTTATGGTTCTCCATTATGACACTTTTGTTTCCTTTGTACTTATTCACAATGAAAGTTTTCCGACTTCTTTCCAACTTTCGCTTTCTAGAGAGCGACTTTAATTCAACGGAATCCTGAACACGACTGAAATTGAACAGATAAAACTATTTTTTCGCGAATAACTTTGATGAACTGAAGCTACATACTTATTTACGTTTGTCGACATGACAATGATTCAAACACAAAGCAACAATCAACTTGATCTCGAGCACAAACTAAAATGTTTACTCACATTTCTGTTGTGACTGATGATTGTTATTATTTATTCTGGCTTGCCTTTGAATCGGTTCATCTACTGTTGGTCAAGCTCTATCTGAAGGCTTTATCTTTCCCGAAAAACGTTTTTTTGTATTTTTTTTATAAAAGCTCGTTTTCCACTCAACTGATTTTTTACAACTAACATTATGTATACAGAGTTGAATAACAGAATTTCTGATCTCTTCACCTTTTTATCAGACTAAATGTCAGCGTCTATTTTAGACCTGTTTAATGCTAATTCACAAAATATGCAATAAAGCGTGACAATTTAATTTAGCGGCCTTTAATTAACATGAAATCTGTAAGTTAATTTTCATAAAATGTTGAGAGATTTGCTTCACAAATATTCATCTGTAGAGTTTGAAGTTATTACATTTGAAGAGTGTGAAAATGAGATCTTTTCTCATAAATACACTGATGACCTTTAAAAAAACTTATCAACAATCACACAAACAATTTTTCTTTTTTAAGTAAATTATTGTGAGTTTTTATTTCCTTTGGATAACATCAATAAATTCCATAAATCACATAAATTCGACATTGAGATTTAAAGATTAAAACCAGACAACATTTGATTTGAATTTAACAACTACATTACATACATAATAATCATTTTTTTTATGTTGGCACATAACATAAATTATATTTCATTACTGACGTGTGCCATGACAAATAAGAAATAAATTAGGAATCATATATATTCATCAAATTCAATTTCCACCTTTCTTATCATTTGTTTGCTACTACACACTTCAAGCCTACAAGTGACGTGAGTCACGTTTAATGTCCAAAATTTATTTGCTTCATTCATCTCTAATTCTTCTATGACTTCACAATGAATCCAAGAGTAAGTATTCGCCCCGGTGAAATTTCGTAGCGAACCGAGTGAGATGACAGGATGTGTCGCTTAATAAATTAAACTAAATGATATGTTGTTGATGTATTTGTGACTTTTTCGACTTTAAAAGCATCTTGACTAGATCGCAACGAGTTTCTTAAAGGGTCAGTTTTCCTTTAGCTCTCGTGAAGTGAAGTTGAAAAAAAAGGAATCAAATAAAATAATAAAGTGAAAGATTATTCGAGGAAAGCAAGCAGTAGGATTAATTTTCAATCGGTGTAAGATTAAATGTATTGCTCTCCCTCCCTCATTTGCCAGATTTCCACGAACGAAAGCTTTCGCGCCATAAATTTCTTGTAATTGGATCCATGACAATGAAGTATAAAAATAAAACGAATCCTTGAATAGTCGCAGTTAGACAAAAAAGATAAGAAAATATAATTGTTGCTCCTGATGAAGAAAGAAGACCAAAAATCCAAGTTAAACCAAGAAGGAAGAAGAGAAAAACTGATACTCGAAGTTGAGAAAGCGTCAAACTTTTCTCATTTTTTCTAAGACTTGCAGAGTTTGCTGATCGACTTCTTAAAATGTTAAAAATCACAAAAATAAAAATTATTAAATTTGCGATGACAATTAATCCAATCGGGAGTAAAACACTGAAATAGAATGCGTAGCCTTGTGGATAACAAATCCCGTAGATTTCGGGAATGTAAAGAAGCGGATCAATAATCAAAACAACGACAATTGGAATCATTGGCATTCCCCACCCTACAATAAAAGATTTCAAGAAGAATCTCTCCGGCTTTAAATTTCCCAAAACGATTACATAACGTTTGAATTGTAAGAAAGCTGTAATCAGCATCCATGAGAAAGTGACAAGAACTGAGTAGTGCAAACTTGCACCTAAAGCAACACACGCTCGTTTTTCAGTTAAAGTGTCGATAGTGAATGTATGCTTTTCAGTGCTAAAGAAACTGAATAAAACCATTTGAAGTGCGATTGCTAATGAAAGTTGAAGAAGAACTTTCGTACTTGCTTTTTCACGCCACGAACGAAACAAAACCGCTGTGACAAAAATTCCAACTAATCCAATAATTGAAAGCGCACTACCAAGCAACGTGATTGTGTTTAAGGCTCTTGTATGAACACTATTTTCAATAACGATAACATCCGGTCCTGGATCAACATCGTGAACAAATTCACCCATAATTAAATAAGCAAAATGAGTTAAATGTGAACATCCACAGAGTGCAAGGTTTTCGTCATATTTTGAGATTCCAAGCAATTCACAGCCTTGTTGCATCCATTCACTTGAACCCAAGGAACTTCCACTTGGCTGAAACTCCCAATAACCGCAAACATCAGCATCAGATTGCTGTGTTGTTTCTGACTTCTTAAACATGATTGGCAATAGGAGTGGAAGATTTTCATCGTGACCAGGAATTGAAACGCTGATAATTTTACTTTGCGACTTGTATGAAGAGACTCGATTGCTTTCCCTAAAGATTGCATCGTTATAGAAAACTTTCACGACAATCTTCACTGGTTCTGTTGAAAAGTTTGTTTCATTCACATCCAATTTGTGAATCTCGTCAATTCGATTTAAAAGCTCTTGCGGAAAGAAACTTGCAATCTCCAATGTATCTTGATAGATATTTAAAACATCATCAATGGATTGTGTAGCATAAAGTTTAACAATTTTGTAATCTAATAAGTTGTTTTGTATTTCACTCGGATTTCTGATGAGCGCCATTCCACTTACATTCATTCGTCCCGGATCACACATAAACACGACGATTTTCTCTGTTCGCATGATGAACGTCCCATCCGTATCATTGATTAAGTTGTTGTTGAAGGCGGCATAAATTGAATAATTCGTCGACAGTGAATTGATTAAATTGTCATAAGAGTCCAAGAGGATATTTGTCGTATTAAGCTTTAGTTGTGACAATTGAATGAAGCTCGCATTCACGTTCATGATGTTGTTCATAATGATTGTTAAATTATATTTGTCGTCAAGATCTGTGGAATTTAAATTAACGATTGTTGGTTGTGTGACGTCAGTGACGCTTGTAAGATGTTGAACAGCCCTTGAAATGTAAAAAAGATCTGCAGGAATGAGTTGGTCATAATGTGAACTTATCGATGTCATGTTGTCAATGACATCGTGAGTTTCATTTGGGTTGAGTTGCTTGTCAAACGAGAAAAGCCTTTTTGTGTGTAGACTGAGAATTTCTTTGTCAACACATTGAAGATCTTGTTCTGAAAGAGTTTGCCACTGACCACCGTTAAGAAAGTCGCCAATACATTTCCTTGTTAAAGGAAGACCAGAACGATCTAGGCAGAGATTTGTCGGAGGTAAAGTTTCACCAATCTGCGCTTGTTCCCACACCAAAACTTCTGACAACATGTTAGGGTTCTTAATTGTTTCTGGGAGACAAAACTCTGTGCTTTGAATGGAGAGAAATTTGTATTTGGAACCACCAACTTTCATTAGAATTGATTCCACATAAGTCATTACTTGATGCGTCACCAAAACCTTTATAGTTTCAAATTTATCAGCATACTTTTCCATAAAGTCACGATACTCTTCACTGCTGCTGCTGCTGCTACTACTTGAGCTATCACTAGAACTTTTTAACACTGTCACATGATAAACTGCTGTCATCAACAATGATTTCTTATCAAATGAATCAATTTTAACAACACGAATATCTTTGATGCAATCAGCCGTCACCTTCTCATAAAAATCCAAACTGTTCGAATTTGTCATCAAACTTTTTAGTTCCTTCGTTTCATAATCCAAGAAATCTTCATCATAAATTGAATCTTTAGTGAAATTAATTTTAGATTGCAATTTCAACGCTAACACAAATCCATCAATATTTTTCCTAGCAATGACTTCTTTCGATTTTATTAACTTTAAGTTTTGAATCATGTGACCTTCACACCAGTAGATTCCTGGGCCACTTCCATAAAGCTTAAGCTCGTAGATTGATTTAGTAATCTCGCGTGATTTGGAGCCATCAAATAATTTCATGTCATAATTTTTAATTGTTTCTGACCACAATCGAGATTTAATTTTTGTGACTTTAATAAGTTCGTTGTCTGCTATTGTGAAGCAATTAACGCCAGATTCTTGTGAGTCTTCTCGCCATAAAAATTCTTCGGAGTAGACAGTAAGCAGCATTTTCCCTGTATTCGTATCGTATTTTAAGAAAACTTCTGGTGTCTGCATATTCAGTTCTTCTTCATAAATGACGCAAGTAAATTTATTTGCCAACATCCATTTTCCATCTCGATCAATAACTGTGTACCTTCCAAAGCTTGAATTTGTAAAGAAATTCTCAGAGTAATCAGAGTTTCCAAAATCAACCAAGCATCGATCATCATCGTCGAGTTTAAAGGACTTCATCAGATCTTTAATAAACATCCGTGAATATAATTTCGTAGCTTTAAAAAGTTGTTTACTTTGACTGTTTGTGGTTCTCTCCATTGAATAACATTTATTTTCATGATAAGCATATCTAGATGTGAAACTGTTTTTACACGCAAGTTCCATCACCGATTTACTATCATAAATACAAACTTCCCGAAGCTTTGCATCGCAATTTTCTGATTTAAAATTGAAAGTGTCTTTGTCCCTGACCAACTTGAGACAAAAATCTTTATATTCGTCTTTAATTTGAATGTCATAGTCGTCAAAATGAATTGGAATTCCCCAATTTTTACCAATTATTTGCATTTGAAATGGATTATAACTTTGTGAACGTTTTGCTGGTATCCAAAATTCATTAGTTTCCTTTTCAATCTTTAAATAATTAATTATTTCATTAAACTTGTCTTTTGATAGATCGAAAATGGTTTTCGTTTCGCCAAATTGCAGACAAGAATTTTCCCATTTTTTGGGCTCGGTCACTGATAAGCACAATTCACTGCCATCAATTTCGAGCTTTTTCATTCCATAAGGGCAGTATAAAAATTTCTTCAATGCGTAGAATGTACATCGTTGTGGTTCAAAATCTTCCCAAAATTCTCCTTCCATACATCTGCGTTGCAAAATATTATTTGACTTGTCAATGCACATTGGACTCGATGGACGATATTCTCCAACAGGCGTCTCTAACCAATGTAAAATTATTCCATTACCGTCCTGCAGTTGAACACTTTTACAAGTCCTTAAACTCACGACTTGAATAATTTCGAAACTTGTGATAATTGTGATAATAATCAACGTACGAATTACGTCTAAACGATGGAAGAATAAAATTACACGATTAGAAACAAATTAATATCTTTTTCAATTATCCATAAAAATGATTCACCTTCAGCCAACATTCTATTTCAATATTTTCTTTTCTTATCAAAACACCTGAGAAAGTATTTTTTTCCAATTCTTAGACGATGTTATCACGGCAAAGGTACGACACGAAGTAAAAAGTGAACAGAAATCTTGATGGTCTTATATAGCAATGGTTGGATATCGAAATTTTGTTACTTTACTCTCACTCTCCAAAACGTTATCACGTGCAATTAACAAATTGTATTAGAAGTTTGCTATATTGAATGTGATGTCACATGTAACTAAACTTTATAATCTTAAATAGTAACAATTCAATTCAATTATATCAAATGGGCAATATTAAAAACCTTTCGAATCCCTGGTGATATCAAAAGCATTTAATTTTAGTTTTTTGTTGCTCACGCTATTGTCTTATTTACAATTTAATCGCAATACGTTTGCGATGATTAAGAGTTTTAATTATTTTTTTATCTTCATATGAACGAGAAATTCTCTCATATTCCTAAGGAGTTAAAGATATTTTTATTGGTAAAATTTCAACAGAGAAAGTTTAAGGGTGAAAAAATTTATGCAATTTGAAACGTGACGAAATGAAATTGACTTCTCTTTCAATTCTGTGTTAATATTTATTTAGGAACAAATGAAGATTTAATCTTTCCGATTAATTTGTTTTATAATTGCTACATAAATATTTTACGATCTTTAATTTTGGCCTCAAAATACGAAGAGATTTCTGTAATCTCTTTCATGATATAAACATAAGAAAATTAAGATTGAAGCAAATAAAAAAGTTTCATTCATCAAATTGGTAATCATTGTTGATTAGGTCAGTTCTTAGATGAAGCAGTTTCTGAACACATACTTTATTTGAATCTGGAGGAGAAAAAAAGAAAAGTTACACACTAAAAGGGATTGGAACAATAATTTCTATCTTGCGTGCAGGGAGGAAATTCTTCTTCGTTCCCCACTTGATAATCCAGGAAAATGTTGCTAGGAGAAGGAAGCAAATCTCCTGATAACATGTTTTTCTTAAAATTGTCGATGAACTTAAATCGAATTAGCGTCAAGTGGAAAATAATCTGAAAAAAGATATGAATTTTATTCATGCTTGATTGTTCAATTTTTTTCGTGAACATATATTTTCTATAATAAATGTATGTTTAATTCATGATTTCTTTTCTCTGTAGATTATTTTACGATTACCGAAAATGGAAAAGCTTTTGATACTTCTTATAATCGTCATTGGATTTGCTTCAGCTTCAATGAGAATTGAACGAAGCATTGACTTGTCAGCAGCTCATTCATTGATTTCTGATTCAAAACTTCCGGGAGAGATAACACCGAACAATTACACAATCGATTTAAGACCAAATATTGAAGAATCCACATTTAGTGGAAAGATTAAAATCATTTTAACATGGCAAGAACCGACAAATCAGATAACATTACATGCTGCACATGATTTAGAAATTGCTGAATCGGATATTAAACTCTCGAAGATCGGAATGGATGAAACGTGAATATCAAAAGACGGAAATTAATTGCTTCATAAATGTTAATCAATTTTTTATTTATTTTCTCAGCATTCATCATGACTCAACAAAGGAAAACTATCCAAAAGAAATTACAATCAGAAGGGTCGACCGAATGATTAAGAAACCATGTCTTGTCATTCATTTGCAAAACGCTTTGAAACAAGGAACAGTCGCTGAGCTCGAAATTGATTTCAATGGTCAAATTTGGGAGACCTCTGAAGGGATGTTTAAAGGCAGCTATCCAGATAATGGTGGAGAGAAGAAGTGAGATTATTTATTATATTTAATTAAATTAAGAAAGTTGAAAATATTAATTTTTCTTATGCAGAAATTATCTAGCGACTCATATGAGACCAAACTTTGCAAGAAGACTTTTTCCATGCTTTGATGTGAGTTCAAAATAAGTTTAAGCCTATAACAAAATAGTTTAAAAGAATCTCATAATAGGAACCATCATACAAAGTGCCATTTATTGTGTCAATAGCACGACCAAAGAACTACACAACACTCTTCAATACACCAGTTAAATCAAGTGATGAAATGTAAGTTAAACCCTTTTCTTCTAAACAGAATTACGTGAGCTTTCAAGTTCTTTCAGTGAGGATAATTATGTTATTGATCACTTCGAGAAAACCCTTCCAATGTCAACATTCACATTTGGATTTGTGACTTCTCAACTTGCTCTTTTAAATCGAACAGATTTCTCAGATCCACATCTTAAAAAGCTTTGCATTAGAGTTTATGCTCGACCAGAACTTCACAGTGATCTCGACAAAACGGTAAATGATGACATTTAAGTGAGAATTTCAATTTTCTCTTCTAATGCTTCACTTCATTTTTCAGCGAGTTTATGAAAGAATTGAGAAATCTTTGCTTTCAATAAAAACATATCTTGGTGCTGATTTTCCATTAGAGAAGTTGGATGTTGTTGCATTGCCAAGCTTTTCGACTGTCAAACCAGCTGACAATTGGGGTTTGATTGTTTACAAGTAAGCTTTATATTTAATAAATTGAATAGGAAAATTGATTGCATTCCATTTATAGAGAGTCGGAAATGCTTCAAAACAGTTATTATTTGATTGCACAAGAGTTGGTTTATCAATGGTTAGGAGCCTGGGCAACTCCCTACTGGTGGAGTGATTCACATATAAACAAAGCAATTGCTGGTTTTCTTTCGGCTCAGACAGCAATTGAACTCGATGGTGGTGCAGAGTTTGAAGGCAAATGGCCAATGACCATTCTTTATTCGATTTATTATGAATTTAGTAAACGTTATCCACACTCGAGAATCACAGGAATGAAGCAAGAAACAATTTGCAGTAAAACTGAATTAGTTTTGAGAATGTTGAACTTCACTCTCGGTGCAGATACTTTTAGAAAAGGTTTACAAAAGTTTTTCGTGGATCGAGAATTTAAAACTTTCTTTGCTGATGATGTTTGGGAAGCTCTAACAAAACAAGCCCATCTTGATAATAAATTGTGCCCGAATGTAACTGTTGGTGCAATTGCCACAAGTTGGATTCAAAAGGATCGCATTCCAACAGTTAGTGTGATAAGAAACTATGAGAAGAAAACTGCTAAATTGAGTCAAAAAGTTTATCTTCGTGAACGACCTCATGATGTTCCAGAACAAGATAAGATGCTTTGGTGGATTCCAATCATTACAATTACTGAAGATAAAATGGATTTTGATAATAGAACTCCTAAACTTTGGATGAAGAAAGTGAAGGAAGTAGAAATAAAAGATCTTCCATCAGCTGATAAATTCATTATTGTCAATCCAGAAGAAATTGGACCTTTCCCTGTTAATTATGATGAGAAGAACTGGAATTTATTATCACTTTATTTACAAACACCGAAAGGAAGAGAAACAATTCCAGTTTACACCAGAGCGAAACTTCTTCATGATGCGTGGAATCTCGCTTATGCTGGTCAACTTAGTTTTGCAACTGCTTTTAACATGACACTTTTCATGAAAAGTGAACGTGATCATCTTGTTTGGAATCCAGTTTTCACCATGATTGACCATATCGGACGACACATTGACATGTCAAATGTTCACAAGAAGTTTGAAACTTATGTACGTACAATGTTGACTCCACTTTATGAAGAACTTGGACCAGAAGGTGATGAAAATGAAGAGAATTGGAGAAGAAATTTAAGATCACTTTCAAAGACATTTTTATGTCGCGCTGGATATAAGCCATGTATTGAAGAAGCTCAAGTTGAGTATAAGAAATGGATGGAAAGTCCATCACCTGATGAAGGAAATCCGTAAGTTCAAACGTAATTAAATTTAACTGAAATTTCTTATAATTATTTTTCTTACAGAGTTGCCAATCAATACATTTGTCCAGTATTTAAATGGGGAACGATGGAAGAATGGGAATTTGGATTGCATCGTGTCATTAATTTCCCATCATCTCGAAAACAAAACGAGAGAACATATTTACTAAAGACTCTTGCTGGTTGCCCTAATCATAGCGATAAAATTCTTCGCTTGTTGAATATCACAATTTTGGAACAAAATGCTAATTTCACAGAGAACGATATTTTTTTGATCTTTAGTATGTTATCTGGTAAGAGTTTTGAAATGTTTTAAAATTATGACATTTATGATTAAATTTTATTTTCCAACGCAGGTGGATCATCTGGATACACGACTTTGTTCAATTTCTTGCAAGATAATTGGGAGGCCATCAAGATCAAGTAAGAAGTTGAAATCATCAAAACATTGCGATTAAATGAAAGTAATTATGTTTTTCTCCCGTAAGGTTCACTAATAAGACAAATCTTTGGGATAGCTTGATTAGTACAGCAACAGGAGTTTTTACAACACAAGAAGGTTACGATATGGTGAAACAACTCTATGTTCAAAGACAAGGAGAATTTGGAAGTGCTGAGCATATAATTGAGAAATCGCTAAAGAACATCAAAGAAGAAACGAAATGGAGCGATGAAAATCTGCCAGTGATTGAGAAATGGTTAGATAATTACTCAACTCTCATCAATAAATCAGAAAATAATAAGTTTATGGGCTAAAAATCCATATATTAAGAATATAATTTGTGTCATACTGTAGATCAGTCAAATGAAAAATACTTCTAAACCAAAGGATAAGAAATAAAAAGTACCTAAATTTAATGCATAAAATTACATTTTTTACCGTTAAACGTCCATGCTTTCATATGATTTTTGAATTTCAGAGAAAGTACAAAATTTGGTCTCCTCAGATTCTTAGGAGACAATTTTCTATGTAGGTCAGCTGAGATTTTTTTCGTAGTGGAAAAATAAGTAAAAGTTTGAAATTTTGCTACTCTAAAAAGCAATTATTTAAATTCAAGATTCAAAATCATTTCAAATAAAATATTAAAAATCATTCAAACAAGTGAAAATTGCTGAAATTTCCAGGTTGAGATGAAATTTTGAAAAAGAAATTTTTTCGAGATTAAAAACAAACAAAATCAAAAATGATAAACTCGAATCGTATTGGAAATCCCCACAACTCTAAACAATTCAGATGTTGTTTCGGATTATTGCATGTACGAACAGCAACATGCTGTATTGGTTTATGGCACTTGGTAAAAAATAAATCTTTTATGATTCACTTGGAAGTTTCTGTTACGTTGACAAAAATAAAAACAAAATCTTAAATCTTTTCTGTATCTTGTAGATGCTGAACCTTCTTGCCATCACATTGTTAGCAGTTATTGTAAAAAACCCTGGGATGATGCAAAACATTAATGGAGCAATGGAGAACAACTATGATGATGTGATTAATTAGCACTTGAAAATTTGTTAAATATTGTTTACCTTGACATTGCGTTTTTTCTGTTTGTTGTAGGAGTTGATACCAACACCAATTTCAGTTTCAAGTAAAATTGAGCCAACTGCTGCAGTTGAATCACCTCCATATCATTATCGTGATCATTCTTTGAATTATCAAGACATGGACATGGGTGGACTTGTATGCTTGTGCATGATCGCCATCACATTAATGCTAATTTATGGAACAGTTAAAGGACGTCCAAGTCACTTGTTGCCATTTTTCTTTTTGCAACTTTGTGACTTCGCTATTACAACGTTAACTGCAGCTGGATATCTGTGTTATTTGAGAACCATTCATCATCTAATTGAACAAAGTAACCGTTTACCATGGAAAGAAGATCTCATCAGAATGGATCCACGAACATTGGGAGTTATTGTATTATTTGCTTTCATATTTATGGTGATTTTGAAAGCTTATTGTATTGGAATAGTTTGGAGATGCTACAAATATCTTACAATTCGCTTAAATGCTTCATTGTTGACTTACATAATGCCAGAAAATGGAAGTGGTCACGAACGTTCCTTTAATTCACTTTTACCCGATTACGAAGAAGCTTTGTCTATGAAAGTAACGCCTCCGCCAAGCTATCAAGTTGCAATGCAACAGCAACAGTTAACAGTCGCGTTATCACCACCGACAGTTCTTGCATCTCCAATACATGCATCTTCTTTGGACTCAGACACAGATCCTCCAAGTTATCAAGCTGAACAAGAAGCAGAAACATCTGTAATCCAAACAATTAATGCCAATGTCGAAGGAAATGATGATATTCAAGTCGATTCAGCTGCAATCTCTGCTGATCCTGAACAAACTCAACAGGCTCAAGCTCAACAAAGCTCTCCACAGCGTGATCAATAAATGTCAAGAAAAAAAATAAGTAAATAGCAACAGTTAATTAGAGCAGAATATGAGTAATTAGATATTCGTTTTTTGCTGACACTTTTAAACTTTTTCTAGAGGGAGCATCCATCAATGACAGTAAAATATCCTATAATAATATAAATATTCAATGTTTATCGATCAAAAATATCACTTAAAATGATCATTAATATGGCATGTTGTGTATTTGGATGCTTTCTTAATATACGATTTATTAAACTTATCTCGGATTAGTGAAGATTAAGCAGTGATAAATTTTAAAGTAGTGTTTTATTTTAATCCTTTTTTGTTTCAAGTCAAAACCATTATAGAGTTTTGTTTTTATTATTATTATCCCATCCATCCAAACTACTATAATTTCTCTTCTCCAGTAATAAGTATAGATTGAGAACAAATTAGATGATTTAGAAATTTCGATGAAAATAATTGTAAAAATTGAATGGAGAACAGAAAAAAAAATCAAAAAACAGAATAAAATGATTTTATTTATTCTACGATTTGTAGTTTGTTACTTTATTCAACATTTAGGAAAACAAAATATTTACATCATGATAAAAATACTGACTTATTAAATCTACATTTATAATCATTTAAAGTTGCGTTTGGTACTAGACAGCTTCGAACAGTGTCTAATATTTTTGTAAGTTACAATTTAACAATGCCAATTATCATTGAAAAGCCCTAAGTGATCAAATTTTGGAATCATTGCCTTTGCAATTGATTGATATTTATAATTCTGGAATAAGCTTTTCCTATAAGCTTTTGATTCTTCGTCAGTACCCTTGAGCAAGTTAAAATCACCTTTTCGGCTGGGATCAATCATGACAGGAAGCAAAAGGAAACATGTTATGAATGCTAAAATTATTACAATTCGTGCATTTTAAATTAATAAACTTATTTAAAAGTTTAAAGTTTAATTACCATAATTTAATCTCTTCGACACTGTACAATAGAACGAGTGGAGTGATGGAATTGGCTTTTTACAATTGAGTTTTTCGGCTGTTTTTCTCAACTGATGATAATAGAATTGCATCATCGTTTCCATTTTATGTTCCCTCAACTCTTCAGTTGTTGACGACATTATGAAATACTGTTAAATGATTTGAAAATTATTGCAACTATTTATTTTGTAATCGTTTCAACTTACCAACAAATCTAAAACAGGCGATCCATATGCGGTGAATTGGTAGTCAAGAATTTTTGCATCAATTGGGAGGCCGTTTTTATCGTACCGAAACATTATGTTATTTGTCCAAAAATCTCCATGCATCATTACATTTATATCGTTATTATCAACATCAAAAGCCTTTCGTCCATTTTCAATGAGATTTGTACGCATTTTTCTAATTTTTTCAAAGTAGTATGCATACACCTCGCATTTAGACATTTCTTCACAGAAAGCATCAAACAAAGAATAAATAATTGGGACACCATCGTTATTCTCTCTGGAGAAGAAGCCTGTAGTAGAACGAACGAAGGTGTTTGGTTCTCGTTCTTGAATAATCATACTTGAAGCGTGCATTAGTGCCAATTTTTCCAATGAAAGTTTCACGTGGTTAAAATCAAGGCCTTTGAAACGGTCAGCCATCACGTACCCTTTTTCCGATAAATCTTCAAGAATTAATGCATTGTTTTCACGATCGATCTTAAAAACTTCAGGAAAAAAGCCATTATTTACTTTAGCAAGTGGATGCACCATTCTCAGCTTTGGTAATATATTTCTGTAAGTTTCCATTTCACTTAAATGGAAGTTGGGGACTTTATCGTCGTGTGATGTTTTAATTATGCAGGAGAAAGGCTTTTTAGATTCATCAGTATCATCAGAGTTGCTTTCATCAAAGTGGTTTTTGTAAAATACCGCTACACGATATAAATGTGACATGAAATTTTCTCCTTTTCCACCACATTTTGTGATATCAACATTTTCAACTTCTAAATTCATTTTGTTGTAATAGGAATGCATTCCTATGATACTTTGAATGTAATCCTTATTCAACCATAATGGTATTTCGTTAATAGCTAAATCACTTTTGAAATCCCCATCAGACATTTTTTATATGGTTTATAACGAGATTACCTTCTTTGTCTGAAAAACCTTCTGTTCAACTGTTACTCCAACTGAAACTGTTTCGTAATTTCTTCATTCAATTGTGTTTATCTTAGATAAACGATGCTATTATCATCTTGTTAACAATAGATAACAAAGAATTTGCTCGCGAGTGGACTGATAAGCAAATTTTGATCTCTTTATCATTCGTTATTTTTGAAACAGTAATTTCTTTCAGAAGCAAAGAATAATTTTCTAAGAATTTAGCGCGTAAATTGATATTTTATTTATCATACTCGAAACCATAAAACTATAAAATGAAGTGAATAGTTAAAAGTTTTATTAATAAATTTCTACTTCTTTTTGTAACAGTTTAATAATTTTTGAAAATTTGTGTCTTTGCTAAGAGGCTGTCTTTGATAGGGCCGCCATTCAAGTACAATCCTGAGTACATTTCTGATGGTAAAGAAAAATACAATTGCAGAAATATTTAAATAATTGCGAATAGGGATCTCAAATAAGATTTAAAACATTAAAAATTTATTTCTAAGGTAAGAATAAAATAGAAAACTGTGAAGAACATAAAAAATCTGTTCAAATAAGTGAGTTTGACTCAAAAATGTATAATGGCATTGACAACGAATCGATCCGCAATGACTTGCAGTTTTAAAACTCGGATTATTCTATATGCGCATTTAACTGTCTCTTTCTAGACGCATAACAAGACAAACGCAACGTTGGAGTTCCCATATTATAGAATGCCACAGCCGGAAATCAAGCGGGAGAGGAAGTCTTCGGGGGTAAGTGTACTACCGACTTGTTGAATTGATTGTTTTGTTTACATTACAAAAGTAAAGTATACATTACGTCCAAAATTAATTCAGTCGCTGTCCCAAGCATATAGATGAAGCATTGCATAACTATGAATTTTTTTTAAATTTTAGTACATGTCTGGAAATCATTGGAATCAAGTAATTAACAAAAGACCTACGAAAACCGTGATTTTGTGATTATTGTTTTTGTCTTATCTTTTTAGGCTCCTCTCTCGCCTTGTCCGTTTCCAGATATCAGCGATGAAGAACTGGTGTCGATTTCTGTTCGTGATCTTAATCGTACATTGAAACTTCGTGGTCTAAATCGTGATGAGATTGTGAGAATGAAACAACGTCGTAGAACATTGAAGAACCGCGGATATGCAGCTTCATGCAGAATAAAACGCATCGAACAAAAAGACGAGCTGGAGACAGAAAAATCACAAGTAGTTGATGTATAAGCCCGAGTTGTACGAATCTGAAATTTATAATTCATTGTTTCTTGCAGGAATGGAAAGATATTGAAATGATGAATGAAGACAACATGAGAATCCGAGATGAAGTTGATATTATTCGAGCCAAGTACACAGCATTGAAAAAGTTTGCACACGAAAAGAAAATTTCGCTTCCTCCTGAATTAGAAAATCTTTAAAAATTCTTGAAAACTTTTTATGGTGGGAGTTTATTAATTAAAATTTTTATGATTAAGAATTGATTTCATTCCTAAATTAGTTGTAATTTCATGAATTTATGTAAATTTGACGTCTTAGTGTTAATAAATATAATTATACCTGAATGAATGTTTCTTGTTTCATTTCATTGGAAATTATCATTGAAATTTATGTTCTCTTAAATTATTCGAAAGACTAAAATAATATTCAGCTAAACAATTGAATGAAATATTTACAACTAGATGAGCTTAAAACTTTATTGAAATTTCATTGACGCTGTACACAAGACTTTAAATCCATTTATTATAAATCTGATGATTCAAATTAATTATTGCGTATTTCCCACCATACAAATGTTGACAATTTGACCGCTTTTAACCACATTGTAATGATCCTTTCATTTATTTAATATGAATCGTTCTTGTGTGTCAGGAAATTGATTACAATAATGTTAAATTCATTATGCAGTACATAATAGCAGACCACGTGTAATCGAATTAATTTTATTGCAGCACTCATTACTCAACAACATATTTACCTACATCGATGTATATTTTGTACCTGAAGCTAAATGATTTAAGTGTTGATTTGACCTACAAAAAAGTAAATAAAATCATTCCTGAAAATGTGAACGATAAAATGTACAAACACGAACACTATTTTAATATTAATTTTTTTCTATCCTCACGGCTTTTCTCAGTTTTTTTCACTTTATTCTTCATCTAAATTGGATTAATGTAATGTAAATACAATATTCATATATTAATTAATTATGATTATAGGTTTTTTCCTTAACTTTTCTTGTAAATGTATCCTCCGATTGTTATTCGGGTACAAGGTGTTCATATTCAAGATTATTTTACAAATCAAGAATTCCAAGATTCATTTTCTTTTCCTTACAACAAAATGTTTCTAATCTTCATTCTTAAATAGTCCATTATTAGGTTTTTCATTCATAAATAATGTATAGTTTTTGTAGTAAAAATTGGTAAGTCCTACTTGGTATTTCCTTTCATATATCATTTTAAAATATGCGTTTCATATCGCATTTCCATTTCTTTTACTTTTTATCGTAATTAGTTTTTTATATTTGTTTGTTATTTTTTTTTCTTTATCGGGCACCGAAATGATATGTTTCGAATAAATTTTTCATAGTTTCTTTGTGTTTGATTTCACATCGCATTTAATTCCACAATTTTTGTTAAATTATGTTTTCGTTAAGTTGGTTAATTACTTGTTATCATGTAAAGGGAATTATTCATGGGATATTCTAAAGGGAAATCAAGAGAGTTTGCGTCGGATCTGAACTGTCCTCGATTTATAAAGTTAATAACTTCATTTGAAATTCCTAAAGTTTGTGCTTGATAAGGGAAAATGTAATTTAATTGATTTGTTACCGGTAATCATAAATCGCTTTATTGAAGTATTGTGCTTGTCGTTTTCAGAAAACAAATTTGAGTTTCAATCGGGAACAGTCCTTTTACAAGGGTTCTTTGATAAATTATGTCACAATATAGGCAGTATGAACAAACATCTCTTGAAGAAAATTCTCTATAAGCGCCTAAGGTTTAAAAGCAAGCTCGAATTTCAAAGCCATTTAAAAGTTAAGAACCAAAACTTTTAATGTCGAATCAAAACGATGTGACATAATTCAAAATAATTTCCAATATCTTTGAGGTTTGCTTGATATCATCGAGAACAGTTTCAAAAGTTTCTTTTATGGGAGAGAAAACTCCTTTTATAAAAACAATTTTGTTCCGGTCGTTGTCATTTTGATAAAATTTTCCTACTTTTCTCCTTTTCTCACCTTAAGATGGAAAAGAAAAAAATTGGAAAGTTATTCAAGTAATGTTTTCTCTTTTTCTTTTTTTTGCAGCACAAAAAAATGTTTTTGTCTGCTATCTTTGTCTATCACATTCAATATTTATCCAACATGTATACCATCTCCACTAAACACTCTACAATCAAGACCCGAAATAAAATTCACGATAACCCTTTTCAAATATCATTAGTCCTTTTCCTATCGATAGACATTCTTCCAGTACGCATTTTTTCATATTGAATTTTGAAGCGTGATTTACTGAGAAACCTACATCGATAGCTCATCCCATCTAATTATTCAAATACTTATTTAGATATTTGAATTTTCCATTTCATTCCACGACTTTTTGATTATTTTGATTTGTAATGATTTTCTCTCTTTCTTTCACATTTCTCATTTTAAAGAAAAAAAAAAAATTACCGCTCAGATTAGCTTCATTAAGCCGAACAAAAGCTGATATGTTTTTGACGTTTAAAATTTCATTCAATATGTTTAGATCAGAAATAATTGATGTTCAATAACGAAATCATCTTCTACTTGTCGTTTATGCACCATCATTATTCGTAGTTGTATTCTTTCTAATTCACCCTTTTTCATCAAGATGAAGTCTTTGGTAACTTATCATTTTTATTTACCAGATGATGTACTGATAAGTGTGGCAAGTACGGCGATGATTTCTACAGATTAATGATGATTCATAATCGCATGAAATATTTCTTTCTTTACAATAATAAAAGTTCATAAATAGCAATTTTAAATTTCACTACACATTGAAAATTGGACGGAATGTTTAATAATTTCAAATCTATTCTTAATTGATAGATTTACACGTCAAGAAAAGTTATCTTGAAAATTGAAAACTTCATCTAAGCAAGAAAGCTTTCCGTATATGACAGGGAACGATCTGTTTTTATGCTTTCTATGCTTGTCTGGATTTGCTTTTCAGCTTTCTTGTCTGATAAATTTCCACTTTAAAGACAACTTTTTTGATTAATTTATTTTTAAGCACACAAGAATCCGATTGAGAATTGAGCTTTCGTTCGAAGAAAAATGAAAGCTCCCTGATGATTTTTTATATTCATTACACGTCAAATTTTTACTCTTGATAACAATCTGAACTGATTTTTTGACTTGATTTTAGGTTTTAACTATCAATCACTTTTTTGTTGTTAAGCTCATCCTTCTCCCCATCTCTATCGGATTTTTACGGATATATTTTTCTATCTTTCTCACGCACACGAACACGCTATGTATAAAGTTATCAATTTTAATTGCTATGATGTAATAATTCCAAATGGAGATTTTAAATTACAGATAAACCATAACTTTAATTTCCACTGCTTACATGTTTACAAATTTTATCAGATATAAGTAGAATGTTGATCAATAACGCGAATGTGGATTTACAAACAATAAGCATCTTGAAATATATTTTCATTCATTACAAATCTGTTCTTTTTGCTTTCTTTTTGTCTTAATAATATAAGAAGATAAAAATTAATTTTAAATTGTGGATTAAAATAAATAAAATGTTACAGAAATAACTTATAAATATAATAATTGAAATGCAACAATCAATGCAGAATCATATTCTAAAATATTAACATTGATTTCTTACAATATCAATTTTAAAACAAATCCATTAGATATAAAAATAATTTTAGATTCTTATTTTCTTTTTCTCACAGATAATGAAGAACATAAACGCAATTTTTTGCATCTAATTAAAAAAAGATATAAATTAAACTTTGGCTTTGTCATTATCAAACAATAAATGAATTTCCTTTACTTTTATGTCATATTTTTCTTTATGTCTTATGTTGTCTCAGATTGGGAGTTTAAACTTATACATTTTATAAAATTGTATATCTTCATTAAGTTCTATAAGCACTTTGGTAGGTTTTTGTCTTTTTATTTATCATTGAACGAAGAAAGATTTTAAATTTAAGGATTTTTATTTTGTTTTCGTCTAGTATCAAAAAGAATTATTTTGTTCATAGGAACTCAAACAAGGTATACATGCAATATTGAGAGCTCATGTTACGATTCCGTCCTAATTATAATTAGAAAAAAATATGAGATTTTCATTTCACACAGTTATAAATAAAAAATAATTTTGGTAACAGAAGAAAAAAATCATTTGAACGTGATAAAACCAATTTGCTGACATTAATTAGTGAAACTTTTTCAGTCTAGCTATTGATAGACGTAAATCTATTTCAATTTTAGATTTTCAATTAATGTCTTCTTTTTCTCTTTTTTTGAATATAAATAAAAGGTTGCAAGGATACTGAATTTCAATCTATTTACGAAACTCCATAAATAAAATGATTTCTACTAATAAATCAAATTAATTTATCAAAATAATGTTAAAATAAAGGACGTTTCAAATTACCCTAGAAATTGTTTTCTGCCATAAAATGTAAATTGATTGAATAACGTTTTGTTTGCTTATGCATCATCATAATTAATAAAATTTATGTTATTATATATCATATTCATTATATTTACTAAATTTACATCACTGCTTACTGAAAATAGATGAAAATTTTATTTCTACTGTAATTTGACCAGAGCATTTCGCCGTCACATTTTAAAAAGTGTGGGGAGAACACTTGGAACCTGGCGACTGTTCAATGTAATTGATGTAATTAGGATATTGAGACTGTTTTTCTCAACACATTAAAGTTTTTTTTTCCATTAAAGATAATCAAATTAACGGAAAGTTTTCCTGTGACCTATGACAAAACAAAATGTTATTTTTTCACTCTACGAACATGAATCCATTAGATATCTAATGATATTACGATACATTTTTTATCTGAAAGGATATGTATATGTATGAATGGTTTTGAAAAGACAACGCTTTCAATTCATTTTTATCAAATTTCTGATATAAAGAGAGGGAGACAACACGCTATATTACCAATTATGTAATCTTAGTTATTTGAAAATATCAAAACAAATTTATCATTTAATTGCTACTATATTGCTCATAATATTGTATTATACTAACATCAAACAAAGTTTTTCAGTTATTTTCCCTTACAGTTCTTCTTCATTTTTTTGTAACAACATTGAGTTATAAAATATTCACCGGCTCTATTCGACTTTCTATTCTTTCCATTTCAGAAGATAAAGAAACGTAGAACTTTTATCTTATCAATTTTTCAAAAGTTTCAAAAGTTTCTTTGTTTTATTATTTTTGTTATTGAAATTAATCGATTGAATTTCTTTGTCATTGAAGTTGACACGTGGCGACCAAAAGATGTCATTTGAGCTACAATTTGTTACAAAAAACTTTTTTGTTTCTTCACGGCGCTAAGATTTTAAAAAGCTAACAGAAAAGCTTTCATAAGGAGAAGTTGAAAATTTAATTAGCATTTAAAGCGAACGAATGAGATTCAATTGAAACTCAATTAATTGAGATTTTTATTCTCACTGACACCTTTCATACCAGCTTAAGAGTGGAAAATCTTTCACCTTCTCATAATTTCTTATTGCGAGTCTCCTTTTTCAAAATACTTTCAATCATGATTTAAAAAAATTCCAATTAATTGGAACCAATAATGATATTTTACAGGTTCGTATTGTTGTTGAACTCCCTTCATCAGATATTAAACTAAATTGTATCATCGCAAATATGAAGCAATTTCACTCATTGTTGTTTGAATATTTGTTGCAACTCGTCGTGTTCTCTTTGTTTTTGTATAAAAAGATTTACTCTTCTCTCATCTTCACATTATATAATTTTCTTGTTATTAGGGCACATTATGGTAAAAGTAAGCAGTTTTAAGTTAAGTAGACTTATTAAAAGGTAATTAGTTAAATTTCAATTAAGGTCCTTCACGACTCGATCCTTCACAATCAAGTAAATCACAAGCAAATTACGTCGGGGACGAGGTTCGAATAAAAGAACCCAAAACAGCTCAAAGCTAATTTAAATTCCAAATAAAAACTCAACTTTTCGTTTTTTTGATAAACGAACTATTACGAACGAAAGGAAAGGCTTAAAAGGATTTAAAATTTGAAGGTATCAGAACTCAGAGTAAAAAACTTCTATTTATCATAATTTCGGGAGGGTTGGAATCGACAAAGTCCCTCAAGAGCTTTTTGACAAAAAAAAATTCTATGCATTCAAATCTCTTATTCATAAGTAGAACATTAGTCTATTATAAGTAATATGTTTTTTGTTTCATTAAAAATCTTTTAATTCATTGTAGTTTCATTTTTTTCATCATTCATATTCATTTGAAAAATAATCTAGAAAATTTCTGTCACGAGAATTTTCTAAGCACTATCATGATATGTTTTGAATTAGATTTTTCCACAAAATGTTTCTTTCATTTCATTGTTAAATATAATCTATTAATTTTTCATTTCATAGCAAATATTTAATTGTTTACGAAGAATAAAAATTGTTTTTATTTAAAATGTTTAAATTATCAATGTCTTGATCTATTTACTTTCCCAAAATGTATCCACAATCTGTGGGATAGTTCACAATGCCCGTCCCATAATTTATAGCTAAGTAATTTTGATGCTTCTTGTGAACATTTGTCCAATGGTAACCATTAGGTTGATATTTGTTGTACTTGTTGTGTGGTCAAGTCGATGCCATTAGGTAATTGCCCAATTCTCTGTCGCCCTTTTTGGTCAAATGCTGGTCAAGTGTGCCTGCGTTTCTGGACGAATTAAAAGAAAGAAAAGGAAGGAAAAAAATTATCTTAAAACTGTTGTTGTTACATTTAATATTAGTCGCATTAAATTTCATGTTTCCTTTTTTATTCAATGGCGCAAATAAAAACCCTCATGCAATCCAATAATTCTTTATATGTTGCAATAAATGGCGATGTTAGAAAGCAGCTCACAGGTTCAGAGAATTTATAAAAGCTTTAATAATTCTCACTTTTCCGTTGCCATATGTGAGTTGTGGAAAAGTTGGGAATGTAATTCTCATAACACGTTTCTATTGAACATTCCCGATGTGAAATTCTTTTCTAACTTTTTCCCATAAGCTATGAATATCAGAAAAAGAGCTTTTAATTGTAAAAACCCATTCATATTTGGAAGTATGTATGAAATATTTTTTATAATCCTTAATCTGCAAAGCTTTTCAATCAGAACAAATTTTTGAAACGTTTTGAAATTTCCCTAACAGTTTAACTTCTCAAATTCACAACTTAAATTTTTTTTACAAAGTAACGAAATGTGGTGAATAATAGTTCAACGATAACTTGCTGAAAAATATTTATTCCTTTAACTCTCATGCAATTGTGTGAATGGAAGGTAGCCCCTTGACACGTAAAGCTGTGCAGACTTCAACAAACTCTATTTGAGTTTTAAACTTCACTTTCAAAACTTTGCAATTTCTTTAGTAAACGAAAAGTAAGAAAACTTTGTCAACTTACTCTAATTTGATTCTGCTTGAAAATTAATTCAACTTTTAAAACTCTCTAGAGGTGATATAAAGAAAACAGAAGATGATACTGATCATGTAGATATTACGAAAGTGTTTCTTTACCACACTCGTTGAAGCAGAAGACAGAAAAATTAAGTTTCTTAAAAACTTTTTTTCAACGTCTTTCAATAACTTTTTCTCTCCATTATTGCAACATTAAGATGAAGTTTCAAGTGCACTTTTTCCTCATTCAATTTGTGTTAATTAAAACAATTAGATCTTCTTTTTTTTTTTCTTCTCTTTCATTGAATCGTTCTATTTAAAACAGACTTAGCGACATCGAGAGAGAGAAAAAGATGAACAAAAATTCAACTAAAAAAAATTGGAACATACTTCTCTTACATTATTTTCTGAATGTGATTACATGTGCTCGGATGGTGCTGATGTGCTTTTTTTGAGTGTGCATTTAATTAGAGACATTAAAAAGTTTTTTTTTGGATGCAGTAACTATTAATTGCGCTAAGGTCGCTTGCAGTTTGTTGATACAGGTTGATTTCGATTCTTAGTTTTTGTCTTATTTCTGCCAATTGAAGTTTCCATTCATAATTAGTGGAGCTTGAATGCAACCATTAGGCGACATCATGTGAATATGTTGGAATTGTTCGTTGGCTGCCACTTTTGATTTAGCATATTCGATTCGAATAGCGCCGCGGTCTGATGATAGTAAATATTTACCTTGCAACAATTGCATCGCCTGACCAGCACAATGAACATCGCGAAACTCAACAAAAGCAACTGGTATATGATTAGTTGTGGTTGGTTGCGTTGTCGTTCCCTGTCCACCAGAATTTGCTAATTGTTGAATCGGCGACTGATTTGAAGTCAGCGGCTTGACTTGCGTGTGCATACGAAGACGTGTAAAACCAGGCAAGCTTTTCATTTAAAAGTCCGTCCATCAAACGAAACATGATTTTCATGTGATTTTCCAAATCATTTCGTTACGATACAGCAAAACGTGCAAGTTAATTGTTTTTAATATGACGTGTCGGGGGTTCAACGTAACATTTGTGTTCGTAAGTTGCACGTTAAACGAAAAATAATGATTGATTGTGGTTGGTTTATTTGACGTAGGTGAAGGTGGGTGGTAAACGCAAAAAACAAATTTTAGGTGCAAAAATTTTTTTCAAGGAAAAAAGAAAAAGAAGGAGAAACGAACAAAAAAAAATTAATTTTCATGGTTAAGAACAAGAAACATATAATATTTTGGAACAGAAATAACTTTGATAGCGACCAACAAAAATATGTAACAAAAAAGATTAAATGAAAAATTGTGTGATCAAAAATTGTGCCATTTTCATTATATTTTATTTTCGTTCATTGTTTCTTAAAGTTGATTTACTTTGCATGTCCAACACTAAAATTTTTTATGTTTGTTTTGCATTTAAGAAAAAAATTGGGAAAAAACGGAAAAGAATTGAAAAAAGAAAATTAAAATGAAAATATTGACTTGTGGTTAAGTTGGATCTTTATGAAGTTGCAAGTTGCATTTTCTTTCTTGCTTATTAAGCTGAAACCTCCTGCTATGCTTTGTGTTATGTCTCATTCCAATTAAATCACAAGAGCTTTTCATTTTTCTAACAAAACCTCTATGACCACAATAAATTCTCAATCTAATTTTACGCGAAATCACTGCATAAATATTATTTGATAAATAACTGTGCAGAAACCTTTGAGGTTTGCTCAAATTACTTTGCTAACTTCAATTCAGATCCATCATTCTAGAATTCTCCAATTCCTGTGAGGTTTAAAACTGAACTTTCCAGTCTGTACAAAGCAGTAAATGTTGAGAATTCGACAGAATGGGCTTGTTGATAAGTTAAGTAACTTCAACTTTAGAAGTTCCATAAAAAAGCTTTCTTTATGACAAAAAGCTTCATTTAAACTTTGATTTTAACAATAAAACAATGCACATTCCCATTCCCTCTTTTTTTTCAACAAATACTTGGCTTCTTCCTAAAATAATATGACTTGTTTTATTACACCGAAGGTCACAAAATACGAAAAGACAAAACCAAAAAAGAAAATATTCAACTTCTTTTAAGAGCTTTTTTATATTCTCGAAATAAAGCTTTTTACTCTCTTTCGCATGAATATTGCAATATTGTATGACGGAGCACTTTTATGGTTGCAAGCAATAAAGTAAAATGTAAATTTCTCCATGCAAATTGCAATGGGAAAACAAGAATGAAAAATCATGATTGAGAAATTCCACGTCAGTGGACATTTTTACATTGAAGCAAATTTAGTAAAATTTCATTAAATTTCACTCAACCACGATCACAAACTAACTCTGAGACAGTTTTTTTCAATTATTTCATGTCATGACTTCATATTCATGTGTAAAACAAAAACAAAAAAAATTCCTCAATCATCATTTGTGAGATGGCTTGACTTGTGACCTCTAATTAAATAATCAGAGAGCTTGAGGGAAAATACATGGAGAAAGAGAGAAACATGATTGAAGACAGAATAAAAACTAGAAACATCTAAATTCCTGCTAGCTATATGTGTATGTGGGGATAGCAACCGGCCGTAGTAATAGATTGAGAGAAACCAAACCAATAAATTTCAATCTAATGCAATGCTCGGGTTCTATTCAGAAAGTGATATTGCAATTTGTACATCATGAATGTTGACCTTTTTGGTAGTTTCGTGGCCCTCGGTTATTATTTTATGTCATATAAAGAAGAAACAACAATTAAATGGAATAAAAGTATCACATTTAGAGTGAAAGCAATGTAAGAAAGTAACAGAAAGAAAGAAGAGCAAATAAATCAATTGAAGATTAAGCGTTAGAACATGAATGGTGAATAAATTTCATTTATTTTTGAATCCACTGGAAATTTTTTAAGAAACTTGCAATTTAAAGTCACCATTAACATGTTTCTAAATAGAAAATTAAAATAAAATTGAAACATAATGAAAACGGTGATATGAGAATTAAAAGACATCTATTCATCAACGATTAGTAATTGTAAAATATCAACTGAACAATAGAGAAATGAAAATAATTGAAACTTGAAACTTACCTAGCGAATATCTCTTTTAGTTCGTGTTCGGATACGAATTGCCCTAAATTAGCCACAAACAACGTCGAGCAAGGAGCATTAGCAGAGATTGGTTGACTAGGGGGCTGGGTAGCTCCAGTTGAACCAACAGGGCTTGCTAATGCTGGACTCGGTAAAAAATGACCGGTCGAAAGATTTGCTGACGCGCCTGACAAATGCATCGCTGATGGATGATGAGTCGGCATTGTAAGATGTTGTTGATGATGATGATGATGATGTTGTTGTTGATGATGTTGTTGTTGCTAGAAAAAGAACAATAATAATTATGTCAGAAAACTCTTTCCTAATGACATCATTACATAATGTTGCTGATTAAAAAAAAAGGAAAATTCTCATTCAAATTTTATATTGATTTTCTGTCCGACCGACGTTTGCATTTATTGTTGGCTTTATCGTGTCACCAGCAAGTCTAAGCACTGCTTAGCCTAACAGAAAATATTTAATTGTTTCGCTTGATTCTCGCGACACGAAATTTCCATAATAGTTAATGAACCAGGAACGAGTTGATCGCATGATTACCTGGTGTGCTTGTGCTTGCTTGTTGTAAAAAGAACACTGGCTCATGTAATGGAGCGCAACACCACCAAATAAACCTTTTCAAAGCTCAATGAAATATTATGACAGACAATTTTGTATTTCATTGAGGTGAGATATTATATTTTGCAAGTTCTTTCACTTGCGAAAGAAACGTCGGGAAATTTTATAACACGTAGTAATTTCATTCACATGCATGAATCTTCGCGCAAAGCGACCGCGGCTTCAACTCAACATTTTTTTAATACTTTCAAATTCATTATATGTCGTCCGACCCCTGCAAGTTTATGATTCAACATCGTCTGTATGCCCTTTTAGTTGGCCTTTGGTTCTTTCCTCTTTCCACTTGCGTGGAACCTCATTTTAATCAAACAAATGTAAATCTTTTATAAGTAAATGTAGCGCGCTTGCCATACCATAAGTCGCGTGATGTCATGTTATGTAAAAAAAGTGGATAAAATTAAAATTGTTATTTTATTATTCCGCAGTCACAAGCTCGGCTCACATAAGCGCTTAGATTTAAGTTTTCTTTCTCTCTTGTCCATAATAACATATCAGCGTTCTGTGTCATTACGAAACAAAACAATAAAAACCAAAAACAAAAAAAAAAGCTTTTTATGTCGAGTCAAATCATAGAAATAACTTTAAATTCTCACATTAAAAACGATTGTACCTTAATAAGTCAATGCTAAATTTTGGTTTCATTTTTTTCTTGCTGTTGAATTTATTATGATTAATCTGTTTCAGTTAAATTGTTAACAGATTTATAAAGAGCCTAAGGACGTTAGATTTGAAACAGAAGGCCGGTTGTGAATTTTGTATTATGAGAGCATAAACACTCAAACACTGAATTTATGGAAAGCCTTAAATAATTAAATAAGAGAGAGAGAGGGAGCGACAACTTACTTGTTCGTAGCTTTTATCCGAATTTAGTCAAAGATAAGACCGCACCGGCATCTGAGGATGCAGAGCCGGATGCACTAAAGTTGCATGCTGTAAGGCAGCAGATCCAGGCAATTCAGCTGCAGCTGAATAGGCTAACGGATGATGCCATAATTCAGGACCACCGGGAAAAAACGGTGCACCTAAGTCTACATAAATAAGAGAGAAAACCTTTATTAAATTTAATCCATCATCGACGTTTAAAAGAAATTGATTTATTTGAATTGAATTTTCGAATCCCCATTAAAAACTACATCGAAATAAGATGTGAATTTATAGCAATTGCAAAAACAAAACTTTCAGGGTGATTCAGACAACACCAACATTTCATATCTTGTACAAGATTTAAGATTGTGAGATTTCAATTAAAAACTCTTGTAATTGTATTTATTGTGTAGTTGATGAATATTCACGAGAAGGAAACCAGTTTGTCCCACCAAAATAGAATGCTATTAGCATAAATGACAAACTTTTTCAATTTTCCATTTATATTTAATTTAATTTCAGACAAAAAATAGAAGATTAAAAAAACTTGACGAAAGAAACAAGATATTTTTGGTGGTAATGCAAAAAGGGGCGGCAAATGGAGGTTTGTGAATCTTGTGAGTGAATGTTAAAGCAATGAGCTCCAACATTGAACAGTTGAATTTTTAATTAGATCGAGCTTTAAATCAAGTAAAAGTTTTGGATAGGCCGGTTTGGTTAAGTTAAGTACTTACGTCCAGCAGCAAGTGGGTGCATCAATGCAGGATGTGCAGCTGTTGATGTTGCATTGGGTGTGGGCTTAGGTTTACTGACTACAAATATTTGATGACAAAGTAATAAAAAAATGCAAAAATTAGAATATAAGTTCGTTTTCTTATCGGTAAAACTTTCCAAGACGATTCTTTCAGTAAAATCAAATCACGTTTTACAACAATACTGATGTCATTTAAACTTCCAAGTTTTGGTATTTCAAATAAAACGAGCATTGTCATGGTGAAGTTCAATTTTAAAACTTCATTTATCATGTCAATTTTAAAGAAAATGTAAGAAAAACTTTTATATAGAACAAAGTGTCATCCATCACTAACGTCGTAGCTTCACTTAAATATTATAAAATTATTTAGATAAAGGTAAAAGTTGTAAGCTATTTTTAAAGCATTTTAAAAGTTTTCATGACTTGTCTTTAATTTTTTGATCTGACTATCAGCCATGAAAGGGTATTTGCAATGCAACACGATCTTTTTTTTTACTGAAAGAACAAACATTGAAGCTGCAGTCAGTAGAGTTAATTCATGTAATAAATGAGAGAACTATTGTCTGCAGCTTAGAAATGTTTGTAGTCTTACCTTTTGTGTTACTCTTGGCAAACTCCAAGCGTATAGTTTGGGGCATGTCAGGATCGAAGCGTACACCTTGCTGCAAATTTTATTTGATAATGTACATGAGAGAATATTTTTGCAAATAATTTTCGATTGTTCTATTAAAGTTTATGTTCAAAATGCATTTTTATTTCCTGTGTTTGAGTCTGCGAAAAGTCTGAAAAAGGCTCACATTTCTGAGTATTTTAAATTCGTGTTTCATGAATTTCTCACCTCTAAATTCTGACTCGTTTTGAAATGAAAGAAATTTAATTAAAACATAAATAATGGATACATGCAGCTTGGCACGGAGGAGAAAAGTAGACTAATATATTTAAATATAATGAATATTTACAGATTAAACTTCGTTTCATTCGAATCTCATTTAACCGCGACTTTAATAAGTGAAGAGTTTGCAGAGATTTGGCAAAAGCTGCCAAGGTAAAAGCATGTAATGTCAACAAGGATAAAATTTAAAAGTTACTGCTACAATCACGGCGTTCACTTAAAAGCATCACATCACAGCTTTTTATTATGCACAAACAATTTCATGAGGAAACTTCTATAAAAGTCTTAGTGGCAGCGGAAAATCGCTTCTATAAAGATGAGAAAACAAGTCAAGAAACACGTTTTTCCTCCGGAAAAAAATCAACGAACGTGTACTAAATTTTCTCAAAGATCTGCATACATCAAACAGTTAAGTTGACTTTCAAAATTTTATCTCTCACTAGTCAAAGGAAAATAATTCCTTTTGTTTGTTAAGTGCTGCGATGAAGAAATGTTTAATGTTTTCACTTCTGGAAAAACTTCTACCTCTATCTAGTAAAGAATTTCAAGGGAAAGAAAAACTCTCAAAATATGCTTCACGTTATTTCAAGCGTTCAGAAGTTATGACGAAGTAATAATAAGAGATGAGTATAGTAAGTTATATGTTGGTAGTTGCTGTTAACTCAACTTTTCATGTATACTTAAGTGAGATTTAAAAAGCATGAAATAAAGAAAATGCAATGCTTTAGAACTTTTCCTGCTTTCCCTATTGAGTTTCTGCCAGAAACATTGTGTAAATAAAAAGAAAGTTTAATTTACAGGAATAATAAAAGGAAACCTAAAAAAACATAAGAAATGAAAAACTTTTTACCTCATCAAGATGAATATAAGAAAAGGGCTTGAATAAAGGAAGAATCGGTCTCCCGTGATGGTTGAAGTTGGAGAAAACAAAGAAAAATAACGAAATATTTCTTGATATTCCGTTCGCATAGTTTAAAAATAGAAACTGAATCGAAAAAGTTAAGGGAAAGAAACAACATGTGAATAGTTTATGCCTTAAATTAAATTCAATAACAAACAATTCTCATGTTGAGCTCAACATAATATTTAAATACAAATTTTTCTTCCTAAACACATCTTTCCTTTATCTTCGTCTTATGAGTGTTTGAAGTTCGGAGAATACTTTCTGTATCAGGTAAAGGAATGAAGCACTCTGCCAATAAAGCTATTGATATGACTTGAATGCTGAATGAGATTAGAAAGGGAAAACGAATATGCTTGCTGAATGGAATTTAAAATATTCAGTAGTGAGCTTACAAAGAGATTTTTCTTCTATTTTACGTTTTTCTGATTACAAATTTATATTGTTTTTGTGTAAGTGTTTTGTGTATCTCATAAAAGTTACGTGCATTCACTAGAAATTTCATTAACATGTGATTTAAAAATAATTATTGCTGACATAATGAGCGATTTTAAGAGTTTAAGTAGTTAAAACTTTGCAATCACTCAAAACGAGAGAGTAAAAAATTGATTTGTGTTTACGTGTCGTAAATATGTATTATGAAAAGCTTGGATAACTCAACAAGAGAGATGGTGGAGGGGTTTATTTAATACCGCTGAGTTTCACAAAGAGATTTATGTGGAAGTTCATTCATTAAACCTTTCCGTTGTGCGAAATATTTCTCTTTTATATTTTTCAATGAAAATCACTTCCTTTCAAGCCTTAAATCCCGTTTGATTTCTGCTTCACCTTGCGGAAATCTCATTTAAAACTCTTTAATGTTCTTCACTTTTTTTTAAACATGTTTGCAGACTTTCTCATCGATTTTTTCTTGTAAGTCTCAAAACGAAAAACTTACAATCAAACTAAGTAGATGAAAACATTCCTAATGAAGCACATCGCACCACAATCACAAGGAGATTTATCGATGATGAGAAATTAAAGAAACATGAAAATATCTTTTTTAATTAAAAACTTATACGATAAATTTCGTACTTTGTCATCCAGAAAAACCGAAGAAAATGTCTGAAGGAAAATTGTTTTTTCTCCAATAGTTTTTCTTCTCATTTTTCGTATCAACTTAGAATTTATTGAACATTTATGCACACACGATGTCGACGACAAGTGTTGTGGTGTGTTCGAGACATTGAAAGAAATAATAAGAGAAAGCAGAAAATTGTTGAAGTTTGTTAAGGATGATGAAGGGAGAGACTCTTAAATTGAGGGATGAATTTTCATAATTCGAAATGAGATAAGTCGAGAATCCAACTTTTTAAGTTTTACGACACATGTGAAAGAGGCTGATTGTATGAAAAAAATAATAGTGTGGTGGGGATGGAAAACTATTTAATGATATTGTCATAATCGGTTTGAAGTAGATGGGACAAGGATGTGTTTCAATCCACAACCTTTCAACCTAGAAAACCTAGAATCAAAGGAAAATGACTCACCTGTAAATCTTGCTTGGCTGCTTCAGCTCCGGCTCTTGTGTTGAATGTGACAAATCCAACAGGCTGATAAGGACAGAAATTTATGAAGTGCCTTCTTGGAAACAATTAAAATTTATTCAACTTACCGAAGCTGTTTTACCATTCTTGCTGGTTACCTTCAAGAGTGATCCTTCATAGCCTTCATAAGCTCGGAACAATAAGTACAACTCACGCGGCTTTGCATCCATTGGTAATCCACTTACGAACAGTGTCCTCACCTAAGATTTATGAATAAGAGAAAAAGCAAAGATTTAGGACATGACTTAGTGAATAGAATTTCCATATGAAAAATGGAAGCAATGACAAAGTGAAAAAGCTTCTTATCGGCCCATTTCAATCAGAATTCTATTAAAAAATATTAAGTTCAGGTTAAAAGAAAATCTGTTTCATACATTTTTCAAATTATAAACGCTTTAGCTGTTTTTTTTTCTTACTTTGCTTTGCTAGCTACCATCGACGAAGAGTAAAAAGTTGTGTTTACTCAATTTGCATAACTTCCCAGTAAGAATATTTTTTAAAGAAAAAGTTTTTCCCCATTTTCATGTCATCGTTTCATGAAATTGACATTTCAATGCTTTTTCTTCTCCGATTTAGAAGATAAATTAAAAGCTTTTCGTAAGCACACCTCGTGCTCTTCTTTCCCTTCTGGGATCGATCTAAAGAGCACATAATAATTTCAAAACTTCAGCTTGACACTCCATTTGATTGCAAATCTCTCTTTCTGTATTTATTTTGATAATAAAATATCCGCGTTGCCATTTTTTCTTTCTCCCTTCTAACCGTTTTAGTCGGCTAGCATCGAAACCGAAAATCGTGTGCTATCGCGTTATCTAAAAATTAAACTCTGCCGTTTTACCACAGCTCTTTTGCTTACGGTTATTTTTGGTGTGTTTCCCTTACTACGGCTCAAGTTTCATAATGGGAAACGAATGAAAAAAAAAAAGGTATAAAAATGTTTTCCGAGCGATATTTTTCAACAGCGTTATTAGCATGCAGTATTTAGGAGGAAAAAATTGCTATGAAAAAGGAATTTTTATGAAGCCAAAAAAGAAAGCACATTTCGCGTTGATGCTCGTGCTAGGTAGCGTGCAAACATTAAAGCAGCGTCATATTTCAGGTATATAACATGAAAATAAAATCAATTGAAAAATATTTTTAATATACTTCAAATTTATGAAAATTGAAGCCTTTTTTTGAGATATTTATTACGTTTCCACTGTTTTATAGTGTTTAATGTACAGTAAAGTATTGTTCATGGATATTAGTGAAATAAATATTTTCCTGCGATAAGACGAAAATATTTAAGTAAGTAAAATGATCGGCCATTTTCAACACATCGCAACACAATTGCTTAACCATTGTGTAACTTTTGATACAAGTAATTTACTGCATTAATGAACTTTCATTTCAACGCTTTAAAGATTAAGAAACATTTCTCAACGCATATCTGCTAAATCGCTCATAAATCAAGATGCAAATTAATTAATTAAATTATTTCAAATATTTTTTATTTTCTTTTAATTCCTTTGAGTGTGCACTCTTCTTACCTTACGTCTGCTCAATCATAACAGCTCTTCACTTCTCATCTGGCAGTTAATTTGCCTAATAAATCTGACGCATATTATGATTTTCTCTTTTGCGTCTTTTAAGTTTATTTTCGGTTAATTTTACTTTATAAATGAAAATTTTAAGATTTTTTTGCATAGTGTCGTCAATGCTTGGCATGAGTTTAATTATAGTTTTTTTTTTCTTCTCATTTCTTGGTTCCCTTTCAGATATTCTGAAAATCAAGTTAATGTTGTTTTTTAATTTACAAACAGAAATGAAAACTAAACATGAAGATTTGGTATTAAATGAACATTTTGCATGTTTAGACGTTACTGATGTCAGATAAAAACTCTTCAACGTATAATTAGTTATGAAAGTAGAGACAGATAAAACAACAAAGAGCTTTTAAAATGCAAAAAACTTACATGTTTGATAACGTTCGTGATTCGGCAATTAAATATAAAGGTTTTTCAATTTTTCTTTCTAAAAATGACAAGTGCAATGTGCCTGAAAGCGACATACATAAATAAATATATTTAGACGCATTTATTTTCAAATTAAACTTCAAGACAACTCGCTAATGAAAATATTTTATAAATAATGTGTTAGTCAATAATAATAGCATCATCTAATCCGTGTGTCGACGAGTGACTTGATGCAGGGCTTCTGAATTGTCCACCCATAAATATTAATTAAAAAGTAATTTTTTCGCTACCAACTTCGGCTTTCACTGCAACATTTTGATTTCTGGGTTAATGAAAGTGTCAGAAGAGGCAAGTCAAAAAAATTGAGATTAATCTTTCTGAATACATAAATCATTTTTCTTTTTTCTCCATTTCGCGTTTTGTTTAGGGAACCTTCGATCAATCCCTGACCTAGGAGAACAGTTTCGTAAGATTTAGATGAAAAAATCGAATCATGTTTTACTCTTTCGACTTGTCTAATACTTTGCGAAGGCACACAACAAGACAACACGATGGATAGAAAAGGAAATTGTCGTAAATTAATTACAACTCTGTAAAGACTTTTTGTAATGAATTTTTGACGTCGTCATTGATCGTTGTCTCGTTTGTTTCTTTCGCTCGATTTGCTTCAGATTATTCCTCCTTCGCTATTATTTTTCTTCAACCAAGAATTTATTTAGATAAGCATTCACTTTTCATAACTTTTGCTTATGACTTTTCAAATAAATTAATAATTTAACTCTTAGTGACAGCAAACAAACGAGAAAAAAAAATTCTTGCGAACGATGAGTGATCACTCATTTTTGAAGAGATCACAACTTTTTGAACTGATCGATCTTTAGACGGTGATATAATTAGATTTTAATTTAATCATTTTCATACGTTAAACGCTGAGAAGGAAATCGCGTCACATTAACGTTCAACATCTGATTTGTTTGCTGGCATAATTTCATGCTGATGTGATGATGGATCACACACAGTATTACGTTAAGTAAAAGGGAGAGATGGAGAGAAGAAAACTTCTCCATTTCACATTTTATGTATCTTTGGAATGAAAATTTACCGTGTGAAAATTTTCCACATATTTTTTTAATTTACGTTCATGAGTAACATCAAGAAGTGGGAGCATTCAGTGGTTGCAGATGGAATGTTGATGCTTGATACATTTTCGACATAAAGATACTATTAAAGCTTTTTATTTTTTTCCGACAAGGTACGTTATTTAGACAGGAAAAGTGGGAAACTCTCAATGCAGCTTATGTCGAGTGTTGACACTTTAGATCTTCTTAGCTCGGATGCCAGCATATTTTTCTCGTCTACTGCTTATTAATTTGTTGTTTCCTTGTTACAAGCTTAGCCGAGTGGTAAGTACAAAAGCTGTTAAAAGAGCTAATTTGGAGCAGATCTATTTATTTTGGGGAATTTTTGTAGAAAACGACACCTAAATATCATCTTCAACTTTACTATACATTACAAAACATTAAAGCAAATTATGGTCACTTAGTTTATGTCATTCGAAGCTATCGCTACTTGACACTTACTCTCCATAATTTCTATGACCAGCTCGTGTTTCGCAACTGAGCGTAATCTCTAGTTCGTTGCAGTTTGCTTCTAACATAATTGGAAACTGTAAGAGTGTTAAGTAGTGTTTCTCAAAATCCCTGTTTTTTGAAAAACAGGGATCAGGGATCGATGATTTTCTACTAGATATCGACTTTTTTTAAAAGAAAAAACTGCATTAACGTAATGTTCTGACATAGAAAACACTAAACAATCCATCTTTATAGGAAAAATTAAGCGATTTCTAGTAGAAATTTGACGATTTCTTTTTCCCTATTCCCTAAAAATAGGGATTTTGAGAAACACTAGTGTTAAGTGAAGTGATTATGCAAATATGCTTTAATAGCTCATGCAACATAAATTATTAATGCACCAGATTTTCTCTTGCAAGGCGAACTATTGCGTTTGGAAAATAAACGAGTCATTAAACTTCATTTCGTGATTTCCTCTCCTCAATCGTTCGTTGATATTGCGCCGTTTTACTTGTAAATTAGGTATAGCTGTAAAGCATCAATTGAACGAAAGAAAAATTCGGAAGAAAAAATCTTGGCGAAAATTAAATTAATTAAACATGTTCAGATGTGAACTACATTTAGTAATAAATCACAATCAGAAAACTCGCATAAAAATTTATTAATATTTTTCCTTCGTGAATATCGTTTACCATTAATTAAATATAAAACTATTTCGAATATTCATGAGTTCGCTATGCGAATTGTGAGGATGAATTCGTAGTTTACGTTACAACATTATTAACTAAGTTAATCAATTTTTATTTCAGTTTTGAAAATATTCACGCAGTTAATGCAAATTTCATACGAAAATTCATCAAATGAATGAAAGAAAGAAATGAAATCTGTTCAAGGTATTGATTTATACAATCACTCGCCGGCTGTATTAGCATTTATAAAATCATAAAATATACGAAATACATTTTAATGGCGAATAAACAAAAAATTTATGCTTTACAAAGATTTCCATTTTCTCGCACGCTGTGCTTCTGACCTGAAAATTTTCAATAGCTTTTATAAAGCTTTTCTATATTTCATGAAGAGTTATGATTGCTATCGTTATTCAATTTCATTACTTGAGAATCCTTAAGATGCTGACTTTTCATTTTTTTTTCTTTTTCAATTTCTTTCTTCAAAAACAAATCAGAGTAAAATGTTAGAAAAAATTAATGAAGTAAAAATCTCTTGTCATTCGTTAGAAATTCTTTCTTTTCGCAAGAAACTTCTGAATTGAGATTGTGAAAGTGAGGAAAGAAAAATAACGAAAAGGATGAGAACGAACCAAATTCCCTTTTGTAAATTTCATTATGAAGCATATTTTAAAGAAGCGGAAAAGAAAATGTTTAGCGCTCGTTTTAGATGACTTGAATGACTTAATAAAATGAAGTGACTGTAGAATTGAATCTTCTATTCATTGAACCTAGGTAGGTAGTATGAGAAATCTTTTGAAATATTTGATGGGATGTTCAAAGTTTAGAGTAAAAATAACGTAAAAAATTTTCACAATACTGAAAAAAACGACGTTTGATGTTAAATATTGGAGATTGCGAAGAAGAATCACCACTTTCCAGATAATATTTCAGATATAAAATATTTAAAGATTTTACATCTTGTTCACATCGTTTTTCACTACCTCTTGCTATCTTGTCTTTAGACTTTTACCCAATTTACATTCAAAGTGTAAAGCATTGAAACTTTTATGCTTAGAATATTTATAATCAGACGTTATCCTTCCACAGTTCTCGGTCCCACACTCTTCGCTTTCTTTTAAATGGTTTTAGTCATTCTGATGTTCTGCTTTATTTTACAGGTGCTAGTCTCAGTCTGGTACGGATTCAATACACAGTTGGTATAATATCTGCTTTTATGTGCGCAATGGATACCCTGGGAAACGGCTTTCTGCTTTAATATTGTTTCATGCCTTTTGTTGTTTACATTTTTTATGTCTGCCATGACTTTATTTATTTTTATTTTTCAAAGCTTGCATGCTTCTCTCCTCTTAGTAAATAATTTATTGTTTCCTTACTTATCACTAGCAATGTCACTCGTATATCGATTGTTGCCTCTTTAGTTACGATTGAATGATTATTGTGGGGCGTTTGTTTGCTTCCAAATTCGTGAATTATCTTTGACAACACAGTTCCGTTAACCGAATTTATTCACAATTGACAAAATTGAGATCTTTTGACTTTTACATCGCATTTCTTCGTTCGAGTTCTTACAACATGTTATTTAACTTTTTATTTCAAATTCAATCTTCATCGAAAACATGTACTTTAAGTTACTTTACAGCAGACACTTTGATCCGTAGAAATTCATCAATTTCCATAATAAAAGCTTTTTTTTTTGTCATCATACATTTTTATTGAAAATTCTGCTTCAGTCATGTCATTTTTATCGTTCTTGATTCGCGCGCGCGGCATTTGTGGCTGGTGAAATGGGAGAATGGGGTTGAGTTGTTTTATCCATATTTATCGATTTTTATTCCTCATTCTCGCTTTTTTTATTCGTGTGGGGAACACATTTTTCCAATTGATTTCAATTGAACTTTTTCATTCTCTTATTCACATGCACCCACACATGAATAACGAAAGGTCTTTTTTTTATCAGAGTCTGATTTTGTTATTGTCGTCATTTTATTTTCAATGAAAGGAGAAAAAGAAGAACGAAATGTTTTCAGGACGATGGGGAGACATGTTTCACAATAGACAGCAAGTGTGAGTTGGCTTCACGTGCGTTTATTCGATAACCCAACACATATGGCCAAACAAAGAATGATTTGTACATACTTAGGTCTGAATACACACAGGTGATTAATTAATTATTAATACGCACATTTTACAGGTTTCTAATGTAAAATTTTATTGAACTGGTGGAGAGAATGAGTAGAACAAACCCGTCATGTTGATCTCATACCGCAAGCTTGAAATATGTGTGAGCAGTTTTCATTCATTGGAAATGGAAATTTAGTGTTATCAATTAATTTGAATGACAGTAAGCTTTTCATGCTTAATTTAGGACTTGCCTAGAGAATTTGACGAGAAAGTTATATTTAGGATGTACTCAATTCCAGTACTCAACAATTGTCTCAAATGTTTCCGTTGAAAGAAATTTCATCTTTGATGTCACAAAATGTGAAAATTGAAAAAGAACATAAATTTCTATCTAATATTCTGACATCTTCAATGATTTTTTTGAACATTTAGACTCGGTGAAATTTCTTCAACATTATTTGCTTTTTTTATGCTGAAGAAACGACAAACTTTTCTACTTCTTTCCAATAATCAACAAACTTTCATAAAAAGAAAATGAATAAAGAAAAAAAAAAGTTTCCTTAAAACATTCTGTCGCTTTCCACGATGTCTTGTTGCCATCGTCATTAGGTTCATATAAAAATCGATAACAACAAAAAAAAGTTATTAAAGTAAAGGCGTTGGTTCTCACGGACGAACGTTAGAATCCGGCAAATTATACGACGACAATATCCATGAATTATAGACTTAGCTAGGAAATTAATGTCACATATGAGCCGCCAACGACCGAACTTTGCCCCGAAAATAAAGAAGGAGAAATAACAACGCGTTGTAACGTAAAGAATCCATAAAACATCCCCAAAAAAATGCCATGCGAGAAACAGAAGTAAATGGAGACACCCAGTAATTAGCTCACAAAAGAACATTCATCAAAGTTTAACTACAAAATAATTGGACACTTTCATGCCAGCAAACATATTCTCAAACTTCTGTAGATGATCATATGAACACTCGGAGCAGAAAAAGACGCAAATAAGCTGCGGCCAAATGAGCTTGTTATCAGTGGCAGTTAAATCAGTGACAAAGAGTTTGAGCGAGCCTTTTTGGAAGTCATGAAGTTGAAACGCAAAGCATTCCAACGCTAAACTTAACACGATAATTTCAAGTGATTACGCAAGAAAAATGCTTTTTACCTCTTCCTAAATATTTATTACAAAAAGCAGGAAAAAAAAGCTGTCATAAATCACTGAAAACCCTGACTAAAAACGAATTTTTCCATCAAGCCAACGAGAACTTTTGCGTTTAACCACCAATTTTCTGTGTCACTCGCTTATTTCCGCTAGCTTCAAATGCTTTTTTAGTCTCGCTATTTGTTCTAAATTTGTTTCACGCAAATCGAAAAAAGAAACAAGTGTATAAAATTTATTTTTTGTAAGGTCATAAAGCTGAATGCAATTATTTTCGATAATTTTTATCATTAAAACATTTTTTTTTGCGGATGGGCTTGAAGTTGATGAGCATGAAGTTCTATTGTGATTGTCCCAAAAATGCAAATTATTATTTGTTGTTAGTGTTTATAAATGGTGAACTCCCTTCTGAAATATTCTCGTCGTATTGCCAATTAAATGGTAGATATATATTTAAAAAAAAGAATGATAATTTAGTCTCTGTTTGTAAATTACAACTAATGTAATAAATAATCAGGTTCTATGTTATTTAACATGTTATTTATCAAAAATTGAGTTGATATTTAATGATAAACATTTGAAAGATCAAACAACAAGAAATCTCGTTGACATTGACACTAAGAGAATATCAGAACTGCATATAATTAATTAACCTTAAGATTCAATGTTGATCACTGAAGTCATGAATCAACTTGTTATAGTTCGGTTGGAAAAATTCATTACGGAATTTCAATTATGCATACTCAGATAGTTTCTCTCGAGAATTATCCAAATGCTTCGCCGAAATATAAAAAGCAAGAACGTTTAGTTACGCCACGAGCTAAAAATCGCTTCCAGTTACACGATGAAGGAACGGAAAAGATGAAAAACGATTCGTAATGTTTGCGGTGTAGCATATGCCGTTGCTTACTCGCCTTGCCAAAAGCAATTTCATTGATTTGCTTTTAATTTATCAATTGCGAGCTTCAATGCTTCGAATAATTATGTTCATTACTTGCGCCACTGTTTGCAAAATTCTGAGATATAGTGAAGTAAAATTTCCACAAGTTTCTGATAATGAGCTGCAATTAAATGCAGCAGCATTCGACAGCAACTAATCAACATGTAGATATGAATGCTTTAGCGTGAACTGTTGATAGTACGTGGTGATTACAATTAACAATTTTACTTCTGACTTTCCTTGAAAATATAAAATGTTCACCGAAATAAAAAGACAATGCATAGAGATGTCAATGTTGTGAAAATAAACAAAGTAACAACAGAACTTGATCATCATTTGCTTGTTTAATTACGCTACTGGAACCACATGAGTGCAAACAGGCAAATATTCGAAGAAAAAAAAGAATTTTGTTAAAATAGTTAGCAGGAAACATGGTTGAGTGAGCACAATAAAAAAAGTACATGGAAAAAACAACATCGAAGCAAAGCAACAGAAGGCACACAATGGAAGTAATAACACGTATACAGGTAAAGTTAAGCTCGTGATACACATCAGCACAAAATGATAGCGTTTAAGTTGTACAATTTGCGTCGCAAATCCATCATCATTTTTCATTTTTCGATGAATCATTGCGAGAGATCATTTCACAAAGTGACTTAATTGATTTTGTTGCGATAGTTATCAAAGCGGAACTCAACGGGATGACGATTGAAGGTTCTTTTATTATGTATTGTACTTCCTGTGCAAAGCAACAAGAAATCAAAAACAGAAACAGAGAGGGAAACATGCATTTGAAGCATGAATAACTGATAATAATTAAGCTTATCTTTGTTTTATTCTTCGTTGCACGTTAATTTGCACGAGATGTGAGATAATGTGAAATAAAATTGTTTATTTTTTCTCCATCATGATGAACATTTAATTTGTCAACAAACCCTTTTTAGATATTTCAATTTAACATTTAAAAGTTAATCGATTGAGACAAAAAAATTGAATCGGAAATGACTTTAAAGATTGTCAAAACAATGACAATAAAACACAATTTAGGTGCGCTTAACAACTGCTGAATACTCATATAGTGCTTAAATCATTCGCGCAAGTTACGGGTCACCAGGTTTTACTCAATTTCCATCTGTAACCGAACCTATAATGACATCAGAAGACAACAAGGTAAATAGAATGTAAATACATTCTTCTGTTCTCAAATCGGAAATGGGTGACATTATTGATTGGATCCGCTCAAAGACCTCGCCTGTCTATTTCATAATGTTTTCATTCAGTAGACGAGAGAAGTGTAATCAACAGTTCCACCGGTTGATGAAAGAAATTCTTACTTAACCAATATGAAACATTTTTCTTCCAACCGACACTAGTTGCACCCATTGAAAACCATTCTTTACTTCCAACTAAACATTTAAAATATTCTCTCTCGTAAACTTTTTTTTTTATTTCAACTTCGTTGTTACATCGGTGAACAATGAAACTCGAGAGAAGCTTTTCCGTTGATTAACCAAGTGAAACGATTTGCTTCTTTTTTGTTCAGTTGTTTGTGTGTTCTTCGATTTCAGTCAGGATGGGAACAGCGAGAATATCATGAATTTGAAATAAACTTTTTTTCTAGATTTTTTTGGAGGAGAATCAAATAGTGTCGAGACAGGAAGAGGGTCGATATTGTTGTTTTCATTTCCTGAAGTTGATGAAACTTAAATTTTCACTCTACCAATTATTAAATTAATGTACATAATCACGAATCCTAAAGAAAATTTAATCTGATTTAATATTGAACTTAGTCTTTCCATTTACTTAATTAAATAATCCGATTACATGTTAACATCATCATCATCATAATGGGAAATGAAAGAAATATGACATCAACACGGCAATCTTAAAATGAAATCATTTAAAGAGAATTCCAATTTAAGTATTGCACGTCGTCTTTCAAGGCACTCTTGTATATATTTATGTACATCTCATTTTTTTCTTTCGTGCACACTTCCACCCACACCATTGATCAATTTGGTGATGGTTAAGTTGCTGCTGTTTGCAAATGATGAAGGAAGAATTGGGAATTGTTCTTACTGCTTGAAATGAAGGAAAAATATTTAGATGAGAATTTACAATTTTTTTTATTCTTTTTTTTTTCTTTTATGTATACATAAGAATTGACGTAAAGTTTAGTTTTTTCTTCTTTTGAATTAATTACTATGGCAATGTATTAAGGGACTGTTATTTTCTTCCGTAACTTCATGATTATATGCTTTTCAATCATAACTTCAGTCAATTAAATTTCGATTTTATTTAAAAAGCTATAAAAATTCTATATAATTTCCATCATAACATTATTGATAATTGGCCCCAATTTCTTTAAGCATGATTGCTAAAAAAGGAGATGAGAATAGTTTTAACAAAACATTTATGCTGCCTTTTTCGCTTTATGTTCTACTCTGAGATTCTCTTTTCAACAACATTTCGTGGCTCTTAAAACTGATCTTAAATTCCACACTCTCCAAGTCAGATTATCAAAGTGAAATGGGTTTGAGTTTGTTGAACTTTTTTTTTTCGTTTTGTTCTCTATCAAAAATTTTACAAACAACTTTTCTTTTCTTATTGGAGTGCTTTTGTTGGAGAGTAGCACATATCTATCCTATGTTCTATCCGCTCATCATCATGTAACATCGCAAATGGTTTCTGATGTTTTGACTCCGCACAACAAATTGCTACACGATGTGAAAGAGTAAGTGGCTTTGTGTTTGTTGTTAGGTTTTTGTCAATGCCCATAAAAAGCTATTGGACGTGTCGCCACTCTCTTATTGGATATCACAGTTTATTCATTGAGATATTTAACAGAATGAGTGTTAATTGGTAAACATGTTGGTAATTAATAGAATTATGCCTCAACATAGACTCCTGAACTGACACAGGCAATATCGAGCTAGAAATTAATGAGAAATAGGTCGACATCATTGAAGAGCGTTTGATTAGAGTTTTTTTCTTTTTTTTCTATCGAAGACATGCTCTAGATACGGTGATTGAAAAACAATGGAAGGTTTTTTCCCTGACCTCACCTCGAAAAAGTAGAATTTCTATATTTTCACAAAGCTTGAAAACCAAGAAAATTTTTATGTGAATGCATCATTAAACAGAACATTTACTTATCTCATGCGAAACTTTATTCTTGCCATAAATTAATTGAAGACTTTCTACCATGATGAACATTGAGGCGATAAAATCATGAGAGAAGTAAATGATTCTCATCTTCTATTAACAACTTCATCCTACAGTCATTTTCAAATGAACTTTGGAGCGGTGTTTAAAGCAGGGAAGTCGACTTAAATAATTTTAGAGGATTTTTCAAAGCCACTGACTTTTGTCAATCGTTAATGTTGTGTGATGTTTAAGTATGAGTAATTATTCAATTCATCTCTAAATGGAAGAAGCTATCAAAATAATTTAATTTAATTACCGCGGGTCTATGACGACCGGACCAATGATGGAGTAAATGATAATGAATATCTAATTGTGAATCTTTGTGTTACTTTATCGTTCGAGAAATGCTACAATTTTTTTATATTCATTTGAGTGTCTCGTAATTGTACAGTCACAGGGTTGCTTTATTGTTTACTTCTTCCAGGGACTTTCATCTGAATTCTTATTATGACCGTGGAAATCTTAAAAACATTTTATTAATCCATTTGTGGATGTTGATTGAATAACTTAATTTCACCGCTTGTGCTTGACATTGGGCCTTGCGCTAAACAAAAGCTACGTTTGGTGCTGTTTCGTATAAATCATTTAATTTTACAAACATCAACCAACTGCTTACTTTATTTCTTCTCATCTACAAACGCCTCCATCAAAACATTTTTTTATATTTTATTTGATTAACCATAATGTACAATAACCATTTAACCTTTTATCTCCATCTCTTTCTCTCTTTACTGTTCTATCTTGCTGTGTCTTTCCATTCTTGACTCGATAGTCATTTGAGAATTCTTTTCATCGCATCAGAGAGGTCTGTTGAATTAACAGCAAGTTATATGAAAACGCAATACAAGAAATATTTTTAATGAGAAACAATGGCATGATGTTGTGTAATTCAATAGAGAATTGGCAACAATGCTGATACAGTTCTCAACTTGCTTTACTTGCTCGTAATTAAAATATTAATGCATTTTTTGTGTGTTATAATATTTGAGATTTTGCATGGAAATGGAAGATTGAGAACAAAGAAGGATTGTTAAAGATTGCTTGTTGTTATCGTCCCAGATTGTATTTTCTTCAAAACATGAATACTTACAAGTAATCATAAACATTTTATAGGACAAATAACTTAGCAATGTCACAAATTATATAAGAGAAGGAAATTTAAACAGAATTTACGATCAACTCCCACGATCTTTCTACAATGATTCACTGCATGTAATCATAAAAACATTTTTCTATCAAAATCAAATGTGTCAAAAATTTCTTATTTGTATTCTACAAACAAAATAATCTGAGTTGAAATCCGAGTACATTAAAAAGCATATGATGAAGGCTTTGCCATTTATAAAAGTAGCCGAACATGCCAATAATCATTTGTCGGAATTTCTTTTCCTTTTTCCCCAACAATAAATCATTCCAACGAGATGGGTTTTCCTTCTTTTTATTTTTCACTCTCGAGCATGAATTATGGACACTAACATATCATTTTTTATGCCCTTGCACTTCTATCGACTATAACTTTTATGAGAATAACATTTTGAAAGCTTTTCCCTCTCCTTTTGCTTCTGTTAATTTGTCTAAGTTGTTACAAGCATAGAGAGCAGGAACAATGATGAAAAAATCAATGGCATCGTATTGAAGTAAGGAAGAAATATCCAGAACAACTTAAAGTTCTTAACATTTATATGTGGCATGCAATTAAAATATTCTTTTTATCACTGATTTGATCTTTGACGTTCTGATGAACTCTCTGGCTATTGAAAATATTTATAATGGTGTAAATTATATACAATGTAGATATCGAACGACGTTTCAACAACAAACACATGTTCTACATTAGAATGCCTAAGGCAAAGGCCCTTAACACACATTTCTCATTGGATTCACCATACGTTGAACTTTTACAGCAAAAATTAATACCAATCTAACATTTGTAAATTGAAAACAGGCAAGGAAAAGCTCGTTTCCTCCATTAGATAGCTATTCCCATTGTTCTCGTCGTTCATTTCCTTACACTAAAGTAACATGAAATGCTTGGATTCTTCACTTTCTATCTCACTTTGGCGAAACCAACAAAACTTTGTAAGAATGTAAGTATAAAGTTTGAAAATTGAGAACAATTGTGGAAATTGTGTGCGGTAATCAATAAATGTAGCAATTAGAATAGCTTTTCAGAGCAAGTCACATTTACTCGATATTTCAATCTTTTGTTCTTTTCATATAGGAGCAAATTATGTAAACAATAAAAGACAAAAGATTTTCATTCATGTGAAACATTTCGATGAGATTAAGAACTTTTCAAAGACTGTGACTGCTCAAGGATCTTTGTTTAAGTGAGTTGGCATAAAATTGTGAACAAACATCTAGTAAATATTTATTTGAAAATTAAATATCACATTAGCGATGCTGGGAATAGAAAAAAAAACTCGCCTCAGTTGCACAAATGAAGTCAACAATGAAATTAACTTAACAAACGCGCGTGTTTGCATAGTAAATCTCTTTAAGAAGCTTGATTAAAGCACGTAATTTATTGATACACTTTCCAACTATCCACAAAATGATTTCAAAATTTTATTGAAATTAAATTGGGTCGATTTTCGCTTCGAGGGAATTTTTTCTTCTGTCATAGATGTTAGTCTTATTGAGAAGAAAAATAAATAAATAAAAGCATCAACAGCAGCTTTTGGAGAATATGTGAAATATTCCGATATATGTGTATCTACTTTTCGTGCACAAAGAGAAAAATTAAAACATGAAGAAACAAATAAAAATAGAACTTGAACTTCACACATATTCAATCCTTAACTGTGACCTCGATTTGCATACATCGACGATTACTTTTCTTACACCCCACGAAAGCTGCTGCGCGTTGCACAGTTCAACGTATGTTTTGTATTCATAACCTGAATGGGTTGGGAGAACATTAAGATCTCACAATAATCTTTTGTTTAGCGGCGCTTGTTACTTCACTCAAATTATGAAAGTTTTCTTTATTAATATTTCTCGTTGTTGCTGCTACTGATAAATCTCAGACGCTTTTGTTGAGTAACTTTTGGGATTATTCGCTCGCTATGAACCTCAACCGATGAACTAGTTGACGTGCTCGCAATAAATGTGAAGTTTTCACAGCTATTTTAACGAATTCAGATCGTGTAGTGAAAGATAAAAAGCTCAAACCGATGTTTCTATGACTCATAAGCGCACTTCACTTCATAGTGTTTTGAATCTGTCAAAAACCGTCCATAAATCATCGGTGAATGGTTTTATCGTTTGTAAACCATTGTTAATGTTTCTGTTCGTTTTCACATTATGTTTGTATTTCACAACAGAAATAGAAATGATAAGCGTTAAATTTTATGCAATACAAGTGAAGTTTGTGTTAGAAAATTATGCAGAACAAGCTCGCGTATATTCAATCATAACAAAAATCAATTCTCTTCACTTTAAAAAAAATATAAAAATCGAAATCTCGATGAAATAACTTGAAAAGTTTCAAGGCAAAAAGGGAATTCAAGAAACGGAGTTTAACTTTATGAAATATAATGAGCACTCGCAGATACAATTATTTTTGCTTCTCTACTCTAATGCTTTGTAGTTGAAGTTTATTTATCTTGCTTTCGTAATTTAGAAAGTTTGTTGCTGTTTTTTTCTTTCGCTTTTCTTGCTTTTGTGCTTCTTATGCTTTTATTTCGCGACTCTTTTAAAAACAGATTTTCTTCTAAGCAGAACATGAAAACGCTTCCACTTGAGCTACTCGAATTAATGAATCTTTTATGATGACTCACCTCTTCCTCATTACTGGCGGTGTTTACGGAATCCATTGACTGTGACAATGGATGCGACTGCATCGGATTTTGTCCTATTTGACCAACTTGATCCATGCTTGATGTTGTTGATAAAGGACTTGTAGACAAAGGTGTATTTGAATTTGAGCCAACAGATGATGCTGGAACGATAGACGACTGAACAGTCGAGTTTATAGCTTGATTAATAGAAGCAGCCGGTGGTGAACTAAAGCTCGTTGATGTATTAATTGACTTGATTTGTTGCTGCTGAGCAGTTGCAACGTAATTTGGAATTTGTGTTGGAATTGTAGCAGTAGGAGACGAAGAGTTTATAATTGATTTGATTTGAGTTAATGCTGGAGATTTAGCGGCGATTGGGAGTGGGAGGTTTTGAATGATTGGTGAAGCTTGATGATGAAACGGAGCGAGAGGATGATGATGGGGATGTGAAAAGTTGGCAACAGCGGCTGCCGCTTGTGATTGAGATGCCAACAAGTAGTTGTTGTTTAGTAAATGTGATGAAATTACTGGCGGTAAGGTCGACACGACAGATGGTGGTGCAACAGGAGATGTCAAGACGAGAGGATTCGTCGGACGTAATCTTTTTGGTGACAAAACCTGTTGTGGGGCGCTCGCTACCTGTAAATATATAAAACAAACATAAAGCATAAATCATCACAAATTTCCATTTCATTTCCAGAAAATGTTTACTACAAGAAAATTTCATATTTATTGCGACTCTTACCGTTATTTGCGGAGCTGGCCTAGAAGATGTTTTAAATGATAGAAGAAGAAAGAAAGAAATACTTTAATTTCTAAGCTTGAATGAAGTAACGACAGCTGAAGTTAAACAAAACTTTTCTCACCTTCGTTTGGCCACCGTCGACGAAATGGTGAATCTATTTTATAATCCGCTGATGTAGAACAGAAGCCCACTTCAAGACACAGCTTACAATTTCAACTCAATTAAAATCTTGATTTCTATAATAAAATAAAAAAAGAGAAAATTTTAGTTCATTTAAAGTTCTTTCATTCATATGTAAATAGATATGATTTCATGTTAATGTCAACGCATTGCAACTTTATGTTAGATATGTTGTTGTTTAATATTGTAAGAAACACCCTCGTAATAAGCCATGCCGAGACATTTTCTATGGCCTCTTACACACGTACATACGTCTACGAACGAGATTTTATTATCGCAAAGCAAAGAATTAATGAAATGATTTCAAAAAAACAGAAAAAAACCATGAAAGTTAATCTAAAGTTACCGAAGAAAATTCCTCGTAGATGGTTTAATAATGAGAACAAGTTCTAACTTTTTTGATCGTGCGTTGAATATTTGAAGTTTGAAAGAAATCAAACTTAACTAATTCGCTTCAAGTTCCGAGTTTGAAACTGTGTTGTGATTGTTGTTGTTTTGCTGTTCTTGCAGCTTGAAAGTCATGAACATATTCTGTGTTATTTATTTTATTTTTCTTTCATGTATCTTTAGCTCTCTGTTTCACTCACTCAGCGTCTTACTCTACGCTAGTAATTGTGGATATAAAAAACACATAATTTTTAATGGAACAGAACTAGCGATTGTTGTGTTGTTTGTGTGCTGCTTGAGCGAACTACGTAGACTCTACGAATAAAAAAAATTGAAGCAAAGGCAAAAAAAAGTTTACGAAATATTGTTTAATTGTTTCACGAAGAAAAAATTGTTACATTTTTGTGAGAAAGCGTTGAAATAAAAAAACGAGTGAAATGTATAATCTTTCGAAACATTTCATAAATTTACAACGTTATGTGGACGTGAAGTGGATGGAAAAATTTGTGGAAAATACGTGCGAGGTAGAATGTTTAACTTCAAGAATCAACGATGTAAAATTAGACTTCAACTCTTCTTTTTTTGTTTAAAAAAAAGATGATTCTTAGACATCAAAATTTCCATATTTTTTTAACATGCGATGAAATTTTGAATGTAATTTTTTACCCTCAACAATATCTCGTCGTGTCCGGATGAAAAGTAAGAACATCTCCTGCTACGTATAAAATAATATTAAACTTCACATAAAAGTAAACTTTTTTTTATACTGAGGGAAACAACTTTTTCTGCTTTCGTTGCTAACTAAGAAGATCATTTTCAGATGTTTCTTGAAAATCTTACTCGCTGTTTTTTCTATGCTTCATCAACAAATCAAAGTTTCAATCTCATTCTTTTGAATCTCTTTTAATTCCTTGAATTAACAGCAAAAAGATGGATTTTTACTTTTTTTTGTTGTGTAAGCTTTAAGCATAGAAAATTGAAAGCATAAATAAAATTTCTCGTTGAACAATAAGCAACAAGAATACAAAAAAGTTATGATGGATAAGAATTTAAACTTTTACATCAAATATTAATTTCGTAAGTTTTTGTTCTTCTTTGCTTGGTTTTTCTCACCGTGTTTCAAGGGAAATATCCATGAGTTGAGTTTTCAAAGAAATTTAAAAATGGTTTAGATGGAATTATCTCATAAAGAAATCCGGAAGTTTAGTTTATGCTTTTTAAAATCATTTTTCTTTCTATTGTTACAGTAATTACGATTGGCGTCTAAGAGAATTGGATTTTCTTATATCTCGTTTCGCTTTTTTTTTCTTCAATTTTTCAAATCGCAACGATCTGAAAATGTTTACAAGTCATCAGAATTTATTTGTCCAATTCTAAATTGACAAACATGTATATTGAATAACAAAAATATAAAGCTAAGATGTTTGTCCTGAAGAGTTAAGAAACAATAGTTTTTAAAACAAAAGTTTGTAGTTGAATACTTCACCACATGCATTGCACCAAGCATTGCACAATGCGGTTACTCTACCAATGAAGAAAAAAAGTTCAGAAGAAATAAGATACAAGCAACCTTCTCACGATACACTATCTCAATTTACCACATAATGCGATTCAGTGTATTTAAATAAATAAATCTATCGAATGCAAGATGAAGAAGAAAATACTTCAAGAAGTAGACCAGGTTCATGTTTAGCTATTTTCATTTTGTTACTTTTATTTTTTCATAGCATCAATTGCAAATAAAAATCAGAAAAAAATGGAGGCAAACGTTTCACAAATATTGAATATCGATTACATTTAGAGATCGATGTCTTTAGGAAAGAAATCTATTTTATTTACAACAGTTTTAAATTGATGTGGATGGAGAGAGTGAAGTTGAATATTGCAAAGCATGACAAGCACCTCAGATCTCATTAAAAAACTGAATTATTTATTGATGAATGAATGAAACGGCTGAATTAGAAGTATAAAGGAAACTGCTACTTCACTTTATCAATTAAATCTCCATGATTTCAATAATTCATCGTTTAAATTGAGAGTTTGCCAGGATAATTGCAGTTCTTTTTAAAAAATTCTTCGCTTTTTAAACACCATGATGCAATATTCATTTAGAATCATGTAGTGAAGCTTTCACTCTTGTTTCAGAATATTTCGTTTCAACATTTTCCATATAAATTCTTAATTCGTTTCACAAAGCGCTTTGCTTTGGATGATTCTTAACAATTACATTTTTAATACAGTTTACTTGTGTTACAGAACGATTACATTCATTTAACGTACTCATACTTTAGCTTAGTCGCTTTAGTCTTTCAAAGTCGACTTCAGACTCGTAGCGGCGCGTGAGAATTCTTACTTTTCATCATCAGCTTGTGTGTGTGTATGTGTTGTCTACTTGAGAGAGACTAAGAAAGAAAAAGAAAGATTCCAAGCTTGAGATGATTGTTTGTAGGTTGATGTTTTTAATTCAATTATTCCCATTTCCTACGTATCTTTTCGACTGAAATATTCATTAAAATTATTTTGTTGTGTACACATTTTTCAAGTTTAACATGTTTCTATCTTTCAGTTAAAGTATGAAACCAACATTACAATATCTGTTTCTTCAGGTGTGAATCGAGCCCTCTCTACATACATTTTGATACACATAAATATTATACGTCATGGGCTTTTGATCTTTTCGTCTCTGTTCTTTTCGCTCAACAAGACAACAAGAACCGAGAGTCGAGAGTGGAGTTGTAAAAGGGTTTTCATTTTTATCGTCAACAACGATGTTGATGTCAACGCTTGCGGTGGTAAAAGACAATACATTGACTCTTGAAAAACGTTCTTTGTTTTATATTTACGTGTACGGCACGAAACGTGGATGAGATGATGTGTAATGAAAGAGAGAGAGAGAGAGAGAGAGAGAGAGAGAGAAAGAAACAAATCTGAGGGATTCCTTCCGTTTATATATTTCTTCTTGCTATTTCTTACGTCTTATTCGTCAAGCATTTGCCCACGGTTCATTGATGAATAAAAAAATCGTAAGAAAAAAAAATAAAATTAATGTTTGAACTCTGAAAGACCCGAAGAATTCGACATTGCGAGGAGGAAGAAATAATCGAGGTTCAAGGTATCTTTGTATCGTCTATGCTTTTAATGTTCAAAAGGAAATAAAATGGAAGAGAACAAGAACTTAGAGTTTCATCTAATCCAACAACAAGCGCAAGCAGAGCGACCAAAAGCCTAATAAAATATAAACAACAGACGATAGATATCGAATTACAAATTTAACATTAACTAAAACATCAATTCTGTAAGAAAATCAATAAGAGCAGCAGTCTTTCGTGTATATCCATGTTTCTTGTTCTCATTAGATTGGAGGCCATAAGTAATGGAAATCGATAACTTTTTCACAACGTGATGGACATCTTGAGATTTCTTAATGAGAGATTTCCTTAAAGACTTTAATGTTTAGTTTCATGATATTTTTTTTTCGCAAAACTCGCTACAAATAGCTAGCGCTTGTATAAGAGCACTTTATGACATTTCAACGCCGTAATTCGCTGGCACTAAAGGTCAAGCCTCAAGTCAGCTAGTTTTGTATCATAGTCGGAGTGACAATTAAGATTATAATCATTTTATATCCGATGAAAGTTTTGCAAGCTGAATTTCAATTTCTCACTTTTTGTTGAACAATCATAGCGATCGTGAAATCAAAATGAAGTAGAGTGAATCATGATAAAAGAAAAATCCACGAAATAAAATATAAAATTAAAAATAAATATATAATCACAATTTCAATTAAAAAGCAATCTTCCTCTTTTTCCCCTTCTTATTTTTGCCTTTTTGTCGTTGTCTATCAGTAATATTGAATCATCGGAAGGTAAAATAATCACAGAACGTATAAAGCTTCGTACACAGAACATTTAATACCCGGTAGGTAAACTCAACACACACCAAATCATGAATTGCTTGTTTCAATATAATTTTTCCGAAAAGCCTTTTTCATTCTTTTATTTTTCATTCATTTTCGAAATAAATTAAAAGGAAAAGCTTTGACGGATATTATTATTTTTATAATCGATGGCAGTAAAGGGAAATAAGACTTGTCTTTTTTTTTGTTGAAACGTAAAAAAAGAGTGAACACCTCTAAGCGTTTTTAATATCATTTTGATAGGCTTGATTCATTGTGTTATTTCATTTATTTTATTTTTCCAGCTTTAGCAAATCATACTCCGACAAACTGTTTTTATCATAAACTTGAATAAATTCTACATAAATATTTTAGTTTCTGTCTCATTCTTTATGAACTTTCAGAATTTGTTCAAAAAAAGGAAAAAAAATCGCAAGTTGGCATGACAGTTTGAAAAGCCTTTTTTCACCTCCTAATTCTTCTTTACCCCACAATTTTATATTATACGATACCCAATCTTAGCCCACACAATATTTTCAAAATCTCATTGCAATTGCATTTATCCACTAGATAATTCAACTCGGAAAACGACACTTAAAATATGTTTGATTTTTCTTAAATTATTGATGAAATATTAGTTTAAATGTTGATATTTTATCGAAGATACTTTACGTTTGAATAAATACGAGAATTATTCTGCAAGCTCCTTTAACATTTGTAAACACCACGGTGAAGGCCAAATCTGTAAGCTGCTTCTGTTTATTAATTAATTATTGCCAATGTTCATCAAAGGCAAATAATGATTCTTATTTACTGCACTTCAATCAGTTCTACTTTTAAAAAATATTAATATTGTTCTCAATCAAATAATTTTGCGCAAATTCACTTTCAAAGATTTAAAACCACAAGAAAATATTTCTCAACTTTACGTTTGTAATTTATTTTTAATAATTTTTATATTCTCCATACAGTGGGAAAACTTTAAATATGCAAATGATTAATTATAAAAAACACCTTGTTTTGTTCGTAGAGGCAGAAAAGCACAATTGCTACAACACGAGAAGAAAAAAATTATAACTCGAAATATTCTTTCTGGAGTGAGTTAAGCACGACAGTAATTAAGTTCAAAAATTTTATTTCGTTCTCGATAATTGCTACTTTGAAATTCGCTTGATTTTTACTTTATTCTTAATCCGTTTTTCACATTTATTTTAAAAAAGACTTTAAATTCGAATACACTTTGAACATTTGCTTTTAGCGTATCGGATACGAGTGATCATAACGACAGACGGCAAACAACTGAGACTAAATAAAGTTAGTTAAAAATATTTCATACACAATAATTGAGAATAAATATTTTTCTTCTCTGTGTGCGGGTGTGCATGCCATCGCGCTCAGTACTTTCCGCTTGAAGCAAAGTCTCCTTACCTAGTCATGCACATCGCGACTGGATGTATGATTTCCACCTTTGTTGTTTTTTATTAGTAGTTGTGTAGGTAAATCGATTAAACAATACGTAAAATTATGAGAGAGTCAGAGAGTAAAGACATGAGAGTAAAATGCAAGTATTTCAAGCAGGGGGTTGTTAAGCAATGAAAAATAATTTTATAGCTCATGAAATGACACTGTTTAGCTGTTTTATCTACAATTTATACTGCATTCCTTTTTAAAAAGGTCAAATTTTTAGGTTCTTCCTTCGAATTTATTAAACTTTCTCTGAGTTCATATTAGCCAGTTTTTGAATAAAAAAATCCTTTCGAATACATCCGTTTAAGTCGTACAAAAATATTTAAACTTTTGTGTTCTACAACACTTTATTGGACATAACATATATAGGATTCTTTTCTTTATAAGTTACTTTTCTATCTCCCAGCTGATTAACAATAATTCTGTATGTTTTGTTTGAGAAATATCTGTGAATATTTGTCACAACATTTATCATCAATATTCATAGATATTTGTAGCGAAAACTCAGTTCTATAGCTCGTCTTTAGTATTTTATTGTTCTTGTCAATGACATGTTTCCACTTCGTCTTTCATCGTCATCATGAATCTCCCCTTGATTTTAAGCAACTTCTGAAGAGAGCACAGGTGAGGGAGAGACAAACCTTTATACGGCAGAAATAAATATTTCATTTATATTACGACACCAGGGCGAACATAAACAAGAACGAAAAATTATTATTACATTATATTCTTGCTTATTCTATATGTACTTTCCACCTGTGCTTGCTTGCTTTTTTATTTTTTGGTGTTGCAGCTGTATGATTACGTTACATTCTCGTGATGTTCTTTTTCTTAATGTTGGCGGACGGACGCATATTGCGGTTGGTCAGGAAAGAACGAAATGAAGCAAGGGGGGAACTGAGGAAATTAAATTTCATTTCTTCCATCCTTTTTAGTTTTGTGAAGAGTTAAAAACGAAGAAAGAAGAGTGAACTGAATGTTATGTGCTTTTCATATTCGTACAATATATACATGCATGCATTCACCGTTGTATCCCCTAATGTCTATCAAATATTTACTTCCGATTGCACCTTGCATAAACAAGCTAGAAACATCATTTACTCGTATCGATAGAAGATCTATCCTGCTCTTAACTAAAGTGTAGAGAATTTTATTTAGCATCTTTCTTTCATCGTGATGGTTTTAAAGCATGAATTTTTCAATGGTGTAGGTATCAGGCAAGACTGACTCGACTTCAATAAACTAACGAAAAATAAATGGATGTGGAAAAGCAGCCCGCATAAAATATTCAAAAGTGCAAGTGCACATTTATGCAAATTTAATTTTTTGTTTTTTTATGCAATGAAGCCAATAAGAGAGTGAATCAATTTCAAGAGTGTTAAAGTTTATTCACTCTTTTCTTCAAGCACTCTCGTTTCTTTTCATTCTCTTTCTTTTCTTCCATATCCGTTGCTTAAATTGGTTGAAGAAAACTTTTCATTTCGTTCAAGACGTGATGGATAATTCAAAGACTTTCAACTTAGTAATTATTGTGATTGCCTTAATACTTCTTAATCAAGAAGGCAGAAGGAGAAGAATTAGCAGAAATCATATAAAAATTCCTACGTTTCACTCTTAACTTGTTGTTATTGCAAATAAAGTAGATATTTGAAATAAATTAATTACTTGAAGCGAGATAAATTGTCAAACAGCGACACAATTACTCAATTAAATAAAAAAAATTCCAGCGTTTTTTTTCTAATTCGTTCATACAATTTAAATGTCCAAAATAGGAATTTGAGTCGCTTGTCAGCTGCAAATTTAGTCTACTTTAATTGCAACTTAATTATTGTCAATTGATTGAAATTGAATTTATCGAAAGTTTTCTCATGCACATAAAAGGCATATCGTTATTCTTTATTTATAAGTTATAACTTCAATCATTTGAAAAAAGATAACATTTTACATTTGTCATAACCCACGATGTAAGGCTTTGAATTGAATTCAAATTTCTGTTCTTAGATTACAAATGTACATGCGCTGAATTTTTTTCATTTTCTCCTCGTCTGATGTCAGCTGTATATCAGAAACAAAAAAAAACCGTCCGAAAATGAAAGAACGTGAAAGAAAGAAAAAACAAGGTGTGTTAAGACAGACAGTCGTGAAATGCTTCCCTTATGCCTTATGCCTTCGACTTCTGATAAATATTTTTACGATGATTCTTACGGTTTGCTATTTTCGTGCGATCTCTTAGGATTGTAAATGGCTTTTGATTTGGTGAACGTGAAACTTACAGGAAAAGGAAAGAAAAAAATGAAGCGCAATAATCATTTTTTATGCTTTCGAAAGAGAAAAGAGAAATTGGATGAGAATTATATTCTTCCTTCATCCCATTCATCTATGTCAACCTTCCACCATTTCTCCTTACAAATAATTGAAAGAACAACATCAAAAATGCATGAAAATGGACATTTGAACGATTTGCATATAAATTTCTATGTTTCTTTTTTTTCATTTCAATTTTGAATCGAAACTTCTAGAGAGCGTATAGCTTGTCACAAGCCAATGAAATATTTAGATTGTGTTCTACAATTTTATGTCTTTCATTTCGACAGTTGTATGAGGAAACACGATGCGCGAGAGTAGGTTGATGGGAACCATAAATTATCGATAGCAAAATAACCAAAAGGTGACTTTGAATAAATGGTATAAATCATAGTTTGCTTCTCTCACTCTATCGTGTCATATCATCGGTGGAAAAAGAAAATAATGGAATTGCCGTAGTCGCCATGACGACAGATAAATAATAACACACAATTTTCTCATACTTTTACTTCATTTATGTATGATTCTTTTTCTATTTTCCACCCACAAATAAAAAGAAAAACATCCACCCAAAATACGCCACTCAAATATTCAACGTCAAACTCTCGTCCATATATTTCACGCCAATGTAAATAACAAGAGAAGGTAAAAGAGAAAGACAATTTGGAAGTAATTTGAATACAATATCTGAGAGACAAGTATTGAACAATAAATATATCGTGATATGTTGTGTACATGAATTAAATACAATAGATTTTTTGAATGTGCGTACTTCCTTTATATAAATTATGTTTGCTTCAGATGTGCAAGAACGTAAGCAACAATGAAAAAGAGAATTTTCCTGATGAAAATTTAATAAGCTTTTAGCAGTCTTCTATAGAAGTATGAGAATGCTTTTTGTAGGCAGTTCACCTTTAAATATTAAATATGGGGGAATTAAGTTAAAACTTGACTTTCAATTTTTTTCCGATAAAAACCTTCTGAAAGGCTTCTTCATAATTTTGAATCAAATGAAAAGTTTCCTTAAACAATGTGAGAGTAGGAAAATTTTAAAATGCAACACTCAAAAGTTCTTGGAAACTGCCATTTCCTTTCATTAAATCCAGGATGTAAAACAAATTTCTATTGAATTCAGTTCAAAGCTTTCAAAGCATCACAAGTAACAACCTGAGAGTATCTTTGAATGAAACCTAACAAACAGCAATTATAATTTTTCTTTAGTTTTATTTTGAAGAGATCTTCATTTTTATGTTTTTACATAAAGCCTATTGAAATTGTAGAAGCAGAATTCAGGGTGGGACATTTCTTCAATTTTTGTGTTCATTTTGTTCTATCATATAATAAATATATCCAACCGGCACGCGAAATGTTTAATATTTCAGCATTCGTTATGTAAATTTATCATTACATTAAACATATCTGTATGCGTAAATATCATGAAATGTCCCACTATAGGGATTTGAAATTTACACCCACGTAAAATTTAAGATAATAAGTTATAAAAGCTCATACTTACAGCACGTAAAATTTCAAGCTTCCTTCTTTGAGTATCTTGTATTTCTCGTCCCGACAAATTGGAAACCTAACGACGATATCCTCCGCACTATGCTGATTGTTAAAAGCAAACACAAGCTTCAACCAAAATGCGACATAACACTCATGTGAATGAAAATAAAAAATTTCTTTTTTTTCTCCGTTTTTCCAGGTATCTACGTGTTTGTGTGACAAAGTCTCACGTGTATATGTTCGTATTTTATCAGGAAAAATAAAAGGAGAATGTTAATTAAATATTAATGTTTTTGGGGGGTTTTTCCCTTTCCTTTCACTTCATATCACACCAGTTGTTAGATGTAAGGTTATTAGAAGCCATTATAAGAATGTCCCTAATGGCAAGTAGATTGCTCAACACGACACCGAGGATGATCTTGCGACAGATTTAATACAACCATCAATAATTTCTCTATTACTCAAAAGCTTCCACTGATAATGTTTGAAATTTTCAGCAAACAATGAATTATAAATCACTTGTTAATTTAAAGTTAAAATAACGTTCCTTTCGATAATCATATGAACGAAAATGACTTATGTCACCTTCTGGGAATATTCTTTAGTTTGCAAGATAAAGTTTTGTGAGATTTCAAGAATATTTTATTTATAAATAACACTGATACGAGAAGCTATGTAATTGATAGTGGCGACACCTCTCGATGTTTTTCCAACACTTATTATTATTTTATAACCAAATAAATGTTCTTCTTCTTCGTAGCCTGGTTTCTTGTATTTTTCAGCGAGCGAAAAAGGGTTTATTGACGAAATTTTTCTAATTGAATAATTTATAAGAATTTCCAAATAAGTTAAACACACTTACGCGTCATTTAGAAACAGTCTCGTATTTTATTAAATGCACAGATTATTTAAGTTAGTAAGTTTAGAGTCTAGAAATTGCACTTTTGGATAGATTTTACTAGTTTTTAAGCTTAAAATTTATGATTAATAGAAAAAATGCTTTACGTTGATACTTGATATGTATTGGATTTCAACTTAACTTAACTTAGCTTGTAATTTTTTTCTCAATATTTTTGTTTCTCTATTTTTCTAAATATTAATTTTAATTTTGATACTTTGTTGCACAATGATATGTATGCGATATAAACTTTTCACGTCTATTGAAACTGCCTTTCAAGCTGAAATTTCCACTCTCAAATTACGCCCCAGCAATACGACTTCCAAAGTTGAGCTCAGAAATGTCCGCAAAGAATTGCTCTACATTATTTTTCGCACAACCTGATTTTCAATTCCTTCAGCTTGTCTCAAAATTAAAGGAGATTTAGAGAGAAAGAGAAAATATTTGAGAGCTTTATATGAAGCGCATGTGTCGGAAAGGCAAAACACTCGAAACGTGCCTCAGTAAATGTTCCAAATGCCATGCGTTGAATAAAAAGAATTTTTTGGAGTATTCTATGTCAAAGTTTTTGGGTTGCCGCATCACATAACTCAGATGTCATATTTGTAAACATTGGATCAGAATGTCAGTCGTCTGCGATATTTATTTTTCACTTGTGGTGTAAATGAGATTTCCACATGAACTAAACTTTTCACCTTAAATACCATGAAAACATTATCGTGAATCAACGTGATTTGTCAGAGGCGTTGTTCTTCAATTCGTCGTTGAGATTTATTGAAAGCCGTCACTGTTGGGTTTGGTTATATGAAAAATACATCATACAAACATAACACAATATGAAAGCCCATCGCGTGTATCACGAGATTTTCTGTTCGTTTCACATTTCCTTTGAAGCACGATTCAGCTTTGTTAGCACGAACGAAAAAGACTTCTTTTTTTATTGATTTTTAACCCTGCTCCGACCCGGCGAATGAAGATGTTTTCAGCTATTTCACGTACTTGGAATTTTGTTCTTGTTTCTTGTATATATTTTATATGAAAATTATGAAAAGACTATTTTAATCCGTAAACGAAAAGTCAATTAAGTCATTTGTAATTTCCTTTAGCATGTCGTTAAATGTCCAATTGTCGATGAAAATTCAGAAAAACAAATTAATTTAATTAAACAAATAATCAAGCTCATGAAAACCAGCAATCGTTATTGATTTTCTTTGATGAATTAATAATTTTGAGTTCGAAAACAAACAGAAATTATTTCAAAAACAAATTGACGTTAAGTATGATGACTATGGACAAACACATTTTTTATCAAATGTTTTTAATGTAAGTCGTTTGATTATCATTTGATTATTTCATGTACGCACAGCCCCAAAAACAATTACAATGAATAATCCAAGGACGATTCAATAAACAACCTGAAAAGCAATTAGGTAAAGCATTATAAAACAAACAAGAAAGTAATTATAATAATTTTTTGAGAATTTTTTATCTATTTCTTAAAATGTTTTTTTTTTGTTTCATCTTTTTTCATTCACCTTTATTGTCGTTTTCTGCGACATATTAAATACATATTTATTTGTTTGGTTTCATAATCATAAAGACTTCGTATGGATTTTCTTTTTTACTTGGTTGGCTTTTGTTAGATTCGTGATGTAGTAATTAAACATTAAAACATATACAAATATTTTCTTTAATTTAATGTACAATACTTTTTTTTGCATCGGTTTAGTGTCATCTCAAGTGGCATGATTTTATATTTATTGACAAAATTCTGGATTAATAAAAAGAATTAGGAAAAACTTTAGCAATAATCGTGAGACAATTTTTTTTCTTGAGTATTTAAATGTTGATGCCAACTAAACATTCATTTTATGTGTGATTAAGAGTTGAAGCTTTCCATTTAATTTGATATTAAGAAGCGATTTTTGTTCGTGATAAGAAGCTTTGAGATTGAAAAATAAAAGAGAGATAAAATGAACTTTTCCATATTTAGTTTCCACTTCATATAACGATATCTTCGGTTCTCGCAAAATTTAAAATATTATTCTTATAAAAAATATAACAGCTCGTTTTTTAGTAAATAAACTTTTCTTTTACATTATCTTTTACGCGTAAATAAATTTAATTTATCAATATTTTGAGACATATTTTCTTTTCTCTCTTCCATCAGTTTTAAGCAGTTCATTTTTAATTTACCTATTACAGCGAATTTCATTCCATCTTTCAGGATACAACACTTTCTCTTCAGAGCAAATATATTCTTCTTCTTTATTTTGTCCTAGATAATTTGCAAATGATAAAGAATAAAAAACGTAAAACAAATTGATAATGTTTTGTAGGCCTTGAATAGTTAAATTTTAATAATTTTATTATTGCGACACTTCGTTCCCAGTTTTCATCTTTGTGAAGACGTGAAAAGAAAGATAAATATCTATAGCTATGAAAAGTGTCAAGGTAATATTCATTAATGTTTTAAAAGGATGAAAAATACCACAAACATAAATAAAAGTTTTCATCATGTTATGGACGGAAGGAAATTTTATTTTTATCGTCTTGTGAAAATGAAGGTAAATTGCCATTAAAAGGATATAACATTAGAATTATTTGCTTTTCTTTCTCATGGTTCACAAAGAATGAAAACGAAAGGTATCGTATTTCGATTGAATTATGCTTCAAGTGTTTTGAATTTCAAAAGCAGCAGATATGATTTGAGAGCTTATTTATGGGATATATTTTTTACTTTGTTTCTTGCCTTTTTTTTCGATCTCGCGTAACGCATGATTTCATAAAAATTTGGTACGTTTTTATCTCTTAGAAACTTTATAATGTCTGGAATTTTAGTAAAGGAATTTAAGAGAAACGGGGTAGTATCTTCATGAGCATGAACAAGAAATCAACGAGGGAAACCCATCGTGAAACATTCTAAATAGCTTTTGATCATTATTACAAAAATTGTCACAAAGTTTCGAAGAGCAGGAAATGAAAGATTATTTTAATGTTCTTAAACTTGAATTGGGCTCTTTTTTGGGTTTTTTCTTTATTACATAAAAACTCTTTTTGAAAGTTTTCAATTTCTTTATGTTTATCAATTCCGAAAAAGCTTTATCTAGATTTTCATCATATTTTTTTTGGATTTTTCTTTTTGACTTTCTTTTCTTATATCAAATGCTATCAAAGTTAAAAATGAATGGTGAAATATTTATTTTAAGAAAAGAAAAATAACATTATCAGAGATATTTCACAATCATCTTCAACAATATACTATCGTCTTGTTTTATTTACAATATTTTCATTTTCTTTTTATTCACAATATTTCAGTGACCTTTAATTTAATCTTTTTTTTTTTCGGGGACTTATATAAATGTAAATATTTCAAAGATATGATTTTTGTAGGTTTATTTCTCTTTTCATCTCATAGAGAAATTCTTGAGTTTGTTTTAGTTAATTTTAGCTAATTTCTATTAGTAGTTTTCTGAAATTTCTTTATGTATTGTTTAATGATCAAAAGAAAACATTACTTGATCGTTCAAGACTTTTAGAAAACATTACATTAGAATTTCATAAAAATACTTTTAATTTCTCATTCATCATTCGATATTTTCTGCGATTTATAACGAGTAATTTATTGGCTTTAAATGTCCGTTCATGTGAATTTTCTTTTAGAAAAAGTTTTTCTCAGGATATTCATTGTATCATTTTCTTTAAAAAGCAGTTTTCCTTCATCATGTGTTTTTAATGTTTTAACATTTTTTTTCTTTTCTAAGGCAAAAGTTGTCACTATGAACTTCAAAATGATTTGAAAGTTTTTTTCTCTTTTTACTTATCAAAGACAATATTTACACGACTCTTCTTTTTGTTCGGGAGCTTCTTAAATTTTTCTTTACGTTTCGTCAAGTAGTTGCTATCGCATTATCATAATATTTACATGTTGGATTTAAACATCAGTTTTAACAAGACCTTTTATACACAGATATTCTATCTTTTTTTTTGTATTGAAGAAGTTTCAAAATACCAATGATTGATTCGAGAAAAAAAGTATAAGAAAAGTATTTTCGAAGGATTAAAATCACTTATCTTCGAATCAATCGTTTAAAAATATCGTATTTAAGGTTTTTTTCTTTTTTCTTTTATTAAACAAAAAAAGCTTTCTTTTCTTGACTGATTGAACTTCTTTCAATAAGTATGTTAAAGGCTAATACTTTGAGTTCTGTTTGATGTGTTGATAAAATTAAACAATTTGTTTTCTTCTTGTTTACGTCTTCAATGTCTGCAAAAACACTTTAACATGCAATTATCCTTTCTGTCTTTTGAATGTCATTGACCTAAGGTGTTTGCTGAAAAATTGGGTTTTTGAATGGTTTCTGTTTGTTAAATTAGTTTTTACTGAAAATAAACAAAACGAAAGGAAAGAAAAAAGAAACGAGAATATATTCAATTAAGTATTCTAAGTTTTTATTAAAATATTTCAGCTTAACAACAATAAATGACGATATTATTTGTTTCGAATGGTGAAGGAGCAAAGGATTGAATGATAAGCTTCTACTTCACCAATTCGAAACTATGATAACTGTGATGATGCTATCATGATCTAATATTACTGTGCTTTATGACTATCTATAACTTTATTATGAGTACTAAATGAAAGCAATTGATGAACTTTATAAATAAAATACTTCCAATGAAATCAGATTTGTGTAAAGCTAAAGAGAATTTGATTCATATGTAATAAAACTTTTAAGCTTTATTCAATCAACAGCCATGTTCACGAAGACGGATAATTTTTTATATATCTTAAAATTGTCTAAAAGGAAAACAGAAAAGTTTTTGTGAACATGACAATAAAGTTTCGTTCTTGGGTTGCTAACAAATGCAAAGAATGTTTTAAATAAATATAATAAGCATTTGGTGATAACTCTTGTTAAGAGCTGAGTATAAAAAAATAAGCAATTAGCAGGGAAGATCAAGATATTTCTTGTTTGATGCATGGACAAATCACTCATTGAGAAGCATTGATGATTTTTCTTAACTTAATTAACTACCATTGTGATTCAACTATTCTCATTCGTCCAAAAATTGAAAAAATAATAAAAAACAACATTTAACTATTTTGTAAACTGTGAAATCAGTGATTGAGGTTTAATGCACACTTGGTTCCATCTCATTTCTATCCTTCCCACAAGTATCTAAACCCAACAATATTTTTTACCATCAACAACAATTTTTCGATAATTATAAAAATATTCCTATCCAACATTCAACGTCAATCACTTGTCTTCTCTTGTTTAAAATGTCAATGAATATGCTTTTTAAGAATCAGCAAATTTTTCTAATATCAAACATACCTATTCTACAAAACATATTGTTCAGGTTTCAAAATGTATGCAACCAAGAAGAGATTCGGCGCGCAAAATGAAAGGTTTTGTGAGTGATAAAGATACTCTAAGGAGGCTGTGTAGGTGTATAAGTAGTATTTTTGAGGGGGTGAATATTGATCTAAGTATAATGTAAACTTTTTATTGTTTTAGAAAGGAAGAAGAAAGAGAGAAAATGATGACAGACTTCATTGAATTATGAATGTTGATTAATCTCTGCTTCTCTTTTTAATATTTTCAAATATCAATTATGATTTATCTATTTTTAATCTCTATATGTAAGTGAAGATATCTATTTACATAGTTTAAACTTCAATTAAAAAATCCAGAAACTATGGAGAGAAGAATTAATTTTGAATTGAAACTAAAATTAATTTTCTATTTTTATAAGATAATGAAAGAAGCATTTTTGAATTTCATGTTAAAACTTCTCTTCATCTTGAATCTTGATCTGATACGTTAAAGCTCATCTGTTTTGGAATGACAACTAAGTAATCTAAGTAAGTGTTGTGCTAATATTAAAGCTCATTCCATGACGACATATAGGTAATAATCTTTCAAACGTCTAGTCTTAAATTGAATATTTATTTTTTGTTTGTTTTCTAGCTGCCGATTAATTTACAAATAATAGAAGTAACGATTATTGTGAATGTTAGTGTCGTGTTTGTTTAATGAAATTGGAATATCTTTTCATTCCATATTTAAGTTTTCAGACAATTAATAAAACTAAAAAGATTGAAAAGAAATGAAAGGTATGAATTATCTCGTTGCATATTTTTCATTTCTTTTGCGTGCTCTCTTTCTCTTTGATCCATTCATGTGAGTTTTTTTTCTTGCATTTAAATATTTCGTATTGTTATTGAATTCAATGAGTAGTGTTAGAGCTTAAGTGAATCTAATGACGCAATTGAAGAGCGTCTAGATAAACCAATACTAGGAGTATGACTAGGTACCAGACTGGTCGTTCCGAAGAGTTTGTACCATCCGATGACGATGTGTGAGAGATTAAGATTATCTAACATTATTTGAGCTACACCCATAAATACTTTTTTGCCCTCGATTCTTCCATAATCACCCCAAACTGTCACCTACGAGAGAGAAAGAGAGAGACAGTGCAAAAGATAAGTAATCGATTTAAATTCTGACCATATTAATCAGATTAATTTATGTCGAATACTTACTTGTAAAATACATCCTTGGAACGGTTCTCGAAACGCTAACATTTGTTGATAAAGTGGATCGAGCGTTTTTCTCGCCGCTGTTGTTTTAGCTTTGGCAATGCATTTCTTTCCTGATACTAGATATACTTTAACGTATGGTGCTGGCAAAACTTTAGAACCGGGACGTGCCTGAAATAATAAACACATTTATGTCATCTGACAACATAAATAAATCTTCTTAAATTGAACCTGTAATCCTCTCGCTCGTATCACCTCAACTTCAAGGAAGCCTTTCTGATAGCACAGCGATAATTGAATATCGCCTAATGCTGGAGCACCTAAGACTTGCCGACCAACCAGTTGACCGGGACCCAAGCCATCAATAAATTCAGAAAGTTGACCGCCGTCACCAACCATCCTTAACGATGGTGACCATCTAAAGTGGATGATTTATTGTTATTACTTTAAAATATTTTTCTATACATTTAAACGCTAATTAAGAAGCGACAACTAGTAAAACTAAAACAATATTTAAAATTTATATTTTCTGAAATGTGTTAAATTATGAACAAATAAGAAAGCAATTTTCAATGAAGGAAAATATTTGATGAACATTTATGATTAACGAAACTGAAAAGCTAATAAATAAAATGAAATATTTCCAAGCACTAGTTCATAATGTATGCTTAGGTGAAACGATGTTATGATTTCTTAAAATCTAATGATTGTGAGTTAGAAAGTGAAGCATGTGACAAAGAACCAAAGAAATTAAATTTTCAATCAGCAAAATAAAATCATTTGATGTTTACAGATTTTACTTTTAAAGGAAGGCGTTTAATAAAAACAATAAAATGTATTGCTAGGAGTTGTTGCTTGCAAGATGAAAATAACCGTATTGGGGTAAATCCTTGGAAAGATCAGTCAGTCATCAGGGAGAAATAGAATAAATTCTTTTCTAAACAATTCTAAACATAAAAGATTCGATTAAAAACGAAGTAGACACAAGAAAATTTAAGGAATATAAGTAAATATATGTATAGATATGTCTTTAATGTTTATATAAATCTAAAACTAATTCAAAAGGAATTGAATATGTAATTGGATCTAATGTTAAGCTTATGGTTATCTAATTAGGATGGAAATGAATGTGAATTTTGTTGCGTTAGAATATTTAATTAAAAATTTATTACAGCCAAATTTGTTTTTCATTTCACAAGCTTTAGTATAATTAAAAATTACAGCACTTTAAAAAAATGAAATTAAATGAAATAAAGAAAAGGTGCAAGCAGATATACTTAGTGACTACACAACATATACAGCTTCGGAAGTGAATAAGAAAGAAGATTAGCTCATGTGATCGCCATCGGGAAAATACTTCAAAACCCACGGAAAATTACGAAAGGAAATTTATTGTCAACTTAAATGAGAAAATTCGCTTATGGATAGACACAAAAGTTAAAAGAATATTTTAGTAACCCCGTGATGCTTAACATTTAGAAAGGAGAAAGAAACTATAAGATTTTTTGGATACAATTCAACAGCAAAAACAACGACACCAAGATATACAAAAATCGTGGTGAAAGATAATTTTCCAAAAGTTTCAGATCAAAAATCAAACAAAAAATATTGAAATAAATTTTTCACATCATTTCAAAATAAATTTATAAAAACAAAATTAATGTTTTTTTCTTTTTTTGCTTCGGCCGAAATGAGCGAACACTTACGATGAGCCTTCTGAACTAGAGATTGAATGCAGACTACCAGCTCGATAAGTCGGAACGACTTCAATAGAGCGTTGAATGGAACCAGCAGATGAACGCTTTCGTTGTGAAGCAGCGCCTTGATCTACATGTGTGCAAGGAATTGGAATTGAAGCGTCATATTTAGGAAGATGATCAGATGATTAATATTTTGAGTTTTTAAATTAAAAGACAATTTTGTATGCTTTTTTTTCTTTCAAAGTTATTTTCTCTGTGTCTCTATAGTTGTGAAAATCAAAAAGGTCTTTATTTTGATGTAGCTGTGTATTGAGAACTATGAAGTTTTCGTTTCACTTTTTGAAACTTTTGGAAGCATGGAAGAAATGTTTTCGTAGTTTCTAATAAATAAGCACCATTTACAATCCATTTACAGTCGTCAATGTTGGTTTTTATGTACATTAGCTTCTATTCAAACATAATGCAAATCGATAATGTAATGAAAATCATAATTTTCCGATCATAAATAATTTGTGTTGATTTTGTAAATATTTTAATTATATCCAAATATAAAAAAAAGCATCTAAATAACAACTTTCGTTCTAAATCTCCCCACAAGTATTCATTAGTCTTGCATTTAGTTGAAAATTAGTAGCATGGGCGTGTTTTTAATGTAAAGTTTGACGTTCACTACATAATGATTTGTTCGAGTAAATAAATTTACTCCATATGATTTATTTCTGAGATTCATTATCGGACATTGAAAACTTTCACTTGAATGATGAGATATGAGCCAATAAATTAAGAGATGATCAATATAAGTACAACTCAAATAAATATTAAAACAACTTTGCAAATAATCACATGAAATATTAAGAAATCATAAGATCCACTAGAAAATCAAAAGAACGAAAGTAGTGTATGATCAAAGCGAACCTGTCGCCTTCGGCACTTCCTTCGCCATCACTTGAAGCGGAAGAGCCGCGTGAAAGCCCTCCACGCATCTCGCCAGGCAAAACTTCTTCGCTTCGATGTATCGTAAATGAGTTTTTACCCTTTTTTCCAAAACCCATGCGTCTTTTCCGACCTTTAGTTTATTGTTGCAGAGGGAATTTTTAATGAAGTTAATTCAAAATACTTTTTTCTTTAAAACTATTTCTTTTTTATGTTCTAAATTTCGATTTGACTTCATCTAAGTTGAACTCAGCGCTACTTATTGACCAAATTATTTTTTTCAACATTCGAATTGTTAAAAATCAAAGAAAATAACGGGAAGTGGAATACTTAAGCTCTTACTTAAATTACCTGTTGCTGACAACTGTGACGTTGAGTTGCTTTTCTTGCCCATGCCGCTGTTTGCACCAAAACGATCGCGATCTCTTGTAGGAGTTTCACTTTTTGGAGATCTTTGGTCCATTTGTTTCCCTCGTCTACTGTCAAGGCCTGTTAGTCCTACAGCTGTATCACTTAAGCTACCATCTAAGAGAAAAAATAATTTAAATATAAAAAGATTCCTTCTTAATACAGAAAGATAACATTTTATTAAATTAATATAACGAGAAATTATTTAAAACTTCACAATTTGATTTGTTTGCGTAGTTTTCTTTAATTAAACTAATTTTCTATTATTTAGAACAATCAAAAAATTCTAAAATTCCATTCGCCACAATTCTTGAACAAATAATTTCATCAGATGGAATTGGATTAGCAGTCGGCGCAGTTGGTACAGTTGGAAGAGGGTTGGCCGTAGGAGCTGTTGGAGGTGCTGATGTGCCAGGTGTTGGGGCCGTTGGGATTGGATCACATTGCACTATGACCAGTGTCACCAAAAGTAAGAAAATTGTTTTTGCAAACATTTTTATTTTTATTTAAATGTCAAGCCAAACCGCAACTGCTTCAATTCAATTTCAACTTGGAACTGATTTTGCGAAATCTTTCGATCGATCCAACATTTTCTTATCTCAATTAATTCTTTTGTCTTTCTATCGATAAGTGCGATTAGCAGATTGTAATTTTCAGAAGTTTTAATCAAAGGATTATTTTAATTGATGGATTACAACCATCACGTTAAGTTTTTTAAAGTCAGACAAATTAATGTGAAGTTCAAGTGTGAAGGAGATAAAAATAATTTAGAATAAAGAAATTTTACTAATCAACTGATAAACGAATTGAATTAATTTTAACTTATCACATTTGTAGTCTTTAAGATTCAGAAAAAAAATTAATTCTAATAATCAACTCACCTATTCTATCTTCTAGATTGGTATCAGTATTTGATAAGCTACGATTGAGGGTTCCATCCTTCTGATCACGGTCTAAAGCATCTCGATCTTGGTCAGTTCGCTCATTGGTCCGTTCATTCTTCTTAAATGATTCACGATGTCCACTTTCCAAATGTCTTGACCTTCCACGATCTCTGTCATAATCGCTGTATGTTTTGTTTGATGTATTTTCCAAGGAATCACGAGAGGATTTAGCGATAGCATTGGAAGAAGCAGGTTTATTTAAGTTATTACAAATATCAGGATTAGGATTAGGATTGTTTTGTTTCAAAGAGTCATAAATAATATTGGAAGGTTCATCAAGAATTAAAGAACTTTTAGATGAACTCTCAATATTCAACAATTTTTTATTTTTGCACAATGGAGACTCATCGAAAACGTCATCAAAACATTCGTTGTCTTTATCTTCATCGTCGTTGTCAAGTTTTATTTCATTTGACGTTTCTGAACTCGGTGAACGACATTTTGATGATTCTTTGAAATCTTTACATTTATTTTTTATGTCTACGAGTGGAAAAATATTTTTTTTGTCGTCAACTTTTATTTTTAAATTTTTATTCGTAGCTTTCGAATCACAATCATCAAGGGGTGTAAGAAGTAGTTTAGATGTAACAAAATCCAGTAATGGATCGAATGATGTTTTTCTCAAGAATTCCTTTGATCGCTTCAATTCTCTTACAAGAATTTTTTTCTCATAACTTCTGTCTTCTTTTAAATTGAGCCTTAAATTTCCGCGACGTGAATTTTTCGTGTCTAAATTATACACCTCAGACGAAATATTTTCAGAATTGATCAAAGGAAATTTAATTAAAGAAGGATAAAAGTTTGAACATGTTTGATTTCGTCGAACGGGAACAACAGGAAGTCTACGACGGTTATAATAGTTTATTGGCAAGCTTCTAGCATTGTGAAAGGGATTGCGGGAAATTTCTTGAAGTTTTATTTCATTTGAAATCTCTTCGTTTTCCTCAAAAGGAAATGTTGAATAAAAATCATTTTCATGTTTTCTGATATTATTAACAACATAAAGTCGAGAATTTTTTGAGAATAAGTGAAGATATAAACTTTTGTTTCATCCAAAAATAAACTCACCTTAATCCTTTTGAACCCCGCGGCCTTTCAGATTGCGTAGAGAAGGCACTCGATGTTACACTTACAACAGATTCCATATCTGAGTCTCCAAAGTCTCCTATATAATCTTTATCGGGTGAAAGAGAATTTCTTGGTCTCAGACGAGTTTCAGCGTTCGTTAAATCACTATCAGACAGTCCGGAATAATGTCTTTCCCAACCTTAAATAACCATAAAAATAAAAACATAAAATTATGACAATAACTAGCTGATAAACTTTCTCATCTCACCACCTTGACCGGTACTTCGGTATTGTGGCATGTGATGTTGACGTGCACCGCGATGTCTCCGTCCACCGACAGTTGAACGATCCTCAAAGTCTTGCATCAGTCGATCTCGAATTGCGGAGTTGCGTGATATTTGAGGTACTTTTGGCAATTGGCGCTTTTTTGGTGAACCAGTCGGCGTTGCCGTTGCTGAACGAGATTGAAATTTTGGAGTGAATGATTGTTGTTGCTGGAGTGGAAGAACGGGGTAATCTTTAACTGTCGACATATAACGGTTATCTGGTGGTGACAAAGAACCGCGCCGATCACCCCGGTAACTATCACTTGGCGCTGCTGATTGACTACGATGACTCATCGACATAGGTTCGCCTCTTCGTTGTATTTGAGACTTTAAAAACGAAAGAGAAGTAATGAAAGCATAAAATGAAAGAATAAAAAAGTTAGAATCTTACTTGATGAGGGTATGTTTGTGTTCCACCAACTCCTGATACTGTTTGATAATCACGTGACACCATACCAGCAACTCTTTTACGACCTTGTGGTGACATATCACGTCGCGAACGACGTTCAATCAAATCAATCTGTAGATGAAGGTAAAAAGTTTTCGATTATAATTTGGAAAAAATTCACAATGTTTAAAGCAAATTTGAAGTTTCTTTCATATTTTTTTTTCTTTCACTGAGACATTTCGACGATATTTTGATTTCATTTTCTAAAGCTGTAAGCTATCTAGTTTAAGCAGCATATTTAAGTGTTATGATAAAAGCTTAAAGCATTGTTAAACAAGGATTATCATGTGCTTTCTTACAAACTCAAAAGTAAATACTTCAATAATTGCATGCATAGATAATCTTTAAACTTTATTTTTCCGTTCGGAAAACAAATATTTTGTGTGTTTGTGTGTTATATCTTTCTTGGGCTGTAAAAGGAGATATGTCCATAGCTTCATGAAAAGAATTAATATAGAAAGAAAATAGTGAGATTAGGAAGAAAAGACAGTTTTGCGTGGATTAAAAATGTCTTTTGAGAAACCTAGAAAATTATAAAGAAAGTTAATTATTTGTATAGTAGAATGGATGAGATGTTTATCGTGAAAACAGTGACACAATTCATTAATCTATAAAAATTTTTTCTGTTCATTTTTTGATGACGATAAATAGAAACTAAAAATAAAAAACAATCTTTTGGAAGAATTGCTTTTTGATTCTTCAGATGGTTCCATTATAGAATTTGAATTTAAATCATTTGAACATTGTTGTGCTTTTTTAATAAAAAGTTTTCATTCAATTCATGTTGGAACATTTACGACACAGCATAGTTCAAATGACTTCCATCTTTTTTTCGAACAAATTATTTCATCAATTAGTGTATAAACATCAGAACGATTTTATCGTTCATCACTTTGCTTTGCGTGTTTCATACGGGCACAAAAAAATATTTTGCTCGCGCACACACATTCAGATTTCATAATAAAAAAAGAATATGGAAAGGAAAGATAAATAAAAGTAGTAGAGAAACACTGACGGTGAAAAGAATCATTTTGAAATCATGTACCTCTGGGGGTGGACTCGATGAACTACCCAGTGATGATATGCTCGCTCCATCACGTCCCGTAGTTAATCCATCAATATCACATTCTGATGTATCAGAGTCACTAAGACGTGAAGTTGTGCTTGGTGGTGATAGATGATCCGTTGGTGTAATAATATCAATCTCATGACCGCTGTGATGTAGCGAATGATGAACATGATCGTCGTGTTTATGATACTGTATTGGAATGAAAAGTTTTATAAAGAAAAGCGATTATCAAGAGTATTTTTTAGCAAAGAGTTTTTTTTTCTTCTCCTTTGATTTCCAGATCATTTTTTTTTCTCTGTTTCTTTAATGAGAGTTCTAAGAAAAAAGTTTCTAAGAAATGAAAATCAAATTGGAAACGAATGAAAGCACATCAACTGGAGACTTCTACGATCAGTAAGAAAATTAAATCTATGATCAAAAGCTTTCAAAACAAAATATTTGCTAATGCGAAAAAATGTGTGTACGAACCCCTCCGGGATAGTTGGAATCCTGATGGGCTTGAAGCATATACCATTCAGGTTCGTCGTCGAGAGGATGATTGTGTAAGTCGACAACGATTTCGCCTAAAAAATCATTCACACCATAACGAACATAATCCCAAAGTGTAATCTGGAAGAAAGCATAAATAAATATACGAGAGATTCTTTCAATTTGCGCAACTCACTTCAAGCAATCGATTTGTGATATCCGCTCGCCTTAAGCCCGAAAAAAGAAACGTTTGCCCCCATCGCGGCTCATTTGTACTAGCTAATGTTTTCGTTCGACGTTTGGATTTGTCAGAATGACAAGGAAGCAAAAATATCTGATGACGAAATGAAAACCAAATTAGTTGAAATTTATTTATGCGAAGATACAAAGCGAAGAACTTACTTTGGCGTATGGATTGCGTGCAGCTCCGTTAGGTCGATAAGTTAAGTCTGCGGCACAAACTATCGTAACAATAAGTTGAAGTGCACTCGATTCAAAACCTAACTTTATTTGCATACGTCCACCGATGTTCGGATCGATGGAACTTGATTGTGAGAATCGACCTTGATATCGTCCTAATGGTCGTTTCGAATGAGCTGACGCTTGAAGTTTCTGTTGAAAATTAAAGTCCGGCGAACCCGGCGATGTCACTAAAACACTTGGCTTATCACGGCCATCAAACGATTCTATTTTAAGAACAATTTATAAGGATGAAAAGCAAGAAAAGTAAGAAATAATTAAATATTTTCTCAAGAAAATTCTCGAAATATCACACAATAATCATCAGATTCTCATTACGCAACTTGATTAAGAAAAGAAAAGGAAATAAAATAAATTGTGTAAGGTTAGTTTCACTGTAAGCAGAAATGTGCTGTTAATGTCCGTTTTGTGTGTGAGTGTATGACTGTGATCGAAACCCTTGAATTACACAAAAGAAGAAGGATTTTTATATTTTGTTTTGTTGCTCCCCATTTTTTTGTTTCTTTTTCTTTTATTTTAATTTTCTACGAGGATTAAAAGTTGATTTGAGAGAGAAAATTTTTTGAGGTTTTAATGGGAAATGTATCCGGAAAAAGACCTCCACGTTTCGCCAACGAGAGTAACAAAAATTATTACAGTAGATTACAATCATCATGATATCAAAATTATAATGTCATAATCAAAATGGGCTACCTTTATGAAGATATTGTCGAGTTTGTGCTCGAATAGGTGAATGTGACTGACGCCAGGAAGTTTGAGCAGCTTTTCGATTCACGCTCAACGGTCGCGACACAATTAATTCAATTTGAGACTCATGTCGACTCTCTTCAATCACATCGCACACTTCCTGTGTGCTTTTACCTTGTAATGACCGACCATTCCACTCAATCACTTCATCGCCTTTAAATAAAAAGACACGAAATAAAATAAAATAAAATAAAATGAACGAAAACGTATAAGCAATACCAACAACTAAACAAAGGATGAATGAACTAATTGTGTGCAGAGAGCGGGGGCGGGAAATGAGGGTGTGTGGGAGAACTGGGAGTTGGTTGGCTAATTTATGATTGTGAGTGGTGGGTGCTAAAAGATGTGAGTCTGTCAAATTAAGCAATTGTCTTACCCGGCTTCAAGTGACCCTCTTGATCGGCGATGGATCCACGCTTAACTTTCTCTATGACAGCACCTTTTCCTGTCGACAAAGCTTTGCCACCAACAATTTTTAAACCTAATATATCTTCGCCATCGATATTCTTCCTCAATATCATATGACCAATCATACGTTGACCATCTGCTGATACTTGCCAACTTACTGGATTCTGTATCGTTAAAGATTCACACAAGTTTTGTTTTCGTACAAAATACGAGAGTAGGTGGCGAGATTTTTTTTTTTGGTTTTTCGATATAAAATATATTTTGTTTTGCGCAACATGATGTGTTTGATTGAATTTTTTTTATGGAAATTGATGACAAAAAAAATGTGAAAAGAAAAAGAAAAGTTTGTCTTAAACTTACATCTTTTTTTTAATCTAAAATATTTCTATCATGCCAATAGTGGTTTACATTTAAGAAAACTTAAACGTAGATGATGATAAATCCAATTTTTCTTTCTTTTACTTTCCTCACAAGATTTTGAAAGAAAGTTTTGAAGAAGAAAGAAGGATGTTTGAAGACACAACACACACACATTTCCGAGTGTTAAACTTTTCACATTCCGATTACTTAAATTCTTACTTGTAAAGAAAGTTTTTCATGCAACTAAGAAATTAAATGCTGCAGCAAAATTTGGGTCGTTTAAAGCTAAACAACTTTAAAAAACGACTCAACAAACAGTTAAATGCTTTTAAACTACAGCATATAGATTAAGCAATATCATCAATCAAACATTAAAAGGAAAAGATAGTAGACAACGACATGCAAAATGGGAAAACAAAGTCTACATTATCTCGTGATAAAAGAAAACTTAAAAAGAAAAATATAATTAAATAAAACTTTTATTTTATTCCGAAAGAAGTAAAAAAAAGTAAAAGAATTTTTTTTCGATTCGCTTTCCTATTGCTTTCAAAGAAATTATGTAGCTTATTAAAATTGCTCTAAGAGCCTACAAATTTCGTCTCTTCCACTGTCTCAAGACGGATGGGAGATTTAAAGGGATTTTAGTTTATGGATTGTTAACGATTTTATTTAAGAAAAGACGTAAAACAAGATTCGCAACAATCCACTGAAAGATTATTAAACATTTTGCACTTTTCACAAGTGGAAGAAGTTTTTTTTTTTCGGTTCATGTTTAAACTACCTTTGGTCCATCGCCTCGATTCGAATCTTCACTACTGGTAAACGTGCTACTCGTGTCAATTCCCGAATCTTTAGTTGTTGAATCTTGACTTCCCTGTCGTTCATTCTCCCATCGCGAGAATTCATCTGAATCTTGACCATCAAATCGAACAGTTTTCTTTCTTCGCTCGGTGAATCTTCGATTATCACCAGATGCTTGTTCATCGACATATGGATCGATGCTATCACTTAAATAACGACTATTCGAATAATAATTGTAACTACCGCTATTCGTCGGATTGGGTTGAGTGGCACTAGTTCTATTGTAATAGTTGTATGATTTCGTTGGAGAGAGAGAATTTGTGGTTTTCGTTTGATTGTGTTGATGATGCGCTAAGTCATCAACATTGTGGTCTATGTGCGTTGAAGGAAGAGGATTGTGGTAACTATTACTACCTATTCGATTATTGTTATTGTTGAATATGTGGCTCGAGTGATTAACACGATTGTATTGATTCTTTTGATGAATATCCAGCTTTGAAGGTTTTATTGTACTTGAGACTGGCTTTGATTTTGCAAGTGATATCCGGTGTGGCTCTAAGGTCGGTGATACTGCCGTTAGTCGTGATGTTGGTGCACCATCAAAATACTCGCTTTTCCATGCTGCAAATTTTATTGCGACAAAGTAATTTTTATGATTGTGTGGTTCATCAAGGATTAAGTTTTCAATTATCTAGTTAATTATTTTCTGTAGAAAAATTGTCTAAGATTGAATAATCGTTGTAGATTTTAGATACGAAAGGTTATATTTGTAATTATAACATCACACGAGAGAAAAAGAGACATTTTTTATGATTTCCCTTTTCCCCTAAACGGCGTTTTAGTTTTATAAAAGAAGCTTTAATATTTTTATGACTGTCAATGTCAACTAAGTATTGTGTCATTCACAATATAAAACTTTGATTAATGACAAGATTACAAACATAAAGTATTAAACACGAAACAGAAGTTATCATGTTTGAGTCGGTGGATAATTTTTCTTCTAAATTCTTCGCATTGTTGTGATTTAACTTAACATCAACTTTTCTTTCTGGTGCCTTTAAAGTTTAAACATAAAAGTTTTATTAAATAAAATTAGGTTGGAAAAGAAAATTGTGCAACATGATCTAAATACGATTTTTAAATACCAATACTGCCATCACCATACAGATTATTATTATTGATAGGGGAAGAGTTCAGATAGGTGAAAAGATCAGATAAATTCATCAATTTAAACGATTGCTTGTTCAAAACAGAAAAAAGTTATTCTCGAAAGAGAAGCCAAATGATTAAATTTAAAAATTAATCAATTTTAAATTCCCACAGATATTTATTATAATGAAATAATTGCAATCGTTTTAATTGAACGGAGAATGGGGAGGAAAAGGAAAAGAAAATAGAAAATTAAAAGTTAATGATAAGGAAAAACATTTCTGTTTAGAGAGAAATTATGGAAAGCTGCCATAAGATGAGAGAAAGAGGAAAGAAGAAATTTTCACAATCAAAGCAAATTTAATTTAAGCGTCGTGTTTCGAAGGTGCTGCAAACTTCATAAAAAGGAAAATGCAATTGATCGTCAACTAACGATAAAAGCTTTTCACAAGACTATGAAGAAAGCAGCACCATCTCCACCTCCGGCTGTTCAGCGCTCCAATAAACATTTCATTCGATAAATAAAAAAAAGTTGAAGTAATATTTGAAACATAAAGAAATGAAAATCCTTAAATAATTTAAAATAAAAAATTGCTTTTATGTAGTTACCGCCAGAAAAGTTTTTATCTTTTTGTCTAAAAACGTTTGATTTTTTGACACATCAGATGACGATGACGATGGAGTTGAAGCTTTCCTATCTACTTTTATATTCTCGCCTAAATGATTTGACAAATTCAACAAAATTGGTTAAGTCAATTTTAATCTTAAGCTTATGCTAATGATGGGTTTAAACCAAAGGATCTAGAGAGATTATAAAGGTTTAAAGTTGAGTTTGAATAGAGCACACAAAAAACTGTAAGAGGAGAAGTTTAGATATTCAGTTTTATAGGAATAAATTCTTTTGTTGACGCGAATCTATGTAACGATAAAAAAGTGTAAATCTAATTAAGTTACATATTTAAATCAATGTAAACGGCATCGAAAACAATCTTGAATCAACATAATAAAACTGGATGAATATTCCTATATATTCTAAAATTAGATTTTGATATTGAAACGAATAGAGAATCAGAGAAGAAGAACATTCGAGCTATTCGCAATAAAGTCTATTCCAGGTATGCAATAATTTCTTTACATTCTCAATAAATCGAGTGAATGAATTATTACGATAGGAAAATAACTTTAAATACTTCCCTACAATCAACGATTATTAAAATGACAAACCTCTCAACTATAATTTTCATTTAATCTAACTGCGCATTATTCTATGTATTCAATACATAAATATGTCTATGTTTAGAGTAAATAAAATCTTTTTTACAAATGTGACAGCTCCACTTAAATCACATTCGATTTATTCAATCAATATCTAAAAATACTTTGAAAAGTAAATGACAGTAAAGTAAAATACAACACGAAACAAAATCAATAAATAACATAAAGAAAGGGTGTAATGTATGATGTTATAATTAAAAATATCTTTTTTAATGGCAACACAACTAGTTTTTGTAAATAGTTTCAACATTTTAGCTGACGAACATCTCCAGCTAAAACCACGAGGAAACTAGAAGAGAATGGTTCATAATTTCATTGGTTTTAAGTGAAATATGAATTGAAAGCTTCTGAAACTTTGTTAAGTAAAGCTTTAAAGAAAGGAATACGATATCTAAAGGTTTCGGACTGAAACTAGGTACTTCAAGTTCCATGAAACTAATAAAAGTCTTAAAGCTTTCTTCTTTAAACTTGAACAACATCTCTTTTAAAGTCCTCAATAACAATGACAAGAAATAAAAAAAGTCATTGCTTGTATCTGAAGTATCATCAAAAATTGTTATGTATTTGACTCTTAATGCGATGTTTTCTGATGTTTCAAATATAAATTGATCTATTTTCTTAATGGGGAGCAACTATTGACACTCAAAGTAAGATAAAATACAACTTTTAAATGTTCTTCAGTATTAGCTTTGTATGATCAAAATATTTCAAACAAAATATGATGAAAGTGTTTAATTTGTGTCGTCAATAAAATTTATTAATGAAAGTTAAGAAAAGTGTTAAACTTGGTTAAATATTTTTGATGTTCATAAATGGTGTTGAGAATTCTTCAACTGAAAGCTTCACGTTAGTTATAATGCATTTCGCAATGTTTCCGGTTACAATCAAATAAAGTTACATCCGATTAAACTTTAATGAATTGAAAAATAAAATCTGAAACATTAAATTCCAGTATCATTAATTAACAAACAAGAAAGTGATTCGTGATTTCTCAAGCGTTTCTTAATTTTTTTTGCTTTGGAAAAAATAAAGCAGGAAAGAAAAAGATGGCAACAAACGTCAATTTTATTGATTTTTCATAAATCCTTTCTGTTTTGCTTTTTTCAATATTGTTTCTGCTTCCTGATATTTGCTCCCTTGAATTTTGCTTTTTTTTTATGTTCGAGATGTGTGGTGAAAACAAAAAGCTTCGCAAACTTTTTTCATAATTTCGCTCATCTAAGAAACTTATATTTATTGCTTATTCAATCTTCAATTTGTTATCTCGGTATTTGCAATGTATTTCGAGCACTTCACATATAACAAAGTTGTCTTCTTTTAGCGTTTTTTCGTTACCGCTTTGGCTACTTACTTAAGGATTCTCAAGCGTCGTTTCCTTATGCAGATACATATTACAACGACGTTCTAATGACAAAAGACAGAAACGAGAGGACTTTCAATACATAATAACGAACTGGTACATGACTCTGAGAGCAGTCAAAGACACTAGAATGGAAGTCACATTGTATCATGAGCAATTTAGAGTTAAATTGATGCCATAAAATCAACCAGAAAAAAAACTTAAATAAGTATCATTTGGCTTTCATGACACACTCGTATTTTTTTCCTCTCCTTTCTTCTTTTTTATTATAATAAAAACTACGGAACTAGAGAAGCAGAAAATATGTTGCCAATTATTATTGATTGTCAACTAGATTGATTTTTAATTATTGCCTTATGTATCGTAACAAGAGGACAAAAAGGGAAATGAGAAAATAAAGCATTGACACAAGGACGTGAAAACATAGCAAACATCGACATCTTTGAGGTACTGAAAGGACGTTTTTGCTTTGATAAATGTTTGCTCATTTCTCATTAATTTTAAGACAAGAATGAGAGAAGAATTTAGTCTCAATGATCATTATTAGTCATTGATGAAGTATAAAATCTCTACAAACTACAAAAGTGACCCAATTAATATTCACGTGTCTTTGTTATGTCAGCTGACTAAGAAAGTGAGTGAACGAAGGAGTGAGAAAGATGAAGAAGGAAAATCGAGTGTGGGTAGAACAAGATGAATCATTCAAGATCTCTTTTTTGTAATAATTTCTTCATTTATTCCCACTTCCGTTGATTATGTTCATGTACGTCACGAGAGCCATTCATAAAAATGCTTCACTCTTGTGCGAGAAAATGAACAAGAGTTTGAATTGAAGCTGCAGTTTGCCGCCTACACAATTTGCAAACAACAATATTTTCTTTCAGCAAATATTGAGCGGAATATGTAAGGGTTCAAGAAAAATTTTCAACAGTTTTTCATGCAAGAAAAAGTTGTAGAAAAAGGTAAGAAAAAGTGACAATATTAATTAGAATGTAAAAAATAATTTCCAACCTACGATTTGACTTCAATTGCATTTGCAGATATTGCTTGTTTAAATCCTTATCGAAAATTTAATTAGTTAATCCAATTTTCCATGAGAAGTTATTTTATAAATTAAAGCGAACTTTCAGTAATTTCATTTAACGCATGTTGAACTTTTAGACTTATGGGATTTTCCAACTTTTTTTATAAAATGCATTCAAATATTGTACCATTTGCAGTCAAACGTGCATTGAATTGGGAAACTTAAACACTTTGAAAATTCTTTTCGTTCTCTTTTCTTTTTAATTTATTTTATTCAACACCCAAGAACTCTTTTAAAAATATTTCAATAATTTTTCTTATCGCGTATTTTTTCTTATTTTTAAAACACTTTTTAAATGTTTTAACTTCAGTTGCTTAATTATTAGTCACCGTTTTTCTTTTGCCACCACTTGAAGCTCTATGTGCTTTTTGTAAATTAATTAAAATTGATTTTTCACAATTTTTTCTTCCATTCTCTGTTTTCGTGTGAAAGTTGAATCGAATGTGGATATTTTTAGAGCTTTCGCTACTGTTTTTCCTCTTTTTTATGTTCTTTCTTTTCGTTCTCTCCCTCTCTTGTTCTCACTTGCTTTTGTATTTTACTGTTAATCTAAACCGAACGAACCATTCACTACAAAAGTTTATTCTACAATGAAAGGCATTCATTCCGAGGCAACCGAGTAAAGGCACCTACTACAGAAAAAGTTTATTTTTCTTTCTTCTTCTTTGTATTTCGTTTGTAAGTATCGTGAAGGGAAAACGAAGAAAATTTGAATCGTATGGAAAATAGGGTGAGAAACTATACTGAAAAAAAGGCTCAGCGCTCGCTGCCATCACACAACCACAATCACAATTTCAATATGAGAAAATGAGAGAAAACAAGAGAACCATACAAAGTTGAAATTATTATGAAAATTAGTCTGCAAATGGAAATTCGAATAAAAGAAATGGAATGGAAACGGACGGGAAAATCTTTACAAGGAATCGGTAAAAAAAAGAAATGAGAACACGAAAAAAGTTGTGAATAAATTTTCACATTTAATAGGCTTTTCAATGAAGGGAAGAGGGTATGTAGCAATCCTACATTACACAATCGTTCGTTTGTATATATGTACATAGTTTTGTCGTGTCGAATAAACATTGAACGACATAAAAGATGAAACAGAGATAGAAAGAAAGGAATTCATGTAAATCTAGAGTGATGCTTCCAAATCATCATTTACATGCAATCATTGTACCAACAAAAATTCATATAAATCCTACTTGAATTATGGTGTGAAATGTATAGGGTTGACGATGGTTAAATAGTTAAAACATTTTATAAATTACACTGAGACTACCTATGTAGCTCACAGTGACATTAAAAGGAGAAAAAAAATGTTAAACAGTTCGCCTTGTTATACATTTACTGTTGAATTTCAAACGAAGTCGCATTTATAACGAAATCATAAATAAATGTAACAGTAAATATATTCTAAATGTGCAGTAATTTATTTGTTCTTTTTTTTCCGACCGACAAGAGTTCAACTTATAACACGCTTAGCAAATCACGATCACATTTTTTTGGCTGTTTGTTGATACGAAATGACATTAGGGTGATGTACGTTAATGATGTTAGAATTAAATGTTTTTAATTAAAAGCTTCATGAATTGAACTTTAGACAGAAGTTTTTTTAACATTAATTTATTGTCATGACAGCATTTACGAACATTTCACTTTTCATTTTTTTTGTAAACTCAGGAAAATCCTTGTAATCAAATTAACTTGTTTTTGTTTGACTGTGTTGCTGAGTCTTTAAATAAACTTATAAAATAATCACTTTCATATGAAAGTCAGACAGTTTTTTTTCCTTTTCATTTTTCGTTTCAACATTTTTCGTTGGAAAGAAGGGGAGAAAAATGTGAAAAAAGGTTGAAACTAAAATGAGCGTTCAACTTCAGTTTCTCATGTTTGGTTTTGTCGAGACAAAAAAGTAAAAACTTTGAGCATTAGAGTTGATAACGGAAAGAATAATTATGTGAAAATTGAAAAGCGAAGAGAAGAACAGGCAAACGTCAAACTCACCTTCGAATTCTGGTGTCGATCGGAGTTCCTCTTCCGAGCTGCTGAACGATCGCTGTTGAGGAAGATAAGGAGCACCGCCGAGTGGTCGCTTATGTGTTTTCGAGTATGGATCCTGCATTCCGTAATGCTGTTGTAAGTCTTGTGCAGGCTTTTGTTGTTTCATGTAACTTGACTGCTGCTGCTGTTGTTGTTGACTAATATAACTTTGTTGTCGCGGATGAACAAGATGAGGATGTGTTCGCATCAAATCTTCAATCTCACCCTAAAGAATATTTAAAGAAATTGGAAATTTTCTTAAATAGCATTAAATTAAATTTCTAATACCTGGTAATAACGTGGATCAGAATCTTGCGGATAACCACCGCTGCTTTGATAATAACTACTCGTATTACGATATTGAGGCGATTGGTTCATATACTGACCATCAGCATTCGAGCCACTACCAATACCCGTTGGATGTTGCGAATGCAAATGGCTTCGTTGTAAATAACTGTCGTCGACGCCACTATCTGATGCCGATGCTGACGCACGACGTTGCGTTGAAGTCTCTTGTTGTGAATATTGACGTCTAAGTTGACTGCCCGTTCGCTGCAATGGCAGATTTTCTTTCTCAGCTGCACTACGAGCCCGTTCTAATTTTGGTCGTTTGTCAGTCGTGTCGTGTGGATTTAGTAATGTTGTCTGTCGTAGAAGAATGAAAATCGATGATTAAACTAAATTTTCTATGACTCATGTTATTTATGATGAAAATTGAAAGCAAAATCTCTATTAATCAAGAAAAGAAGAAGACCCATCAACTCACCCTTGTATCACTGCCAACATGCCTAATGAGACCCTCCGGGCTCGAAGCTTTGTTGATCCATTGTCCGGTCTTCGATAATAGTTCCTGCTTTTTTCGACATAAAATGCAAACCCAAATGACCTGGAAAGAGAAAAGAACATAAATAAAAAAGTTAAGTTTTGACTTTCAGACGAAGTCATTGTGTTTGTTGAAAAGAGAAATGAAAGTTTCGTGATTGATTTTCATTTCACTTCTCTGCTTTCTTTTTCTGTCTACTCAAAATGAAAAATGAGATGATTGTTTGTTAAGATATTCATCAAAATTTTAAAAAGCTTTTGATGAATTATTTTTACTTGAGCTTTTAATCCATTTTGTATGATGATTTGCTGTTTAAGCTTGGCATGATAATTTAAAAGAAAGGAAAGTCAATGATCAAATCAATCAGATGATCTCGAAGGTTTAAAAACTTCAGTTTTATAAATCATTTAATGTTTATTTTAGAAATGTACTTTATCGTAATAAATAAATAATCTTGTTGGAAGAATTTTTTAAAAGCAACCAAACATTTACAATATTCTTTTTTCTACAAACACATCAATAATCTCGAATCCTTGCAATGCCATTTTAACCACACACATGTGCTTGTCTTCTTTCAAGAGTTGGAGCAAATGATTTTATTATTGAATTTTATGGAGGCGCCTGATTGTGTGAGTATGTGTTATCTCCGCAATGAAGCTATTCATGAGATTACTTCAATAATAAATATATGTGATACGAAGCGATATGCCTATTGTGACGTCAACAAACGTGTGTGGTGCCCTTTCAAAGTTTCACATGAAAGTTTTTACATGCGATACGATTTTCATGTATAATCGCATCATAGGAAAAAGAAGGAAAAATGATATGTGGGGGAGGTTGAGATGAGAGAAGAAGGAAATCCAAGGAGAGAGGAAGGAATACTCAAATCTGTCAAGGTCGTTTGATACTTTAAAGACTGTAACTTCTATGTAAAGTCGGTATTGTTCATTTCTTGGGGAAATTAGAAAATTTTATGCTTCATTCTTTGAATAAGTAACTAACAGAAGATAACGAGAGTAAGAAATGTTTCATTTCTTTTGCTTGATGTTCAATATCGATTTATTCTGGCGTTAAGCCAATGATCTGCCGAAAAAAAGGATTTCTGTTTTGTTCCACAACTTTTCATCTCTTCCTCTCATTCGAAAACCAAAGAAAAAAGAAAGAATAAAAAGGCATCGTCTTCTCATTCCCTGTTGAGATTAAAGACAAGCAATGGTAAATTGAAGGAATATTTAAAAGATTTAACTTTATTTTCTTTTACCTTTTATCTATTACAGGTTCAAGGTTTGAAGTTTGATTTATTTGCTCGTTGCAAATTGGATATCACAACAAAAGAAATCTTGGAAGAGAAAGAAGAAGCGATTGGCTGTTGATTAAATGAGGCTAAATTATAATTAAACCATCACAACCTAAACGATTCTTATAAATCTACAAATAAAAGATAAATAATGAAATTGTTTTCATTTCTTACGATCTTCACAATTGTATTAGTAATTAAAATTCATTGAAATATGATGGACAATTTAGTAAAAGTAGCTTATCATCGACTCATTCAAACTTATCAAAATGGATTAAAAGCTCTTACAGATAAATTTCATGACAACACCAAAACTTGGTCAATATAAATAAGCAGCGATATTAAATTTCGATCAGTGCTTGAAGAGAAATCGTATCGTCGTTAACAAATAAAGTAGTTGCGATGATTTCCAGGTAAGACTTTTCACAATTTTTGACGAACATTTTCGAAAACTTTTCTTTTATTACCCATTAAAGGATAAAAATTTTGCTGATTTTAACTTCAGTTTTAATCACGCCGATAAAATGTGCAATATGTCGATTCTACCTGGACACAAACTCAATTTATGGCTGTGAAATGTTTGAAGTTAACGTCACTGAAGAGAATCAAACATTTGAAATCACAGGAGATCATCTTTCTGGATACTCTGATACTAACGTCACGTGGTTGAACGTCACCGATTCTGGAGTATTAAATTTTATTTCTTTGACAATCTTCGAAACTTTTGCCAATTTGCAAACAGCTGATTTAAGTAAAGTTGAAGTGAAGGAAATACGTCAAGAGAATTTTTTGAAAATCCATAGTGTCCGTACAATAATTCTAGAAGGAAATTCAATCCAAAAAATTCCTTCAATGGCATTCATGAATTGTTGGCAGCTCAGAGATCTTCGTTTAAATGATAACGCTATCGACACTATTGAAGATTACGCTTTTAGCACCGAATGGAGTGTTTTATTAAATTATTTAACTCTTTCAAATAACCTTATAAAAACTCTACCGGAGAATGCTTTTGCTGGTCTAACTTCATTAAGTTCTCTTTACCTAGACGGCAACCAAATTACTGAACTACCGGAAAATATTTTCATTTCGTTATTATCGTTGAGAGTTTTAAATTTGGACAATAATCATCTTGTTTCGTTGCTACCAGATTTGTTTACTGCTACTTTTAATTTAAATTACCTTTCTATTAGATCAAATCAACTTGAAAGTTTAGATTTTGGATTATCATATTTAGATTCACTTTCTGAACTTTACATCGAACACAACAAAATTAGTTTTTTGGAAAGTAGTTTTTTCTATACAGCTAATAAATTGAGAATTTTCGAAGCGAGTTGGAATAACCTCAGCAGTATTGTTAATATAACATTTCAAAACAGTTTATCCAACGAATTACAATACGTTGGACTATCACATAATAGTCTAACAGAAATATTTCCCAGAAACTTTCAACGCCTTTCTAATTTAAGAGAGCTACGCTTGAATGATAATAAAATTTCTTCATTACCTAACGACATTTTCGCTAGGTGTTTTTTTGCACCATGCAGAGGACCTTCTACGATTGATCTCTCCAACAACGAATTGGAAGTTATTGATTCCAAACTGTTTACTGAGACTTTTGATATTCAAAACTTAAATTTAGCAAACAATAAAATATCAGCAATTGATCGAAATACATTCGGCATGTTACCAAATATAAAGAACATATTTTTGGCTGGTAATTTATGTTTTGGAGACGATTTCAAGGAAATAACCAGAGAAGATATGGATAAAATTAACGAGTCATTGGAAGAATGTTATCGCAAATATGACGAACTCAACAACTCAACTTATCCTAAATATTCCTTCACTACTATGCTTATAACTGTTACCATTTCAGCATTCTTATCACAATTTACAATTTAATTTTCAATTCAATAAGAATGTTAAATAAATCTTTTCAATTTCGTTTTTTTCGAGCAAATTTATGATTTTTTAATAAAATGACGATGCCGAAACTTTTTCTATTGAACCTAAGGTAAATCAATACTCATCGTTCAATTGTTTTTAATTGCAGACATCATCTATGATGCTGATGCTATGACCGTTTCAAAATTTATGAAATCATGATCGACGTCAATAAACGTTGACTCACTCTTTGATTTTAAGTTTTTAATTCATAGTTATCAGCAATTATTAAGAGCTCTTACCGAAAAAAAGATAACAGCAAATAAAACGGATCAGTATAAAAAGAAATGAAGTTAAACTTCTGTTGGTACTTCAAGTGAAATTGTACAGTTAATAACAAACCTTTTTTGTGATGACTTCGAGGTAAACTCATATAAAATTCGTTCTCAAATTTATTTTGACTTATCAAGTTTTGTGTTATTAATGATTAAAGCTTGACACTTTTGCTGATCATAACATCAGTTTCAATCACGCCGATAAAATGTGTAACATGTCGATTCTACTTGACCACAAATTCGTTTTATGGCTGTGAAATGTTTGAAGTTAACGTCACTGAATCAAACGTTTGAAATCACAGGAGATCATGTTTCTGGATACTCTGATACTAACGTCACGTGGTTGAACGTCACCGATTCTGGAGTATTAAATTTTATTTCTTTGACAATCTTCGAAACTTTTGCCAATTTGCAAACAGCTGATTTAAGTAAAGTTGAAGTGAAGGAAATACGTCAAGAGAATTTTTTGAAAATCCATAGTGTCCGTACAATAATTCTAGAAGGAAATTCAATCCAAAAAATTCCTTCAATGGCATTCATGAATTGTTGGCAGCTCAGAGATCTTCGTTTAAATGATAACGCTATCGACACTATTGAAGATTACGCTTTTAGTACCGAATGGGTCAGCTTTTTAAGTTCTTTAACTCTTTCAAACAATTTAATAGCAAATCTACCTGAGAACTCTTTCGCCAATCTTACTAGTTTGCGGTATCTTAACCTAGACGACAACCAAATAACTGAACTGTCAGAAAACGTTTTCTCAACGTTGTCATCATTAACATTTTTATACTTGGACAACAATTTTCTTGTCAAATTGCCATCGAAATTGTTTCTTGGAACACGAGATTTGTCAGTTCTTTCTTTAAATTCAAATCAACTTGAAAGTTTAGATTTGGGAGCCGATGAAGACCCACCCATCAGATTGAGTTCGCTCTATAGAATAAATGTGAACAATAATAAAATTACTTCTTTATCTGAGTCTGTTTTCAACGCAACTATACGATTGTCAGTTTTCGAAGCAAGTTGGAATAATATCAGCAGCATTCATCCTTCAACTTTCCATCGTAACTTGCTTTATAATGCTTTGAATGAAATTCACCTTTCACATAATAGTTTAACAGAAATAATTCCTGAAACTTTTCAGAGGCTCTCTTTCACAATTGATCTATTGTTAAACAATAATAAAATCTCTTCGTTACCCAACGATACCTTTGGAACTGGCACCTTCGTAAATGTTGACATTTCTAGCAACGAATTGGAAATCATTTATTCAAATACGTTTGCTGAGACGATTTATGTGCGGAATTTAAATTTATCCAACAACAGAATATCAGCAATTGATCGAACGACGCTTCGTTTATTTCCACGGTTAGAAAATCTATTATTGGCTGGTAATTTATGCTCTGGAGAAAACTTCGAGGAGATAGTTGACGAAGATATTCAACGAATCAATGAATCATTAGAGGAATGTTACCGTAATTATGACGAACTCAACAACTCAAGTTATCTTAAAGCTTCTTTCATCACAACACTTGTGATTGTAGCTTTATCAGGATTTTTGTGAAATTCTCATATTTAAATGATACGATTAAAATTTTAACAAACTTGTCAATAAAAGATTCATTTGGATACAGTTTTTGACATTATAACATTCAGTGATCAGTGGTTCAATTCTGATATCATCTGTTCATCAGAATAATAAAAAAAAAAATATTGAGAAAAACTTGAAAAATTTCTATCATAATTCTTAGTCACGCTTAAAATTACTCAATAATGTGATGAAATCAGTAAAGATTAGTATTACAAAATGAGTTTAAACCAAATCACATTATTTACCAGACTTTGAATTAGCTTTAATCATACTTTTGAAAATCAAATCATGATTCATGACTTCAAAAATTGACATTGAATGCCTGCGAAAATGTTTGAATTTTTGCTATTGCAACTTATCCGAGCTTATAATAAGCATTATCAGATTAACTTAATGATTACACCAAATACTTGGTCAATATAAATAAGCAGCGATATTGTTATGTTCAGTAACTTCCCGTAGTAAAAGTTAGTTTGAATTATCAAATTGGTTGATAATAAACGATCAGTATAGAACGTGAGAATACAAAAATTGTAAGAGAGTTTGACCTCTCACGTTAGAATCTAAATATGTATTAAATTTAAGTTTAAACTTATATATCGATAAAGCACTTGAAGAGAAATCGTGCTTAAGAAACCCAAGATAGTTGTGATGGTTTCCAGGTGAGAAAAAGAAAGGAAAAATGATATGTGGGGGAGGTTGAGATGAGAGAGAAGAAGGAAATCCAAGGAGAGAGGAAAGAATACTCAAATCTGTCAAGGTCGTTTGATACTTTAAAGATTGTAACTTCTATGTAAAGTCAGTATTGTTCATTTCTTGGGGAAATTAGGAAAATTTTATGCTTCATTCTTTGAATAAGTAACTAACAGAAGATAACGAGAGTAAGAAATGTTTCATTTCTTTTGCTTGATGTTCAATATCGATTTATTCTGGCGTTAAGCCAATGATCTGCCGAAAAAAAGGATTTCTGTTTTGTTCCACAACTTTTCATCTCTTCCTCTTTTTCAAAAATCAAAGAAAAAGAAAGAAAAAAAGGCAAAAGCCATCAAAAACATCTTCAACCATTTGTTTGGAATGTTAAGTCATTGAACAAAATTTCAAGCACAATGTAATGACGTCATGAGTCATTCATTTGTCGCCAGTCGTAAGGATTTTCTCAGTCGGTTTCATTCAATGAATGTGAAGTAATTTACTTGTTTGGTTGCTTGTATGATGACAGTTTCTTCAACTCAAGTAAGGATTTTTCTGCTATTCAGATTCATGCCATCTGCTCTAAGTGTGACGGGAAAATACATTTTTTCATAAAACATTGTGTTTGAATGAATTTCTTTTTTCTAGGAAGATATTAATCAAGCAATGAGTAATCTAATGAACTATTTGATGATCTAAAAAGTTGGAATTTCTTCTTTTTGGAGATTATATAAAAAAAATTACCTTATTACTACGTAATGTTACTTTTCCACCGCATTTAGCACAACATCTAATACTACAATAATGACAGAGATGCCCAATGCCATCAGCAAAACGTGTCTTTAAACATATATGACAGGTTGCATCTAATTCCGCACCAGCCTTTTTCTGTTGTTCGGAGCGTTGTCTTATGGTCTGTTCTAAAGTTTCTACTTCGACTTGTTTACGTCTAAAATGATATTTGGAGAGAAATAGAAAGAGAGAGAAAGATATAGACAAATCAAAAATTAATCATTCAATTGAAAGATAATCAAAAGAAGATGAAGAACATGAATGAAAATCTATTCATAAAATCTTAAAAATAAAAATTGTTACTAAATATGAAGGTGGTTGACTTGCTGCATGAAATGATCTGTGACGATGACAAAGAGTATTATTCATAAAAAATTCCTATCAAAACAGACAAAGCATTTATTTTTAAGAAAAAAAAGTGTCGACAGGAAAGGGGAAAATATTTCATTTATTTTCATTCTCGTCTGAATCATTCGTAAAAATTATATGAATTTGAATGAAGCAGTAATAATAAGTTCTGCATATTTTATGTAATAAATAAGAAATTTTTACATTTCAATGAGTAAAAAGTTTCATGACGTTATGACATTTAAACGTTTCAATCATTCAACTGAAACAAATACTGGAAGTTACTGTTATTTCATTTCGTTGATGAAGAATCAAAGAAAAATGAGTTTTAAATCATTATAGTTTAATTATACATGAAATATATTTTCTAGTTATTCAATCATGAATCTAAGTGAAAGGAAAGTCATGGACAAATGTTGACGTCGTTTTTGAGATTTGAATTTATATTTTTAAAGGTTTTTAACATTTGTTGAGAAACTTTTGAATGAGTATGAATGAACGTTAAAGCTTTTAAAAAAGTTGTCAGCAAGTCTTGATATGATTCCTTTATTTCAATAAAAGTAAGTTTTTTAACAATTTCCTTTCACTTTGAAGCTTATAAAAAATTAGAAACTCTTACGACGAACCGGACTTTAGGTTACAATTTCACTCAATTCAGAAAAATAACTAAGTACTAAAGGTTGCTTGAGAATAAAAGGAATCAAATTGGAATTTATGATAACAACAGGTAAAAATACATCGTCAATGGTTTTGAAATAAAAATGAGAAAAAGAAAATTGAAACTTTTAGGTAGACTAAGAAGATGTAAACTTTTCTCTACCAAATTTGTAATGTTTAAATTTTGAAAGGAAGGATAAAAATTATTTACAGGCAAATTCTCGGAAAATATAAAAACTGAAACAAAAAGGAGAAAAGTTCTTCAAGTGACTCACTTCATTAATTCTTTCTCAGACTCTTCTTCTTGTTTCTGTCTAAGCATAACATTTTCAATGATCGCACGTTCTTCAGGTGTTAGATGTGATAAATCAGGCATATCAGCCATGACTTTGGGGACCACCAAGGACCTCAAGTCTTAATAACTTTTCACGCCTTTTCTTCTTTGTGTCTTCTTCAATAGTTTTTCAAAAATGTAAATCGAAATGTGCAATGTAATAAGCACAAACAACAGAGAAAAAATGTAACTTAAAATTAAAACAAAAGTTGTTTTAAAATTTGAAACTTAATTACTGAACCAAAGAGAAATCATAATAAGAAAATCATTGAATTTTGTCACTTTCAGTTCTCTGCCTTTTTCTTGATGATTTCCATAAAATTTTCTGAAGAAAATATTGTTTGCAACTATGAGGAAAGTTTCAACGTTACTTTCACAAAGCTTAATATGTTTGTGCTTCTTTTAATGGTCTCAATAACTCATTGTTTACAAGTATATTGTAAATTTATGCCTCATTTGCTCAACCACCCACACATTCTACATCTCTTTTTTCATTGTACAGATCGAGATGCATTTTTTCTTCGTTTATTGTGTTTTCCACTGAGCCTCGTCGTAGAGTTTTCCTTAATGCACATTTTCACTGTATTTTCACTTCTTCTTATCTTTTTCGGTAATTACAATTTAAACACTAAAGAACCGAAAAAGTTGTCACTTCTTATGTTTGCCGCTGTCGTCGTGAAGAGAAGAGAGAAACAGTAAAACACATTAATTTCTTATCACAAAATTTGACTGCAAAAGCTTTTTCTCCACCATCATTTTAAATTATTCACTTTTCATTCTCGCGCTGGAATGACATTAAATCATTAATTTTTTTTCTTGCTGCCGTTTTTCGTACAGTACAAGAAAAGAAAGGAGAGAAACTTTCTTCAAAGCCGCCCCATCACCCAACGTTTCGTATTCTTTCTTGCGGGGGCCTCGATGAAAATGCGATATGTGCCAAACAGATTTTTTCCCACACTCCATCGACTGTTCATTGTTCCACACTCGACATTTCGTTCAAGCTTAAGTTGACAGATTCAGAGCACTTATGGAAAGTTGTTGATAGTTGTTAAAGGAAAAATATTCTGAAACCTAAGCTTGCTTCTCTTTTGATCAGAGACATTCTTTTCACCAAATTTCACAACGAAAACTAACAGATTTTTGTTACAAGATCATGAGATTTTTTTTCTCCTTTTTCATCGGCTCAGAACGTACAGAGAATACATGAAAATATTTTTCTTTCTCTTTTTCGAGATCCTGAAAATCGGCGCATGTCACGTTGGACAAACAAAAAAAATAAGAATGTTCTTCTGCTTATTCGCATTTGTGTGTCACTTTTCAGGAGATTGAGGGAAGAGGGAAGAGAAAAGCCCTCGCACGGGTCAAACAAACTACAAGATTAAGAAAAATGCTGAATACATGAAAACTTGGAATTTCTTAAATTAATTTAGTTGGGAGTTGGCAACGTATTCCGTTTCATTCCACACATCCTTAATTCAATAATTTTAAGTCTTAGGCACTATCAAGAAACTGACAATGAGCTCGATTAAAAATTATTTCGTTTTTCTATTTTTGATTATTTTAGTGTACAGAAAGAGGCCGGAAATTTGCTGTTGGCAGAAGAAAACTTCTTGGCAATATTTCTGTTAAATAATTTCATATTGTAAATCACTGAATGCTATTTTTATTGTGGTGATAATGGTCGAGAGTTGGGAGTACTTTTCGTTTAAATTTTCCACCATCTATCATTACAAACACACATATTATCTCGAGCTTTTATAATGATGTTCATTGAGGATTTTTTTTCATGATACTCAAAGATAATGAAAATATTGAGCAGATTTTTTTTTCATTCATACGCATTGCAAACCACAAAATTAGTTTCTACATTCTCGAGATTAATTAACAGTCCATGAAACATTATTTGTTAGTTTCTTAATGCTTCTTCGGCATTATCTGCACTCTTTGCCTTTTTCGGCTGGTTATAAAAATGAAAATGGCGACCTTATCTATCTGCTTGTGTGTGTTTGTGAGGATAAATCTTTCTCGAAGTGCGGAAAGAATGGAAAATTTTCTCTGATGACGTGGAAACTTTTTTTGCAATAAAAGGCAAGGGTTGCCAAGGAATGTTACTCGAAATTTTCCATTTCTTGCTTCAGAATTTGGTACGATGATGAAAGTTTCTTTCCTTTAAGTTCGATAAATTTTCCCCGTTTTTCACATACTCATTTATACACGCACTCACACACATTTAACAGCTCTTTTTTTGTAACTTTTTTTTTATCTATCAGCATATTTTCCGAGTTATTTGGTAATTTTGTAGCATTAAAGTGCCTTCCTTCACCATAATTTCTTAAAGTTATGTTAATTTTACATGAACAAATCACTGAAATTATCCAGAGCAGCTCAAAAATCAACAACTTTTTACGATGGAAAGACTAAAAAAAATCTTTTTGCAGAAAAAACTTTCTTCTCTTTTTCTTGTAAGTGATGAAAAACGATTATCCAAAAGTTCTTCCACTTTTCATCACTACTTTTTCATAAGTTCAAACAATTTCAAACACTTTACAACAAAACGGAATCACTGAACTCTTTATTTAAATTGTCTAATTAAATTTTCTGTTGCTGCGAAACTAAAAATATGTTTTTTCGAAAAAAATTTGATGTTTCTGTTCTATTCTGATTTTTATGTCCGCGAACCGTTGGCATTTGGCTCATTTTTAAGCTTTTCTCTCGTTTTTCTCATTTTCTCTCGATTTATTTTCGGTGAACTTTCCCAAAAATTTCCAGTGCAAGCACAAGTGCTTCTTCATGGAAGAAAAGGTTTTCTGTTTCGCTGAAATAATGAAAGTTCTTCCCATCTACGTCGGGTTATACGTCATCGAATTATTGATTTTCCACTTCTATTAAACTTTCCATAGAAATTTACTTACTCAGAATCGTACTAGACGTTTTTGAACCTTATTTGGAGGGAAAAGCTCTTCAGTTAAAAATAAAGGAAATATGAATTTTCATAATTTATTTGAGTTGACGACAGTAAAATTAATATGAAAACATAACGAGAACTTGTCTTAAATAAGCGAGTTTTGGCTTCAAAAAAAATAGATTTGTAAGGATTGCAATAGAAATAGAAAGAAGCTCTGAAAAAGTTGAGATCTCAATGAAAATGTTTGTTTAAACAATGTCAACTCCTTTAAGTCTGTTAAAGCACAAATTGTTCAAACATTCAATGGGAAAAATATATTTTTCACTTCTCATTTACAGTTTTGTTTGATCATATGTTTAATGAACAAAAATAACTTATTGTGAAGTGAACGTCACAAATTGTGAATGACGATTTCCCATTTTATTTTTTTTCTGTATAAGTCAACTTTGTGATGAAAGATGATTAAAGAAATTGATTATATATTTTATTGGTTATTCGATTTATATTATATAGACAGATTTTGTTAGAAATTTAGAAAAAGATAAGTTATTTAAACTTTGAAGAAATCTGAATATTGGCGTTCTTCAAAACTTTCATTAAAGAAAAAGAATTGTTCCTAGTGTCAGAAACTGTGACATATTTAACGTCGATGAAATTACTTTAAAAACAAGACGATCGGGGAAAAAACTTCAGTTTGATTCAACCAGCAATGGATAAAACAATCAAAATATTTCTCCTCTCATTATTTATTCTTTGTCTCTCACACTTAGGTGAGTGCATTTAAATAGCGAACGCTTGTCATAATTGATTATATCAACGTAAATCATTTATATTTATTCTTACAGTGACATCAGAGAAAAGTAAGTTAATATTTTCAGCATAATATATCTTGCCACGTTGCAGTGAATTTTTTTTTTCACTTGCTTTATTAGAATGTGTCGAAGAAACTTATGGCCGGTGCATGTACAATAACTATCGCTATAACAATGGAAGCTACGTGAGAAAGGTGAATTATTTTCATGGTGATAGTCGCAGATGTGTTGAATATTATTGCCAAAATTCACAAATCATTCGAGTTGACCGTTACTGTGAAGTTTTAATTCCAAACGAAGGATGTCGCATAGTTGAAAACAAAAAATGTTGTTTTAAAGAAATTTGCGATGGTATTTCACTTTAGATTCGTTTATTCGAAAATCAACTTTAAATTAACTTTCATGTTTAAGCTAAAATAATTGGAGGTGGATGTACTGAAGGTGGTAATTATTTCGAAAACGGTGCAGTTACAAGACAACATCCACTGCAAGATGGCAGTGGATGCCTTATTTATACTTGCATTGATGGAAATGTCATAAAATCTTTTGGTAATTGTTTAAGATCATTTGGCGTCCCTACCACTAATATTCCACGCGTTCGATTACGAGCTAGTATGTATTTTATAACTTTTATACAATGGAATCTCGATTACACAACGGCATTTTGATAGTTTGAAATAAATCATAAGAATAATCGCAGAAAATTTAAACTTGGCATACTTGAATGATACTACAAGTTTAAATTTTAATCAACGTATTCTTTATACGTATAATCAGGATTTCACTGTATTAAAGTAATTAACTTTTTTCCTGTATTCTAATAAAACACCTTTTTACATTATAAAGGTGATGAGGGTGTATGTGTCGTCAATAGAAGAGTTTATGGCAATACATCTTTTGTGGAAAAACGAGATCTTACTAAATATGGTGGCACATGTGTTGAAATATATTGCATAAATTTAGATCTCATTGAGGTTAAACCTGTATGTCAACCAATAACTGAAAGGGAAGGCTGTCGTAGAATAGAGGAACGATATAATAAAAAATGCTGTCCAATAGAGCTTTGCGATGGTTTGTATTTCGCTTATTATATTATTTTTCGGTAAAGGTTTAATGCTTATTATTTCTTATCAACTGAGTAAAGGTCAATGTTATAATGAAGGAGCTTATGTTGAGAGTGGTACACTTCAAGTGCAATTTAATCGAACTGATCGTGGGACCTGTGGATATGATACTTGTATTAATGGACTTAATCACAGGACTGATGGCGAGTGTCTAACTGCGGATGATATATCTGGAGTCTCTCAACATCCTTGGTTTTTGAAAAAGTAATGATCATGGATCGATGATGTTCTGACATAAAAAACTCTAAAAAATCCGTCTTTATGAGAAAACTTAAACGATTTCTAGTAGAAATTTTGCCGATTTCCTTTTCCCTTATCCCTCAAAAAGGGATTTTGAGAGATATTTCAATCTCTTATCTTCAAATGAAACAAGCAACTTGTTAAAAATCTATTACACACTAAAATTCCATTAAAGTAAAATTTCCTCTACATTTCATAAAAATGAGTAGATTAATGCTGTTGTTCCAACTCGAAATTCAATTAATATAATAATTAAATATATTTTGGTGCACAATGTTCAGAATGTCCACGCTTTTCCGATCCAGCATTAACTATTGTTTGGCTAATTTTTATATGTGAACTTGTTTAATTTTGAAATTTTTAATCATTTTTAAAAATAAATAAAGATGAATAAAATTCATTTTAATTAAACTTCTTTTCTTTTAAGAGATCACAAGAAATAAATTACAAAATATAAAAATATAAGTAATGCAATAATGGCATGTGTTCTGTTCGAACGATGAATAGTCCGACTACAGTTTGCTCCGAACGTTTCTCAAATTATTGGTCCAAACTAAACACTTTTTAAAATGTTCTAAGTTTTAATGAGGACGCACAAAATCTTTCAAATCGTAATTATTTTAAGTATATTGAGTCAAAATTAGTTTAAATGTCATAATTAGGTAAAACTTAAGTTCATTCTCACATTCACAATCAATTTAACATTCATTATATTCAGTAACATACAATTCAAACCCAAATTACACAAGACAAAAGAGATCAACGAAATTGATTATTTCTTGATCAAGTTAGGTGAGAACTCTCGCAAATTTGTTAAGAACATTTAATTTACATGTACACAATTATTTTAGACAACTTTCATTCACATTTATACCGCACATTCAATATTGAGCATAACATTCACACATTAAGTTAAGAGTCAAGGGTGAGCAAAGTCATTCAAATTTGTCAAGTCATTCATTTAAAACTTCATGCATTTAGATATTGTCACAACATCATTCACACAACATTCATCCTTCTAAGGACAATTCCATTCACACAAACTCATTCAATAGGTAAAAATGACATTAAAGTTTCACTCATTCAAATGCTCATTTAATGTTTCCAACAGATCTTAAAATCACAAGCAATTTCATTCACATTCATTCACGCATATTTTCTGTTGAACATTAAAACCCTTGACGGTAAGACATTCTCAATTTCAAATGTGCAATATGTTATTTTAATTCTAATTGTTTTATTAGGGTTTTTTTTTGTTATCATATCAAAGTCCAGAAGTGAATAAAAATTTGTAACGTGTTAATAGAAAATTGGCTGCGATAGTTTTCTCTTCAGTCCACTCAGCTCACACATTAAGTTGTTCATTCCTCGAACAGCATGCATGTTACACCAATGGAAAAACCATACAACAGTTTCAAATTTCATGCTCATACGAAAGCTCATTTTCAAAGCTCAATTTCAAAGCTCCTCTGAAAGTTCATCTTCTAGAAAAAATTGTGAAACAAAAACTTAATTATTGATTCAGACTTTAAAATATGCAAATTGAGTCCCTTTTTAATAAGATTTCAAGAAAAATTTGAATTAAAATTTAATAGATAAATGAATTTAAAATTGATTTATTGAAAGGTGACAACAATGAGTGTCATGGCTTATGAACTTGCTTGCAAACCTGATATTCAACAAAAGCTTTACCAAGAAATTTTGAAAACGAATGAAAATCTTGGTGACATATAGATCACTTATGGGTTTCTAAAACACTGATAAATTTATAAATTGAGAGACCTTATCCACTCCAGAATAATGAATGTTACACACACAAATGCCAAATTTTTAAACCCCAAAACAAAGTTTAAGTTATCTAAGAATTCTCTTCGTTGATACCTGACACACTCATATCTGAAACCACCACATGAAGAATGAACTATGAATATCACATCAGTCGCCTTTGTACCTTCACAGTGAAAACAAAACTTCAATAACTAAGATTGCTTTCATTTCATTAACAAAATTTGATAAGCAAAATGGGTTTGCTAATTTATTTAGCTGCTATTGCACTTTATCTATTTTACAAATGGGCAACATCCACCTACGATTACTTTGAAAAACAAGGAATTTCGTTTAAAAAGCCAACATTCTTAATCGGAACAAATGGAAATATTTTCTCGAGACGTAAGAATTTCATGCAACTTATTGACGAATGGTATTATGAATTTCAAAACGAAAAGTGAGTAATTATAGACATTTTTGTTCAACTTTACCATTAAAGTTTAATGCTTAAAACGTGTTTAGAGTTTCTGGGCTTTTCGAATTTCGACGTCCAATGCTACTTCTGAGAGATCCAAAAATAGTTAAACAAATGGCAGTCAAAGATTTCGATTATTTTATGGATCATCGCACGATTATCAATGAAGATGTTGATCAGCTGTTTGGCAAAGCTTTAGTGAGTCTTCATGGTCAGAAGTGGAAGGGTGGGAAAAACGAAAATAATTAATGAATTGTAAAATATTTAAAAATATAATATTCCAGACATGCGTGCAACTCTTAGCCCAGCATTTACTGGTAGTAAAATGAGACAAATGTTTGACTTTGTCAGTACTGTTGGACAACAAACAGCTTCAACAATGAAAAAGGAAATTGAAAGTGGGAAAGAAAATTCCTTTGAATTTAAAGACCTCGCAAGACAATTTGCTGTCGATGTTATCGCATCGTGTGCTTTTGGAATTGAAATCAACTCCTTTGCATCCCCTGATAATGACTTTCATAGAATCGCCAAGAAAATGTCAACTTTTACATCTTTTAGGTTCGGTCTTATTCTTGCTGGTTACATGACTGTGCCGAAACTCATGAAAGCTTTGAAGATAAGTTTACTTGATAAGGAAAGTTGTGAATTCTTTAAAGAAGCGATTATAGATACGATGAAAATCAGAGAAGAAAAAGGAATTGTTCGTCATGATATGATCAATTTGTTGATTCAAGCTAGAAAAGGACAATTGACGCATAATAATAACAACGAAGAAAACACAACTGATGGATTTGCAACTGTTGAAGAATCAAATATTGGTAAATCAGAAGTTAAGAGACAATGGGATGATGTAGATTTGGCAGCTCAAGCATTTATATTCTTCCTTGCAGGATTCGATACTGTAAGTAAATGTTGTCTTGAAAATACTGTAAATTATTCAATAAATTATTCAATAGATTGCAACTGCAATGAGTTTCATGGCCTATGAGCTTGTTTGCAATCCGGATATTCAGCAAAAGCTTTACAACGAAGTCGTAACAATAAACGAAGAACTTGGTGGGAAAAAGATCACTTACGAGAAGATTCAATCGATGAAATATTTAGATCAGACTGTTTGTGAAGCTTTAAGGAAATGGCCACCAGCACCCATAACCGATCGATTATGTGTCAAAGATTACGATTTGAAACTTGATGGAAAAACCTTACACATGAATGCTAATGATGTCTGCTTTGTTCCCATCTGGAGTTTTCATAGAGATCCAAAATATTTCCCCAATCCCGAAAAATTCGAACCCGAACGATTCAGTGAAGAAAATCGTNNNCAATAAATGAAGAACTTGGCGGGAAAAGATCACTTACGAGAAGATTCAATCGATGAAATATTTAGATCAGACTGTTTGTGAAGCTTTAAGGAAATGGCCACCAGTACCTATGACTGATCGATTATGTGTCAAAGATTACGATTTGAAACTTGATGGGAAAAATTTACACATCAACGCTAATGATTCTTGTTATATTCCCATCTGGAGTTTTCATAGAGATCTAAAATATTTCCCCAATCCCGAAAAATTCGAACCCGAACGATTTAGTGAAGAAAATCGTGGAAATATCGATCCTGACACTTATTTACCCTTCGGTGTTGGTCCTAGAAATTGCATAGGAAGTCGATTTGCTTTGATGGAAATGAAAACTTTCTTCTATTATTTGTTGTTGAACTTCAGCTTTGAAGCTAATTCGAAGACTCAAATCCCGTTGGAGTTCGACAATATTCCATTCGATATTAAAACCAAAATAGGCATTTGGCTTTCATTAAAACCACGAAATAATTGAAAAATAAAATACCTAATTGTTACAAGATTCGATAGAATTATTGAATCATATTTTTTGAAGTTTCAAGCTTGGAAATATGAAACAAGGAGAAACAGAAAGTGAGTGAAAAATGAGCTTTTTCTTTGGTTTTTTCGACTATTCTCGACGTTAAAACCATTTTTTTGTATGCGAAGAATTTTTTCATAATTTTTGCATGAATTTCGCACGATGGCCCGTCAACCGATGGTGAATGAAATCTCCGTAAATAAAACAAAAATTTGACATTGGAACTTGGCTTGCTTTGAACCAAGACAATCTGAATGAAGGTGACAAAAATGTATGAAGTTTAAAGAGTTATTCAAAAATGTATCGAAATGAACTTTGTATCTATACATTGAATAACTGATAAAAGGCCGGTTTGTTGACAATAATGTTTTATGTAGACTCCGATGGTCTTACAATCACGCCACATGTAAACAGTTGTTTTCTTTTTAATTCTACTTCAGATGATAAAATAATGTCAATTACTTGTTGCGTTATTTACAAATTGATTGTAAATATAAATTAATTAAATATGTTTAGCAAAGCTTTACTTCATTCCATAAATAAACAAAAATGATTCATAATCTTCGTCGTAATAAAATATTATCAAGGTCGGAATGCTTTAAATAACTGTGTGATGCGTATACGAATTAATCAATCAGAAGGAAAAATCTATCACGTGTCTGTCATTATATTTTATCATTATTATTTCAACGCTTCACTTCGATGTGTGAGTAGTGTAAATGATTTCATCAATAGTTTATCTTGAGGATTCGGGTTTGTGTCTTGTTTTGCTTAATTAAATTGGCTTCTGACACACTGATATATTTATGAATGGAGAGAACTTATCCACTCCAGAATAATGAACGATACACACTCAAATGCCAAATTTTAGAAAAATTACTTGACACACTCATATCTGAAACCACCACATGAACAACGAACTCTGTGAATGTCGCATTAGTCGCTTTTGTATCTTCAGAGTGAAAACTTCAAGAATTGTGCTTGCTTTAATTTCTTTAAAAAAATTTGATAAGCAAAATGGGTTTGCTAATTTATTTAGCAGCTATTGCACTTTATCTATTTTACAAATGGGCAACATCCACCTACGATTACTTTGAAAAACAAGGAATTTCGTTTAAAAAGCCAACATTCTTAATCGGAACAAATGGAAATATTTTCTCGAGACGTAAGAATTTCATGCAACTTATTGACGAATGGTATTATGAATTTCAAAACGAAAAGTGAGTAATTATAGACATTTTTGTTCAACTTTTCCATTAAAGTTTAATGCTTTAAACGTGTGTAGAGTTTCTGGACTTTTCGAATTTCGACTTCCAGTACTCTTTTTAAGAGATCCAAAAATAGTTAAACAAATGGCAGTTAAAGATTTTGATTATTTTATGGATCATCGCGGGTTTATCAACGAAGATGTTGAAAANATGAAAACTTTCTTCTATTATTTGCTGTTGAACTTTAGCTTTGAAGCTAATTCGAAGACTCAAATCCCGTTGGAGTTCGACAATGTTCCATTCAATGTTAAAACCAAAATAGGCATTTGGCTTTCATTAAAACCACGAAATAATTGAGTGAGTGCACGTCGTATGCGAAAAATATGATTAACAGAGATGCTTCTTTATAAGTTTATTTTTGTCAGAATTTTTCCTATTGTAAAATGAGAAGAGAATAAAATATTAATTTAAAAAATGACTTCAATGATTTGGGCCTTGAATTTATCAACTTTTGAAATCAGCACTTTTCTGAATGATCATTAAGTAGTTGCAGAATTGGTGAAGCTTAAAAAGAATTTCGTTATTAATTCTTTCTCTTCATTAATATTCATCGATCATATTTCTAATAAGATGAGATAAATTATAAAAAATTTAATGGAAATATTTGTTTGGAATCTTTTATTGCGTAGAACGTTTAAAATTTCAAGAGCTTACGAAACGAAATTTATTTTTATACATTTCAACAATATTTCCAAAAAAGGAACTAAGAAGGTGATGACAAAGATAAGCATATTGAAAGTATTCTCAGAGAATATATTTTGGTTTGTATTTTAAAACACTAAAAGTTTGCTCTCTTTATATGCCGGTCTCAGTAGTGTCTGACGTTCACACGAGTTAACACAAAGCCACAGAATTTACAGAGAAAAGATGAATTTGTGTTGTCTTCCATCTCTTTTGTTTATGGAAAACAAAAAACAGTTGTTTTTAACACAATATTTCCCTCGCACTTTTCGTTGTTATTCAATAAATAATCCAGTTAAAGCTTTAATGAACAATTATAAAAAATATATTAATGAAGGTTAAGTCAGAGGGTTTGTGATTGTTGTTTTTTAAAAATTTACAGTAGGCATATTTAAACTATGATATAACAAAATTTTAACAGACAGCACTGTTATTATTGAAATCGATTGATTGTTGTTAAATCTTTTAATATATGTAGGAGCCATATGTTCCTTTTCGCAAGTAGGTAACAGCAGACTCGCTAATCGGTAAAAAATGCAATTCAAATTTAATGAATTATTTAGTAGCAAATTTCATTGATTATTTATTCATTTTGACTGTTAGGTGGTCCATGAACGTCGTCATAATGAACGAACTGAAATGAACGAATTTATGAAAAATATTTTCACACGCTGAAAGAATCTCAATGCATGTTGACTCAAGCGTTTGATGCACTATTCGCAATTGTTTTTAAATAGAACTTACATTGTAAGCAGATTATTCACATTCCTGATAGCTAAAGTTGTTTTGTAATTGTTACTAATTTTTGTTTGATGATTGTTTAAAACAATGAACATAACAAAAACACGTAAGTTTGCAAATCAAGAACTCGGATCGTCGACGTACGATCCAAGAACAAGTTTGTAAGTTTATGCCACAAGACAAATAAATTTTCCACTCAACTTAATCTAATTTGAGATTGCCAATGCTTGCCCAGCTCTGCATAATATTGCAGCAACGTGAACATCATTTTAATACACACAACCGAATATCATCGTACGGTTTTAATACAGCTGAACTTTTATTTTTTCAACAACAAACAAGGAAAATAAATATCTTTGTACTTTTCATTCAGTCAGTCTTATAGCGAAGTCTGTAAAAAGTAGATAAGTAAGTGAAACTATGGAAAGAGAGAACATACAATGTTGCAAAAATATTTATCAAAAACAATATTGGATTTCTAATTAAAAGCCTCGCTACATTGTATCACATTTTATTGAACGTTTTTCATCAGAGTTTTCACTACGTTAAATAGAAAAATTTCTGTACCTTAGCCAAGGATGCAAAATCGATCATTAATGAATCAAAAATGCAAATTAATGTAAATTATATTTTTATTGAAGGTCTCATTTGCATTGTAAATATTGCAACAGATAATTTCCCATAGTAAAAACTTGTAATTAGTGCGTCCAGTAAATCTGTCTAATAGGAAGTAAACAGAGTATAAAAATCCGTGACAATGATCGTTAAACTTCATTTGCAAATTAAAAGTTATTCTATATAGATCTTTGATATTTAAGTTACAGCCTCAGCACGTTTTCACTTCATTTGTTATTTTCTCTCAATTCCGATGTGAACAAATAAAAGAGTTAAACATGTGTATGTCTGAAAAGTGACCTTGACCAGCTTACTTTGTAAAGCATCATCATTAATTTTTGAATAACCAACAATTAATTAAACATTCGCGAAAAAAAAATAATAAAGAGGAAAAAAATTAACATGTCATTCAACTTAAATCTTTTGATCGTTAAGGTCTTAGTTAAGCTTGAGTGTTGAGTAAAAATAAAAAAGTCAAGCAGTTACAATCTACACATCAGTCAGTGAACATTAACATTAGGAAAAAAGTAAATTTCGTGTTTAAGTTCTCCTTGGCAATGATAAAATTATTAAAAAAATATAAAAAGTAAAGTCAAGTTTTGAGGTTTCTTCCTGAAAAACAAAAGCAAAAACATGGCAAATGATATAAAATTTCGTGAATTAAATTACACTGTCATTAATCGAACATTCAAGAAATGTAAGTTCCTTTGTTAAAATTAATTCATCAACTGTTGTAATGGTAAAACATTTACGTCATAATGTAATTTTGACTTTAGCTTTAAAACAAGTTATTAAAAATATCTCAGGAGAGTTCAAATCATGCGAGCTGACGGCTATAATGGGCACTAGTGGCAGTGGGAAAACAACGCTGCTAAACATTCTGTCAGGTTTTGTAACTGAAAATGTTACCGGGGTTCTAGAGTTCAACAGAGCATCAAGAAGTCAATCATACATTATGCAAGATGAGAACTTAAATTTACTTCTTAGTGTCAATGAATCGATGATGTTCTCAATTAATTTGAAATGTGGTTCGAAATTGACGAGGGAAAAGAAGAAACAAAAAGTTGATCAAATTCTTGAGACACTCGGACTCGAACAACGAACTGATGTTTTTGTGAAGAATTTAAGTGGTGGACAAAGAAAGAGATTGTCAATTGCAATTGAACTAGTTGATGACCCTTCAATTCTCTTCCTAGACGAACCAACCACTGGCTTAGATTCTTCATCATCATTGCAATGTATACGCTTATTGAAGAAGCTTTCACAACAAGGCAAGACAATTATTTGCACAATCCACACTCCTTCAGCGCTTCTCTTTCAAATGTTTGACCATCTTTATGCAATGACAGATGGACGTTGCATTTATCAAGGTGGAACTAATAATCTGGTGCCTTTTTTGGCAGATGCTGGTCTGAATTGTCCACCTTCGTATAATCCATCAGACTTTCTCATGGAAATTGCAACCGGCGAATACGGTTCTCAAAACGATGCACTTTCAAAAATGATACAGAATGGTAGTAACGAAAGTTACCGAGTTGAAGCAAATAACAAAGTGAAAAAATATGAATTTGAAATTATAAATGAAGATTTTACCAATCGCTTCTCATCTTCATTTATGAATCAGTTAAGCAATTTATTGTTACGCAATTTTTTGATGCTCTATAGAGATAAGGTTATAATGTGGTTACGGCTGGGGATTCATATTGTGGTAGCTTTGATAGTCGGAGCTTTCTTTGAAAATACTGGAGGACAAGCAACGCGAATCACAAACAACTTCCGACTTGTCTATGCAATTACACTTTTCCTAATGTACACAAGTTTTTATTCATTAGCGACACGATTTTCATCAGAAATTGCGATTATTAAAACGGAGCATTTTAATCGATGGTATTCAACAAGTGCTTATTATCTAGCTATGACTATTGCTGATATACCCTTGACATTGGTATGCTCGTTTATTTTTGTTGCGACGGTTTACGTAATGACTGATCAACCGTTCGAAGATTTTCGTTTCGCTTACTTTGTGATGCTTCAAATCTTGTCTAGTTTTATTTCTCAAGGTCTTGGATTGATGATTGGATCATTCTTTAAATTAATGGTAATTTCTTTTTTATTTTTCATGACTTTGTATGAAAGGAAATTGAATTAAATTTTAATCATATTGAATTTAATTTCAGAATGCTCTTTACTTTGCTGCAGTATTCTTGCCTGTGATTGTTCTTTTTGGTGGTTTTATGATAACACAAAAAGATGCTAACAAGTTCTTTTATTGGATCTTTGAGATTTGTTATACGAAGCATGCTGGTGATGCAACTCTAGTATCAATACTGGGATATAATCGATCGAAGCTGGAATGCACCGAAGAAATTTACTGTCACTTTGAGCGACCTCAAAAGTTCTTAGAGGAAATTGATTTTAAAGACGAGATATCAGTTGGAAATATTTCGGTTCTTATAGCATCATTGATTATATTTCGGTTAGTAGCATTCTACATGATCAACCATCGTCTTAAACATTAAATGTGGCATATTAAATGTAAATTCACAATCGTACCTTCATCCACGGAATTTAGAACAAAATAGTACACAAATAGGTAATAAATTTAGGTAAAAAAGGAAATTTCTATTTTCACATTCTTTTGATAATTATGAGAAATAAAATTAATTACAGGGATGGGTTTTACTTTAACAATTTCTTAATTAGAATTTCAAGTTTAATTGAAAGTTTCTAAAATTTGTGATATATTTATCAAAATTCCTTCTAATCACATCATAAAGACAAATAATTCAAATTCTATGCCCTGTTTGATTAAGAGAAATTTTGGTTTTGTAAAAAAATAAAATGTTTTCATGAAATGATTTTAATGTCACTGTTATCACTGCCTGGTTAGCCATTACTATTCCACTGAATCAGTAATGAATACATTTTAATATATTTCGATAATTAGATAATCAATATTTGATGCAATGTTTTATAAATTTTCAAAAAAAAAGAAGAAGAAATTTAATAATGAATATTAATCACTGGTAATTCAAATTAACTAATTTTGAATTATTATTTTTGAAACGCTGGCACTATTTGGTATTCGAATGGTCGGCTACGTTTTAAGATTTTAATGAGATTCTGTTATCTGATAAACCATCAACATTAAAGTTTAAAGTTAGATAAGCGAAAAAAAGAAAAAATTAAGCAAACAAATTCTTAGAATAAGCTTCGATAACTTTAAAAGCATTTGGAGAGAAGCCAACAATCTCAAGAATTCCTTTCTTGTTCAAGGTTTTCTCATCGTATTGAATATCAGGTTTCTTACGAGTTAAGTTGATAATGATGAGTCTGGGAAGAAAATCAAAATAGTATTTTCAATTAAATTTCGTTTAAAAATAACTCACTTTGTCATATTCAAGTTCATAGCTTTTCGGTACTTTTCAAGCTCGGCAATCGGTGGTTTTGCATATTTCCCTGCATTTCTCCCAATCGAGCTTACAATGGTGATGAAAACGTCGACTTTTTTCTTATCTTCAGCAGCTTTTCTCAAAGGCAGCAAGAAGTTTTCCTTTAATTTAGGAGTTTCCTTCTATATGTAGTAGAATATTAATTAATAATTTCCATTACAAGTTCATCTTCATTAAATTCTTACAATTTCTTTCTCGTAAAATTCCAAAGCATTTTCAAATGTCGTCTCTTTATTCCATGGAATTGACTTCAATCTATTTCTGTCATCAGTGTAAGACATCAACGTGACATCTTTTTCCTTTTTCAACATCAACAAAGCAAGAATCGTTTGAACATCAATGCAACGAATTTCGTTCATACCGAAAACATTCATTTCTGTAAATTTTAACGATTTAGAAAATTCTCAAAGATTAAATTTGAACTTCTTACGTTTTTTTGAAAATTTCCGTAAATTCATAGTGATGTAGTAACGACATCCAGTTTTTGGTTGATCTTTGAGTGTTTGTATAAAAATTGCATGAATTTTCTTGATGATAAATGGATTTAAGATTTTCTTGTTTTCACTTTTTTCTTTGCCATCATTTCCAGTTGATGCTTTAGCATTTTCATTTTTGTGTTCCTGACCGTCAATTACTGTCAGTTTACGTTCAATCACTTTCATGATTTCGTAAACATAAAATGGATTAAGCTTCGCTTCACTTACATTTTTATTTGTGCATTGCAAAACATTACAGATTTTTCGAGACAATGATTCCTGAACTCTTAATAACCTGCGGTTACAGAAGGATTCCAGATTTGCGAGTATTTCATTGAATGACAAATTAGGAAGAATAAGTTCAACAGCGTCGGGTGACTTGAGAGCAACTGATGGAAGATGTTCCATTTTATACGTGAAATCCTTGCATTTGAGAATGGATAAAGCTTCAGAAAGCTGTTGACATCCTTTCAGTTCTTTATATTTCATAATTTTCTTACTGGTTGAAGAAGATTGCGCAGCTTCCTTAATTTCTTGTTTTGTCTTGAAACACATTTTGAATATTTCTTGTTTATCCTGATTTTCAGATTTTGGATGAAGTTTGCGTAAAATATCAATATGACCAAATTCCAAGACTTTCTTAGAAGTAAAAGCGATTTCCAATAATTCTGTTGGAGATCTCTTCTCGTACCACTTCTCCAAACAATTTTTCATTCCACTTGATAAAGATAATTTATCTTTAGAATGACCTTTGTAAAAGATTACAAATTGAAGAAGATCATTTGGTGAAATTATCTGATCGGAAATAATATTTCGAATTCCCTTCTTGAAGTCTTCATTTTTACTTTCACTCAAACAGAAAGCAAACAAATAAAGAAGTTCCTCAGATATAAATGCTTCTGATTGCATCGCCTAAATATTTCAAAAAAAAAAGAAAAGAAAATAACGAAATTAATAAACAGTTAAAATTTCCACAATGTGTTTTAGTTCACCTTTTTAATCAGGTCGATTGGTAATGAAGGATCATCTTTAGCAGCAATGCCTATGGTATTGCATAATTCCAGCAATTCCTTCAAATCTGAATCCAAATTACCTATTAGTTGGAATGTTTTAAAAAACGAAATCAAAATTTTCACCTGCATAGATGGAAGGTCTTCCTGAAAGTTTGTTATTTCTTAGACAAGTATAATTTGACTTTGTAGTTCTTAACCACATAAATCTGTTGATAGCAAGCTTAATGTCGATCGCTTCCTAAATAAAATAAATAACAATCAAAAGGAGACATTTTTTGTAGGAATTTTTCATTTCTTTCAATGTTTGTAAAAAATATTAGTCATCAATTGAATTAAAAATATTGGATACCTTTTCATCAATCTGCTGATCGGTTTTCTCTTTTTCTACTTGATCTGCCATTTTTTTCCAAAGGAATTTGAAAAACTTATTCGTGGTACGGAATTTGCAAAAAAACAACAATAAATTGAGTTAGAGAGGTTAAGTGTTCGGTGAAATGTAGTTCAACCTGCTTAATTGAAACATTAACCCACATGTGAGAAAAATTTGTAAACATTTAAAATCAAAATTGAAATTATTTAAATTAAAATGGATAACAAAACCAAAAGAAAACAAATTGATCTTCGAATTACTAAGATGATCAAAAATGGAGTAGATACGAAGCATCGAACGATGTTTGTAATTGTTGGCGACAAAGCCAGAGACCAAGTAAAAAAGCAAGATAAAATCCAAAAAATATATTTCTTAACACGTTTTTTTAATTAAGGTACCAATTTTGTACGAGTTCTTGAAGAAATCTGCAGTGAAAGCTCAGCCAACAGTTCTTTGGTGCTATAAAAATAAAGACGAAGCAATCTCAAAGTAAGTTAGAATAATTTTTAAGAAAATGAACAAACATGGAAGTTGTAATTAATGAATTTAAAATTCTTCTTCAAGTCATGGTCGAAAAAGAGCAAAGAAAATCATGGAAGGAAAGGCAAATATGGAGGATAATTTGTTTGATACTTTCCGATGCACTACAACAATTCATGGAAAGTACTATAAAGACACTCATCAGATTCTTGGACGAACTTATGGTGTTTGCGTTTTACAAGACTTTGAAGCTATAACTCCTAATTTGCTAGCGAGAACAGTTGAGACAGTTGAAGGTGGTGGTCTTATTATTTTGCTTTTAAAAACAATTACATCTTTAAAGCAACTTTATACGCTCAACATGGATATTCATAAAAGATATCGAACAGATTCACATCAAGATATCAAATGTCGCTTCAATGAACGTCTCATTCTTTCATTAGCTGATTGTGAGCGATGCTTGCTCGTCAATGACGAACTTAAAGTTTTGCCATTGAGTCGTAAAACAGCAAATGTTGATTTAATCGACTCGAGTTTGAAATTAAAGTCACCAAATGCAGAAGGGTTGGAAGAATTAAAAGAATCGCTTCGTGATACTCCACCAGCTGGTCCTTTAATAAATCTTTGTCGAACATTGGACCAGGCAAAAGCAGTTGCTCAATTTATAGACTCGCTAGCTGAGAAACAATTAAAACCACCAACTTCATTGACTGCAGCTCGTGGTCGAGGAAAATCAGCTGCAATGGGACTTGCAGTTGCTGGAGCAATTTCCTTCGGTTATAGCCAAGTTTATGTGACGTCACCATCACCTGAGAATTTGATAACATTCTTTGAATTCATTCTCAAAGGTTTTGATGCACTCGCTTATCAAGAACATCTCGATTACACAATCATCAGATCAATCAATCCCGAGTTCAACAAAGCGATTGTGAGAATAAATTTGACTCGTAACAATCGACAAACTATTCAATATATTTCACCTAACGACGCTCATCTTTTGAATGCTGCTGATCTTTTAATTATTGATGAAGCAGCTGCAATTCCTTTGCCACTTGTTAAAGCTTTACTTGGACCATTTCTTGTGTTTATGGCATCAACAATAAATGGATATGAAGGAACTGGAAGATCGTTGAGTCTTAAATTGCTTTCTCAAATTCAGAAAGAAAACAATGCACCGCCTCCTATAAAACTCGAGGAATCAATTCGTTATAATCCAAATGATCCGGTTGAGAAATGGTTGACTTCACTTTTATGTCTTGATGTACAAGCTGTGCCTCATTTAAGTAGTGGTTGCCCAACTCCAGATTCATGTGAACTTTACTACATTAATCGTGATGCTTTGTTTTCCTATCATCGTGCATCTGAACACTTTCTTCAACGTCTTATGTCAATATTTGTTTCTTCTCATTACAAAAACACTCCAAATGATTTACAAATGTTGAGTGATGCACCAGCACATCATCTGTTCTGTTTATTTGGACCTATAACAAAAACTGACCGACTTCCTGAGATTCTTGTTGTGATTCAAGTTTGTTTGGAAGGAAAAATCTCTCAAAAACGTCTTAATGATTCAACAGGTTCAAAAGCTGCTGGTGATTTAATTCCATGGAATGTTTCTGAGCAATTCAATGATCGAGAATTCACAAAATTGTCTGGAGCAAGAATTGTTCGTGTTGCAACTCATCCCAATTATCAACGAATGGGATATGGAAAGAAAGCAATTCAATTGATTAAAAATTATTACGAAGGAAAATTTGCATCATTGAATGAAAATGATGATATTGATGATGATGATGAGGTTTCCGACGGATTTGAAGAAATTAATGATGAAGATGCTGACTTATTAACAGAAAGCATCACGCCTAGAACGAAGCCCCCAACGCTTTTGAAACGTTTATCAGAAAGAAAACCTGAAATTCTCGACTATATTGGTACGTCTTATGGCTTAACTCAAGAATTGTTAAAATTCTGGAAAAGTCAAAAGTTTATTCCAGTTTATTTAAGTCAAAAAGAGAACGACTTAACTGGTGAACATTCGTGCATTATGATTGCATGTTTAAATGGTGAACGTATTGAAACAAAAGATTGGCTTCAACAATATTTTATTGATTTTCGCAGAAGAATCTTAAAATTGTTACCAAAGAGTTTTAAGAAATTCACAACTGCGTTGGCAATGTCCTTGATGGATAACAAAAATGTGACAGTTAAAGGAAAGGAGATGACACATGACGAGCTTAATTCTTACTTTATTCCACATGATGTTCAACGCTTGGAATCTTATATTCGGAATCAAATTGAATATCGTTTGATTTTGGACCTCACAACAGATTTGTCTTCATTATATTTCCAATCGAAACTTCCGAATGCTCCTTTAGATGCACTGCAGAAAGCAATTCTTCTTGGAATCGGATCAATGAATAAAAATTTAGATCAATTGTCAGCTGAGTTTAACATGCCGCCAAGGTTTGTATAAATGTATTTTACTTTTAGAAGAAAATTTTTAATTTCACTTTTCTTATAGTCAAGTGCTTGCAAAATTCTACGATACTTTGAAGAAAATGACAAAAAATATTCTTCAAATCATGCAAAAGACAATTGAAAGTGAAATGTTAGGAGAACAACAACTTAATCAAGGAAAAGAATTTAAACCTCTGGAACAGACAATGGATGAAGAACTGGATGAAGAAGCTAAAAAGTTAGAGAAAAAACAGAAAAAAGAACTCATAAAGCTTAAAAAAGAGTCGCTAGCACAATTTGCTATTAAAGGAACTGATGGTGATTGGGCGAAAGCGTTACAAAATAATGGAAATAAAAAATCAATTGTGTCAGTGAAAATTGGCGAAAAACGAAGTCTTGAATCAGTTGAATCAAAAGCGGATGTTGAAGATGAAAAGCCTGGATGGAATAAGAATAAAAAAATGAAGTTTAAGCAACATGGTAAACAAGGAAAAAAGGATAAGTTTTTTAAGAAATGAATTAAATTTTAATGAACTATCATGAAATAAAAATAAGAAATTATAACGGTAGTTTTATTTTTGAATTCTGAGGGAATCAAGCTGCTGAACTTTTATATGTTAAGGGAATCAACCTACGCGTACAAAAAATAAACATTTCAATATTGAAAAAAAGTTAAATTCTTGTTTTTGATAAGGAACAGAAGAAATTTAACAACGTGAGAAAGTTTAGAGCTTCAATTGAATTCAGCAGTTTTATGAAATCATGACGATAAAACCCATAGTTAACCAAAAAGCTGTAAATGATGATAAAGATCAGGTAGGATAATTTCTGTCGCATAAAATTTTCATTTTTGAAACAATGAAATTATAATCTGGTGGGATCATGACTCTATTTATGGAATTTTAAATGATATCACATAAATTCCTCACCAATTATCAGTGAAAGAAAAAGAAAAAAAATGCATTAATAATTTCATGGGACATTTCGTCACCAATCACCAATCGAAGAAATAAAACTTTTTTCGGGTTCCATCTTCTTATTTTTCTTTTTACGTCGCAAATGCATTACGACGATTTTTTCTTTCCTTTTTTCTATAAACGTATACATTGAATGGCTGTTGAAGTCATCACAAAGAATGCTATAGAAAAAAACATGTTCACATTAATGTTTCTCCTTTGATGTTTTTTTTTAGAATGTGCAGCGTGATAAACGTTTAACAACAGAAAGATTCGATAGACGTTCTAGTAGCAGTAAAAGGTAATAAACGAACATTTTACTTTCCACCATGGCCGTTTATGTTTATTCAGTTTTCTTTAGTTAAAAAATATTGAAACGAAAATTGAAAATGTCATTAAAATAAAAACGGATTTTAATCGTTCGTTTGTGTCAGGACTCGAATTGCAGAAAGCTTCTTTACATTCGCCACATGACAACATTTTGAAGTGAACGTTTTCTCGTTCCTGCTCTTCATAGTCTTCACATATCCCAGTTTTTTGACACCCGCGATACATGCGACGAACTTTTCGATCTGAAATTGTTTCTTGATAAGTGAATGTTGTGAAAATTTATTTTGAATATTTATCACCTGAGATTTGCACAGCGTAGCAAGTTTCTGAACCATTTCCTTCAGGATCACATGGTGCTGCTTTGAAGTAGCTAAAATTTGGGTTGAAATCAAAGCAGTTCTTGTCATATTGAGAATTACATTCGTAACACATGTATCCTATATCAATAAAAGTTTTTGACGTCATTAATTAAACAATTTTGAATTACACGAATTTGTTCAAACCTTCTGAAGTATTCACAAGATACACCAATGCCAAAAATATTACAAGAAATTTCATTTTATTTTCTTCTTTATATTTTATTTCGATTTGATTTATTTTTTTTGATGTTTATTTGAAATTAATTACACAATGACACCAAAGTAAATGACCAAAAACAACGCGTGAATACCTCGACTTAACAATTCAAACAGTAAAAGTCTTCTCTTATCTCTCACTATTTCACGAGCATCATCGTATGATCTTCAATATTCTTCTCCGAAATAAAACAAAATCGTTTGTTTATGAAAAATATCTATCACGATCGAAAATACTGAACTCGAATGTTATTTTTAGCCTTATTTTCTTTTGTCGAGTAATAAATGACGAAAAAAAAAGAAACTGGATAAGGGAGGGCTTGCGCAAATCCAAATCAGTTTAGTATAGCAACAAAACGGATAAGTTTGTGAAGGAAAAAAAATTCAAGAATATTGCAATGTCCTTGACGAAAACATTTAGCTATCAAATCGGTCACGCAAGAATTTTTAATATTTTTAACCTTAGTACCGCTCTGATTAAAAATTCTATGTACAATTGTATGTACAACTTTTCACTTCGATTTAAATTTTCTCCTTGTGAGCTAAACGAACAATCGATATAAATTTTTCTCTTCATTTATCTCCAATATGAATTCTGTATGGAACAGAGGCACACAATGTGCCTTAATTATCTTCCGAAGCTGTAAAACTGTGTTCAATCGTTACAATTTTTACGACCGTTTAAAGAAGGCAATTAAAAAGGCTCATTTTATAAACATATCAAGAGAAAAAAAAAGAATTGGAAATTAGAGAAAATTTTGGAGTTTAGTAGTCGGCGGAACGGAAGGCGTGGAATAATGTATAAATAAATAGATTTAAATAATTTTTGTTTTTATTCTAGTCATGGTCGCGCTAATAAACGTGATAATAAACGCGACAAAACTGTCGTACAAACGAAATATCAAACACCATCACCATCATCAATCGCCACTTTAAATAATGCGAAAAAGCAACAAATCCCATGCACAAGTGCATGCTCAAGTCAACAACAAAATACAAGTGGAAGCTCCATTCCGAGCTCTCCGGAATGTTCAAACAGTGGAAATAGTAGTTTATCAAATAACAGCTGTGTTAACAATAAAGCAGACCAAGTCGATATTCTTGAGATACTTGAAGAAAAAGTTTCGGGCTATAACAGTGGTGATGAACATCTTGGAACAAAGGAACATGATTTGTCAAGTGAAGAATGGAAGAAACGTGATGAAAAATTCTCGAAAGCTTTGTCGGAAAGAGGTTTGATCATCAAAGAAATGGAAGAAGATGGTGCTTGTCTTTTTCGAGCAATATCATATCAACTTTATGGTGATCAAGGAATGCATGATGTCATACGACAGCAAACAATGGATTACATCTATCAGAATCGTGAATATTTCGCACAATTTATAACTGAAGGTAAGAAAATTTGATGAAATTGTTATCAATAAATAATTTGATGTTTATTTTCAAATTAGATATTACACATTACGTTAATCGTAAGCGTCAAAATCATCTACATGGCAATCACATTGAGATTCAAGCAATGTCTGAAATGTACAATCGTCCTGTTGAGCTTTATTGTTACGAGATGACACCAATTAATATCTACAATTCAGAGCAAATCAATAATGGTTATGAACCATTGCGTCTCTCGTATCATCGATATTCACATTACAATGCCATTTTGGATCCTTACAAGTCATCTGTTGGGGTTGGTTTAGGTCTTGCTGGGTATCGACCAGAAGATTTCGATCCTGCAAAGCAAGTAAGTGATGCATGTCAAATGAGTGAACAGCTGGAAATTGAAAAAATGATGGTGGAAGATAAACTGAAGACGACAGATTGGGAAGCAACAAGTGAAGTTGTTGTGGAACAGATTGCAAGGCAATCTTATCTTCAGTTTTGTAAGGAAAATATGAACAAAAAAATGAATGGCAATAAAAGCAGTACAAGTACTGTAACATCAACCGAAGCTTGTGGAAGTTCCAGTTCAACAATGCCATCTTGTGATTTGCCAGTAGCATGTCAACAGAGTTGCTCATCAAATCAATCTCATGAGTCGGAACAAAGTTCAAGCCCTTATTTAGAATATTACATGCAGACTTCTCAAGGACGACGTGGTAAAAAAAGGCATCATCACCATCACATGTTAGTTAATAAATTTAAAAATTTAGATTGAATTTTAATTAAATTTTAATTTAGCGAGAAAAGAAAACAAGAAGATGTGACGAAAGGGAAAGATCAGACTTCAAGTCCTAAAAGAAAGAGATTAACACCCTCACCAAGTCCACAAAGTTCAGCTTCATCTGTCTCAGGTGGTGATAGCGATACAGAGAAACCATTATCTGCATTTTATCAATCACTTTTGGAATCATCTTATGCAGCTGATGGTGAGAAACATTTTTAATGATATTTTAATGTCTTTTATTTTAAGAACATAAAATTGCAGGATTCAATCAAATGAGCGAAAAAGAAATGATGCAACAAGCATTAATGCAATCAATTCAAGATATATCTAAAACGAGGCGAAGTAAAAACAATACTGATGATGAATATGATTCACCGTAATGGCAAATTTTTTCTTCTGTTACGTCTTATTTATTTTATAAGATCGCCTATTAATTATGTAAATGATAAAAAATTCCGAAATAAAGGAATACTTTAATATAACTTTGGGTTTTAAATATGTAACTTTTATCAACAATTTGTAAATTAAAAATTATTTTCAGTGCAGTCACATCGAAAATAATTTTTACTGGCTTTTTTAAATTCAAAGTCATATTTTGTAAACATTTTTCTACCCCTGGTAAAAGTGTGAGTGTGTGAATAAACATTCAGAAAATATAAATTAATTTGTTTTCAACGTTATTAAGGATATTCAAGACCTCAAAATATATTTATAAGTTAAATAACTATCCAATAAAAACTTTTTAATTGAAGTTCATCGTCAAACAAGTTACAAAAATCGCAAAAACAAGAAATTATTTTGACGGGGCGAGGCTGATGAAAATTTTCTTGTATTCGGCTTAGTCGGAACTTTTACTCGTCGGAAGAAACATCTTAGAAAAGTCTGTACGTGTGGAAAAAAATCAAAAACTATATTAATTTGTACATGAAACCTATTTGAAATATCAAAACACTAAAATTGAATCCTTTATCAATTGGTGAGTGTTGAAATTAAAAGGATTTCCAGTGTATTAATAGTAGAAAAATATCGGTAAAAATCGAAAAAATTAAATGGCCGCTCTGTAGGCTAGGTGTACATATTGTGAATCGTTTTGGATATCAATAGCAAATAATCAGAATAAAATATTTGCATTCCTTACTGTTCTGGTGAATATGACATAACAATATGAAAATTAAATAATAAATGACATAAAATCTACATAATGGTCGCCTTGATCCTAATCTATTAGATTTCTTATAAGAAAATTTGAAGTTTCATGAGAAATACCAATTGCTATTTTTGGAACATGAGTGGAAAAGAAATCATAAACTATTTCTAAAATGAAAAATCTTACCAACAAGATTCGATCTAATTTCTACACATAAAAAAAGTTCTTACTGAAATGAAGAAGAATATCTTTCTATTGATGCAAAATCAGAGCGACTCTTCTTATTAACACTTTTTATTTTTCTCCTCTTTATGAGTGTGAGTTAATGCTGCGGCAACCAACGCCTTAATTAATTTAATTTCGTTTGACTCAAAAAAATAAACAGCGAATGTGTGCTAGAGCAACAAATAAGAATATTTTGTAGTTAATATTTGGATATTATTGGATCCTGAAAAAAAAATGAAAAAAGGAAAAATCCTTGAACGCTCAACATTTCGTTTTTCTTTTTGTTAGGGTGGGCGGGTGCTACATTTAGGGAGTGAGAATAAAAACCATAACACAGGACAGGGTGAAACGACAAAAGTATGAGACTGATACATTCTGTGTAAAATCGATATTTTTTCCATATTTAAGAAAATTTAACTTTTTACGATTTTGTTTGAGCTTCATAATCATGTTGATGATATAATATTTGATTTTACGTTTAACTGCGATAGCAGGAAAAAAAGCGATAACGAAATTGTTGTTTCTTTTGATTTTTTTTCTTGCCTTCTTCATTTTATTAAAGAAGGAAAAATATTTTCAAGAAAGATTTTGGACGCCACTCGTTCGTCACTGACGGATGAAGCAAATCAAATTTTCTTCTTCAACATCCGAAAACGAAAAAAGAATTAGGTATTTGCTGCTGTGATATATTCCAGTCGACTACCCGCAAAAAGAAGAATCGCCAATATTCACAATAACATTACATTCACTACTATTTAGTGATCATAAATGTATGTTGAATACTTCAACAAACTTTTATACACGAAGTCTTGTGATGTCATGTTTGGATTTGTTAGTGTTTGCACATAATTTTGAGCTTTTGCGTGATTTTTAAAGGTACATTATAATAAAAAACATTACACATTGTTGTTATTTGATGTAACGCTTGATGGTAACTGGACTTTTTACAATTCTTTTTTTTCCAAGATGGTTCAAATCAAGGTTCAAATAATAAATTATTGTCAATGCTATAACCATTCATACGTTCTATCAACAAAATTTTTATTTGAAATAATGCTTACAGTCGTAAATATGCCAGATAATTAATCATCAAAGCTCAAATTATAAAATTCATTATTTTATCGAAGCTAATTGTTTATGTTCTTAAAGTATAATCAGCAAAAAAAAAATATTCATAAGAAATGATAAAAAAATGAATGATAATTATTTTATTTCAAGCAATAACTTGTGGAAATTTCCGATAAGTTTTCTTGTTTATAAAGTCAAAGTTTTTCGAATAAAAACATGCAAGGGCAAAGCTTAAGATAAAAAAGGAAATTTTCAAGGGAAAGCCTTTTTATAGTGTTTAACTTCATTAAAATCACAAATAGTAATTTAATAAATCTAACATACAACAAAAGAAGCTATTAATTAAATGTAATTGTATTCTTTCGAGTCATGATTGCAAACAGACATTCCATCATGCAAGTGACTATCGACGTATTAATTTCAATTAAAGATATACTTGAATCCATCAAGACTTTTAAATTGTCAGATGATCATTTATTTAAATTAAGTAAGCCTGTTATGAGTTAAAATAATGGTTATTAACAACCAGAACTTATTTTCATTGATCATTATCTTGTTTATATAGTTTACACCTTAAACTGGGTTATTAAAGAAAGAATAAAGAAAACGAAGATATTCCCGGAAAGGGTAGAGCAGCTCTAGCAACAAATTTCTCTTATTATAAACAACAATCTTACCAGTTGATACCATAAAACATTATTTTAGTAAACACGATTTAAAGACTTGAGCTGCATTCAAGAAATAATGAAATTAGAAATGAAAGAATGAATGAAGTGAAAATTTCTGATACCTCAACAATAACGTCAGAATAATTTTTATTGTTTTCATTTAGCCACACCAACAGTAGAATTCTATTTAATTAACTATTTCCTTTTGTGATCCCGTGCCGCGTTATGCTGTTGATGAGTTTTAATATATTTCATTGTCCATGTTCATCAGCATTGTTTCACTAACACATCAATCGACCGAAGCCCGTGAAATATTTTTTTTTTATTTTGTTGATATTCTCTCACTCAATTCTTTTATGATTACGTAATGCGAATGAATGAATAACGAGGGAGGCAACTTTGTATGAGTGGAGAGCGATAATAATGAAAACTCATTCGTTTCATTCGAAAATGATCAAAACCAGTAATAAAATGCACGGTTTAGAAATCCTCTTGACCTCTGATATCTCTTTTTCTAATTCTACGGATTTGTTTTTCAAATAAATTTGTTCTTGACTCATTTTTTGAACGATGATTCATTCAACACTTAAAGTTTTCTCCATTGCCATTAAATACGATAAACATTTTTTATTTCTTTAACATAAAGCCAAAACATAATTTGTAATCAGAGGAAACGTCAAACTTTGACTTAAACTTCACAAAACACAAATCAGTAAAACATTCTTTCTTAGAACTAATCGATAATTTTTTGTTGTAGTTGTTTAATCCGCTTTGTTGAACAATTTCGTTCCAACTTAAACCAAAACAATTAAAAATTTGTTAAAGCATGTTGGCAGTCATAATAACGGAAAAAGTTGTGTTCCTCATGTTAAACTCTGTGAGGTTATTAAACTTTAAATTGTTTTGTATTTATTTATCAAGCTTGTGACATATTCAATAGATTTACTTAAATACACGAAAAAGAAATGAAAGAAATAGTTGAGAATTCTTCTTTGGTCGTCCTACATTTATTGAGTTTATCGAGAAAGAAAAAGAAAATTTATTTGAGTGAGTGAAAGTGAAAACTTAAAAACATATTTGAGCGAGTGTATAAAAAATTCAACAGCAGAATTAAAGAGTTTAATTTCAAGTTAAAGCTGATAAATATGGTCAATATGACACTTAATAAACTTGCAACAACAAGCTGACATCATCTTCTATTCTCGTATTTTTCTCTCATTTGATCAACTATCACATCACACACTTTTGATAGAGTCATGCAGTACTCAGCTATGATTTTTTTAATTCATGTCAATAAAATTTATTTCGCAATTACATTAGACATAAAACGAAGTGAGAGAAATGAAAAAAAATACACTGAAAAGTCGAAATTACCGAAAACGTTTAAAACATGAAAAATCACCAGCGAAGTTGAAAATTTGACAACGCTGCAAATTTTTTTCTCATTGATTTTTCTTTTTTCTTAGTTTTTTTTTCTTCTTTTCTTTTTGTTTTACACTTTGACGATTATTTGGACATTCAATTTGAACATAGGAAGAGGTCAATTTAATTTTAGTATTTGTATGGTTGCGTAGACACATTTAAACATTGAATAATATGTCTGAAAGAGAAAAAAAAGGTTCGAATGTCAAAGAATGATGTCTTCATAAGAATTCCCATAAAATAAAAATAACTTGAAAGTAAATGAAAATGTTTGCATTTCGTTTTCATTATTAAACCTCGCACATTCAATCTTTGATCTTATTGTAGACGAAATGAAAACAACGAAGCCATAATGGCGAGAAATGTCTAAAAAACAAACATCAGTCGACACAGAAACATAAAAATATGTTGAATCAGGTTGAATCATAGCATAAACGTTTTTCCGAGCATGCGCATTTTTGGTCATGTGAAATCTATAAATTTATTGAACAGTTTTTCTCTTTACTTTACTAATACAGTCGACAACGAGCATAATTTTTTTGCTTCAAAAGTTCCTTTCAAAGCTTTCGTTTCCTTCTGCTCGAAGACTATTTTCATATTCATCTTCACAGTGACTCACTAAATGTTCATTACAACAACACAAAAGTTCGTAAAAGCTCAAAAGAAGAAATAAAAAACGAGTTTGGAATAAATTTAAGCTTATTAATGGAACTGCAGACATCTCGGCGATGTCTTTAAAGTTCATGAAGTAAAAAATTGTGTCAAATCAGAATACCAAAGAAGCGAATGTAAGGAATGCAAATAATTTCCGTATTCACCTCGTGATGCGTGTTGTTGCTGACTAGCAGCAAGCAAATATTAACAAAATATTGAAATCTTTTAATAAAAAATTTCTCATGTTTTCTTCTTCTTCATCATCAATAAATTTATTTTGTTTGTTTGTTGTAGAAGATTAAAAGAGTGAAAGGATGACGACAGATATTTCAATTGTACGTTGGGATCCAAGCCAAAACAACGGCCAGGAGTACATAGACGAATACGAGTACGATGGAGGAAATTCAAGTTCCCGTCTTTTCGAACGATCTCGAATTAAGGCGTTAGCGGGTGAGTAAACAAATAATTACTTATTGCTCAAGTTTAATTCATTATTACGTTTTTATTCTCATCAATGAACATCGACAGAGGAACGTGAAACAGTACAAAAGAAGACTTTTACGAAATGGGTGAACTCTCATCTGGTTCATGTCAACTGCCGAATCAATGACCTTTATACGGACATGAGAGATGGTAAAAATCTTATCAAGCTCCTTGAGATCTTATCCGGTGAGCGTTTACCACGACCAACAAAAGGAAAAATGAGAATTCATTGTCTGGAAAATGTTGACAAAGCTCTTCAATTCTTACGTGATCAGCGTGTTCATTTAGAGAACATTGGAGCTCATGATATTGTCGACTTTTCAAGACCATCGGTAAGAGTGAAACATTTAACAGAAGGAAGAAGAAAAATTTATTTGTTTATTTAATTAACAGCTAAATTTGGGTCTCATTTGGACAATCATTCTGAGATTCCAAATTCAAGACATTACAATCGAAGAAGTTGACAACAAAGAAACAAAATCAGCAAAAGACGCTTTACTGTTGTGGTGTCAAATGAAAACTGCCGGCTACCAAAATGTTAACGTTCGTAATTTTACCACATCATGGCGTGATGGTTTAGCGTTTAACGCAATCATTCATCGTCATCGTCCGGATTTAATTCGTAAGTTTTGAAAAAAGAATAAATCAGAAGGAAAAATTAATTTGTAAAATATTTTCAGCAATTGAAAAACTCAGCAAGACGAATCCTATTTATAACTTAAACTTGGCTTTTAAGACCGCCGAAGAGAAGTTGGGCATCTGTAAGTTGCTTGATCCTGAAGATGTCTTCACCGAAAATGGAATTCCAGACGGTAAATAAATAAATTCTTAAAAATTCATTCAATTTAATTTTCATGTTGTTCCATCAATTCACAGAAAAGTCAATCATCACTTATGTCGTAACCTACTACCATTACTTCAGTAAGATGAAGCAAGAAACAGTGCAAGGGAAACGTATTGGAAAAGTTGTTGGCATCGCGATGGAAATTGATCGTATGATCAACGATTATGAAACATTCACCAGCGATTTATTAAAATGGATTGAAACGACAATCACACAACTTGGCGAACGTGAATTTGCCAACTCATTAAATGGTGTGCAACAACAACTAGGACAATTCTCAAATTATCGAACTGTTGAGAAGCCACCGAAGTTTGTCGAAAAGGGAAATCTTGAAGTTTTGTTGTTTACATTACAATCGAAGATGCGAGCAAATAATCAGAAACCTTACACACCGAAGGAAGGTAAAATGGTTGCTGATATCAACAAAGCTTGGGAGCATTTGGAGAAAGCTGAACATGAACGTGAATTAGCTCTTCGTGAAGAATTGATTCGTCAAGAGAAGCTTGAGCAATTGGCAGCACGCTTTAATCGTAAAGCATCAATGCGTGAAACATGGTTGTCTGAGAATCAGCGACTTGTTAGCCAAGATAACTTTGGATTTGACTTAGCAGCTGTTGAAGCAGCAGCGAAGAAACATGAAGCAATTGAAACTGATATTTTCGCTTATGAAGAGCGAGTTCAAGCTGTTGTAGCTGTTTGTAATGAATTGGAAGCCGAAAATTATCACGACATCGATCGAATTATTGCAAGAAAAGAGAATGTCTTACGTTTGTGGGGATATTTGCTTGAATTATTACGTGCACGTCGTTTACGTTTGGAAAGTTCAATTCAACTTCAACAGAACTTCCAAGAAATGATTTACATTCTTGATTCAATGGAGGAGATCAAGCAACGTCTCTTAACTGACGATTATGGAAAACATTTGATGGGTGTCGAAGATTTACTTCAGAAGCATTCATTGGTTGAAGCTGACATCAACGTTTTAGGTGAACGCGTCAAGCAAGTCGTTCAAAACTCACAACGATTCCTTTCTGAAGAATCAGAAGGATTCAAACCATGCGATCCATCAATCATTGTTGATCGTGTTCAACAACTTGAAGATGCTTATGCTGAACTTGTTAAGTTGGCAGTTGAACGTCGTTCACGTTTGGAAGAAAGTCGTAAATTGTGGCAATTCTATTGGGACATGGCTGGCGAAGAGAATTGGATTAAAGAGAAGGAACAAATTGTATCATCGGGGGAGATCGGTCATGATTTGACGACAATTAATTTGTTATTGTCCAAACACAAAGCACTTGAATCTGAAATTAATTCACATGATCCACAATTGATGTCAGTCGTTGCTGTTGGTGATGAATTAGTTCGTCAAGGACATTTCGGATCAGATCAAATTAAAGATCGATTGAAGGAGATTCTTGCAACATGGAATCATCTCTTGGATTTGACAGCATATCGTCGTAAGCGTTTGGAAGATGCCGTCGATTACTTCCAAATGTTTGCTGATGCTGACGACATCGATGCTTGGATGCTTGATGCACTTCGTTTGGTATCATCGGAAGATGTTGGACGTGACGAAGACAATGTCCAATCTTTGTTGAAGAAACACAAAGACGTCGCTGAAGAATTGAAGAGTTATTCAGATACAATTGACCAACTTCATGCTCAAGCTGGTAAACTCACTCTCAACGACGAAGAACAACAGAAAGTTAATGAACGTCTTGGAGCTATTGACGCTCGTTACAAGGAGTTGATGGAACTTTCCAAACTTCGCAAACAACGCTTGTTGGATGCTCTCAGTTTGTATAAATTGTTATCAGAAAGTGACGGCGTCGAGAAATGGATTGGCGAGAAAGAAAAGATGTTAAAGACGATTTGGATCACTTCCAGACATGGTTGACAAAATCACAGACAGATGTTGCATCGGAAGACACGCCAACGACATTACCCGATGTTGAGAAGCTTTTGAACCAGCATCAAAGTATTCGTGAAGAAATTGACAACTACACTGAAGATTACAGCAAGATGATGGAATATGGTGAAGGTTTAACATCTGATCCATCGACAAACACAGATCCACAATATATGTTCTTGCGTGAACGTTTGAAGGCGCTTAAAGATGGTTGGGAGGAGTTGCAACAAATGTGGGAGAATCGCCAAGTTTTGTTGTCACAAAGTCTCGATCAACAACTTTTCAATCGCGATGCACGTCAAGCTGAAGTTCTTCTGAGTCAACAAGAACATGTCTTGAGCAAAGATGACACGCCAGTTAACTTGGAACAAGCTGAAAATCAATTGAAACGTCATGAAGCATTCTTAACAACAATGGAAGCAAATGATGAGAAGATCAACACAATCGTTCAAGTTTCGGATACTTTGGTTGAGAAGGAACATTTCGATGCTGATCGTATTCATAAGCGTGCTGAAAATATTGCACAGCGTCGTGATGCAAATCGTGATCGCGCAATAGAACTTCATGAGAAGTTGAAGAATCAAGTCAAGTTGCATGAATTCCTTCAAGATTTGGAAGAATTGAATGAATGGGTTCAAGAAAAGAGTTTGTTAGCACGTGAAGACACATACAGAACAGCAAAGACAGTTCACAGTAAATGGACAAGACATCAAGCATTTGAAGCTGAAATTGCAGCGAATAAGGAACGATTACATGAAGCTGAAAAGGCAGCTCAAGATCTTATGGCTGAGAAGCCTGAATTCCGTGAAATCATCACACCGAAATTGCAAGATTTGGGAAAACACTTTGATGATTTAGAAGATACAACTAAGGAGAAGGGAGCTTTACTCTTCGATGCTAAACGTGAAACGATTGTACAACAAAGTGTTGATGACATTGATTCATGGATGGATGATTTAGAGAAACAAATTGTTAATCCTGACACTGGCAATGACTTGACATCGGTCAATATTCTCATGCAGAAACAACAAATTATTCAAACACAAATGGCATTAAAAGCGAAACAAGTTGATGAATTGGACAAACAAACAGAAGTTCTTGCTCGTACAATTCCAAGCGATAAAGTTGAACCAATTGTCATTAAGAAGCAGCAAGTTGGTGAACGTTTCGAACGTATTAAAGCACCTTTATTGGAACGACAGAAGCAATTGGAAAAGAAGAAAGAAGCATTCCAATTCCGTCGCGATGTTGAAGATGAAAAATTGTGGATTGATGAGAAACTTCCATCGGTTCTTACTGACGAAATTGGAAATTCATTGTTCAACGTTCACATGTTGAAGAANAAAGTCGTAAATTGTGGCAATTCTATTGGGACATGGCTGACGAAGAGAATTGGATTAAAGAGAAGGAACAAATTGTATCATCGGGTGAGATCGGTCATGATTTGACGACAATTAATTTGTTATTGTCCAAACACAAAGCACTTGAATCTGAAATTAATTCGCATGATCCACAATTGATGTCAGTCGTTGCTGTTGGTGATGAATTAGTTCGTCAAGGACATTTCGGATCAGATCAAATTAAAGATCGATTGAAGGAGATTCTTGCAACATGGAATCATCTCTTGGATTTGACAGCATATCGTCGTAAGCGTTTGGAAGATGCCGTCGATTACTTCCAAATGTTTGCTGATGCTGACGACATCGATGCTTGGATGCTTGATGCACTTCGTTTGGTATCATCGGAAGATGTTGGACGTGACGAAGACAATGTCCAATCTTTGTTGAAGAAACACAAAGACGTCGCTGAAGAATTGAAGAGTTATTCAGATACAATCGACCAACTTCATGCTCAAGCTGGTAAACTCACTCTCAACGACGAAGAACAACAGAAAGTTAATGAACGTCTTGGAGCTATTGACGCTCGTTACAAGGAGTTGATGGAACTTTCCAAACTTCGCAAACAACGCTTGTTGGATGCTCTCAGTTTGTATAAATTGTTATCAGAAAGTGACGGCGTCGAGCAATGGATTGGCGAGAAAGAAAAGATGTTAACAACAATGACGCCTGGAAAAGATATCGAAGATGTTGAAATCTTGAAGCATCGTTATGATGGCTTCGATAAGGAAATGAATTCAAATGCATCACGTGTCGCTGTTGTCAATCAACTTGCACGTCAACTTCTTCATGTTGAACATCCAGATTCGGAACAAATTGTTGCACGACAAAATCATTTGAATCAAGAATGGGGACGATTACGTGACAAGGCCGAAGGTAAACGAGATGAACTTAACTCAGCTCATGGTGTTCAAACATTCTACATTGAATGTCGTGAAACAATTTCATGGATTGAAGATAAGAAGAGAATCTTAACCGAAACTGATAATTTGGAGATGGACTTGACTGGTGTCATGACATTGCAACGTCGTTTGAGTGGAATGGAACGTGACCTTGCTGCAATTCAAGCTAAACTCACAGCACTTGAACATGAAGCTGATGCGATTGAACACGATCATCCCGAAGAAGCCGCAATTATTCGTGAGAGAATTTCACAAATACAAATCATTTGGGAACAATTAACAGCAATGTTGAAAGAGCGCGATTCAAAATTGGAAGAAGCTGGCGACTTGCATCGTTTCTTACGCGATTTGGATCACTTCCAGACATGGTTGACAAAATCACAGACAGATGTTGCATCGGAAGATACGCCAACGACATTACCCGATGCTGAGAAGCTTTTGAACCAACATCAAAGTATTCGTGAAGAAATTGACAACTACACTGAAGATTACAGCAAGATGATGGAATATGGTGAAGGTTTAACATCTGATCCATCGACAAACACAGATCCACAATATATGTTCTTGCGTGAACGTTTGAAGGCGCTTAAAGATGGTTGGGAGGAGTTGCAACAAATGTGGGAGAATCGCCAAGTTTTGTTGTCACAAAGTCTCGATCAACAACTTTTCAATCGCGATGCACGTCAAGCTGAAGTTCTTCTGAGTCAACAAGAACATGTCTTGAGCAAAGATGACACGCCAGTTAACTTGGAACAAGCTGAAAATCAATTGAAACGTCATGAAGCATTCTTAACAACAATGGAAGCAAATGATGAGAAGATCAACACAATCGTTCAAGTTTCGGATACTTTGGTTGAGAAGGAACATTTCGATGCTGATCGTATTCATAAGCGTGCTGAAAATATTGCACAGCGTCGTGATGCAAATCGTGATCGCGCAATAGAACTTCATGAGAAGTTGAAGAATCAAGTCAAGTTGCATGAATTCCTTCAAGATTTGGAAGAATTGAATGAATGGGTTCAAGAAAAGAGTTTGTTAGCACGTGAAGACACATACAGAACAGCAAAGACAGTTCACAGTAAATGGACAAGACATCAAGCATTTGAAGCTGAAATTGCAGCGAATAAGGAACGATTACATGAAGCTGAAAAGGCAGCTCAAGATCTTATGGCTGGGAAGCCTGAATTCCGTGAAATCATCACACCGAAATTGCAAGATTTGGGCAAACACTTTGATGATTTAGAAGACACAACTAAGGAGAAGGGAGCTTTACTCTTCGATGCTAAACGTGAAACGATTGTACAACAAAGTGTTGATGACATTGATTCATGGATGGATGATTTAGAGAAACAAATTGTTAATCCTGACACTGGCAATGACTTGACATCGGTCAATATTCTCATGCAGAAACAACAAATTATTCAAACACAAATGGCATTAAAAGCGAAACAAGTTGATGAATTGGACAAACAAACAGAAGTTCTTGCTCGTACAATTCCAAGCGATAAAGTTGAACCAATTGTCATTAAGAAGCAGCAAGTTGGTGAACGTTTCGAACGTATTAAAGCACCTTTATTGGAACGACAGAAGCAATTGGAAAAGAAGAAAGAAGCATTCCAATTCCGTCGCGATGTTGAAGATGAAAAATTGTGGATTGATGAGAAACTTCCATCGGTTCTTACTGACGAAATTGGAAATTCATTGTTCAACGTTCACATGTTGAAGAAGAATAATCAAACATTAAAAACAGAAATTGAGAATCATGAGCCAAAAATCATGACAATTTGTAATAATGGTCAGAAATTGATTGATAAAGGACACGAAGATGCAAGTGAATTTGCTGTTTTGATCAGTGGATTAACACAAAGATGGCAAGAGCTTAAAGATGCTTTAGCACAACGTCGTAAACGTTTGGAGAATAGTGAACGTGTTCAACAATATTTCTTCGATGCACAAGAAGCTGAATCATGGATGAGCGAACAAGAACTTTACATGATGGTTGAAGACCGTGGAAAGGACGAAATTTCAGCACAAAATTTGATGAAGAAACATGAAACATTGGAGCAATCAGTTGAAGATTATGCAGATACAATTCGTCAATTGGGCGAGACAGCACGTCAACTCACAGCTGAAAATCATCCACACAGTGATCAAGTTGCTGTTAAGCAATCGCAATTGGATAAATTAGGTATATGCTAGCTTGAAGGATTTAGCTGGCGAACGTCGTGCACGTTTAGATGAAGCACTTCAACTCTTCTACTTCAATCGCGAGGTTGATGACTTGGAACAATGGATTGCTGAACGCGAATTAGTTGCTGGAGCGCAAGAACTTGGACAAGATTACGATCATGTCACATTATTATGGGAAAGATTTAAAGTATTTGCACAAGACACATCAAACATTGGTAGTGAACGTGTCGCTAAAGCAAATGGAATTGCTGATGAACTCATTCATGCTGGTCACTCAGATTCAGCTATTATCGCCGAATGGAAGGATAATTTGAATTATTCATGGCAAGACTTATTGGAAATGATCGAAACACGAACACAAATGCTTGCAGCATCACGTGAATTATACAAATTCTTCCACGATTGTAAAGATGTCTTGAGTCGAATCTTAGAGAAGCAACATGGAGTATCCGATGAGTTGGGACGTGATGCTGGAAGTGTTTCAGCACTTCAACGTAAACATCAAAACTTTATGCAAGATTTGTTGACGTTACAATCGCAAGTTCAACAAATTCAAGAGGAATCATCGAAACTTCAAGCTTCTTATGCTGGTGACAAAGAAAGAGAAATTATTAATCGTGAACAGGAAGTTCTTCAAGCTTGGGCTAATCTTCAAGGAATGTGTGATTCACGACACATGAAATTGTCTGACACAGGCGATCTTTTCAAATTCTTTAACATGGTACGCATTCTTATGCTCTGGATGGAAGATGTTGTTCGTCAAATGAACACAAGCGAAAAACCACGTGATGTTTCGGGCGTTGAATTATTGATGAACAATCATATTATCAGTCGCGATCAACAACATTATAAGAACTTCGTGGGACAAGAACATCAGCGAGATTATCGAAGCAAAATGAAGATTGTTTTAAAATTGCAAATCAAACACCAAAGGAATATGACAATTCGTGCAGTGTGAAACAAGGAAGAAATTAACAAAATTACAAAGAAGGGGAGAGATGTAATGGTTTAAGCAGTTGTATTAGTTAGGCAATAGTAGAATAGGTTGGCCCCTCGAATAATTATGAGCGCAAGTAGTTTACCCCGTGTGATAAAGAGTAGGAAAGCAACAAAATAGTAAATAAAGCTTATGAAGTGTTAGCGGCCTCAACGGCCCAATTAAAAGTGTTTTATTAAATATCGACAATGCAACTATTACAGACGTCATTCGAGAATAGGTACTTATCTACGTAAAATGAGAATAAAAATTATATTTGATTAAGCTGTTTCAAAATTAAGTCAACATGAGCGGGAAAATAAGCAAACAAAACGAAATGGAAACAATAATTCCAGAAAAAACTCGTGTGAGCTTTAGGCAGTTTCACAAAACTGAGAGAACTAGAAGGATGTTGCGAATATTCATTTTATTGTGCGTTGTGGCAATTCAAACGAGTTTTGTGTTTTCNCAAGAGGAATCATCGAAACTTCAAGCTTCTTATGCTGGTGACAAAGAAAGAGAAATTATTAATCGTGAACAGGAAGTTCTTCAAGCTTGGGCTAATCTTCAAGGAATGTGTGATTCACGACACATGAAATTGTCTGACACAGGCGATCTTTTCAAATTCTTTAACATGGTACGCATTCTTATGCTCTGGATGGAAGATGTTGTTCGTCAAATGAACACAAGCGAAAAGCCACGTGATGTTTCGGGCGTTGAATTATTGATGAACAATCATCAGAGCTTGAAAGCGGAAATTGATACACGCGAAGATAACTTTAGTGTTTGTCTAGCTCTTGGAAAAGAGTTATTGTCACGTAATCACTATGCATCAGCTGACATTAAAGATCGTTTGTTACAATTGACAAATAGTCGCAATGCATTGCTTAACCGATGGGAGGAACGTTGGGAGAATCTTCAGCTGAGTAAGTACAAATTTATGATTTTTAAATAAAGGGAAATTTACATAAATATTTTCTTTTTTAAATAGTTTTGGAAGTTTATCAATTTGCACGAGATGCTGCTGTCGCTGAAGCTTGGTTGATAGCCCAAGAACCTTATCTTATGTCATCTGAATTGGGTCATACGATTGATGAAGTTGAAAATTTGATTAAGAAACATGAAGCATTTGAAAAGTCAGCTGCCGCACAAGAAGAAAGATTTAGTGCACTTGAGCGATTGACTACGGTGAGTTTAAGCAAAGAATTTTATCATCGAATAAATAAATTAACTTTTTTTTTATTTCATTAGTTTGAGCTCAAGGAAATGAAACGAAGACAAGAAGCAGCTGAAGAAGCAGAACGTCAAAGATTACAAGCTGAAGCTGGTGAGCAAACTATTTTAATTATTTAAAAGATAAAATCTTATTTTTATGCTTTTTACTTAAAGATCAACGAGCTAAGGAAGAAGCTGAAATAAGAAAAGCTGAAGCAGCTTCAAAAGATCAACGTGATGCCGGAACACCGTCACGTGAAGAAGTTGGTAAGTTTCAGTAAAGAAATATTCCTTGAAATGAAAGATTCCCCCCTTGTGATGAATAAGTGTTTTCTTTACTAACATCAAATATTGGAGAACTTAATTCAATTTTGAATTTGTAATCAAAATAAACGTAATATCAACACTTCCAATGCCTCTTCTATCACTTGGAAGAAATCTTTTCTTCTTTTATTTTATTTAAAACGAATTTCACTTTCTTACACGCTGCCAAACTAACAAAAACAAATTTGAAAATCTCATAAATTGGTTATCAATGTATAGTCACAATGCGAGCCTCTTCACCAATTGATAAAGAAAGACCTGTTTCGCAACCAGGTGAATAACAAAGAAGCTGCTTCTTATTTTGTTTGGTTTTCATTCATTCACATTATTCTTTTCTTTGAAATTTAATTTCACTTATTTTCAAAGATAATAGAAAAAAAAATATTAACACATTTAGATATTCCATGAGAGTTTAAGACTGTAAAATGCTTTTAAAAAATTATTATTTTCATTTATCTTCAATCTTCGATATATGGTGTCTCTATGGTAAACTCTGTAGACTATCCCAACACGTCTAATATTTAGTTTATTTAGTTAGTAAATTTTAAATTAATACAAAATTCTTAGAATTGTGGATGATGAAGTTGAGTTAAGAAGAAATCTCATCCACTTTCTAAGAAGTAAAAATCGTAGTGCATGTGCATGCTAATATTAAATTTACAGTATCTGAAGAACCACCAGCTACGCCAACAAGTATTTTGAAGAAGACGTCGGCACATCAAACTGTCTATAAGTCAAGTAAGTTGGGTGTAAATAAGTACAAACGTGATTTACAATACTCGCCAAAAACATCAGAAACTTTCAATCAACAAAGCTTATTTAATGTTACTGGGTTATGGTCCTACTTCTCAAACTTAAGATTCCAATTTTGGTGGAGGGTTTTTAATACTTCCTTCCTCTAACATTGAATGAATGTTATTTGTCTCCTTTTCCTGTGAACGTGTTTCACAATATAAACATTTGAAAATGTTATAAACTTTTACAAATAATTGATGAAACACTCAAACTACTCAGCTGAATTGAGAGCATTACAATCACCACCGACAACCCCACTTAAAGGCGACACGTCATCTTTGAATCGAAGTCAATCTTCATCAGTTAAAGTAAAGCGTAGGTCACGTTCAAAGAGTCCATTCCGTAGTTTCCGTTGGAAACGTTCATCAACTACAAATGCAGATCAGTCTGATGATGATGAAGGTATTTTAAATTATTTACACTCATTCTTTTCATTTCAATGTTGTTGATATATAATGTTGATTAAAAAGAAGAAAAAGAAACTTCTCAAACACAGTCAACATGATGAAACAACAGAGAAAAAAGTTCAAGATGAAAATCGTAATGAAATACGATTCTGTGATGTAAACATAAAAACAGATCTCTTGTGATGTCATTTGCATGCTTTATTTGTTTAGTTGTATTTAAGTAGATAGTTTTATGAACATGAATGATGAAAATGAAGTTTCCCCTTAGAAATTTCCCAATTAATAATAAATTGTTGGGCCATAAATCGCCATATATTGAAACAACAGAGAAGGAAAAACCAAAAAATGCTTTAAGCAAACATGCTTTGCTTTTTGCACCGTCCACATTATAATTTTTATTATTTCTTATTAAAATATTTGTCATGATCATGAATTAATGCTGAGATATGTTTATTTAACTTCAATGTAGATCGTCCAAGTCCAGCCGGAGAAGATGGTGTTATTGAAGGTGTTTTAACAAGAAAACATGAATGGGAAAGCACAACCAAGAAAGCTTCAAATCGATCATGGGACAAGGTAAAATTCAAATTGAAAAATGAAAATCATTGAATTATTATTATACATAAATTAATTATTTTAGGTTTATGTTGTGTCAAAAACTGGACGCGTTTCCTTCTATAAAGACCAGAAAGCATATAAGAGCCAACCAGATCAAACATTCCGCGGTGAACCAGCACTTGAATTGCAAGGTGCTATTGTTGAAATCGCCAGCGACTACACAAAGAAGAAGCATGTGTTCAGAATCAAGTAAGTTGAATAATCTTCAAAATTCTTTAACAATTTAATTATTTTGTTTCTTCCACAATCATTCAGGCTTTCCAATGGGGGTGAATTCTTATTGCAATCCCATGATGACGCTGAAATGCAACAATGGGTTGGTTCATTAAAAGCCCAATGCGACCAAACCGGCGCCGAAAGTCGATCACAAACATTGCCAGCTTCATCACAAAAAGATGAACCAAAACGAAGATCATTCTTCACCCTCAAGAAAAAGTAAGCGGTTTCGCTTGGTGTTTTGGACATTTTAAGTTTTTTTTTCTTGATTTTATTTTATTCTTTGCGTGTGGAAATAAGAAACAAAAGATTTAAGACGCTGTATTAATTTTATAGTTAAATGGAAAGAAGGGAAGAAATTATGAAAATAATGTTTGAGGAATGTATTAGGATATGATCAGCTTTTAATTATACTTTAACTTTATTCTTTGTAGATGTTTTCCTTTTAAATTTAAATTGCCTGATTTTTCAATTAACCTTTGATTTAAATCTAGAAAGTATTCACTTCTTAAACTTACACACACCAACACAAGAAATATTTACGATATACGAATGGGAGTAATTGCAATAAGATGAAAAGGAAAAAACAAATTCGAGTCAAAAATATTATTTTAGTTTAATTAAGCTTTAATTTCTTTTTTTGTTCATGGTGAGTTTTCTCGATTTTCTTTTAACATTTTCGAGAAAATGAAGCATTTTAGTCGCGATGAGGCATTCATGTTTTTGTAACATTTAAGTTCACTACTTACGTTTGAAACTATAACGCACTTAATAAATATTGAAGATAGAAAAATCATTTTGCATGATGCACAAAAATATATATTTGGAAATTGGATTTGTTTATTATTTTTTTTATGCTGGTGTTGTTGATTGGAATGCTATTGATGCCTTTACAAAGATAGCTTATGAAAGGTAAAGGATAATAATTCCATCATAACATTGCTTTTTTTCTTTTATTGCTTCGTAATATTTATTTACTAACAATTGGCAATGAATGGTTGAGTGGAAACAATACGAAAGCATTTTTTTCAAGATTGTTTCCTTTCTTAAACCAATATTAATTTGATGTTAGATTGAATGCGGAATGGCCACTGAACAAAAATTTGAAAGAATGTTGGGGGCCATGCCGTAAATAGCAATAAAACATCAGCAATCAAAAAATATTTTAATTTATAATTTCATTCCTTTTTCCTTTAATTTCAGTTAAACTAAAACCTATAAAAATTAACAAAATAATTAAATGTTTTGAGATAAGAATTGATTACGGTGCAGATGACTTTGGGGTAAGATAAATTCTCGTTGCACTCGTTCACCCCCGAAGATCTATAAAAATCCAGAGAAAATTTTCTTTCAATAACATGAAATAACATAACACACTGAAGAACATTTAATGACACAACATGTAATGTTAACCCAAAATCTAAACCACCTTCAAGCAAAGAAAGATCTTGAAACATCAAAAAATTTATTTGTGCAAATATCCAATTCATCAATCTGGAAGTTGGTAACAAAGATGCGTGTAGTGGAGCTTAAGCATAACTCCTAGGAAAGCAACATACAAAGTGGAATCAAGAATAATGTTATTTAAAATTTATTTTTCTAAAAAATTTGCAAAGTTTAAAAAAGATTCGAATGAGGAAAGAAAATCTGATGAATTCGAGAAACATGTTTGTTTCTGCTTAACGCTAAAATTTTGGAAAACTATAATGATAAAGTTTAAAATTAAAGGATAAAAAATATTATTTAAACAATTTTATTAATGAATAGAAAATGAAAAATTGCTATTTATAAAATGATGATTAGATATTAACATGTACTATTCACCTCTCGCATAAACATTTCGCATAATGTTGGACAGGAAAGCAATTGAAGAATCAATCTTCAGTTGTCTTTCTCTTCAAACAATTTTCTGTTCGCTGGTTAAATGTCAGTTGATTCCAACAAATATAAAAAGAAAAGTTTATTCACTGAAACATGTTTCTATCTCCAAAGAAATATTAAAAATTATAAACTTTCTTTCAGATAAAAGTTTGATGATAGAAAGAGAAATAAGAATTGTTTGAGCGCCAGTGTAAATTTACTATTAGTGCTTTTTTCACAAAATATGTTTAAACGAACGATTAAGTTTAATGATATTCTGCTTTGCAACGGTCTTTTAAATTGCTTTAAACTTCTAACGAGCTTTTAAAGAAAGATAAAGAAGCTTAAAGCACTTTAGATACGTTGACCAATCTAATGTGTAGGTCATTGCATCAATCAATCGGTAGCAATTATTCATAATCAGATTTATATTATTTTTAATTCACATCTTTTTGCATACTTTTAAAGCTTTTTTTTTGTTTTATTTTCTTCAATCTTTTTTTATTAGGAAATAAAAAAATAAATTATCATGAAAAACTTCTTTTACTCTCATCAATTCCGTTATTTTATTATGGGATGTTCGCCTTAAATTTCTATAGATATGACATAAATAAGTGAGAAGCTTTGTGTTCAGAAGCAAACTTCAAAATTCCTTTTATACACAAAAATAGAAAAAGAAAATTTTTGTAAAAGGTAATTTTTTTGATGACGAGTTCGTATCTAAGCTACTTCTGCATCTACTGAAAAGAAAATTATGTAGCTATCAAAAGCATTCAAATATTAATAGCAGTAATAAAATGAAATCTTCTCCGCTATCCATTCAATGACAATGGAGTAAACAATATTAAATGTTAAAATTATGGAAGAAAAATTATTCACTTTATTACAACTGCCATTTGGAAATTTCCTAAATCGCTTTAAGTTCAGACAAAATGTCATTTTTTTTAATTTCTTGTACAATTTACGCTTTGATTGATAAAACTTCTCGTCTTTAGACACTTAGAAACCTTTAAAAAAATTATTTCTCTTGAATATCTAATGCTTAAGGGAAAAAGTCATTTGTAGTTGGGAAACAACCATAAAATATTATCTATCAGTACAAAAACGAGGTTTCATCACTTCTAAGCACAGATATCAATGCAGAAAAAATTGAAAATCTTTTTTCTATAGTTTAAGCTCCAAAAAATTCTTCCCAATTTTGCTTCTTATCGATGAGGTGATGAATAAGAGGAAAAATGTTCTAAGCGAGAAGATTTTTGAGTTCTGAATAATGATTAAAAAAATGCTTCTTGTGAGATGAAAGAAAAATAAAGAAAATAAAAAATTATTACTCAATGTTTTTCTAATTAAATTTTCAGCATAAAAATTTTAATTTAAATGAAGTGATAAGGAAAAATATTTTTATATGATGAAAATTAACTGAAACTTTTTGAACTTGTGACAGTTACTTCATAATCTTGTGACAGACTTCCTAGAGGCAAGTTCAAACCGCGATTTTTTACCCGGGTCAACCTGTATACTTCTGGGAGAGAGAGAGGGAAGTATTACTCATATTATAGAGCATTCCTGGTTCAATTGGATTAAAAAACTAAAATTTTAGTTTCTTGCAAGAAAAATTGATGTAAAATATATTACAACATCATATCAAACAAATAAAATGTGCATAGAATGACAAGTGTATAAAAGATCTGTAAAAAATGGCAAATCTAATCCAGAATAACTCCAAATTGATAGAACAGCAAAAAAATCAAATTTCGATTTCAACACAATCAAATATTGTGCAAAATAATAAACGCGAACAGGTTGAGGATATTAATCGTAAGCCTAAAACAATTAGGATAATTAAGGATCAATCTGGCTTTGGATTTAATGTTAGAGGACAAATTTCTGGTAAGTTCGATAATCTTCCCCGGAGGATATTTTTTCTTTCTATTGGAAAAAAGTTCCTTTGGTTTGTGACGTGTCTTCTGTAAGATCCTTCGAGATTGATTGCTACATAAATATCATTTCAACGATTGATACATAAAGATTCTATTGAAATAATTCTCAAAGTGTCGGTTCATGTCTTATGAGGCGTAAAACATTTAATTTCATCTTTTTGTACACAGCTGGTGGACAGTTAAAATCGATAAACGGAGAGCTTTATGCGCCCTTACAGCACGTATCAGCAATCCTTGAGAATGGTTCCGCAGAACGAGCCGGTATTCGAAAAGGTGATAGGATTCTTGAAGTGTAAGTCAATACAAATATTTTCGCGAGTACTCTTCAGATTTCTTCAGCAAACAAACTTCTCATATAGGAAGAAAAGAAAGAAAGAAAAAAATCAATACACGGATTATTGGCTCTGCTGTTGCTATTTTCTACTCATTAGCAACAAAATTTAATAGTTGTATGAGATTTGCCAGATGATTAGCTTGAATGATATTATTATTATTTCAACATTCGCTATATTCAATTTGAATGACTTTTGCTCTAGCTAACAAACGCATTCATTATCTTCTCAGTCTCAAATTTATGTTGATAATCGCAACAATTTCCTAGAATGTTAGATTATTTTTCTATTTGTAATAATCAGAGGAATTCGGCATGAGACATAAAAGTCAGATAAAGATAATTTATGTGATTTAATTCTTCCTCATAAAAACTTCTCTGAGATCAGACAATCATCAACGGAAGGAAGTTGAAGCTCTTGAAAAATGTGTAATGAAATCTAAAATTAAACTCAAACTTGAATTTTAAATTAAAAATTCATTAAATACTTACTTATGAGCCATAACGTACCAGCTCATTTCTCAGTCCAAAGTGCATTATAAAATACATAAAAAATCTGTTTATTAACTATAGTTATTGATATTCCTTCTTGTTGTTATTATTTATCCATTGGCTTAAGATATTTATTTCATACATGCAAAGCGAAGTGAAAAAAAAATTGCGTTTGTAAAGCATGAAGTCATTTCTATTATCGGTGCAATCATCTGATGTCTCGTCGTTGCATGTAAATAATGTTGCAATTATATCATTCACAAATGCAAATTAACTTTCGATGAGAGAAAAAAATGTTTATCAGTTTTGTTTTGTGTTTATTCATAATTGTGTTCTATTGTTAAATGCAGTGTTGTTCCATGTTATTGGGAAATGACTTGAAGTCGTCAAGTCACCAATGAATCTCGTGAATTTCCAACAAATAGATCTGGAAAGTCCACAAATTGAGAAATACCCAACACTGGTTGGATTTGAAATTTAATGATTGGCAGTTCCGACGAAAAAACTGTGAAATTTTATAATTATTTAAAAACGAATAAATGATGTAAGTGAGCTAATAAATATATGATTAAATATTTAACAAATGATCGTTTGAAAGGAAACATATAACAAAATGATAACGAGTCTTGTCAAATAGGATCGTTAAGCTGTAAATGTAATTGAGGAAATTTCATTTCTATTTCAATTCAGTTCCTAAAAACGAAAGATGCAAAGAAGTTTGTGCTTGTCGTATTTCAGTGAAGAAATCAACGAAAATGAAGAAATGTTCGCTTTTTATATGTCAAATCAAAATGAATTCTAAGTAATGAATTTATTTCATTCACAGTAACGGCGTTAATGTAGAAGGTGCAACACATAAGCAAGTTGTAGATCTCATCAAATCTGGCGGCGATTGTTTGACATTGACAGTGATTTCAGTGACACCACAAGAAGCTGGTAAGTTGTCATTCAGTTTGTCTTGTTAAACGTCGTAATAACTTTTTTATATATTGTGTAGATCGACTCGAGCCAACGGAAGATTCAAGCGGATACTCTTACATTGATTATAGTGAAAAACGTTCATTACCAATCAGCATTCCCGATTACAGCATAATAACACGTAATGGCGAGAAATATGTCGTGTTTTCGATTCACATGGCAGGTCGTCAATTATGCTCACGAAGATATCGTGAATTTGCGAATCTCCATGCAACGTTAAAGAAAGAATTCATTGGATTTAATTTCCCAAAACTACCAGGAAAATGGCCATTTCAACTAAGCGAACAACAACTCGATGCAAGACGACGAGGACTCGAGCAGTATCTTGAGAAAGTTTGTGCTGTTCGTGTCATTGCAGAGAGTGAAGCGGTTCAAGAATTTCTCACTGATTCTGAAGATGATTTATCAGCTGGTGTTGATATTAAAATCATGCTTCCTGATCGTAATGTCGTCACTGTATCTGTCCGAAAATCATCAAATGCTCAACAGGTGTGGGAACAGCTTGTACAAAAGGCAAACTTCACATCTTACACCCAACAGTATTTTTATCTCTTCGAGATTGTTGAATACAGCTTCGAGAGGAAATTGCAACCACCAGAAATTCCCCATCAGCTTTATGTGAATAATTACAGTACAAGCAGTGCAACATGTTTGTGTGTCCGTCGATGGCTTTTCTCAATAAATCGTGAATTGTCATTGCCAAGTGGAGAGCAAGCAGCAAAATTCATCTTCTATCAGGCAATTGATGAAGTAAATCGTGGTAATGTGAGAGCAGATGGACGTTTATATGAATTAAAGGCATTGCAAGAGGGTAAACCGACAGAATATTTGGAATTAGCACGACAACTTCCCGGTTATGGTGATATTGTGTTTCCACATTGTGCATGTGATAGTCGTAAAGAAGGGCATGTTATTCCTGCTGTTGGAATCTCAAGCTTTCGACTGCATGCTTGTCGCGATGATGGAACACTTGAACAACAAACTGTTGAATTACAATGGGACACAATTACGAGATGGGAAAGTGATGAAGAGTCGATGTGCTTTTGCTTTCAATACAGTCGATCGAATCAAAAGCCTCCACGATGGGTGAAAGTCTTTACACCATATCATGCGTTTATGGCTGATTGTTTCGATAGAATAATGGAAGAACGTAAATGGGATGATACTGGTGAATAATAACATTAATTTGACGAATATTCACTCGGAATCGCTTAAAACTCAAACTTTTTATTTACAACTAAAAAGAGAAATATTAATTATAATGGGAAATCCTAAAAATATTATGTAAAGTACTAAGAAATCTCAGTAATTTTTTATTCTTTTTTTCACTGTAGATTATGTGATTTTTTTTCAATTTCTGTTAGAAATAGTTCGTAGATTAAAATGAGGATAGGATAAAATTGCGGGAGGGAAAATGCTGAAATCTAAAATGCCTCAATTTTGAAATTCGCCATTTTCTCTCCCACAATTTTCTCCTATTCTTGTTTAAATCTCTAAAGTATCAAATTTAGGAAAGAATTTTATGAATTTTTCTAATAAGAGAAAAATAATTATTACTGAAAGAAAACTGACATAATCTTCATTAATTTCAAATAGATATTAATCATTGGCACTCTTCTGACTTGTTGGCCATACTCAGAAAAGGATTTCACTCATAATTTTTCTTATTGTGATTTTTTTTTCGATCTTGTTAAGAGAAGAAAAGTTTGAAAGTGAAAAACATGGAGATGAAAGTTCCGGGAAAGTATTTATTAGCGTTAAAGTAAGTGTTGTGTAAAAGAGTCAGTTAAGCGGAAAAAAGGATTTCATTTAAAAAGATGAAATTTGATGTTACAAACTTTTAGGTAAATCTATTGTTGCGTGAACTTTTCACGGTTTAAAAGGGAAGAAAAAATATATAAATTTATGATGTAGAAAATCGCTAAATGAATTTTACACGAAGGTTTTGAAATGAAAGACGTAAGAAGGTGGCAAATTGAGTAAAAATGAAAATTTCGAGGCATTCGAAACGTTTTTTTCTAAAAGATTTTCAGAATTAATTTTTTTTTCTTCGTATCAAGTTTGTCGCTTTTCTAATATGAAAGTGTTCAATAAGTTATTTAATTCCATACTTGACAGGAAATTAATTTTGAAGATTTGTGAACGAATTCTGACGTTTCGGGTATCTCCAATTGGATAGAAATGCAATCCTAGCATCTCATGATGATTTCCATTCACAAAATATTTAAAACCTTAATGTAAAATTTCAATTGACAAACCTTGAAACCCAATTTTCTCAGATAGAAAATTATCTTTCAATATTCTTAACAAAAACAAAATTATTCAACTAAATCAATAAAAAGCGAAGTTGAATGTGCACCAAGTTAGATTTAAATAGATTTTCTTTTTCACTTCAGCCACTATACAACAAATGATTAAATTTATTTTATTCTTAACTTTTCCAACGCTTTAATGCATTGCAATTATTTTTCAAACAACGCATTTCCAATGCAATAGACGGAAACAATGTATCAATAAAAAAGAAAAACTCTCACTATTGAAGTTTATATGAAGTTCTAGTTATCTAATACTTTATGACATTAACAATGAATAAGAAAAAATATTAATAAATGATGAATAAAAACAAAACCTGTAATATTTGTATTTCTGATATGAAACAGATTTCTATTTAATGGAGACATTTCAAAAATAAAGAAACAAGATGATTAGAATGAAAATGTTCTTTTTATTTCAATTAGTTAATTTTAATTTTATGTTTAGAGATTCTTCAATTTAAAAAAAAAATTGGAAGCTACAATCGTACATTGCAAAGTAGATACCAAAAGTATGATAATGCTGAAATTTCATTGTGGCAAACTTTTCTATGACCTTTCTATCTTTCTAATAATTCTAATAGAGATAATGGAAACGGAAGGTGGGATTAAGCTAGTGAAGAAGAATTTATAGAAGGAGAATCAAATGGGGCTGTTATCTTATTAAAAAGGTTTACGATTAAAATAGAAAGTGATGTTAATGATGTTTAGAGTGAGATGGAGCAGATGTCACCGAAACCTTTGATACTTGTGACAGAATATTTGGTGGAAAGTTCTGAATTTGAAGATAACGAAGACTCCACCGAAAACGTCCAAAACATGAGCGGTCTGGAATACGAAATTAGTGTTAAAATTGGCGACGTTCTTAAAGCATTAAAAAGAAAAATCTCTTTATAAATATTTTAAATAAGTTATGAAGTTTAAAAAAAAACTAATGGAAATTTGTTATCTATGCAAACTAAATATTACTACTTAGTTGATATTTTCATGATGATCCACCTTATTATAATTCACTTTTGTCAGTTCCTGAACTTATATTTTTACATTAAAAACTTGTTCAAACAAGAAATATAAAATTTTTATGCATACATTTGCATAAGTATTAAATTGTGTAAGGATGAATACATTTTAATTTTTTGCTTACTCCACCAGAATGTTTCAAAATATTTAAGAATAAATTCTACTCAACGTGATTAGCTCATTCGAATTTCCAACGTACATTCAAAATTTGAATTACATTGAACGCGTTTTTCCTACCCCTCTTTCTTGAAGTAAACACATTGGATAGAAAATCTAATAATTTTTGTATTTAACACTTGATTCAAGAAAAATAATGAGTTTCTACTCATTTTTAAATGTAGCGAAAAGAGTGACAATATCATGTCCCCACCTTTGTAGACGGATCCTGCTAAACAACCACGTCAAGTAATAAAATAAATTTTTGTAAAGAACATACCTAATTATACATGTTTTAATTTTTCTTAATTCAGAGAAATTAATGTGGGAAAGCATCTTTTTTCATCAAAACCTGAAGATGTAACGACTAAATTAATGGGATTCTTTGATAATAAGAAAAATTGGGGTGAAAATGAAGTTAAGCATGGAAGAAATTGGACATTGCCGGAACTTCGAATTAAATCCAATCAAGATCTTCACAAACTTTGGTTTGTTCTTTTAAAGGAGCGAAACATGCTTCTAACCATGGAACATGAATGCAAAAGAGATCACAGATTGTTTCCTAGTCCAGAACGTTTGGATAAAGTGAAAATATCTATGGAAAATTTGGAAACCGTAGTAAAGGAAAGAAATAAAGCTTATCATGAGTTGGAAACTGGAGAAACAGGACAAAGGCCAGAGGAAGTTAGACCAAACCTGTTTCAAATACCAGAACGATATCGTTCAAAAGAATATCCTCTTCCAGCTCACTTAAACAAGGACTTCACTGTAAGAAAACTTCTTGTGAAAAGAAGAATCTTCCGCGATTTTTTGCGTAAATATCGAGAACAAGATTTGATAGCTAAAAAGAGAGCTAGAAACAGAGATAGAAATGAAGTTATTCATTTACTCAAAAGAAATCCAGATTTAGATAAACAAATGCTTCAGGAAAAGTATCCAACAGTAGATATTCCCATGTTAGAGAAGAAAGATAAATTTAGAGGACATTATGTTCCAAAATTGTGAAAAAGCTAGACAACAATAAAAGAACCAGTAATTCAAATAAAATCAAAATTATTCATCAAACTTTATTTTCTTTCCTTGAAATTCATTAATTTTCAACTTTTCACGCATTTTAGCTTTTGCTTGCCAGCTAGGATGAATTGGTTCCGTTTCTTCAGTTTTAATTGATGCAGATTGATTAACATTGGTAGAAATAATTTTTTTTGATTTTTCTTGCTTTGTTTTGAGTTGATTTTGCTTTGTTTTGTATTGGAGTTGATGGTTTCTAGCTTTGTCCATAGAAACTTTTCGATTCTTTGGCCTAAGAAATATTTTAGGCTTCTCTTCTTCGGAACTCATAGAATCATCAGGATTTATTGAAGCAACATAATTTTTTCCATTTGAATCAACAAAAAAGGAATCTTTGTTTATTTCTAAGGATGTTTTTTTATTCTTCTTTTCTGAAGACTTTTTCTTGATTTTAGCTTCTTGTAAGCGTTTATTGGACTCTCTGCTTCGAATGTTGTTCTGATTATCCTCTAGGAATCTCTCAACCATCTCAACTCCATAATTCTGTTTCAAATTTATGAAAGTCTTTTGAAAGATTGGATTTAAAAGAACTGGTTAGAAAGATAATGAACATGAAAAATATGTTGAAATTAAAATAACAATAGATTGTTTACTTCTAGCAAGAACTCGGTCATTTTCAGTAGAGCCTGAATCAGTTAATGTCTTTTGTAATTTTTCACTAAACAATCCATTACGTAGAATCACATCAGACACCTTTAGTCGTTTAAAACATTCAAGTTCGTTTTGCTTTCGCTCCACAGATTGTTGATTTACGTTTTTAGCGTTCTTTAACTTCTTTATTTTTTTCGCTAAATTTAGTTTTGTTTGATTCATTATAGATTTTAAGGATTTTCGAAGTAATATCACCTAAAATGAAAAAAGTTTGTTTTGTTCTGGAAAAATGTCATTTTGTTTTAAAATTCACCTCATTATTAATCTTAGCGATATCTTGCATCTTGAGTTAATAAATATGAGGTTTATTCACCTCTTGTTGTACTAAACTATTTGAGAAAGAATAAAAATTAGTAAAATAAAAATGCTTTTAGGTATCTCAAATGTTTACATTTTCAACCCTGAAATGCTTGCAGGGTTGTAAATCTAAGTGCAATTTAAATCGCAGGATTTAGAAATCCCATTGGCTTTTGGAGTTAGATCAAAAGAAATTTCATATAGGTACCCTACATATGGTGTATTAAGGGGGATTAAGTGGATTAATGGTGGATTAAGAAATTTTAATCTAACCTTTAATTCTTATCTAGCTCTCAGTTTTTTAAATGACCGAGGTAAATGTCTGACAACCTTTTCTATGATTCTCTCGTAAACGGTTAACTTGACTGAAAGTTGTCTTCAGACGATCGATAGAGGACCCAAAAGAATAAATTTGCAGAAGACATTTTATTTTCAAGTTCTGTGACATTATTCATTTATGTAACAATAATTTTATTCACATTTTAGCTGGTGATTCGGTAAATAGCGATCATGCATCTTTCTGAACATCTAGAAAAATCAAATGGAAAGTTGAAACCAGATGAACAAGAAAATTTGATTTTTTACCTTTTATTTATCAGGCTGCAATTTTTTAATGAATTTCCATTACAGTGAAAATCCAATCCCAAGTCGGTTTAAGTCGTCGTTCGACAAACATCTTAGCGAAACAAAAACATTTATTAAAAGGATATTTTATGAATAAATTATTACAATGCTTACCTGCAATTGAACAGTCTCTTGACAATGTCACCATTGTCATGAACCATTCACCTTCAGCATCAGTTGATGGAGTTTTTCGATTTAAATAACTTCCTGAACTTCTTTGTTGTCCTCTTGCTGAATGATATTGACGTTGTTCAATTTATTATCGTCCAACTATTTGAATCAAAAACAATAGGATTGATTCATCATGTGAATCTTTAATTACCTAATTTCTCCAAAAGTTCAGCACGTTTTGTTCGATTCCCAGCAATAAGCGCTTTACATTTTTGCCAACAATCATAATATACTGTCGGTGTTACTTGTTTTAATTTGCAATCATGACCTTTATGAGAAACTTTAGCGAATTCCATGTAGCAACACAACGACTCGAAATCTGATTTTCTTTCATTCATTCTTGTTCAGCCAGCATTTCCGCGTATTGACTTGCATTGGCTAAATAGGTAGTATTTAAATATATTTTAATTTTTGTTATTTTGTCTATTTTCATACTTCTATCAGCTTTAAAACTATTTAATTCTTTTATTTCCTCTGCTTTTATTTTCATTTTATCAGAATGACTTTCATTGATGGTTTCTTGCCATTCTCTACTCTTAGCTTAGTTCTTTTAGTTCTTCCTCCAGAGCTTCAATTCTTTGTTCTTGAATCGGCAATGATGACATTAAAACAATTTTAAATTCTTTGATAAATTCATCCTCGCATTATTTAGGTAGTACGTAAACCTAAAATTTTCAGAAGTGAAAAGCAAATCCACAGAATAATGAAAAATTTATTTTACTTTTCTCGTTGATGTGCTTCCATTCAGACATTCAAAACTTTTGTAGCCAACATCAGAATTAATTTGGAGCATCACCTAAGGACAACAAGAAAAATTATTAAAATTCAAAATCTTTACAAAAAGGGCATCGATGAATTTAGAAATCATTTCGGTAATTTTAATAAGTCGGGTCTAAAGTATTGATTCAATGCTCTTTGTGTTTGGATATCGTGCTCAACAAATTCGTTCTAAAAAACTTTCCGTGCTCATTCATAACTCAATGCAATTTCCTAATGTAAACAGCTGCAAAGTTGCGGTTCACTTCCAACAAATTGTTGATATGCCCGATGGCACATTCGAATTCATTCCAAACACTGAAATTGTTGTGGCAAGAACTGCTTTTAAGAACAATAGTTCCTTCTATTCAATTAATGATCGAGAAGTGAAGTTCAAAGAGGTCGCAAAACTTTTGCAAACTCACAACATTGATTTGTTGCACAATCGCTTCCTGATCCTTCAAGGCGAAGTCGAGTCGATTGCTTTGATGAAACCTAAAGCGATAAATTCTAATGAGACGGGACTTTTGGAATATCTTGAAGACATCATTGGAACTGAACGCTACAAGAAGCCGCTCATGTTAATAAATGAGCGACTTGATAAACTCAATGATGAACGTACAGAGAAGCATAACCGATGCAGATTGGCAGATCGAGAAATGAAAGATTGGGAATTGCCGATGACACAAGCCGTTGAATTCTTAAAGCTTGAAAATCAATTATATCAAGCCCAGAATCTTCATTGGCAACTTTACATTTTCCACAAAAAGAAGGAAATCGTCGAGCTTGAGGAAGTTAAAGATGTTGCAAAACAAGCTTTAAAAGAGCACGACGAGAAGTATGAAGAATTTAAGAAGCTTCTGTTGGAGAAAGAGAAAATTATTAAAGATGAATTGAATAAACACGACGAATTAGTGTCGAAATTGGAAGAGTGTAAAACACTTGAAGCAAAAGCACGTGAAACTTATCAAAGAGTCGATGCTAAAATGAAATCAACAAATAATCGGCGCAAGGAGCTTAAAAAACAAGTGGAAAGTGATGAAAAGAAGTTAGAAGCGTTGGAGTCGCTTCCTGAACGCAATAGGCAAGAAATTGAAGAGAGTCAAAAGCAAATCGAGCGTCTCAATGTTGAGAAAAGTGAACTTGACACAAAACTCGCTGAGAATATGAAAACTCTTGTTCATGATACGAAATCCTTGCGAGATGAAAAAGAGCCTTTGGAACGGGAATTAGGTGAGTTAAAGGCAGTGTTAGATAAGAGAAAGGCAGATTATTCAGAAGCACAGAAAGAACTCGAAATCATTCAAAAAGATGAAACTGCTGAAGTTCGTAAATATGAATCTCTTCGCAATTCTTTTGAGGAATCTAAAGTCGAATTGAAGAAAATGAAAGACGCTTTCGTGGCTGCTCAAGAAAGTATTCCTCAAAATAAACGAGAACTCCAAGAAAAGCAACAAAACTTTGAGCAACTTCAAGAGGAGGAAACAAAGCTTGTCGCTGAATTGAAGAAAGCTCGGTTGAAGTTTGAAGAAAATCGCTTCAATTTTCAAGCGGCACAAACAAACAATCGAGTGTTAAATGCTTTACTTAAAGAGAAACAAAAGGGAAAAATTCCTGGAATTTTAGGACGGCTTGGTGATCTTGGAGCAATCGATGCTAAATACGACGTTGCTATATCAACATGTTGTTCAAGACTCGACAATATTGTTGTTGAAGACATCGACACAGCCCAGCAATGCATCAACTTTTTGAAAGCGAACAACATTGGACGCGCAACATTCATCGCATTGGAGAAGGTTCAGCATTTGATGTCACAAGCAAATATCCAACGCCAATAGTGAGTTAACAAAATTAAGACAAAAATTCATTCTTTTAATTCTTTATTTCTTTATCAGCCCACAAAACGTTTCGCGTCTTTATGATTTAATTCGAGTTGAAGATGAACGTGTTTTGCCAGCATTTTACTTCAGTTTATTCGAAACATTGATTGCAAATGATATGGAACAAGCACGTACAATTGCTTACGGCCAAACACGTTATCGAGTGGTGACACTTAAAGGCGATGTGATTGAAAAATCGGGAACAATGAGTGGTGGTGGAAAGACTCAAATGAGAGGAAGAATGGGGCAAAAAGTTCAAATGAAAACAACCTCGCGAAATTCATTATCGGAACAAGATTTAGAGTCACTTTCGCAATCTGCTCAACGCATGCAAGGCGTGATTAATGATTTGCAACGACAACAAGGAGTGTTAGACAAGGAAATCAAAGAACTTGTTGATTTGATCCGAAAGAAAGAGTTGGAAGTGAGTCATCTTCAGACTAAAGTGAAATGTCTCAGTGAGCAAATTCCTCGCTTGGAGTATCAAGTCAATAAACAGAAGGAGAGAGCTGATGCTACTAAATCAGATCCAGCCAAGACAGCTGCTTTAAATGCCAAAGTCGAAGAGTGCAAAGTTGACTTTGAAAACAAGGAAAGCGAGGTTGATGCGATTGATACGAAAGTCAAAGCATTGAATAAACAAATCAAAGAAATATCGGATAAGAAAGTCAAAGAAGTAAAAATGAAGATTGAAAAGTTGGAAAAGCAAATAGAAAAGCTCGCATCAAATGTTAATAAACTCACTGTCGAAATCAACACATCTGATCGTAATTTAAAGAAAGCAACAGAACGAATTGAAAGCACAAAACAAGAAATTACTGAAGCTGAGAATTCAATGCGAGCCATGGCTGAAGAACGTGAACAAATCAAAACGGACATCGAAGATTTGAAGGAGCGAATGGAAAGTTTGGGAAAAGAAATTGAAAACGCATCAGGCGACTCATCATCTATTAAGAAGGAAATCGCAAAGCTTCAAAAAGAAGAAGCTGATGGAAAAATCAAACGATTAGAATTGGACGATAAGTTGAAGGCAGCCGAAAAGAATCTGAAAGAACAAAGCGCAAGAATTCCCGCATGGGAAAATAAAATTAAATCCTTGAAGCTTCATGATATTCCTAATAAAACGACACCGGATCCTCAATTCAAGACATTCAGTGATGATGAATTGATAAAGAAAAGTCTTGATGATGTTAAATATGAAATCACAACAATTGAGGAAAAACTTGTGTTGAACAAACCAAATCTTTCCGCCATTGAAGAGTACAATAAAAAGCAAACGATTTATGTAGAGCGCATTAAGAACCTCGAAGATGTCACAATGAAACGTGACGAAATGCGCAACGCACTTGATAATGTTAAGAAGAAGCGTTTTACAGAATTTTCACAAGGCTTTCAAATTATTAGCCGCAAATTGAAGGAAATGTATCAGATGATTACTTTGGGAGGTGATGCTGAACTTGAGCTTGTTGATTCGATGGATCCGTTTACAGAAGGAGTCGTGTTCTCAGTTCGACCACCGAAAAAGAGTTGGAAAGTCATTACGAACCTTTCAGGTGGCGAGAAAACTCTTTCATCGCTTGCCCTCGTGTTTGCTCTTCATTATTACAAACCTTCGCCTTTATATTTTATGGATGAGATTGATGCAGCTTTGGACTTTAAGAATGTTTCAATTGTTGCTAATTACATCAACGTAAGTTTATTAAATTTCACATTTTCATGTTTTTATAAATTTTTAATTGTTTTCATGATATTTTCAGGAACGTACGAAGAATGCTCAATTTATCATCATTTCGCTTCGATCAAACCTATTTGAGGTTGCTGATCACCTTGTTGGAATCTATAAAGTCAAGGATTGTACAAAATCAGTAACAATTGAAAATGTCGATAAGCAACGTGTTGCTGGAGTCAACAAGGAAAATGATCGTGGTGACAAGGAAAATCAACAATCAACTTCAATTAATGAACCGTCAATGGTCAAAGAGACAAACAATTCTCAGTCAATGTCAGTTGTGGATCAATCAATGCCTTCACATCTTCCTTTAAATGATGAATCTTTGGAGAAATCTCCACAATAATTTTAAGTTTTTTGCTTTATTCTTTAAATTTAGTTTTGGTTCATTTTCATGAATATTTCTGTAATAAAAGCAAAACCTGAAATAAACATTTCTCTTGTTCCATTCGTTATCTGAAATCATCTTTATATATTTTTAAATTATTTTTTACGTGAAAGATTTTACTTTTTATTTTTAGCTTTTAAATTAATATAAATTAATATGTAGAAATCTACATTAGTGACTAGATAAGAGATCTTTCGTGATAAATTGATGTCATAAATTAAAATTGCTCTGAAAATTGAACACACATTTTAAGGAATGCTTTTGACTAGGTAAGAATGACTCATGGACATGACTAAATAATATTTGAAAGTTAAATACTATTAACCATCAAAAGGGTAACCACAATAAACCATTGAGACTTCAGTGTTACCATAGACAGCTGTAATTGTGGGATAAAGTTTTTTGCATGGTAGATTTCTAAATGCTACACCAAGAAATTCATTATTTTTCTCAAATGCAAGACAGTGACTCTCGCAGTCTAAGATTACTTTAATTTTTTCCCCCACTTGATATTTTGGTGCATTTGTCAGTAAAGGAAAATTTCCAGCATCGCCGTTATGAAGTAAATAATTGTCAACCAAATTCCAGCCCCAACTTTGGTCGTCCCAACCTAGCAAAGGTGCATAGCCGTGACATTGGAGAATTGCATCCTTCGTCGATATACCGACAATTGCTACAGTCCCAAGAGGTCCTTCCCACATTATTTCCCAGACGTGCCTTCCATTCTCAAAGCCAATTTTCGCTCGAGCTCCATCTGTAGACTGCGCAACAGGATTTCGATGAAGAGTGAAGGCATTTGGTTTTATGTAAATGTGCCTTGAGCAATCCAATGGATTCCAGGCATGATAAAAAGCTCGCAACTTTGCTTTATATGTTGGAATGGACACTAACAAATCTGATTTCAAAGCCTTAAATTAAACAAATTGTAATAGATTTCTTTCTCCTATTTACTTGCTATAACTCACTTTTTCTGAAAGCTTTCGTAGGCAATGATAGCGCCAGCCTATGAAATAAATAGAAATTTTTATATCGGAAAGACATTTTCAAGAAAGCAATTTACATTCATTATTCTCATCACTTAGATAACGATTCCAAGATTTACAGACTCTTGTACAATTACTGATGTCACTAAGGCTTAGATAGCTAAAAATATGTTCAAGAAGACTATCGACAAGTTCAGAAAAGCAAAAAAACTTATTTGTTGCCATTTCAGACTGAAATTTGTAAACAAAAATTGTTCAAGAATTGTACCCCTGAAGTTTTCCGGGTACCCCTTCAAGGGGTGAATTTTTAGAAAAATCTAACTTTAAAGTAAACAAAACACGCAATTGCCATCATATCAAATATCTAAAATGATTCGTTTAAGTCTTTTTGTATTTCTATCGATATTTCTCGATTGTTTGTCAGCCTCAGAACGTGAAATGACAGTTGTAATCAATGCTAAAGAGCGAGAATGTTTTTATGAACATGTAGAAGCAAATCATATAATTGACATTGAATATCAAGTGATAAAAAGTTAATTAAAGGCTAAAATATTTATATATTAATTGAGTAATAATTGTTTTAGGTCATTGATGGAGGACATGGTGATTTGGATATCAATTTTGAACTTTCTGTAGATGGTAGGATTATTTTCGTCGATTATAAGAAATCCGATAATGTTCATCGGTACGAACAAGCTCATCCTGCCGGCAATTATAAGTTCTGTTTTGATAACACAATAAGTTCCTTCAACAGAAAAACAGTTTTCTTTGAATTACTCACTGAAGATCCTGACAGTCCAATGACTGATGATCATGCGTCAATTTCGGACTTGGAAGGATTCTCTCCAGAAGAATTCTTTGAGATGAAGGTTCAAGATTTTCTTGATGTTGTACATGTCGTTCGAACCCATTTAACAAAAGCCCGTCAAGTTCAAGATATGTTGAGGAGCTTTGAAGTAAATTAATTACACAATTATTTTAAACAAAAATTTAAAATTCAATTTTTCGTTTTTATAGGCTCGAGACAGAAATTTAGCTGAACTGAACTGTTCGAGAGTCGGTATTTTTAGTACAATAATTGTTCTGACTATGATTTGCGTCGGATTGCTTCAAGTATTCATGATTAAAAGTCTCTTTGAAACTAATAATACTGAAGGACGTAGGATTTGGAATAAATTGAATCACATTATGAAGTAGATTAGCAACACATCGTACTCGAAAAAAGGAATGCAAATAATATAAAATCTCATTAATTTTATCTGTACTAATTCGAACAGAATCAAAGAATGAAACCAAACGTAGCGATTTTCTATTCAAAGAATTTAATTAAAAAGAGATTAAATTGATAAAACATGTAGGAGATCTGATCCAATGTGTCATAAATAAATTTTCTTGCCAAAGATATTTATCAATAGATAAATAAACAGAATAACAGTGAAACGAAACCGAAATTTTTAACTCTCTTTGAAGTTTTTCTATTCATAAAATATTTCAGGTGGACTTCAATGGAAATTATTATAAATAAATTTTCAGTTTTAGAATCAATTGAATTTATTATTTATAATCATGTTTTTCTGATACATCAACAATCTGTGTAAGTTGTGAATATTAATAAATCTACGTTTTAATCGCTGATCTAAGATGATAGCGATAATAAGAAATAAAAAAAAAATAATTAAGAGGTTTCATCTTCCATCTTCACCTCATTAGTTTGAGGTTCAATAATTGTTTCTTTTTTTGGCTCGTCTTTAACTTCAATTGTTTGACATTCTTTCTTTACTTCACTTCCTTGACCATCCTTCATTGATGAATCCTTTGTCTTATCTTCATCGCGTGATTTCTTTTCCTTTTCCTTATCTGAATCTTTCTTACGTTCACTTCGGTCGCGTTCACGGTCAGAACGATCGCGTGACTTTTCATTCTTGGCAGTTATCGGAGCGACACGTTCATGAATACTCATCAAAACTGAATAATATTCATTGTGCTTTCTCTGAAATATTTACCATAATTATGAAGTTAATTGGGATTGCTTAAAAAGGAACCAAAAAGTAAACTTACAGTTGCACTACTCAAACTTGATTCTGCATCTTGAAGCTTTCTTGAAACTGATTTCAAATCCGAATTCAGATCTTTAATTCGCTTTTCATGTCGATTATTGCTGCTTGTTAAATCATTGTTCTTTTGACGAAGATCAACTAAAAATTTTTCAGTATTTTCTCGAGCTACCTCGGAGCGTTTCATTTGATCGAGCAATTGTTGAATGTTGACGAGTGAACCGTTGAAATGAACAAGACCACCAGTCGTTTCAGCATCAGCAATGTCACCACCACTGACATTATTTGAAGATATTTTCGAGACATTGTTGCCTCGGGCAATTTCAGCAAGTTGTTCATCAGTGACATTGTCCATTGGATTCACATAAGGAACGTCAGCCAAACGATCTGTTAATTTCCGATAATAAAATGACTCGCGTGAGACAAACTTGTCAACAAGCTTTCGAACTTGTGAGCGTGATAAATTCAAACCAATCGTATAAAACAAATCTTCAAGGTCCTTCTCAAAAATATAACCGCAATGAGTTTGATCGAAATAAACAAACGACAAAAGGAGATCTGGAAAAGCTGTGATATATTTCGGTCGTTCAACTTTTAATTCTTTTCCATCTTTGTCGCGTTTTGAACGACTACGATCTGATTTAGCAGCTGCGCTATCATCAGAATCATCGAGATGATGGCGTTTCTTCTCATCCTTCTTTTCCTTTCCTTCTTCCTTAATGACTTCAACGTCAGCTTCTTTCTTGTCATTTGATTCATTTGATTTGTCATCAGCTCCAACACTTGTCTCTCCTTCACCTGATGTTACTGCTGTCTTTGTCTCTTTATCTTTCTTTTTCTCATCTTCTTTTGATTCTTCATTGCTTTTAGCTTTAATTGGTGGAAATAAGTTTATGGCTTTGAAGATATTAAAACCAAAGTCGCGTGTCAGCATTTCATTGAATAGTTCAGCAAACAATGAAACTTCAAATGAATGTTCTTTTGTATCTTCTGGACGATAATCGAGTAAAACACTCAACGACATTGCTGTGCAATCAAACTTTCCATTCTTAGCTGTCTTTGAAGGATGAACAACTATTTGTGGATGATCTGGTAAGTTGTAACGTTTCTCAATCTGATGTCGTTCCTTTTCATCAAGTTTTCTTGGTTCTTCCTTCTTCTTTTCACGATCACGAGGCTTCTCCGTCTTTTCTTCTTCACATTTCGTCGAATCATATTCGTCAATTATCGTAACTTCACTCATATCCATCTCAGCGATGTTCATTTCAACTTCACTCTCATCTTTCGTCTTTTCTGAATTGTCTTCAGCTGCTTTTTCTTGGGATGCTTCACCTGCATCTTCTGTAATCATTTCAACATCTTCACCTTCACCATTTGATGTTGGATCAGCTTCAATTTGTAATGCTTTGATTAATCTTGCCACAAGTTGATTTTTCAAACCTAAACGAGAATTTTCATTAAAATTTTGATTGATTTGAAATAGAAATTTTGACTCACCTTTTGATGGCAAATTTCTTGCTTCAAGTTCTGCACGTAATTCAGCAACTTTCATATTCTTCGGATCCAATGTCAATCCCTGTTCTCCATCATTCTTTAAATCTTCACCAAGTGCTTCATCCTGTAATGATATGAAAATTTTATTAATCTTCACAATATTTAAACATTTCATCATCTAAACAAAATAATTCTTTTCTTAAGATTAGAAAACATTTGCTTTCATCTTCAAGAAGATTAAACAAAAAAAAAAGATTATCCGAGTTGGAAAAATTATTATCGAGAAGAATTTTCTTCTCATTTTTCCGACTCGTTGATCAGATTGATTCAAAGTTATTCACATTCAATATTCAGTTATTTCAATCAACAAACATTCTTCTTCATTCACACAATCATTGAACTAGAAGTAAGCGTTCTGTTTGATGGGACAAGGTTTTTGTTCTTTTTTGTGATTCCATGACAGAAACAGAATTAATTGAATTGAATCAAATTCAAGGGTGTTGTGAGAATCCAATTTGCGAGAATTTTTACTGATTTGTTATTGTTAATCGAAAGAACTTTGATTGGATAAACACAAGAAGAGTAAAAAGGATTTTTTATGATTTGTTTTAAGAAAATCGGAAGTAAAAAAAAGCAAACAATAATGAATGATCCAAGCTACTACTAAGGATGGATGTGAATAGATAAGAAGTGTGTTAATTAAGGGAAATATAAATGAACTAATAAACTTCTTTTATATTCTTTTGTTTTTTGTATCAGTCAGTGCCTTATCAGTTATGGTAGAATCTGGATTTACAACCACGGCTGCTGCTGTTGATGCGTCAGCTTCCTTTTCCACGCCTTCATCTTCCATCGTTCCAACAACATCATCAGATTTCTTAACACTATTTTTATCATCATCATTTTTTTGATTCTCAGCTGAGGTTGAAGCAGACATCTCAACAACGACACCATCATTGTCATCAGCAATTGTTATGACCGGAACATCATCATCTGAAACTTGCGGCTTCTCTTTTGAAGCAAGAAAAGCTTTCATTGCTTCTTTGTAGCGAAGATTAATGTTCTCCCACTCCATTCGATTCGGCATCAGCGACGACATGTCAGGCAGAAAGATAACTGTTGTCTCGATTCTTGGCGACTTTGTGCTGCTGCTGCTGCTGCTACCACCATTCTTGTCTTTCGCCTGTTCGGAACGTCGGTAATATAATTCTACAAATCGATACCTATTGAATGGGGGGAGATGGTGGACAAATTTAGTTGTTTTTCAATAAAAATAAAAAAAGAAACGATTTTTTTTTTGTTGAAGGTTTTTGGTTAAAAAAAATCGCGCAATTGTGGATTTCAGTTTTTTAAAGTCAAATATAAGAAGAGAGAAAAAAAAACATTTAATAAAAGCAATCAGGATACATTTCAGTTATGATGAGTCGCAATCAACTCAACATTTATACAAATTAAGGATGAAAATACTTACGGAATTTTTTATTTTATTTTAATTTATTTTGAAGCATGGAAATGGATTTTTTTAACGAGTAGTTTGCATACAGAAAGAATTTCGAGAAGCTTTCCATAAATGGGAAAATAGAAGACTCTTAGATGTGCAATGAAAGTTGTTTTAACTAACTCGACTTTCACTGCACATCAAATTAAAAAATTCTTCAAAAGTAATTTATTTACCCATTCATTGCATATTCGGAAGCTTTGAAATTTTTCCGAGGTATGAAAACACAAAACAAATGAAAAAAGGAAATTTCTTTAAATGAAAAATATAATAATGGAAGAAAAGTTTCTGAACTTGAAAGCAGGCCAAGTGTTAGCCTTTGAACAAAGATTGTGGTCATGCTATGTGACAAGGAAATTGTCAAAAAAATATGATGAACAAACAATAAGTAAACCAAATGAATGACGAATGTTTTACTTACCACTGTGTGCAATTTGACAAGTCGATTCCTGTCAAAGCTTTGCACGTGCGAATTGCTGTGCGAATTAAAACAGTTGGATCTGATTGGGGATTCTCACCTGCACAAAAAGTAATTTAGAAATTAATTTATTCATAAATTATAATTTTTTCCCACTCACCATCGAGTTTCTTCGACCAAGCACCGCCAATCGCCATTGTTTCATTCTTTCCACGCAATCCAACTAAAAAGTTTATTAATCGTGTTGGATGAACAAAGTCACGATCAATGTCATCGATTTTTTCACTGCCCATGTCTTCAGCGCGAACAAAACATTTTTTATAAATGTCATGAATTGCTGGAGTTGACATCAACATGACCTTAGCTGAGTACAAGTAGTCAGCGTCTGGAGGATCAAGAACAGCATCAATCGCATCAAGAGGCGCAACTTCCTTGCTCATCACATGAAACGAGCAAGTTTTATTGATCGAAAATGGAGCATTTGGTGGAAAGGCTTCAACCCATTTGACTCCACTTGAGAAAAAGTCAGAAGGAACGTAAAGATTGTGATAACGTTTTTTGATCTCAATAATGTCAGCGTTTGGAAGTGTTAAAGAGAATTTCGGAATTTGAACCATATAACGTGGTACTGCACGAACTCTTCGACGTTTTGGCGATGGCTTTCGTAATGGACTTCGCTCACGACGTTCCAATGACTCACGAGGGCGATGAGATCTTTCACGATCTCTTTCGCGCTCCTCACGTCGACGTTTACGTTCAGTGTCTTCCTATAAGAACAAAATGAATTGAATTTGTGTACAAAACATTAATATCTGACATAACTTACCTCAATATCGCGACGATCTCTGGATCTAGGACGTCTTTCAGGAGATTTGCGACGTTCAGGCGAATATCGACGACTTCTGTAATTATCTTGAACTGAGTCTCTTGGAGGTGGCACAGAATTATAATTCTTGTTGCTCGATTGCATGTTTCCACTAACTGGACTAACATTGCTTCGAGAAAGGACTTGAACACGCGTTGCATTCCATTTGAATGGCATGTTTTGGTTATAAGAAGCTTCCACGAGGACATGATCGCCTAGTTTCGGGGATAAACCTTTCACGCAGACATTTTTATGAAATAAAACTTCGTCGTCAATGAAGCCAATATCATTTTGTATCTTGCTCACAACACCTGTACCAGAAAATACTTTCTGAGTTGCGTTATATTTCGTTTGTTGTTGTTGCTGTGGCTGCTGCTGCTGTTGATGTTGTTGTTGTTGAGACTGTTGAAGATTTTGGTTTGACTGAGGAGATGGCTGTTGTTGGAAAGCTATAGTGTTAACCCGAGCTGATGGATATTGAACAGCAGGAACTTGATTGACAAGCTGGTTCATTTGAAGCATAGGTTGAGCGTTGGTAAATCCAAGCTGATTTTGGAGAAATCCAATCTGATTAAGCTGTTGTAAGCTCATTTGCTGCTGAAAATTAGGCATTCCAACATTTTTCTGCCAAGGAGGATTCTTTTGAAAGCTCATTATGCTAATTCTGTTAACTAATTAAACAGTAATTATTGATTTTCCGGAAAAAATTATATTTTAGTCACACTTGAAATTTTTCATTCAAGATTCCGAGGTGACAAATTGTACGCTTCTGAGCCCTTGTAAAAAATGTAAATCAATTTTTTGTAAATTTTAATTTTGATTTATCAAGATAATTACATTTCTTTTATAAATTAATAAAGAGAAATAATTATTTAGTGGCGAAAGATGTCTTCTCGATTTAAGCAGTTCTTCTCAAACATTTGAGACTTCGTAAAATATCAGCATTTTTTAGGGGATTTGACTTGCTCGAGTTTTAAATTCAGTCCCTTGTTACAAAACATGGACGAAGACGCAAATGTGCTTTAAAAATTTAAAAGTTCAGAAATAATGACGAAGAATTGAGGATTTAGATGATAGAGATGTCATTATGTATTGGAAATAATGTAAAAACATATGCGAAGGAAGACTTTCTTCTATAAATGATCTATTTTCACTCTTTTTTTATCTCAATACACGAGATGCTTGATGAATGAAGAGCTTTAAAGCTCGTTCAATTTTTAAAGACATTGATACATTAAGCAGATCAGCTATTTCAATATAGGTACCTAATTTTATTTGAATGATAAAAAAGTCGTTTCATTGTTTACAAAACTGTTTAAGCAAACCTTTATAAGCCTAACCAACACCTACCAACATATGTTCTAACTCAATGATCATAAAGAAGCCTCTAGTTTCGCGTGTTGTTTATTCAGTTTGTAAGTGACTCTTCGCTGAATTAGAATAAAAGGAAAGAAACAGTTGAGTTTTAGTTTAATTTGTGTTCTTGTGATAAGAAAGAAGTTGTAAGATGAGTTCAAAGCAAATAATTTTTGTAACGTTTTCTGTTCTTTATGGATTGATAATGGGGCATATAATCAAAACGGGAGTATGTCCAAAAGTTACACCTGAACCAAATTTTGACATGGGATTTGTAAGTGCATATAACAAGAAACTATTTATTTGTGATTCTCATTCATTCATTCATTTTTGACACGTCACCACAAATTTTGAAACATTTTTATAACTCTAAATTAATGTTTATTACTTTCAGTTTAGTGGCCAATGGAACGCTATCTATGAAACATTACAATTGAAAGAGTGCTTAAGATATGATTTCATATATAACGCAGGAACTTCCAAACATGAGCTTAAGATAAAAAATCCTTTACTAACATTGACAGGAACATTGAAAGTTAAGGATACCAACCTTCCTGCTAACATGACTTTGAAGTTTCCGATAATACCTAAAAGTGTATTGACAGTCGTCACGACTGATAACGTGACTTATGCGGGCATTTTCGATTGTTATGATTTTATTTACAATCTTACGCAATTTCACCGTCAATCAGTAACATTTTTAGCTCGCGCTGTAAGTTTAAGCCAAACTATTGTTGATACAATGAACGCAACTTTCAATAGCTTTCCTGGTGTATGTAACGTCGCTGGAATGCCTCCAGACTCGATGACGATGACTACCACGATAATTATATATTTTTAATATATTTTATTCTTTCCGCGTCTTTCCTCGACCGCGGCTCGCTCTANGTCAATCAGTAACATTTTTAGCTCGCGCTGTAAGTTTAAGCCAAACTATTGTTGATACAATGAACGCAACTTTCAATAGCTTTCCTGGTGTAGACACTCAAAATCTAAATACAATAAATCATGTTGGTTGCATTGTTCAACCCTAATGTTCTTTTCATCTCAAGTCTATTATTGGACATCATTTTTAATGTCATGAATAATTTGACTTTTCACAGAAATACCATCATATTTTCAACAAGTTCCCAATTAAATTGTAATCCAGATCAGTTATTTTAATATAATTTTATTTGAATGATAAAAAGTAGTTTTATTGTTTACAAATCTTTTAACCGTTTAAGCAAACCTTTATTAGTCTGTAATGAGCATGATTATGTCATGGATATCTCCTGACACAGGAGAATAATTAGTGAAGCCTGGAATCACTTGAATAGTTGTACATATTAGTTTATTTATTTATTAATGTTTTCCCTTTGAATTTACAAATTTTTTTATCAAGATGATGTGCCTTTAACTCAGATAAGAAGAAACTTTATCTGTAACAAATTGTTTATTCAAGTTTAATTGAAGGAATTTATTTACCTACATGTATAATAACAACCTTGATAAAAGTAAGAAAAACAAAAATGAATAAATAATGTTGTTGCAGGCAAGATGACACTGTATATAATAAAAAATGCTGTGAAAGGATGCTGAACACCCCACAAGAAGAAATAAATATGTTTCCAAAACTTTGTTTAACCATGTTATTGGTACTAACAGGTGTTTTTTTGCTTAAGTCTAACAAATAAACATTTTTCTCTCCTTGTTCGCTTATCGCAATACAGCTAAGAAAATCAACACCTACCAAGATAGGTTCTACCTAAACGATCATAAAGAAGTCGCTCTAGTTTTGCGTGTTGTTTATTCAGTTTGAAAGTGACTCTGCGCTGAATTAAAATAAAAGGAAAGAAACAGTCGAGTTTTAGTTTAATTTGTGTTCTTGTGATAAGAAAGAAGTTTTAAGATGAGTTCAAAGCAAGTAATAATTCTTGTAACGTTTTCTGTTCTTTGTGGATTGATAATGGGGCATATAATCAAAACGGGAGTATGTCCAAAAGTTACACCTGAACCAAATTTTGACATGGCATTTGTAAGTGCATATAACAAGAAATTATTAATTTTTGATCCTCATTCATTCATTTTTGACACGTCACCATGACGTGTTGCCACAAATTTTGAAACATTTTCAAAACTTTTAATTAAAATTTATTACATTTGCAGTTTAGTGGCTATTGGAACGCTATCTATGAAACATTACAAAATACAGATTGCCTAAGATATGATTTCATATATAACGGAGGAACTTCCAACGATGAGCTTAAGATAAAAAGACCTATACTAACATTGACAGGAACGTTGAAAGTTAAGGATACCAACCTTCCTGCTAACATGACTTTGAAGTTTCCGTTAATGCCGTTAATACCTAAAAGTGTATTGACAGTCGTGACGACTGATAACGTGAATTATGCGGGAATTTTCAATTGCTATAATTTTATTTCTGATAATACGCAATTTCACCGTCAATCAGTAACATATTTATCTCGCTCTGTAAGTTTGGACCAAACTATTGTTGATACAATGAACGCAACTTTCAATAGCTTTCCTGGTGTAGACACTCAAAATCTTAATACCATAAATCATATTGGTTGCATTTATCAAAACTAATGATCTTTTCAACCTGAGTCTAATATTTGACATCATTTATTGTCATGAATTATTTGACTTTTCACAGAAGCTACCATCATATATTCAATTTGTTCCTCTTTTAAATTGTATTCCAACTTTGCATCGATTATAATATTTTGTTTTTCTTACGAATATTATTTGTGTCTTGAAATTTTTATAAATATTTACTCCAGGCTTACGTTTTCACTTATCAAATAGGTAGTAAAATAATCTCTCAGAGATGAAATAAAAATGTTTTATATGTGTTTGCTTATTCAAGAAAACTTTTTTTATGTTTTTAACTTGTTTATGTATAATTTTAATAAGAATGTTCATTCTGGTTTTATTCTTCTTATCTATCTATTTTTTAAAATAGAATGTTCACTTTTAAGTCATCTAAAAACTTATTTTCAGTGTAACGGTTTTTAATTTGAATTAAGTTTTAAGGTGTCTTGGCTGGATATCAAAGACACATTTCACCCTTGTTGCAAAATCAGAGAATGTAAACATCAACGTTTTTGCTTTCGAAATAATCAAACAATTCTCAAAATAATAAAATTAAGTGAAATGGAAGAAAGCTTATCGGAGGATAACAAAAACCCAGACGAGACAGAAGATGCAGAAAACAGTAATGAAGGATGGGTTGGACCATTACCTACAGAAGCTACAGAACCACCGGTGAAAAAGCGGAAAGTTTTACTTCATGAGAAACTTTTCCTCAACAAGTAATTTAGTTTTATTAAGATATTTAAGTTATTTATCTCAAACTAAGTATGAATAATTTTCTTTCCAGCTTACCAAATACTGAAGCCTATGAAAAGTCTTTCATGCATCGTGATCAGATTTCATTTGTCGTATGTGCAAAAACAGATTTCATAATTACAGCATCTTGTGATGGTCATGTAAAGTTCTGGAAGAAAAATGAAGAAGGCATTGAGTTCGTAAAGCATTTTCGTGCACATCTCCAACCAATTACATCTTTAAGTGCAAATGTTCAAGGATCCTTACTTTGCACATCCTCTCTGGATAAAACTGTGAAAATCTTCGATATCATAAATTTTGACATGATTAACATGTTGAAGCTTGATTTTACACCTGGTTGTACTTGTTGGATTTACTCTGCTGGAGATACAATTCCTTGTTTGGCAATAAGTGATGCTGATTCACCAACAATAAAGATTTTTGATGGTCAAGGAACAAACACGCCACTTCATGTCATGGAAAAGCTTCACACAAAGCCTGTCACAAGTCTTACTTACAATGCACCATTTGAAACTGTCATTTCAGTTGATAAAGCTGGAATATTGGAGTATTGGCAAGGACATAAACAAAATTATTCTTTCCCCGAAAAACTCGTTCAATTTGAGTCAAAATTAGACACAAGTCTTTACGAATTTGCAAAAAATAAGACGATTGTTGCAGGCTTAGTAGTGTCACCAGATGGTCGAAAGTTTGCAACAATATCAACTGACAGAAAAGTTCGATTATTTCAATTTCTTACTGGCAAACTTACACGTGTGTTTGATGAAACATTGGCAAGAATTGCAGAAGCTCAACAAACAAATCATGCAATTCCCAACATGGAATTTGGAAGACGAATGAACAATGAAAAAGACATTGAAAAGACCGACTCGTTACTTTACAATAACATAATGTTTGATCAAAGTGGACACTTCATTCTTTACTCCACAATGATTGGGATAAAAATTGTAAACATTGAAACAAACAAATGTGCAAAGATCCTTGGGAAAAGTGATAACATTCGTCCATTAAACATAGCAATGTTTCAGGGAAAAGTTAAAAAGTCAACAGCAGCACCGACACTTGAACAAGAAGGAAGCGATAATCCCACAATGGCTCTAGCAACGAATGATCCAATCGTTTTCTGCACAGCTTATAAGAAGCAACGTTTTTACCTTTACAGTCGTCGACTTCCTTCCGATTTGCAAGATGTTGATCGTGATGTGTTCAACGAACAACCTTCGAAAGAAGACATCTTGGCTGTCACTGAGTCAAATCCTGTTCAAAAGATCTTCGATAATGCAGTGATTCATACAACTTTCGGTGATATTCACATGAAATTGTTTGGGAAGGAATGTCCAAAGTCGGTGGAAAACTTTTGTGTTCATGGGAAGAATGGATACTTTAATGGGCACATTTTCCATCGTGTCATCAAGGGATTTATGATACAAACTGGTGACCCAACAGGTAGTGGAACTGGTGGACAATCGATATGGGGACATGACTTCAAAGACGAATTCTCATCAAATCTGAAGCATGATCGACCTTACACGGTAAGATTCGCATAATAATTTTTGATTTCATTTAAATTCATTTGAGTCTCGTTTAGGTTTCAATGGCAAATGCTGGTCCCAACACAAATGGCTCACAATTCTTCATTTCTGTCTGTCCAACACCATGGCTCGACAATAAACACACAGTCTTTGGACGTGTTTACAAAGGAATGGAAATTTGTCAAAATATTTGCAATGCTAAGACGAATCCCAAGACCGACAAACCTTACGACGATATAAAAATTATTTCAATTAGTTTGGGATAAAATTTGAGTTTTTTGGATGAAAATATGATGAAAAAATCTTCTTTAGAAATAAAAATTTATAGATAAGAAGAATTCAAATTTATCTTTTTCCCGTTCACTAACACGAATTTATCGTTCTTCGATTGATCTCAAATTTTTCGAGTAGACCTCAAGATTTTGATAAATCTAAAGAAGCTGAAATTCTAAACAAAAACTAATTTTCTTATCAATTAAACTTGAACATTTAACACGCTGTAATTTATTTTCAATGATAAGGCTTATCAAAGACATATTTTCAATAAACTTTGTGAGTTTGTTCTCCGAAGTTTAGTAGTAAAAGTGTTTTTAAGATGTTATGTTTCGGTAATAAAGCATTGCGGACGCAACAAAATGCTATTGCTACAGGAACAATTTTAATGTTAAGCAGTGGCATTCAAATCGGTTATGGAAATTTTAATTGGATGCATTCAGAAGCAGCATGGTCGTCGAATATATCACAAAGATATTTGAATGCAGCAATAGCGTCGTGGTATTTTGGAAGTATTTTAGGATTTACACTCTCACCAGTATTACAGAATTTCATGAACAAGAAATTTATTTATGTGAGTTTATTTGGAACGCGATACGATCAGTTTGAAATTTATTTGATAATGATTTAGTTAATAGCGGATGTAGTTGTTGGCACAAGTGCAGTGTTCATGATTGCATTTCCCAAATATTACGAGACGGTAATTTCAACGAGACTCTTTAGTGGAATTGGACATGGTTTGGCTTATGTCGTTTTGATTCAACATTTTGGACAAATTGCTGATAAAAATGTTCGTGGGAAAATTGGAACATCAATTTACTTGTTTATTTTGAAAGGTGGAATAATATCTGGAGATTTGGTGATAGAAGTTTTCACGTCAGAAGACCGAATGGATGTCAATAGATTTTTTGGAATTATCATTCTTTCGTTGAGTGTTCTTGCAACTATTCTGGCAATCGTTTCTTACAAAGAATCGCCAGTTGATTTGATATTGAAAGGAAAACAAGAGAAAGCTTTCAAGGCATTGGTGTTGATAAGAAATGAACAAGATGAAGCTGATGAATTACAAAAAGAATTCAAAGATTTGGAAGAAATGGTGAAAGAAGATCAGGAAGCTGGCTATGGGATATTCGTAAAGGAAAACATCGCACCACTTGTAATCGTTATCCTTCTCCGATTGGCGTTTGTTTTAATATCCAAATACGGACTCAAAATAATTCACATTATGATGGAACCAGAATTTAATGGCTTTGATTACACTTTTATACTGAATGTTGGTCACACAATCTCGGTGATTATTGTTATATTCACGATCGATTTTGGAAGACGATTTCATTACTTTCTATCAAGTTTCACAACATCAATAATTTTAATTGTGTTGGGACCACTTGCGGCAGTTTTTATCGATTCTAATATCTTAAAGATCTTTTTCTTTATTGGGTTTGAAATTTTCTCAGCGATAGGCATTGGAATGATGTGTCACATTTACTCTACCGAAGCGTTTCGAACACTTCGAATGGCAAAGTCAATTGCTTTTACTGCGTCAATTGAAAACTTTGTGCAAGTTCTCTTTATGATTTTAATGGGGAAGATCATCTACTCAACTTTATTTGAAGTGATTTTCTTTATAACTTCTGGAATAATTTTAGCAATAATTTCATTATTTTTATTTTCTAACATTCCTGAAACTAAAAAATTAACAATGCGAGAAGCCAGAAATGAATTCTTGTCGCCTTTAAATTTCAAAATTTACAAGAAACATTTTGGCATTAAAGCAAAATATGAAATTAACGGTGAACAAAATAAAATGTTAAATCGATAGATAAAAACAAAAATTGTTTTAAATTTAATTAACACTAACGATTGTCAGGAGTTTCAAATAATTATTTTGAAACATGGTTTTACTTAAAAGCAATAAAAATTTGCTATTATAAAAGGCTGAGGGAGGCAAAGCAATTTGCAGTTTATTTTTGTTATCAACTGGCTTTGACACTTGCAAAAAATAAAATTTCGTAACTAACAATATTGTGGATTAAATTAAATAGAGAATTTCTGTAAAATGATTTCGATTAAAGTTGTAACAATTTTATTAACTTTAATGATGAAAGTTCGATTAGGTTTGACGGGCGCTAAACCGCCACCAAAGTATAATTTTTGAAATTAAATTTTGAATTTAAAACAAATACCTAATTGAAAACTATCCGCAGTTGCTTGAACTATCATTTGTTCTACAATGATGCTAAGACTCATATCAACATACGTCGTCTTCATGAAAGAAACTTACAAGAAGGATACGATCTGGTGATGTTGGAAAATGATGTCGGGTACAATGAACCGTTTTACAATTCATTCAGTTTGTTTGCTGAATTTACAGGAAGAAACAGAAAAGCTGAAACTTTAACAGCAGTTGCAACTTTACTTCGTGACAAAGATATAGAATTAAGTGCAGTTAATTTATTGTTTGATAAGTGCCTCGAGTGCACGAATGTTACGTTAGAGTCTCATTCCCAATATCGAGCAATTAATGGATATGGAAATAATTTATTGAACCCTAACTGGGGATCTGCTTCAATGCCGTTCTCTAGAAGTGGGCCTAAGGTATATGACGATGGAATTCATTCAATAAGGAGAAGTTTAACGGGCTCAGATCTGCCAAGCACACGACTTATTGTTCAAGAAATATTGACACAAGCTGAGAAGTCTGGTCCACCGTCAGACCATAAAAATGTTTTCATGGGTTTCCTTTTACTCTATTTAGTCTTTGACATGGCGTTTCAAGTTCCTGTTGAAGCTTTTAAACCAGATGAAAGGATCAGATGCTGTTTTATTGAAAACGAGAAAATTCTTGCAGAAGAATTCTTGCACTCAGCATGCCTTCCAATTTCTGTTGGACATGAAGATTCTTTTTATAAATCTGAACACATACATTGCTTGAACATGATTCGATCTCAACAAGCAACTCATCCTTGCTCTATTCAATACGGTGAGATTCTTAATAAAGCAACTTCATTCATTGATCATTCTCAGATTTATGGACTTAGTGATGACGAAGCTTTATCGATTCGAACTTATTCGCAAGGCAAAATAAGAATGGACCCGAAAAACGTTATGCCAGTCGGCAGTAATGGAAATTATCTTGAAAGCAACAATCGACTGACAAAGACTCCACTTGCAATGGTTTGGCCTTCAATATTCTCTCGAAATCACAACATGCTTGCAGAAGGCTTAGCTGCTGCTAATCCCCAATGGAACGACCAAAAACTTTTCAACGAAGCTCGACGTATAAACATTGCGATTCTTCAAGCGATTGTTATTGATGGCGGAGTTCTTCATAATGCTTTTGGATTAGATGTCGATGAAAATTACAACGACGACAAAGATGCATCCAGTTCTATTGAGTTCACCACAATTGCTAATCGAATGGGACATGCTTTTGTTCAACCTAAACTTTTCATTGCAAATGATATCCAAAACATTCAAAAGATTCCAACCTCCGATACTTTGAATCGAGTTGATCTGTTGGAAGACAATTATGAAGGAATTCTTATCGGTGCCCTTCTTCAAAATTTGAATTTTCATCCATACACTGATGAAATTATTAATAAATTTGCTAAAAATGATAAAGGAATGGGACTCGATGTAATCGCAATTGACATTCAAAGAGGTGAGCGTAAATTTTTGAAATTGAATTTTAATTTTTAAAAAGTTGTTGCTTATTAGGAAGAGATCATGGCGTTGCTTCATACCTGGAAACAAGACGAAAATGTGAATTGTCTGCTGATTTCCACAGTTTTGATGACTTGGAGGCCATTCTTATGCCACAGCATGTCGACTTATTGAAGGAAGTTTACGATGACATTGAAGACATTGACGCATTGGTAGGCGGAACATTAGAAACATTTGGAAGTTTGAATTCACATCTGTTTGGAGAAACTTTAGTTTGCATTTTCCGTGAACAATATCGTCGAGCAATGGCAGGAGATGCTTATTGGTATTCGCATGAAACAAATCCTTATCCATTCACCGAAGATCAACTCACAGCGATTCGAGACTTTTCTGTTTCTCATTTGTTGTGTAAGAATTCTAATCTTGAATCTGTGCAAAAACTTTGGTATTTGGTTCAAACAGATTCAGGAGAAAAGGATATGTGTGCAGATTTAAGTTCATTCAATTTCCAACCTTTCACGGAATAAATTATTCAACTGTTTAAATAGTTTTATGTTCAAATAAAACCAAAACATTTTTATTATTCATTCGTGTGGAAACTAAACAATTCAGTAAACTTGGAATATTAAGTTCAACAATAAATATTTAAATTATTATCAATAACTCTGCTATGGACAAAGTTGACAGTTTTCAGTTGTTCCAAACCATTTTCAAACTACATTTAAACATCAATTTTCACAGCCACACTTTAAGCATTTTTAAATCTTTAAGACATCTGGTTGAACATTAAAATCTTCCTAATTTGTTTCTGAATTAACATCTACTCGTCGCTTTCTAAAGCGGTGACGAACAATCTCCTCACATTCTAAACATTTTCAATACAAATTTCTTACATTTTTTCTTAAAATTCCTTCGAATTCTTCTCTGTGTCGTCAAATGTATTCTTCAATTAAAACCACATCACGTTTTTATCTCAGGTCATTCTTGTTGATTTCAATTACAAGAATATCTACTTAAGAGAAATATTTAAATATTTCGAGCATTTTGAGATCTTTCGAATTCGAAGAATAAAATAATTACCTAATTAATAATTAAAAATGGAACAATTTAAATCATTGAACTCTATCGTGTTTTTCACGTCATTTTTTAATTAAATTAATATAAAATGTCTACCTAAAACAGCGCCTTAATCTTCTCGCTATATTTAGAAGTCTAGTCATGATGACTCGTTTTTTACCCCAAATACATTCACACATAAAGACCAAAATAAGAAATAGATAAGCAAATATTAAAATTGAGAAAATTCCTTGAATGTCTACCATTTTCAAAAAGTATTCTTCATTCTCTATGAAATCTTGTTCCTCGTCGTATTTTTTCTTCAAATCTTGTTTCACGTAATAATTCCAGTGCTGCCTTAATCCTGACTCAAAAATTTTATTGAAATCTTTTTGAAGCATTTCATAGAAATTCGAAAGAACTTTCAACGGGAACTTTTCGTAGAATGGCATGAACTTTTCTGGTAAAAAGTAAAAATATTCTGGGATATCAAATTTATTATTAGAGTAATACTGCAGCTCGAGAATATCACAGCGAGCGATTACAGCTTTTGAGTCATCATATGCATGTTGGTAATCTACAAGTCCATTGATAAGTTCCATGCGACTGACTACATCTTTGGCTTGCTCTGAGTTTTCAAATAGATAATGAAAAACTGGGTCAACCACATAAGAATTGTTACTTTGAAGCAATTTTTCAATACTTTTGAATCTTACTCCGTCTCGTGCTCTTGACATTGAAGCAATGATGAGTGATTCGAAAGCATTTCCCATGATGAATGTCATTAGAATGCATAATTGAAGTAAAAGTTGTTGACTTCCTCGAATGTTTCTAAAAGGAATTGATTGACCCACGAAAGTTGCGACAACTCCGAAAATGAAGTAAAATGGAGAATCACTGTTAATATTTCGTTTCAAGAGCTTCCAAGCGATACTACATGCTGCTATCGACATCACCATAAATCCCCAAGAATACCAATCAAACGGTTTCAAAATGAAACTCCAAAACGTGAGTCTGGCTGGGATTGGAATAAGAGCGCAATATCCGTTTTCATCATATGTGTTGATTAATTTGTGAATTGAGCTGTCGAAGTGCACAATAGTTGAGAGGGATAAGTCGATGGATCCATTATTGAGAAATTCAGTAAAAATTGATATGACGTCGGGGACAAGTGGAGACACGTAATGAGAAATTTGAAAATGAGCTCCACGCCTTTTTGTGATCTCTTCCATGGCGTTGACATCGATTCCATTTAAAATTCTCAATTTCTTGGATAAATATATTCTCGGTGCGTGTGGTATGTACAACACATTGAAAACATAATTGTTGAGGTTGCGAAGTTTATCAGGAAAAATGCTTTTAATGTCACTTCCCTTACTAACGTCCTTTGTGTAGAACTTTCGGTAACGTCTGGAATATTCCCATGAACTGTCCCACAAAATAACCAAAACTTGTTTGTATTCCGTTAAAACAATTGAATTCCATGCACCAACTTTATAAAAGAAGTCGCACATATTCGAAGAAACCAAATTCAATTCATTCAAGTTGACCCAGCCTGTTGGAATGAAAATAAATTTTGTTGAACCCCATTCGCAATTTTGAATGCTGAAATCCAAAATTCTGTTCAATTTGGGCTGCACAATAAAAAAATAATTTTCAATAAATGTTTAAGGCGAATCTTCAGTTGAATTAAGCTTACCCATGATGTTATGTCAGATAAAATAAATATGAATGATGCTGTTTGATAAGGCGTACATTTCAGTTTTACATCATTTCGAAGATTAATTATTGGATTAAACGGATTTTCTTCTATAATTTCCCTCGTAACAATGTCAAAGAAATCCGAATTGTTTCCTTCGTCTATTCGAAGTAAAACCACATTGCGATATGCACTTTGATCTTGATCGTTGCTATCTTTAATAAGTGAACTGATGAATTGAGCCATTTTCAGGTCTTTAGGTAAATCTAATTTTGCTTGTAAAATCACACAAAATATTATTAAGCAAATTATCAACTTTCTTAAAACTTTCATTTTTGATTAAATCATTTTCTATGTCATCCACAATATTATCAATCTGAACGTGAAATGACCAAAGCTGAAAATTTTATGAATAAAAATTGAAAGCTCGTACCTTAATAATGTCGATTTTTATAATTTTGATCAAACAAACTGATGGAATGAAAGAATATCGAGAACAAGTGTGGATTGGAATTATCACAAACTTTATTTTTAATCTATTTTCAAACGTGTGCATTCAATTATTGAAGTTTATTTTATGTAGATAGTAAATCAGCAGTTATGAATTACATGTTGAGGACTCAAAACCATCATGATGTTTAACTTACCAAGTTTTCCTAGTTTTATTTGCTATTGTTAGACCTAATTAGAATACATCTTCCAATGCAATTACAGAAATCGATTTAATTCACAATTGATTGTTTATTTACATATTGTTATTAATTATCTAATAGATCTGTTCTTATTTTTTATTTAAAAATCTTCAATATTTTTATTCTGAATTTGTACAATTGGCTGCTTTTTCTTGAGTTGTCGGTAAAGGTCCACAGCATTCACTCGTTCATTTTCCAGTGCTAATCGTGTTGAGTTTGGGAGATTTTTTCTCTTGCCTTTCCTGTCTACTGGGCCTTTGACGATCTTATTTGGCTTTATTGGTGAACTTTTGTTTAGCATTGAAGTCAAAAGTAAATCACGTTTGCCTGGTCTTGGAGCTGTTTCATGTTTCTCCGCTCTTCGTGGAGTAACTAATGATGGAGGAGCTTGTGCAACTTCACCAAACTTTATCACTTCATGTTGATATTCGGCAAATGCAAGAGATTTTTCTTCGTCTTTCTGTTGTTTCCTTGAAGCTTTTTTAAGTTTAAGTTTTTCAAGACTTGTAAGTTTTGTCGTGTTTTCAATTTCTGGCTTTTCATCATTGAAATCTTTTTTCCCATTTTTTGCTTCTGCTCTTCGTTTTTTCATTAACTCGGCTATTTCATCTTTAGGTTTTTTCTCCAATTTAATTTCTCCTGTTTCTTGATTTCTTACAATATTTACGTTATACTTTGCTGCAAATCCTGCTTCAACTCTTCTTTGATGAGTGATTCGGTTGACACGTTTCATAAATTTGTAATCAGATTCATTAGCATTTTTTCTGAGTCCTTCCATATCTATTTTAGTGGCTTTAAAATCGTCGTCAACACCAAATTTCGATTCTGGAAAATTAAGATAAGTTTGAAAAATTTTGTATTTAAACATTGTGTAATTTTCTTACCTTTCTTAAATTTTCCAGCTTTTGTAGCTTCCTTAAGCTTCATAAAGGATTTAAATTTTTTAGACACTTCCTGCTCATCGACATGCCTTGGTGGATTGTTGATTTTATCTTTTATTCTGCAAAAAAGTAAATAATATTAAAATAATGGAAAATGTTAAGAATTTAAATAAATACTTTGCTTCTCGTTCTGCTAACTGTAGAAGAGGATCACGAACACCAAAATGTCGCTTTGGTAAAGGAATCTTACGTCCCATTACAATGATTCTATAGAAAATATCCGTAAACAATGATTGAAATTATTTTTATCACGTTGTTTTGTTATGATTCAAAACTTGAATAAAATAATCACAGTTGTCTTCTCGATTGAACCATTTTTCCCATAAAAACAACCAAAATTTACTAGTAATCGACTGTTGCAAGGTTTTAGATTTAAGCGCGAGTTTGTTTACTTTGAAGCTTTCAATGTTTTAAATGAAACTTATTTCATTCGAGATTTTAAAAAGATTGAAATTTAATATGAATCGAAGAGGTCATTCATCTTATAACAAACACAGAGAACGATTGAAGGGAAAGCTTTTTAATCGTAATCAAGAACGCGATGATAATGAATCCAGCGATCAAGCTGAAAGTACTCATAGATTTCAAAGACATCCACCAGGATTAAAAGGCAGAGAGATTGGTTTGTGGTATGCTCGAAGAAATAAAAATTTAGAAAACAGAGAAAGTAATTTTGTAAGTAAAGAAATATGGTTTAAAAAGAAATTACTAATTTTCAATTTAAACTTTCCTTCAGCTTCCCGGTCCAAATGTATCTTTGCCTCATCAAAAACTTTTAGAACTGCAAGAAGTTATTAAAGAAAGCACATCTAACGTGACACAGTCTTCAGCATATCAAAGTTTCTTAAATGAGTTTGAACGACACAGACAAATGGATTTCCTTCAACTTCTTTCAAATTTTAAACCATCAGAAAATGATTCTGAATGCGACAGAACAAATGAAATGCTTCGTGATGAATTTCTTACTACACTTTCAACTGAAGCATATTCAGTGATGTTACAACAACGTTTGAAACTTCCAGCAAATAACCAAAAACGTGAAATCATCGAAACAATTGAGAGAAACCAAATCGTTCTCATTGCGGGTAACACAGGATGTGGAAAGACAACGCAAGTCGCTCAATATATTCTTGATGATGCTTTAATGAACTTGAAAGGAAGTCGAACAAAAATTCTTTGCACTCAGCCACGTAGAATTGCAGGTAAATGAATTATAAGATTTATTTATCAATTTTTCTTAATTTTCTTTTTAACTCAGCTGTAAGCATTGCTGAACGAGTAGCGGCGGAAAGAGCAGAAAGACTTGGCATTTCAACTGGTTATCAAATTCGATTAGAAAAAGTTTCTCCTAGAGAACGCGGCAGCATTTTATTTTGTACGACTGGAATTTTGATGAGTTTCCTCGAAAGTGATCCGACAATAAGCAAATACAGTCACATAATTATTGATGAAATTCATGAGAGAAATGTCATCACCGACATCTGTATGGCTGTTATTAAGAAAATTGCTGAGCATCGGAAAGATTTAAAAATAATTCTCATGTCAGCAACATTGAATGCTGAAAAGTTCTCACAATATTTTAACGATTGTCCAATTGTACATATCGAAGGTTTCACTTTTCCAGTTGAAGAACTTTATCTAGAAGATGTTCTCGAAGAAACTGAATTTGATAATTTCAAGCCAATGACAAAGAATGAACCAGTATGGGTGAGAACGAAGAACAAGAAAAATAGAAACGAAGCTGAAGAAAAATTTAACTTGATAGTTGGAAATTATGCGTCATCATTGAGAGGAAAATATTCGTCGAAAACAATTGAAAATCTTTTAAATTCAAACACTGAGGCCATTGACATAAATTTCATTGAACATTTAATTCGTCACATTTCATATTCGAAAGCTTCTGGTGCTATTCTCGTCATTTTACCAGGCTACACAACAATTTCAAAACTTTATGAAAGTCTTCAGAAATCTCCAAATTTTCCATCATCTAATTTCATTATTTATCCACTTCACTCGATGTTAACTGGCAGTGATCAAAAGAACATTTTCAAACGACCACCTGAAGGTGTCAGAAAGATAATTTTGTCAACACCTTTAGCAGAGACAAGCATTACAATTGATGACGTTGTTTATGTTATTAATGCTGGAAAGATGCGAAAACCTTATTTTGATTTCGAGACGAATGCAACAGTCTTGGAAGATCAATGGATAACAAAAGCAAATGAGACTCAACGCAAGGGTAGAGCTGGACGTGTTCAAGAAGGAATTTGTTATCATCTTTACAGCCGTGCAAGATCAAATACTTTGGAAGAGTTTGAAGAGCCGGAAGTTCTTCGAATTCGTCTTGAAGAAATGATTTTAACACTCAAAGTTTTGTGCATAAAAGATGTGAAAAGTTTTATGTCAACATTAATTGATGTACCAAAAGATTCAGTGATTGAATCAAGTATTGAAATGTTGGAAAGACTTGGAGCTTTGAATGAAAACGAAGAATTAACATCGCTAGGTTTACATTTAGCAAAACTTGCAGTTCCACCACAAACTGGAAAAATGCTTTTACTTGCTTCCATTTTAAGATGTTTCGATCCAATAACAAGTGTTGCTGCTGCACTTTCATTCAAATCGCCTTTTTATAGTGTCATGGGAAAAGAAGAGCTTTGTAATAATTCGAAGAAGAAATTCTCAAATGTTTCTGATCATTTAGCTGTCGCAAATGCAATGAAGAAGTGGAAAGAATTAAAAACGGGTCAACAAAAGTTTTGTTTCGACAATTTTCTCTCACATACTACGATGACGATGCTTGATCGGATGAAGAGTGAATTTGGACAGAAGTTATGTGATTCAAAGTTCCTTCATGTGTCGAAATGTGATAGCGTTGTGAACAATGTTAATTCAAGAAAGTTAAATATACTGAAAGCTGTGATTTGTGGCGGTTTGTATCCGAACATTGCTTATCGATCTGTTAAAGTTTCAAAAAATCGAAAGCGAGAATCCATAAAGACGATTAACAAAAACAGTTTAAAATTGCTTCCATCATCTGTAAATTGTGATGATTCTTCATTCTACGATTCGGGTTATTTGATCTATCATCAACTTAACAAATTTACTTTTAATTATTTTCTGAGTGAAACAACCGCAAATGTCAGTCCGTATGCAATTTTAATGTTTGGTGATAAAGTCACGACATACACAAAAAATGATACAAATTACATTCAAGTTGGTGGAATTGTTGAATTCAAATGTAATCAAGAGACAGCTGAAGTAATTGTCAGTCTTCGTGAATGTTTCAACTCGTTGTTAGGAAAGAAATTCATAGAACCATCGCCTGTTAGTTCACAATCTGATGAAGGAAGACTTCTCGAAGCAATTTTAGATTTGATTTCATATCAAAGCTCGGCTTCATTTGACGATGCATCTCAAGAAGATGAAGGTGAAGACCATGAAATGGACAATGAATAAATTTTACCTTTTTCGTACACTTTCATGTATACAAACATTCTACGATAGTCGGCAAATGTCTGTAATAAAAAAAAAAGTCTTAAAAATCTTCTTCAAAATGTTTTATTTTCTCTTGAAATTGACAACTCAAAAGAGAAAACTTAAGATGAATCCTGACTAGGATTTTCATCATGACGTCAGGTCTGACGGAAGTATCAGGAAAACTTCTGAGAAATGAATATAAAAAGGCTACTGAGAAGGTTGATCAATTATTACGTGTATCTGGTAATTTATCTTTGATCACTGATGGTTCAACAGATTGCAACGGATAAGGTGAGGGAACTTTGCTTAAGCGCAGATGAAAAACACTGAATTTCTGGTTCATGTTGACCTTTTTTAAAAAAGTAATGATGCAGTTTTATTAATTATATCAAATAAATAATTAAAAAAAGAAAACAAAAAAATGGGAAGTTTTGGTGGGAATTTTGCTTAAGCGCAGGGGAATGTTTTGATAATTTTCTTTAATATTTTTAAAATCATTACTTTTTAAAAAAGGTCAACATGAACCAGAAATTCAGTGTTTTTCATCTGCGCTTAAGCAAAGTTCCCTCACCTTATCACATCGTTAACTTCTTAGTGAAAGTTCCATCTCAACCTTCAATATTCATAACATCAATCGACACTACGGGCATTACTCAAGTTGTAGATACCGTTGCAGCGGATATCAGCAAAGTCATTGACAAAATTGGAGCTTATAAATTTGCAAGTGTCGTCACTGATGATGCACCGGTGATGAAAGTGGCATGGAAAGTATTGAAGGAAAAATATTAGCATCTTTCAGCGTTCGGTTGTGCAGCTCACGCAATGAATTTATTGGTTAAATATATTTTGGGACCATATGAATCTATTTTATCTGATTGTTCAGCAATCGCAAAGTTCTTCAACAATCATCATCGCCCCCTTGGTTTTTTTGATGATGCACGAAAATCAGAAAATCCAGTCATAAGAACACTTATTGTTGCAAGTAGAACAAGATGGTTCAGCCAATATAATTTTTTGAAAAGTGTTTTGGATGCTAGGTAGGTCTTAATTAAAGTCTGTGATCAAAACCATGAAGCAATTTCAACAAACGCAACATCAATCATTAAAACTACAAAAACCACAGTATTTATTTGATGGTGTTGCTGGTGATGTCTCAGCTGGTTGTGTTGCTGGCGATGCCTCAGCTGATGTTGCTGGCTTTAATCCCGAGCGGCACAAGCTTTCTGCTTGAATTCATATAGCTTGCCTTCAGCAGATTCCGTGAGATTCTGCCCTGTAGCGTTGAAAAAACGTCCTACCCGCATCCTTGAAGGAAAATTAAGCAATTTTCAAGGCAATTTTGGCGGAATCTCCGCTTTTGCCGCTCGAGAATGTTCCAACAAAAATGTTCCAACAGCTCTACCTTTTGTTCCTCCGAAAGCTCGTTCTCAAAAACTTTTGTTGCCACATCAACATCCAATATATCAGGATTCAAGTAATATGTTTCATCATCCATATTGTCAATGCTCTGGAAATCATGTGGATCTTTCATTTCCCTAAAAATATTTAGACATTAATATTACTATTACTATTATTAATAATTACTCAAAGCTTTGGAAGTCATAATCTGACTGGGCGCAGTGCAGTGATGGGCACATTTAGGCAAAAAGGAATGGCAGTCCCATTCCAGGCGGTTTGGGAATGGCATTCTCGCATTCCCATTCTTTCAGAAAAATCTTTGGTGACGAATTAATTGAGTCAAGTAGCCAGGAAAAAAAATGGCTAATAAAGAGACTGAGTAATTTGAGAAAGAGAGAATAAAAACACGAATGTAATGTTTCATTTCGAATGTTCATTATAAATCTTAAAATCAAGCTTATCAGTTGTAAAAGTAATTTCTTTATCGAATTTCCATATAAAACCATCGAAAGCGATTTTTTTTGTTTTAATTATTAAGTTAAAAATTATAAATAAAACGAAACATGGGCGAACACTCCAAAAATATTAAAGACCATCAAATAAAGGACATTAAAAACTTGAATACTTTCGATAAGATTTGGACAGTGAAAGCACGTGTCAGTGCAAAATCACAAATAAGAAAATGATCAAATGCTAAAGGTGAAGGAAAATTATTCACCTTTGACATTCACGATGAAACTGGCGAAATACGGGTAACCGGATTCAACATTCAAGTTGATAATTTTTTTGACAAAATAGAAGACAACAAAGTTTACCTAATTTCAAGATGTCAGGTAAAATTAGTCAACAGTCGATATGCCAAAATGCGACATAATTGTGAATTGACATTAAAATACGACTCCGTCATCGATAAATGTGATGAATTAACCACCATTCCAATATTCACATACGACTTTTTATCAATCAGCGACATTGCAGCAAAAGAAGTTGGAACTTTCATCAATGTTATTGCAATTTGCAAAGAAGCAACTGAAAAAAACCCGAATACGATCTTTTCAAAAAATTCGCCGGGTTTCGAATTTAAATCTTTTATGAAATGAGAAAAAAAATCAAGAAAGGCTAGTAAAAATAACGTATGATTCTATTTCAAATCATACTAATAAATTCATTCAGTGAAAAATTTATTCTTTTAGTGAATGTACTTTTTAAACATTGATATGGATGGAAACATACTAACAAGTCTTAAGAATATTGAAGCAACAAGAGAAAATGGGTAAGTGTTTTGATTTACTGGATATTGTATAAATGAATTGTAAATATAACATATATTTCAGATAAGAAAATGTCAAAGGTGTGGGATTTTGAAACATTTTATTTTAATAAATCATTTTTCCAAACATATTTTCATGGTTGATTCCCGTTTCTTAATTTTTAATAAAACCCGATCAAAAAATTCGGGTTTTTTGAAATACGGGTTTTGGAAAACTCTAGTTTTCTCATATCAGAAGGTTTTAACAGTTTAACTAAACAGGGTGATTAAAAACGGAGTTGTGATTTGACTGACTGACTGACTGACTGACTGACTAACATTGATGCCATCTCTGTTAAAAAATAAAAATAAACAAAAGGGAAGGGGGGGGGGGGGGGGGGGG